CGCCCAGTTGAAATCTCCCCACAAATAAAGGCATCCAATCCAGACCACAATGTGCCACAAGAAAAGAGGAGGAACATAGAACACTGCCAGCAGAGAACGTGCCCTCAAATGACTCAATCTTCAGAAGCGGCGGGGTATTTCTGGTGCCTTCCCCAGGGCCATTTTCTATCTGGAGAGGTTTGTGGTTTTGCTGCTTTCTCCTTTACTGTATGATTGACTAATACTGCAAATCCATTAGAGGGCCCTCCATTTTTTCAGAAATAATGCAGAAAATGCAGACCACGTTTCGCTGAGAGTATGGGCAAGTGGGCATTAACAATGGCACAGTTCTTGTAAGAGGTTAAACTAATAGGATGGAGGAATGATCTCTCAACCAACCTTTGCCAACCTGGTGCCCTCCAGATATTCTGGACTAAAACTCCCATCAGCCCCAGCAAACTATGGCAGGATTAATTTTGGGGTGGGGTGAGGGATGGAAAATTTAAACCATTGTCTCTGGAGACATCTGCTGGATTAATGGAACATAGCAATTGTCAGAATAAATTGAGGTGGTGATGGTGACCTAAGATTTTTAAAATGTAAATAATAATAATAATTTAGGCCTATAGTATGTTCCCACTCCTTACTTACCTTACTGTAATGTTACCAACATTTAAAATGAAATTGAAACCTGTGTTCTGGTGAACATTGACCATCAACTGCCAATACTGTATTATATTGCTGAGCATACAGCAAGATGCCAGAGGCACAAAATTAAATTTCACTTACCGTACTAAAATATCTTCAGTAACCCTGCTGGTGCTCACTAGTTTGATGCCAAATATGATATAATTGCTGTTTGTGGTGGTTTAGGGCCAAATTAGACATTTTGAGGGAAACAATTAAGTTTATGAACTCATTATTTCCTCATAACATGAATACATTACAGGAGCATTTATGGAGCATTAATGGGGAGCAATTGGCAATTTTGGATCCAAATTGGATACAAAATGGCCTGTTTTCCTAAGCAAAATACCCCCTTTCAATACCTTTGTTCTGTTTCCTCTTAACAAATTTTGCAATCTCCTCTGTACAGAAAAATAATAACCTTGAATCTGGAGTCTAAATCACAAACACACATGCAGGAAGCAGATTCATTTCACATTTGCCGGCCTTTCCGGATTTCCCCCATATCATCAAAGTACAAATTTTAAGGTGTGATGTGAAATGACACTTGGAAAATGAGAACACTATATGGATACCCCTACTTTAATAGGGGTACAGTCAGGTTCCAATGCGCATTGTGCTCCTGTGTGAACAAGCCCGTATCATCATGCTTTGTGTGACACATGTCCTCTCCCCCATAGTGGAACATTTTCTCAACTGACTTATTATTTCATTAGGAATTTAGGTTTTACAAGCTGGTTCCAGATGGGAGTTTATGATGAAATTGGCGCTGCTCATGCATACAATGGTGTGGATTTTTTCCAAGCACCCTCATGACATTATCAAAATTCCAGGCTGCATTTTTGAAAATCTAATCTGGATGCCCACTTACTGTGAAAAATCAGTTAAGCAAAACAACAATCTGCTCTGTGTCTACCATCACCACTGGGCTTTACTGTGAATGTGAGGCTGCCTTGAGTCCAGCATTTCCGGGCACCGTTCACATGATGTTGCCCTCAACCAAACCCACCCACCTTTTTTGTAGCGTTTATTTGAATTTCCCTATCCTGGGAAACACCAAAAGGAAAGCAAAATCCAGACCTAATCCACCATTGCTTGGCTGCTGCTGTTTGATTTCTCTTTAGTTAAGGCGATACCAGAAAGATCTATGTGACCTGTGGGAAGTGGGGGTGGGATGCAGAGTTTGTGTTTGCTCCCTTGTTTGGAGAGCGAAAGGAAAAGGAGAATGTTCTTTCTTAAACCTGCTCACACCAAGCATGTTTTGAAGAACAGTTTAGGCTCTGTTGCATCATTAGCTCCTGATATGTGCTGGTACTAGCTTTATCATGGTTCATAAAGCATAAGTCCCATTTGAATGCAGCGTATCATTAGCATGCATAAATCTGTTACCTAACCATATCATACTTGCAAGGTTGTAAATCCCTTGAGTCATATGATGAGTATATTCTGCATAAATTCTCTGCAAGTTGGAGTCAGACCTATGTCCATCCAGTTCAGTGTTGTCTGCACATACTGGCAGCACTCCCTATCAGTCCTATCTGCAGATGCCACTGTGGGTGGAACCTGAGACTTTCTGCATGCAAAGCAAGTGGTCTAACCACTGAGCTACAGGGCCAATCCCATTGAGTTAGAGCCCTTATGCCTGGTCAGGCTGTTGGGAACCTAGGCTGGGGTTGTCTCTGTGGCGTTCGTACAGAGCACCCGGTTGTTTCACAGACTATTGACCTGTACACCACTGCTTTATTCTTCCACTGCCACCAACCAGGTTTCTTCGGCTGAAATACTGAGTCTCAGTCAGGTTGTAAAGTCAACAATGAAGATTGAAGTTTATTGAAGAACAAACAAGTTTTAAATATGTTTAGAACGGTTTCTCAAATGCGAGCCCTTAACTAGATATGGCACTATCTCACACTGTCACACTCTTCTCTCTCAGTTCTATCCCTGTCTCCCACTCTTAACTGTCACAACCGCTATATTCATCTTTTACTCGCTCTGTCTGACTCTGACTCCCCTATCTCCCAATGGTAAAAACCCTGGGCTGAGCCTCAAAACCAGGTAGGCTCCGCCTCTAAGCTTTCTCATTGGTCAGTCTACATTAACCATTCCCATCCCCCTGTACAAACATAATCACAAGGAATGGGCAAACGCCACATCCTCCTTCAGAGTTACATATCTGACAACGGATGGAGATGTAGAGGGGGGTCTTTCTTTCCAAGCCCCTCCAACTGTGATGCTTTCTGAACCAGAGAGAGATTGGATCTGGATATCGCTGCAGGCAAGGCCCGTGTGCTGGGCTGCTAGGCTCTGGCAGTCTGGAAGATGCTGCCATGTCAAGCCAGACTATAGCTCAGCGGCCGAAGATGTGTTATGGAAGGAGAAGGTTCCAGTTGGTGCTGGAGTGAAGTGGCCTCTGGGATGGGATACTTGCAGGCCTCCAGATGTTGCCGGACTACTGGTCCCATCATCCCTGGCCACTGGTCCTTGTGACTGGGGCTGATGGAAGTTGTAGTCCAACAGCATCTAGAGGCCACCATGTTGGTTACGCCTGCAGGGTGAAACCGTTGGCAGCTTTATTCCAGTGGCAGCACACCCACTGCAAAAATTCAAAATATAAGGACAATGTTGTAGGGACTGCCACTGTGGTAGCATTGTTTGGGATCCCACCCCACAAGTCTGAGACCTTGGGCAGATACAGGTGATTACCAACAAATTTGGAGGGAGAGGAGTTTGAGCCATATGTGGATACCAGTTGCAGAGGGCGCCCTCTTTATGGTTCTCCACCAGAACAGCCCATTACAGTCAGCCACTGGACCAGGTTGAATGTACTGCAACACCATCTGGTGTCTTGCAGTCTTGAAATTACTACACCCAAAATGCACTGCCATGTTTACGCTTTCCGGAATAGCCCAACTGTTGTGAAACTGGGTAGCACAGCAGCTGGTTCCTCAAAGAAGTTGCAAGAGAAACATCTGAGATAACAGGAACATTTTAATGAATATTTAGAACACATGTGGGCAATAGACCAAGGTCTTGTCCATCACGTTTACATTCTATGTCACTACTGCTCCATAAGACGCACCTGACCATAAGACGCACCTAGTTTTTAGAGGAAAGCAAGAAAAAAAATATTCTGAATGAAATAGTGGATGTATGATTTTTGTGGTTCATGCTGTGGCCACAGACATGTGATCTGACGGTGAGTTTGGGGTAGCCCAATGCAAAAATCCTGAGAATCCATGTGGATCTGTGCTTTGTAACCACGTTTTTGTGCCATTGTAGCCCCACAAAACAGTGGATGTGTGGTTTTTTTGATGCAGGCTGTAGCCGTGGACATGCTATGTGATCTGATGGTGAACTTGGGGTGACCCAATGCAAAAATCCTGAGGATCCATGGGCTTTTACCTCCACCCTCCCAGGCAGCCTCCTTTATCGCTAACGTCCCTATCTCCCTCCCAATCGCTTACTGATCAGCTGCTTCCTTTCAACACTCCCTTCCCTCTTGTTTTCCTTAGCTGGAGCAGTTTTTTGCTCCTTCTTTTCTTCTAATTTCTCTCCTCGTTGCTTTAATCTTCTTGTCTCCTCTCTTTGCAAGTTCGCTGTCTTTACCTCCCCCCTCCCAGGCAGCCTCCCTTATTGCTAGCGTCCCTTACCTCCCTCACGATCGCTTGCCAATCAGTGGCTTTGTTTCAACACCCACTTCCCTCTTTCAAAAAAAGAAGCACGATCTGCTTTTTGCCCCTGGGCAATTCGGCTCCAGGGACCACACATTCGCTCCATAAGACGCACAGACATTTCCCCTTACTTTTTAGGAAGAAAAAAGTGTGTCTTATGGAGCAAAAAATACGGTAGTTATGTACTTTATGAACTTTCAATAAAGATGTTACATGCACACACACACACACACACACACACACACACACAAAGATCTGGCCTGCAGATTCACTCAAGGTTTTATGGGTTATTCTAGCAGCTGCCTACAGAAATGAAAATATATATTTCTTTTTTTCTTCATAGCAGCACCTCAAATTTGAATGATTTAGAACCAATACAACATGGAGGGAGGGTGGCCTGTCATTCTCTTGCCTCTGAGCCCATTCATTGCTGAGCTTTGTGATGTCATGGACTATTTTATGCAGTTTGTAATAATTTGTGGAGGGGGAACCTATCACCCGCAGAATTTTGACAGGCAGCACACTTTCCATGCCTGAAGGCAAAAGAGCTGGATGCTCTCTGCAGCAGTTTCAGATCCTTTCTGTCTTCGGTGAATCGTCTTTCATGCTTTAGAGAGCAATATGCTTTGTTAATACTTTGTTCCGGTTGCATCTGACAAACCATCACTTAGACCTTTTGAACTGTCTTCCAAGCCAGCTGATCTCTTCCAAAACACGCCACAACCTTTAGAAGAAATGATACAGGATAAATCAAGGGAAAATTGGGAGCGAACACATTGCAAGCTTTGAGACTGGAGCCAGAGTCTGTCTATGTATAATATAACATTTGAAAACACCCTTATTTGAGGTACACGCCTGCATTTAGGATTCAAGACAAGATAAAAAAAAAAGCTGAAGTTCTAAAGACCAAAGATCAAGAAGTTCTGTACTCACTAAGGATTTCCATTCTCGGGGTCCTATACTAAAAGGCCTTGATCCCACCTATATCTATCAGTTTGGGCCAGACTACATTCTGCTTACAAATGCAGGAGACAGGAACTCAATGACACATTTTAAACAGGAAAACCAATTTGGGAGAGGGTGACTGGGAAGTAGAGAAAGAGCAGGTGGGGAAAGGGTTAAGCGCACGCCTGACCCTCCCACCTCTTCTCCACACATAGACTGACATAGTTCTAAACCTTATAAATTCCTTATAAAATTGCAGTCAAATATCAACAATTAAGAACCACCATTTCCTCTAGCCAATCAGAGGCTGTCTGCTTGGTTGGGTTGGTTGGTTTTTTAAATAAACCATACACTAGACAAAGAAATACCTAAGTATATTTCTGATCCAATCAACACAAAATTCACTCTTCTTGCTAAGTCATTGCTGAAACAATTAAAAATCAAACCCCATTCAAGAATCTCATCTAGGAAATCCTTACCTTTTACAGAAAGACCATGCCACTCTTGTAGAAGGTTTAATGGACGTAATTTGTTGCAATATGAATCTTGTTACCATACTTAGCAATCCGGGTGTTTTCTGCATTTGTAAGATAGCTGAAGCTACATCCAACGGGGTATGAAAATAATAATAGTAATGGAATTAATGATTTATGGAAAAGAAAAATCAGATTACACATACAAATCTCCACAATATATTTCCCTAGCAGCAGCTATTAAATGACTGGGAAATCCAATTACCCAAGTAAGGGGGACATGGCAGAAATATATATAACGATACATTGTGTGAAGACAGTGTATAGCATAATACTAGGACCTGGTGGTACAATATGTTCAATCTGTACATTTTTATTTTGGTTTGAAAGAGTTTTACTTGTTTTGATGACTGTGTAAATTGTTTTACTTGCTTTTACAATCTGTACTATTGCAGTCTGCATTTATACAGTCTGTACTATTGCAGTTGCTTTTACAATCTGTACTATTGCAGTCTGCATCTGGGTTTCTCACCTTTCGGACAATGCAGAGACTGTTGTGGCAATAGTCTGCTGCCTGCTCTATGGACTGTACCATTCTTACAATTAGAGGGCTTCGAGAAGCCTTTAGGAACTGTCCTGATAGGCGTGCTGAGGACGTCCACCCTTGGTTGTTGGCAGGAAGCCGCTTGACCAGCATGGAACAACTCTTTTTTACTGAAGACACCAAGAAATTCAACTGTTTTGGCATGAGAGCAGATTTCAAAAATATCTGACAAGAAATAATCAAAGAAACAATCAAATACCTAACAAGAAATAATCAAATATGCAAAGTAATACAAATGGCATTTTTAAGAACAGAAAAATATGTAAGGGGTTTATAAGCTTTATTGGCTATGCCCTTCCCACAAACCAGGTAAAAGTAAGAGCATATTGCTTATGAGACCAACTCTTCTTAAAATGCTAGAAGCAAACTCCAGAGTTACATAGAACTCTTCTCCAGATGTAAGTCTTCAAAAGGAGGGGGAAATAGATGTTGCATAATGAGCAAAATCTGCTGGTTTTGGGGTGGGTTGGGGTGTGCAGAGTTGGTTGGCTGAGATTTTAAGGCACAGATAGTTACTCATAGGTGGCTATTTTGCCTCAATCAAGTCCAGTTTGGCCATTCTCATGTAAATGTTACTTCCATTGACAAAGGAGCTTCCAGACTGGCATTTATTTGCTTGCTACTGGTGTAAGCAAGGGGTGTTTGTTTGTTTGTTTGTTTGTTTGTTTGTTTTTGTAGCATCTGCCTGATCAAAATGCCAGCCTGGATCCCCCCCACAATTTAATTAGGATTTATGCAGAAAATTATTTCTTTCAAATGTGATATCTGTTTTTTTAAAAAAACAAAAACCACCAAAACCCTCTCCAGCTAAGCAACTGACTGCTATAGCTGAGCGACCTGTTTGCAATATTAAGCCCCCATCTGGAAGCACCCAAAGATAAGTGTTAGATGCTGTTAAGTCCATAATCGTCTTTCACACTGAAGAAAAAGTTACAGACCAGAATAAACAGACCAATCTCCTATGTACAGAAGAATAATACTCTTAAATCTGGAGTCTAAATCACACACCAGCTTCAATGTGGGTTTCTCCTAGGCCAAGTGAAGAAAGGGGGTTGGGTTTATGGAGTCTGGACAGTGTACTCTTAATTCACTGTGCCTGGGAAAACAGAATAATGCTGTCTTCACATTACAGCTGTGATTGCGGTATAGAAATCTCTCCAGAAATATATAATGCCGTTTACTTGTGTTCAGAGGCACAACTTTGGGCCAAAGATTGGGGGGGGGCAGTGATGGAGCACATGCGTAATGTCGTGCCTGTGACATCACACACACGTCATCAGGAGGAGAGGCGCATTGTCAGGAGGAGTCATGTAACATTTTATGAGCCATGTAGCACTTACTGTTTCTGTGCAAGAAGAGAATGGCATCCAGATATCCTTGTGAATAAAAGTCATTCAAAACCTAGGAAAAGGCATGCAATGCGTCAAAATAATCTTGGACAATTGGACTGTTCCAGTTGTCAGTGGTGTAAGAGAATACTGATGTTAAATGTAAGCACTAAATTTATTTAAATTATATTTAAATGTTAAGAAATCTTTATCGTATGTAAGTTGTATTCTTTGAATGTGCCTCTTGGGATGGTTAACAGTGCCCTTTTGAGTTCATTCCCCGCCAGTGAAAAACCTTTTTAAAAAGCAGTGCATCCAAATATGGCAATTAGATCAAAGTCTGGCAATTTGAACACAGAACTTTTCAGACTGTATAAAATAAATGCTTGTACTCCAGTGAGCCTTTGCTGGCATCCCCTCTCCCTTTCGGTGCTCTTCCCCACCCAATATTTGTAAGCCATTTCTTAATTCTACTCCCTCATCTTACTTGACAGACTGATCAACAACGTAATAACTAGATGATTGAGGAAACCTACCCGGCAGTTGGGTGGAAATATAGCATAGCTAATTCTGCACAAGTTCTCTATGGATATCTGAATGGTGCAGTTTGCGATATGAAAGCCGTAGAACATTGCTGGGCAGTTCCGAGGGCAGATGTCAGTCTCTCCTGTAAAAGGAGACACGGTGATGGCCGTCTCCAAGTCGGAACAAGGCTGCAAGTTAGTGAAACCTCCATCAACGTACCGCTGCAAGAAAGCAACAGGGATGTTTCAAGATAATTGCGTTCAGCAAATGCAGCACAGCTGAAGCAGAACTAGTACTTTGAAAGGTTAGCAGAAAAAAAGCTGCATTCTAATACTGCTACTGTTGATTAAATTGCTTGGATCTCTAATAGCAAGTCACCATCGGACTCTTTCTTTTGCTGTGAAATATTTCTTGATGTTTTTATTTTATTTTTTTTAAAAATTGCTTGTGTTTTTACTTGAGTGGATAAAAATTGGTTTAAAATTTATATACCGCCTGATGGTTAAAAAAAGAGAAAGCCTCAAAGCGGTTAACAAAACGATAAAAGAAGAAAATGAAGATAAATTTACAGCATTAGTTTAAAGCGTGCAAAATGTTAGAATAATAAAACAAGTTAAAATTCACATCCACTTTCTAAGCTCCTTGTATAAACTTATTGTAACTGAAAGGCAATTGCTATTTATAGAATTCATGTATCTGTGGTATCCCTGAAGGCGAGGCTTTTTCTTTTTTTCTTTTCCTTTGGTAAAAAGTTAGGTACTGGCTGGCACTCACACCTTGCTGTGGGTTCCAGCACAAAAAGACTGCCATTACAACACAAAAGAAAAAAAGTAATGGTGCTTCATACCAGAGAGTACCAGAACACAAAAAAACACTAGTTCACCTAGTTCTCAGTCAGTGAAGCTTCATGGTACAGTGGTACCTCGGGTTAAGTACTTAATTCGTTCCGGAGGTCCGTTCTTAACCTGAAACTGTTCTTAACCTGAAGCACCACTTTGGCTAATGGGGCCTCCCGCTGCCGCTGCGCCACCAGAGCCCGATTTCTGTTCTCATCCTGAAGCAAAGTTCTTAACCTGAAGCACTATTTCTGGGTTAGCGGAGTCTGTAACCTGAAGCGTATGTAACCTGAAGCGTATTTAACCTCAGGTACCACTGTTAGTATTGCAAACATAGCTTGCATACATTGCAAAACATAGCTTGCAGGACATTCCACTGTTAGTTTTGCAAACATAGCTTGCATACATAGCTTGCATACATTGCAAAACATAGCTTGCAGGACATTTCACTGTTAGTATTGCAAACATAGCTTGCATACATAGCTTGCATACATTGCAAAACATAGCTTGCAGACATAGCTTGCATACATTGCAAAACATAGCTTGCAGGACATTCCACTGTTAGTATTGCAAACATAGCTTGCATACTCGGCCCAGTATACCTGAAGGAGCGTCTCCACCCCCATCATTCTGCCCGGACGCTGAGGTCTAGCGCCGAGGGCCTTCTGGCGGTTCCCTCATTGCGAGAAGCAAAGCTACAGGGAACCAGGCAGAGGGCCTTCTCGGTAGTGGCGCCCGCCCTGTGGAACGCCCTCCCATCAGATGTCAAAGCGATAAATAACTACCTGACATTTAGAAGGCATCTTAAGGCAGCCCTGTTCAGGGAAGCTTTTAATCTGTGATATTTTACTGTATTTTTTGTTTCTATGGAAGCCGCCCAGAGTGGCTGGAGAAACCCAGCCAGATGGGCGGGGTACAAATAATAAATTATTATTAATTATTATTATTATTATTATTATTATTATATTACTCTCCAACATCCAGGGGATCCAAATTGGGACACTCGTTTTTTTGGTCCCGAGCTCTCGCAGGAGCCAGCTAACTCACACCAGAGCACTGGGACCAAAAAAAGGGGACATTCTGGGATCTAATCAGAAGCCGGGATGGCTTCTGTACTTCTAGGATGTTCTGCTTAGATCAGGACGGTTGAGCACTATAAGTTTGTGAGTGTATTAGACAGCATGAAAAGACAGAATAACCAGCCTTCTCTAGGATGGTGCTAAATAAACTCACCACACCTCGGAAGGAGGGAGGGATGAAGCCAGCATAGATTGGGATAAAGCAACTGCAAACCAATGCCTGTGGGAAGAGAAAGAATATCTGTGTGTTGTGGAGGCATTAGATGGATAGAAGCAATTCTATCATATTCTTCATTTAAAGGGACAAGCTGGTGAACTTTAGTGGCTAAGCCAGAAAGTCCTTGAAATTCAAACCTTGATTCTGCTATGAACTCACAAAGTATTTTTATTATTACCTGCCCCTCACCCCATGGTCCCAGGGTGGATCACAACAATTAAAACACTTTAACAATTAAAGCACTTTATTCATTACAGGATATTTATTGAGGGTTACACCCCCCCCAATCAAGCAGTATATAAATTTCATGAAATTATTATTTTTTAAAATCCATGTTATTACCTTGATGTTAATTTAAGTATTATTTTAATCTTAATTTTATCCCATAGGAGAGGAACTGTGTAATTACCTGAAATTGCAGTGAAAAATACTATAAAGAGCTTTGAAAAACAAAAACAAAAAAAATGAACTTTTTGTCACCTGGATAAGCTCCTCTTTGGAACTGTACTCAGAAACCACAACATTTTGGCCATCTACCAGACGGGTGAGAGAAACATAAAGCCGCCCTGTGGCCATCTGGTGAGAGTTCTCTGGCAGAATTTGGTGCAGTCTTTTCTGCAGGATACGAACCACACTGCAACCAGGGGCAAGAGGGCCAATTATGGGATTCCTGGTATCTTGTGCAGCCCTATAGAAAAACCTTTTTACATCATCTGGCAGAGGAGAAAAAACAAGCATTTATTAGAAAATGGCAGACAGGATTATTAGAATCACCTGTTATTAAATTATGCTCTCGGTTGTTTATAAGAATAGTTATCCCCACATTCCCTCCCATTCTTGCTATCTTGACAAATGCAGAGCTGAGACCAGGCATCTGCAGATATCACTTCCAGTTCTGCCCTTCTTCTGAACTGTTGAACTTAACACCATGATGGGGGAGATGGGTCGCAATTAGATATGAACTGCTGACTGACACCTACATATGAAAATCCATGTTATTTAAAGCATGCTAAAACAATTAACAGGTACCTGGAAGGGACAATTACTCATGCACATGCCACAGAAGCTAATTTGTGTTTCATGTGGGGAAATGAACAAAAATAATACAGAGTTCATTCACAAACCATTATAATGTTCCTTCATAGAATCATAGAATCATAGAGTTAGAAGAGACCACAAGGGCCATCGAGTCCAACCCCCTGCCAAGCAGGAAACACCATCAGAGCACTCCTGACATATGGTTGTCAAGCCTTTGCTTAAAGACCTCCAAAGAAGGAGACTCCACCACACTCCTTGGCAGCAAATTCCACTGTCGAACAGCTCTTACTGTCAGGAAGTTCTTCCTAATGTTTAGGTGGAATCTTCTTTCTTGTAGTTTGGATCCATTGCTCCTTGTCCGCTTCTCTGGAGCAGCAGAAAACAACCTTTCTCCCTCCTCTATGTGACATCCTTTTATATTTGAACATGGCTATCATATCACCTCTTAACCTCCTCTTCTCCAGGCTAAACATGCCCAGCTCCCTTAGCCGTTCCTCATAAGGCATCGTTTCCAGGCCTTTGACCATTTTGGTTGCCCTCCTCTGGACACGTTCCAGTTTGTCAGTGTCCTTCTTGAACTGTGGTGCCCAGAACTGGACACAGTACTCCAGGTGAGGTCTGACCAGAGCAGAATACAGTGGCACTATTACTTCCCTTGATCTAGATGCTATACTCCTATTGATGCAGCCCAGAATTGCATTGGCTTTTTTAGCTGCCGCGTCACACTGTTGGCTCACGTCAAGTTTGTGGTCAACCAAGACTCCTAGATCCTTTTCACATGTACTGCTCTCAAGCCAGGTGTCACCCATCTTGTATTTGTGCCTCTCATTTTTTTGCCCAAGTGCAATACTTTACATTTCTCCCTGTTAAAATTCATCTTGTTTGTTTTGGCCCAGTTCTCTAATCTGTCAAGGTTGTTTTGAAGTGTGATCCTGTCCTCTGGGGTGTTAGCCACCCCTCCCAGTTTGGTGTCATCCTCAAATTTGATCAGGATGCCCTTGAGTCCATCATCCAAGACGTTGATAAAGTTCTCCCACAACCAGTATTCAGACATATACTGTCTCTGATACTGGAGGTAACATCTCGCTATGAGTCTGTGGGTGCCTTGACTCCCCTAAATTGGTTTAATGGGTGTTGGAGTTTAATCAGTGCTTGGAGTATTAAGCAATATCAAAAAACAGTTTTTCCATGCGCAAGAAATTGCCTGGGAGAAGATGAGCCATTAGCAGAGAACAAAGACAGAGAGATGGACTATTAGCAAAGCCTGCCAGCAAATGAGGAGAGCTCCTCCCTGAACTCTGAGATAGTGAACAGAGACAAAAGGAGAGCATTGGATTTAGGATTTGAGTGGGCTGTGACATCATCGAGGGGAAAAGGGGTCAGGCTGTGAACGCGGAAAGCTGAAGAGCAGGGGACTAGCAGCTGACTCTGAGGCTGCAGCAATGGGAGAAACAGGACTCACTTGGGGTGTAAAAGCTGGGAGCCCCTCCATCATAGGCTCAGGTTGTATATATGCATAAATAAACCATATATCATAAAGACACAACAGTCTCAGCTGTGCCTCATTCCCAAACGAAACACCAACCCTGATTAAGCGCCTGGAACCCCTGAAATCTCACACCGCATGGAGATTGGAGTGGCGTGTAAGAATATATAGGCAACATGACCACTGGTAGCCTTAGCCTCCCTGAATTTGTCTAATCATAGGGTGGTGATCTGAAAACAGGCATTTTCTGTTTTCCCCTGTGCTGTGGAATGCCCTTCCCTCTGCCATATGTGATGAAGCAACCATTAGTTGCCACAGACATCTGGTGATGACTTTCCCTGGCCCATAAGAATGGACCCTGTTTTACATATTCAAATCCTCTGGATTTCTGTTTTATTTGCTTTTCTGTGCTTTTATATTGCTATTACACTGGTTTGAGGGTTTTTTGTTTTTGTTTGAAAAATATATTGTTTGGATCTTTGAGATACGTTTTGAACTATTAAGGCAGTTTATAAATGCTTTTGGATAAGTAAAGAAATAAAATAACGCTTTTATAAATCAGCAGTTGTAAATCATTAGCAAGACCATTGTTGCATCTGCCTGAGAGGGAAAATGCCACTTGCAATGCAAATGTTTGTCTGGTAACTGGGAAAGGCATAGAGCAGAGCTTTCCAAACTTTTCCAGTTGGTGACACGCTTTTTGAACATGCATCATTTCGCAACACAGTAATTCAGTTTTGCATCACTTTTTGACATGGTAATTCAGTTTTACTAGCAAACTGGAGATTAAACGAACCCTTTCCAACCCCAGGAGGAACCCGGGGAGCATTTGTGTGCCACACACTGCAGCCAACACACTAACATGTCATGACCCAGTTTGATATTGTTATCGATCAGCTTACATGCATAAACATAGGCACTTCTGCATTTCTTTGCCGTAATAGCTGCTGAGATGACCAAACTAATTCAGCTCACATGCCATGTCTGGGAGTTGCTTTAGAAAGATGGAACATGTCGCCAGACAGATTAGATTGATCAAAAATATCTGTGTCCTAAGCATACTGGGATACCCAGGAATTAGAACAGTTGAAGATGTTTGAGTAGATATTAAGGGACGGTGACTTAACGACTAATGCATAACAAGTTCATGTAGGGTCGTGATTGGCTAAGGTCACTGAAAAAGCTAGAAAAGCAAATTCTGAATTTTAGGTTCGGGGAAACATTGACTTTCTTGTGGCCTGGAGTCAAAACTAAGGGGTCGGTGGAAGAAGACTGGAAAAAATTTAAAATATATCTTCAAAAATATTGTAATATTAAAGACTGTTAGAAAGATGTCGGAAAAAGAAAATGTAGGCAGTTTTGGTAGATATGACATAAAGGATTAAGCAAAAATGAGTTGATGAAATTGATGAAACAGAGGATGTTTAATTATAATATTTTAAATTAAAATACGTAAATGAAAATAAGGTTGGAAGGATTTGCTGGAAAAAACGATCTGAACTAGAATACAAAATTGGGAGGTGAGAGGAGGTCAAGGAAATAAGTAAAGGGAAAAAGTTATGTAAAGGTTTAATTTGTTTTTGTTTTAATTTAATTTAATGTATTTTTATATTTTTTGTCTTGCTTATTGTTCTCTTTTTTCTTTTTACTTTGCTCTGTTATGGAAAAAAAATTTTTTTTGTATTTCTTTTTATATTTTGTACTGTTTTTTTCTCTTTTTGTAATTTTAAACTTGGAATAAATATCATTAAAAAAAAAAAAAATAAGGCTGCCATCTGCACTATACCATTCAAGCAGTAACATACCACTTGAAACTGTCATGACTTCCACCCAACAATTCTGGGAGCTGTAGTTTTTAATGGCTCTGAGAGTTGTTAGGAGATGTGAGGAATTTGGCAAGGGAAGCTTTTCCTACGATGCGTACAAGTATCCAGAAGGAAAAAATATGTGTCTTGCTGGAAGACGTGGGGCATTCTTGGCATGGCAGCATAAGTCTGTCCCGGCCCCTTCCCTTGGCAATTCCTGTTGGGGTGGCAGCACGTTGTGTAAACCGAAACATGGGAAGCAGCTGTTCATGTAGCAAGGACTGGATTTTATCTATGTTTCATGAGAACTAACAGATATAAATGTCCCTTCGATTCATTAAAAAAGCAAAAGGGTAAGCTCTGGGAAGCTACGGGTGCGCGTTAAAACATTGCAATGTAACTAGGAGCCTTTTTAAACTGAAGAGTGGGTCGAAAATACTTTAAAAAAACTAAATGGACAGATGCCAATACTCTGCGTCCCTGGGTAAATATCAGACCCTCCAAGTGTCCCTATTTTCCAATGGACAGTCCCAGATTTACAGAAGCCACCGTAGCTTCTGATTTGATCCCAGAATGTCCTGCTTTTCCTTAGGATGTCCCCATTTTCATCAGAGAAATGTTGGAGGGCATGGAGTTATGTGACCCCCCCAAGCCAAGGAGATAATTAACTATACAACCTTTGAAGACATCTGAAGGCAGCACTGTATAGGGAAGTTCTTAAATGTTTAACGTTCCGTTATGTTTTTATTTATGTTGGAAGCTGCTAAGAGCAGCTGGGGCAACCCAGTCAGATGGACGGGGTATGTAACAAACGACAACAACTTTTGTTATTGGATAGGACATCCCTATTTTTATCGGATAAATGTTGGAGATTATAAGATATCTTATCAATGGTTTATCAAAGCAGCTTCCTTACCATAAGGGCAACTGAGAGGAAACACACTAAGATCTGAAATTATACCTGAGCACTCACAATTATAGCTTTTTAAAAAAGATTCTTAAAGTATTCAGATACATGCATGCCCCTGAGTAAGAGAACAATATTGCAAAGTTAAAAGCTCTAAGTCAAACAGTTGGACAGATACCCTGGTGCAAATTGATTACAATATATTCTTCAGGGCTATCCAATCCCCCGAGTAGGTGTTCAGAAATCTGCAGTCAGTTAAAGAACATGTTGGGGTATCTGTCTAATAAATCATTCTATATCTATTAAAATTGGGTTTTTTCTTCTTGGATATATTTGCATGGGAATCTGAGGTATTATTCCTGTCTTTATAGAACAGTGCACTCTCACAGCATTACCTCTGTATGCTACACTGAAAGAAGAAAGTTTGAGGACTCAACTTCTCCCCAAGTCCCACCCAATAAATTTTGCAGTGAATTACCTAGTTAACAGACACAAATGCATATAAGTACATCTAGAACAAGCCAAACCAATTCAAGTGCTTACCCAGATTAAGTTCACACACCACAGCTGCTGCTATGATTGAGCCAGATGATGCTCCATATATTTTTGGCGCAGACCTCAATATTCCAGGCGCTAGTTCCAAGAAGCCCCGGATCACACCTATTTCATAAACAGCAAGAAAACCACTAGCTCCAAAAGAAAAAGACAATGGGGCACCAGACATGCTTAAATCCACTTCAGCCATCTTCAGTAGAACATATCCAGAATGGCCAATCTCTTCTTATGCAAAGCTCCCTTTTTATTTAAACGTCATCAATGCAATCAGGAGAGAATGAGTCACAGGTCTCCCTGCTCAGTACCAGCCCTCATAAAATGCATTTTTAAAAACTGCTTTTGTTTTGTATCCGCAGCCATGTCTCAACTACTTTCCTGGCTAAAAATACTGTTGTGCAGCTATCAAAGTAGCTTTAGAGCAGTGCAGGTATGTCTGTCATCTTCTTTTCTGCATCAGACTGAAGCTCTTGTTTTTGGATAATAAATCCTGCATGTTCTAGTTGTTAGTCTTGCATCAAGTAGCCAGAGCTTGTCTTGCATTTCCTTTGCAGTCTCCACCCCACCCCACCCTCATTTTTTCCCTCTTGGGTCTTCTTCGAGAGTGTTTTTCTAAATTGGATTTTCTCACAATCTCTTCTTAGGAACAGCTCAACACTGAATGAGTAGAGCTTTGTGCAAGGAACTCAGACGCAGTAGCTGTTGTCCAATGGATTACACAGAAGGCAGGGCTAGGTTATCTTTGAAAACTTAGTGAATTAACTCTGCACTTTATAATCTTGGAATAATATTGTTATGAGTTTGGTGGGGGCTGGGATAGGCTGAACACCCTTCTAATTCCTGGATCCAGCAAGTGTTAAAATCGAAGCAAGGATTCAAATTACTGAAAGGCTATTGCTTTCGCCCGTTTACTTGCCTGTATGCTAATTGAAAATTGGACAAAAACAGTGCCTCAGTCAGATTAACCTCATTGGGGCAATCCTGAGTTACCGTACCCGTAGTGCAAAGGAAAGGATGAACAGAAAGGTGAGGATCAATGTTTTTATTCAAATTGTCCAGTGGCTTATAGAGTCAAATAGGAAGCCTTTTCACAGAATTTCCTACAGGTGAGCTGGAGTGTTTCCTTGGCTGCGGACTGCAAGGAGGATGTGGTGACAGTGAGGACATACTGTATACCCCAAACCCACAGCAAGCAGCTTTACTATCCCACAGCCCATCCCCTGCAGATGAACTGGAATACAGTGGTACCTTGGGTTACAGACGCTTCAGGTTACAGACTCCGCTAATCCAGAAATAGTACCTCGAGTTAAGAACTTTGCCTCAGGATGAGAACAGAAATCGTGCTTTGGCAGTGCAGTGGCAGCAGGAGGCCCCATTAGCTAAAGTGGTACCTCAGGTTAAGAACAGTTTCAGGTTAAGAATGGACCTCCAGAACGAATTAAGTTCTTAACCACTGTAGTTCCTTAGCTGAGATAACCAGAGTGGCAGGTTCAGTTACTGAAAATCCTCATTCCAAAGGAAGACTTTTTCACTACTATGCTTCTCAATTTAAAATCAATGGATTGTGATGCTCCTACTGGAAAAAGTGCACGGAGTCATTTATGACGAATTTCTGCTGCCCACTGGAACTAAGAGCTGCAGGGGATAAGGCAATGTCAGGAGCTTTTGCTGGATCTCAGCCCCTCTCACCACCAGATCCAACTCATTTAATGATTGGCTTAATTCATGATGTGACGTGGGCTTGGCATAGTACAAAACTGCGTAATGTTGCATTAAAATTCTTCCACGGTATTACATATACACAGGGTTGTTTTATGAAAAGATTATTTTTCTCAGAATTAAACTGTTTGTTCTAGAACTATGTGGTTTGGTTTAAAAACTGTGAAGCCCTGATACGTCTCTGCTAGTTTCTGTAATATTTCATAAATATTATATCAGGCTTGGGGTTGTATCCAACACAGTGTGAGTGAAGTTCTACTTATGCAGTGGGGCTTCCATTTCATCTCCTCTCTATGCATGCCCACAAAATCTGCTCCAGAGGGTCCCCCAACCCCTCCAAGCTGATTCTGAGGCAGTGCCAGGGGATGCTGAAGAGGACAGGAGTACGAGGGAAATCTGTTGCACGCATGGAGCTACGCCACTGAATGTGGCCAGGAGTATGATATTTTAAGATCTCTTAAAGTTGTCTGATCACAATGGAAACTGGTGCTAAACAAACCAACATTCATCCTTTTTTCCTATTGCAAATAGCAGGGGCCTAACTCTTAAGGGAGATCACTGCAGGGGCAAAGGTTTAAGAACTCTTGCTCCCACTCCCACAATACCACCTTCCATCTGGCCCAGGGCCCTTCCCCTGCCCCCCAACCAGTCATTTGTTAAACAAAAAAAGTTATGCATTGCCAAAATACATGATAAAGTGAAATCTTGCTTGACCTTTATTTTCAATGCATATTGACAAGATAAATCACCATGAGGAAAGTATCTAAGACTGATGTCAAAAATCACACCGATCTGTGCAGATGTGCTACCTTCAAGTCCCCTCCCAAGAAAAGACGTATTATGAAAACCCTATTCATGTGTGCTTAAAGTGGATAAGGAATGTGATACACTGTATCTAGCCTGATTATATAAAATTATTATTATCATTTTCTCTCCCTGCAACCTACACTTGTTTATATTGCTTACCTTAATAGTATGATTTATAGTATAACAGTTCGCTGCCTGTAAGACTTGTGACAAAGCAACAAGACTAAAAGCTTTGGGTTCATGGTTCTGCTACTAGGCTTATTTATAAAAATATTTATATAGTGCTATTTCATTTTTTAAAAATCAAAGTGCTTGACAAAGTGCTAGTACATAAAACCAGGCACTGACCCACTGAAATCAATGGACTTTCCACTTCATTAGATGTATGCATGTAGTGTGTATATATCTATATCCAAAGATAAGGAGAGAAAATTTAAGTTACGAGGTTCCTGGGAAGCAAAGCCCATGCAAAACTGCAGACTGACAAAATACAGCTAGCGAAACCTACAGCCGACCTGCCAGGAAATCCCTAATGATCCACCATGATTTGTATCTCAAAACCCTGAGCTGTGTCACCTCCTCTAGAGCAGGAGCGTGGACTTTAGGTTCGTAGGTTCCCCTTTGCTTCTCCCTAGTGCCCCTAGGCTCGCCAGTGGGAACCAAGTGCCAACCAGCGTCTCAGAAAGTGGGAAGCGAAGGGCTCCTGCAAGGCACACATTGCCGCTGTCTTCAGTCCCAGAACTGGAGCTCGCACACAAAAACCTGTTCCTGTTTGTCCTCCTCCACCCGGTCTTCCTAATCTCGGCAACCTAATTTAAGAAGGGAAGAAGAGGAAAGGCTTTGGACTGCCGCGCACGACAATCTACCCGGGGGATCACTCAAGAGATCCATCTACGAGTATCCCGATCTACTTTCTGCCTGCCCTACTATAATCTAAATTTCTCCAGCTACTTGAATTTCCCGGTGCCAATGGCGGAGTGGAGGGCAGGTATTTTAATTACCGGCTCTTTATTTAAAGCTCTGGAGAGCCTTGGCTGCAAGAGCCAGTGAGTGCAAAAACCCGGCCTGTTCCGTACAGAAACTCCACCTCCCTCCTTCCCCCCGTCCCCAAATGGCCGCGGCAAGCGAAGTCACGCGGTTAAACCAGGCGCGCGTCTCGCGAGACTTCCTGGGCTAGTTCTAGCGGAAACGGAAGGAGGCGTGTCCTTTCCCTCTACGAGCGAGACGGCAAGATGAGGTGAGTCTGGGTGCTGTTTCGGGCCTTTGGGTTATCCGTCGCCATCCGCGCTTTCAGGGCTGTGTTCGAAGGGCCGCCATGAGGCGGAGGTGGAAGGTGCTTCAGCGGGGCGAATATCGAGGAGGATGGGCTCTGGCACGAGAGGCGTTCGCGTAGGAGAGGCTCGCAGGGATTCATGGCTGCCTTCGACGTGGCACCGTTCCCGCTCCTGTCAGAAAGTTAGAAGGGATGTTTTTAGAGCCCGTAGCTACTCCTACAGGCTGTCAGATCCAAGCAACACAGGGAGTCTCGACCTCTGAAATGCCCTGAGTGAGGCTGAGGGTTGTAGGGCCGGCTTCCCTTCCAGGGCCTCGATGTTGCAAAGAGAGCCCATCCTGCCAGAGTCCCTGAAAAAGGCCTGAGTCCGATGCGCTAACTTTTATTCCCCAAACCCTGGATAAGGAGTGTGGAGTGTGTATAGACACACACATTGTAATACCAGCATGTGTTGTAATATGAGACACATGTGGTGTCACATGTTCACATTCACTTAGGAGAAGGGGAATAATAAACCCCAACGTCACATAAACGCATAGAGTACATGGATATGCACGTGTACAACATAGGGTGTGGACTTCGGGGGAAAAGGTTTTCTTATGCCGGTTACCCTAATTTGTGTATCTTGTGATGTTCAGGAGTGATCTAGTTTAGCAGGTTTATTTGAATTGTATTTTAGCAAATGAAACTAGTTTTTTAAGAGGCTTCATTATTAGCAACTGGGAGGAATGTACAAATTTGCGAAGCCATTTATGAATCCACTCATGAATATACAAAATCGCCTTTTTCTGAAAATATTCTGCCCCCAATAACTTGCTTTTGTCACTTGTTGCCTTCTGCTTTTAGTCATTGCTGCTGGCACCCATTTCTGGCCAGGGAGTATGTGTGCCAGGTCCAAATGTCACATTAGTCCTAAAGCATTAACTGTAAAAGTCAAACCTATGTCAAGAGTGCATACTGATTTACACATTCTTTTTCATTTCCCTTTCAACTGTTGGTAGAACAGTTGGTGCATTACAGTAACAGTAGTATGCACCCATACCACCATTCACATGTTTAAAACTTGCTCTAGATTAGGCTGGGCCTGTATGTGGCCCAGCAGTTTTTGATAGGAAATGTTAGGGATGTGAGATTAAAGGAAGTGCTACATCAGAAAGGCATTAAATGTAACACTTTCTTTCTTGAGTATAAAGCAGTCCTAAAGCTTGATATGAACCCCAACTCTGCAGCCTAGTGGTTGAGAAAATTATACAGTACTTCCAAATACTTTGCCATTCCTGTCTTTATGGCAGCCAGGAGGGGGAGGGGATCATGCCTCAAGTGAAAATGGTAAAGGTACTGAAGTCTGTTCTTAGTCTTGGCACAGCTTTGAATACTTAGGTATTCAAGTCCTCTTATTCGTAATGTGTTAGCCATCCTCTGTTTGTGGTTCAAGTGATTAAGTCTATGTGTTTATTAACTGGGAACACCTTGTTTCAAGTAATTTCTGCTTTGCCAGACTCAGTGATTCAGGCAACATTTCCTGTGTCCAACTTAGGCTGAGTGGCAAAATCTAGAATAGAACTAAGTGATTATTGCAGATAGGTTGATATTAAACAGTGAGCATGCCAGAATGGGCACCCCCAAATTTCACAATTGCTGGGGGAAATGGTTTTCGAATTAACTCCCCTCTATGAGCAGCGGTCAGGGTGATGGGAGTTGTGATCCAACGCAGCCCATGGGCCGGATGTGGCCCATGACCATTTTACCAGCCCACGAGCTGCCATCCACTGCGTGGATGTTTAGCACACTGTGCTAAACAGGTGCAGCACGGGGACCGAGCACAGCGCCAGTAATCACTTCTGTGCAGGCGCGATTTCTGGCGTTTCACCAGCCCGGTCCACAGGCAATCTCCACAGGAGTGATCCGGCCCATGGCTGGTAAGCCTTGCCGACCCCTAATCTAGATGGCCACAGGTTTCCTATTGCCCTAGCCTAAATAAGCATGTGCAACATGGTTATTTTTTTTCTTTATTCTGCAGCAAAGTCTCCCGTGACACGCTCTACGAAGCCGTGAAGGAAGTCCTTCAAGGGAGTCAGGCAAAGACACGCAAGTAAGAAGTTTCCTGCACCTTCTTGTTCTGTGCACCACATCAAAAATACTTCTGTCTCTGAGAGCCCAAGCAAGAAAGTGGAGATTTAAAAAGAACTTAGGTTGCAGAGATTGCATTCTGGCGCGCGCGCGCACACACACACACACACACACCTTCTTCTCAGCAGTAAATCCACAACTTCTATGGTTATGCAGAGGGGTCCCATTGAAATTCATGGGCCTAAGTTAGCCATGTTTCCAAACTAGGGAATATGGCGGGATGCTTTCTGCGCCTTTGGCAGAGAGGTCAATGCAACGTTTAGCAGATAGCTTGTACAATGGTCCTTTATTCCCTTTCTGTTAACTGAGGAGTGAAAATATGACCCAAGAGCATGTGGCTTGGAAGTGCTGCAGCTGCTAGCATTCGGTTGGCAGCATTGTTGAATCTTGTTTGCATTAAAACTGGAAGGTGCTTCCCTTTGTCTTCTTGACAGTGTGAATAGAGGCTTGCAGCTGTCCAAGCACATCAATTGTCCACTTTTCCTTTGTGAATCAAGGGGAAAGACACTTGAATAGCATGGAGTTTGGGTAGCTGTTGAAATTTAGGGGAAGCAACACAAGCTGCTCCCTCAAGGAACAACTGCAGCAACTTTGCCTATAAATTTAGAAGGAGGGATTGGTGATGCTTAACAGGATGATCATCCATCCCTTGGGACTCTATAATCAGTTACAGAAGTTGTATTTGTTAAATTTATAAGGACTAGAAACATTTGTTTTATTTTGTATGTGTTCATGCATATCAGTGGATCATACTATGAACAGCCACTCTTTAAATTTCTGTGGTTTGCACTGTCTTAGTTTGTTTTGTTTTTGTAAATAATTGTAAACTACACTTTCATAAGAACTATCATAAGGTAGTGTAGAACATGAAACAAAATGTTACAATAATAACATCAGTAATAGCATGCCTAGAAAATGGTTTTAAAAAAAGTTTCACAGGCCTGATTAAGGTGTACAGTTTTTAAAAGATTCCTGGCTCATGCACCTTCCAAGAGCTGTAGATTATTCCTTGGGTGGGAGCAAAAGAGAATAGGATTGCTGTCTTTGCTTTTTCCACTGGCAGGAAAATGAAGCTAAAAACATACCCTAATGCTATAGTTGTACTGCTGGGTGAATCCAGGAGCAAGAATAAACAGTGCTGAATAATTGAGTAATCAACATGACATCGTTTTACAGGAGCTTCTTGGTGATATATACATGTGATTGAGCTGCAGAAGTTAGGAGAACATAAGTATCTTGCCCACCCACTTCTCAAATAGTACTTGGGTGTACAGATAATTCATCCGTTGCCTAACTGGTTTCTTTCTTTTCCTGTTTCTTTAGGTTCTTGGAGACTGTGGAGTTGCAGATCAGTCTGAAAAACTATGACCCACAAAAGGACAAGCGTTTTTCTGGCACTGTCAGGTTTGGCACTGTTCCTGTACCACCCAGCCTTCAGCCTGCACCCCTCTCCCTGTTACTTCAAGGCTCTTAATTCAGCCTACCTACCCTGCAGCATGTTGACTGAAAAGTACATGGCAGCTGGATGCAATGCTGAATTGCCCGGGTAGTTCAGATCCCCCTGCTGCAAAGTAGGTGTGGCTGGACGGACCCCTACCCTGGGTCTTAAAACATGAGGGAAGGTGTGGTGAAGCTCTTCTGCTGATCCCACCGATCACTTTATGAAGCCAGATTAGACGCTGGTGGGCGAAGACGTTCTAGTTGGCTGCGGTAAGGCTTTTCAGCCATTGTGCAGTGCATCCCTTTAGCGTTTCATATCACTGGCGGTTGTGAGGTGGCTAGCGGTGATTCTTCCTTTTCCTCTTCCACCAGGCTCAAGTCTGCTCCACGGCCTAAATTCTCAATCTGTGTATTGGGGGACCAGCAGCACTGTGATGAGGCCAAAGCTGTTGACATCCCTCACATGGACATAGAGGCTCTGAAGAAACTTAATAAGAACAAGAAGCTTGTAAAGAAACTAGGTGAGCAAAATTGGAAGAGGGCTTCTGAAGTACCAAGGATATTGTACAACATCAGCAAATAAGAATTAGCATGTTGGACATAACGGTCAAAGTTTCCCTTTTTTCAAGAGAAATTCTCTTATTCCGAATAGGATTCCTCGCAAGAAAAGGGAAAAGTTGACAGCTATGATGTAGGAGTAGCTAAATATAAGGCAGGGTTAAGATAGCCTTGGTCTTTCAAGCAGAAAATGCCTTAATTGCACCTAGGCAAAAACCTTCCCCCACCTATCATAGAATTGGAAAGGTACCCCAAGGATCATCTAGTCCAGCCCTCTGCAATGCAGGAATATGCAGCTGTCCCCTACAGGGATCAACCCTGCAACCTTGGCACTATCAGTGCTGTGCTCTAACCAACTGAACTATCTGCATATTCTGGCTACCATCAGAGAGCGTGTCTTTTTTATCCAGTGCTGTCAATACACAGAAAAATTTCCACTTGTGCAGTGTTGCTGCCGCCACACACCTCCATAATCTGCTCCAGGCGGTTGGGAGAATTGTGGAACAGAATTTGGAATTGTGCTGGGTAAGGAGAGGATGCTGAAATCTTGTGTGAACTAAAATCTGCCAAGCAACGTTGGATTTTTTTGTTTGGTAGTGCTTGCTGTCAAAAGTGGGGAAACGTAACCATGATCACTGTCTCCCACATAACATTAAAGCCAGCCACTCTATGCCTTGTTTTCCTAGAAAAGGAGGAGCAAAGCTGAGATAGTTCAAGCTCTGTGCACCAGCACAGAGCTCTAACACACATGCCAACTTGCCTTACCACAGTTTGCAGCTAGCATTATGTGCAGACATGGCTGCTATGTTGCGGTAACTTGTGATTTCTGAGCATCTTATCTAACTGGTGCAGCAAGAATGCTCAGAAGTCTTGTTGTGCAAACAAAACTCCTTACATAAGCCTTTGGATTGAAGGCTTTGTTTTCATGATCTGTAAATTAAATTTTGTCATACAGTTGAAAATGACCTAAAGAATATGGAACCCAAACTGCTTCTCTTGGGATCCTGTTGGATATGGTTAGGTTAGTTCTCGTTTTCATTTCAGGTTTTATTTAACCTCTGGTTTGAATTTCCCTTAAAAAGTAGGTGTATACAAGGAAAGTATCTCATTGGTGGTTTTTGAAGATGTCTGCTTTGCAAGCTTTTGAGGTGAGCCTCAGATGGTCTTGATGCTCATCCTTCTGTTTTTTTACAGCCAAGAAGTATGATGCTTTCTTGGCCTCTGAGTCCCTGATCAAGCAGATTCCTCGAATCCTGGGGCCAGGACTGAACAAAGCTGGCAAGTTTCCTTCTCTCCTCACTCACAATGAGAACATGGTGGCAAAGATCGATGAGGTCAAATCCACAATAAAGTTTCAAATGAAAAAGGTAATTTTCTTTTAATTGCGCAAGTATTTCCATTTTCTGATGTAGTACTGAAGCTAAAGAACTTGATAGTCATCTTTACTTGACTGAATTTGGTTGCATTTCCCTGGGTAAGGTTTATTTACAGATACACAAATCTGGCTTATGAATGGCTGAATTTAGGGTACTATTGTACTCCTATAAGGCCCACAAAAAGTCTCTGTTAATATCCCTTCAAAAATCCACAATACAGAAGGAGACTTCTTCCATCTCAGTTCCTGATTGCACTGGCTCAGTCTCTCTTGTTGTTAATTAGATTTATATACTGCCCTTCTCTCAAAAGATCTCAGAGCAGTTCACAAAATAGCACCCTTCCTTAAAGTGGTGAAAAATAACTTGTCTCTGTCATCAAATTCAGTGGTAGCTGATGCAGGTTCCTTTTCCTGCTCAGTGAGGCAGGTGATTGGTGGTAGTTTTGCCTTTTTCATTTTGTGAGCTTATTCTGCTCTTTTAGATGTAGCAACCATTTTGTGTTGTGTTATGCCCTTGTGGCGGCCATTTTGTGACTGGCCCACAGTGTTCTCTAGAGTTTATTCCCTAGTAACTATTTAGGAATTCATGCTGTGTGAGCCATTGTAGTTTGCTGTGTAACAGAACAGGATAAGTACAGCGGTACCTTGGTTCTCGACTTAACCCATTCCGGGAGTCTGTTTGACTCCCGAAGCGGTTCGAAAACCAAGGCACGGCTTCTGATTGGCTGAACGAGCTTCCTGCATTCAATCGGAAGCCGCGTCGGATGTTCAGGTTCCAAAAAGCATTCGCAAACCAGAATACTCACTTCTGGGTTTGGGAGCAGATTTGTTCGGGAGCCTAGCCATTTTAGTACCAAGGTACCACTGTATTGGGACGACCCATCTCTCCCCCCGCCCAATATTCTGCTCACTTGGGTGAGGCCTTGCTGTAAGACTTGTGGCATTTGGGATAACAACTTGAATGGATTTTTTGTATGCTTGTGTTTTCCCAAACCCTAACCACTTTTATCTTATTGAGACAACTGAATGAGTAAATACTTTATTGTGTCCTCTCAGGTGCTCTGTCTGGCTGTGGCTGTTGGGCATGTGAAGATGACTGAGGATGAGTTAGTCTACAACATTCATCTGGCCATCAACTTCTTGGTCTCTTTGCTGAAGAAAAATTGGCAGAATGTGCGGGCCTTGTACATCAAGAGTACCATGGGGAAACCCCAGCGCCTTTACTGATGAAAATATAAATATTTTTGACTACCTTAACATGTGTGGATTTTGGCCTTATAAAAGTCCTAGTACCTGGAATCTCTGAATACCTTTTCAGTTTAAGCAGATTCCCCTGAATTGTCTTTTTCTGTTAAGCAGATTCCCCTGCATGCTAACAGTGTTGGGAATGCACAGAACACTTGAAAAGGCCAAGGACTGGTAGCACACAGGTCCTTTCCAGCATGAAAAATGCCAAGGGGTTTGGAGATAGAGCAATTGTTACTTATTTGATTTATATACTGCCCTTACAAGATCTCAGGGTGGTTCACAGGATAAAAATGCAATGCAAAAGCACAAATAGTTAAAACTAAAACAACAAAATAAGGACACCCCCTGAAAAAAATAACACATTTAAAAGGCTGTAGAATGAGAAGAGGAACATTTTTGTCTGGCACCTAAAGATACATAATGAAGGCATCAGACAAACCTCCCTGGGGATAGTGTTTCAGGAAGCTGCTGCATAGAAGGCCCATTCTTGGGTTGCCACCCTCCATGCCTCTGTACTGTGGAGGAGGCACACAAAGAAGGACCTTGTATGATGAATGCATGGTCTGGGTCGATTTATATGGGTGGAGGTGGTCCTTGAGGTATTTAGGTTCTGTGCCATTGGGAGGCTGAGGGTGGGAAAGGAAGCTGCCCTATACAGAGTCAGACGAGAATAGCCCATCTAGCTCAGTAATATATTTACTGATTGGCAGTGGCGCCAGGATTTCAGAGGATGGAGAATGTTCTCCTTTCAAGAAGAGGAAAGATGGGGATAGGATGTCCTATAGTTTGTTACTTCCCAGTAGCCAAACTCACCTGAGCTGCTGAAGGCACCCAATTTTGTGGGCTGAAGCTTTTCTGCCCACACTATGGAGCATAGAGTACCATATTTTTCTGTCTATAAGATGCCCCCTATTTTGGGGGACTCAGATAATGGGAGGAGATGGCCCAGTGTATAAGACTTCCCCTAATTTTTTGACATTTTTTTAGGGCAAAAACCTAGTCTTGTACTTGGAAAAATTTAGTTTCATGTTGCCATGATCGATATGATATACTTACAATTTACTCCTAAAATTTGGTTTCCAAATTCCTAATCGTCTTGGTTGCTTTCATCTGGACACACTCCAATTGCTCAATGTCCTTAAAATGTTTCCAGAAGAGGACATGCAGCCTGACCAGTGCAGAATAGAATGGAAATAGTATACTAGTGATCTGGACAGTAGGTGATAACCAGCTAAGTTATACTCTGAGTAGACCCATTGAAATAAACTTACTTGTTAATGGGTCTACTCTTTTAACTTTGAATATTTTATTTACAGTATTTTTAGCCTCTTCATTTGAGTATTTTCAGTTTCAGAACGGAACAAAGTAATAAACGGGGACGGGGGGGATACAAAAATTACAAAATCATACTGACTGGTCCAATAAACTAATTAACTTGTCATAAGATGAGCAAAACTACAATGACAAAAATTAAAATTTATACTCTTTCTAAATAGGTAAAAAGCAAATTCAGGACATTCAAATATGAAGCAACCAGTGGGCTTGGCAACAACAGTTCCAGCCTCATTTTTCACTTAGGGCAGCCCGCTGTGTGCCAGCAGCCTCTCACTGTGGCTTTGGAGCAACTTAACACCTTTTACTTTGTAGAAGAAAAAAGAGTCTTCAGAATCAGTTTAGGGTTTAAAATTGGCAAGATCTCTGCAAAGAAATACCGCTTTGCAGAATTACAATGACCCAGCAAGATATTTTTCCGCTAATCAGAAAGCACTCTGGCCTAGGTAGATATTTACACAAATTTGTAATACAGTGCAGTCACAGCAAAAATTCAAATTCGTAGTAAAATGGGTGGGGGTGTTTCCTGCTCCAAGGGTTCTTTGTACACATGAAAATTGTGTACATTTGGCCTCTGTGCCAAGTGGGCCTTTCTTTATGTGGCTTGGGGTTATTTGCTCAAAGTCCTGACATACGTACAGTGTCTATATCCATGCTATGGAACAGATGGTACAGTACTGTGAAAATAAAGAGTTTTGCAGACCTCAGCAAGACACTGAAAATCTGATGGATGTTTGGGGAATGCAGGTTCTACAAATTCATAAAATTATTGTATCGTAACTACATCCATAACTTTTAAATAACAGATTTGATGATATCAAATCTTAGTCATTTATTTTATAAAATACTGTGAATATATTTCACAATGCTGTCAGGTTTTTTTTAGAATTCAGACTGGAATATGCAGATCGAAATATGAGCTCAATGCACCTTTGTAGTTTGTGTTCAGATTCATGCCTATGTCGGAAGGGAGATTACCCAAGGTCTACTTTTGAAAATGCAATCCCTTATGATTAAATTTGATACTTTGCATCAAAGAATAAGTGAGACGAATCGTGGGTTTTCAATAACTTAAAGTCTATGGAGTCAAGAGGTCTATTGCCAAATTAGATTTCAAGAACAGGCTGGCAGAAACCTACACTGCGTTTTATCATCTATGGCTTCAGTTAGAATTGTTGCTGAGTACAATCTAGTTTAAGTATCAACAGAGCATGGAAATCTCTCCCATCACCTTAAATAGGGTACCTATGAGGAAAGCTTACACACTTTTGAGGTTTCAGTTAATACTATTTTGTCATTTTGCATTAAAGAATTAGTCATATTTCATATAATCTGGCACCATATAGAATGGGAAATGGAAGATTTATAATGTTTTGTTTTCCAGTATTGAAACAACATCAAGAACAGATTCATCCTTCAACTGGGAAAGAAGCTTGGGATAATATGCTGAAGTTTAATAATCTGTTTGCAAATAGCATCCAGGAAGTTCACCAGCAAATGACAATTTTTGCATTGAATGATGTCAAAACAAAAAAATTACAGTAGCTCATATCCATGTACTTGAAATTGACCAAAGATGCAAATCCTATTCAGTTGTGTAATTAGGGTGTTCAGTTTCATCTCATCTTAATTTTATCCTAATTGTATGGCAGTCTTGTTAGGGCTGAACAAAAATAACATAAGAAGAGCCTGCTGGATCAGGGCAATGGCCCACCTAGTCCAGCATCCTGTTTTCATAGAAGCCACCCAGGTACTTGTGGGAAAACCACAAGCAGGATTCAAGCACAAGAGCCCTCTCCCCTCCTGTGCTTTTCAGCAACTGGCATTCAGAAGCATGGCTGCAACTGTGAAGGCAGAGCATATAGCCACCATGGCTAGCAGCCAGCAATATCCCTCTCCATCAATTTGTCTAACGCTCTTAAGAGTTATTCAAGTTGCTGGCCTTTACTGCCTCTTGCAGGAGCAAGTTCCATAACAATGCACTGTGTGGAAAAGCACTTCCTTTTTTCTGTTCTGAATCTTCCAGCATTCAGCTTCATTGGATGCCCTCGAGTCTAGTGTTACGAGAGAGGGAAAACCTCAGTTGTATACATTTCAATTATATATTTATTGCCGTACCTACATGTAGAAATAAATTTGGGGAGCTGTGCCAATAGGGAAGGTGCAGAATCTGGAGAAACATCCTATTTCTTATTTGAGTAATGTCAAAACTCCGCACGTTCCGTGTGTGCTTGCTTTGCAGGCATAAAAGGGAGTAAGATGCAGAAGTTTCAGAGCAACCCAGCAGCCCTGTTTGCTGAGCTTCTTCAGCAGGGCACCTTCACATCTGATTTGGCATGGTCTTGAGCGTGTGACATCCAGGAGCCGGCGAAGCTCCTTTCTGGCCAGTCAAGCAATCTCTGCTTATCCTTATGCACAGGCATCACTGTAGCTTAAGTCTGATCAAAAGCAACAAAGCTGCTTTGAGAATGGATGGGGGAGAGATGAGGTTAGTTGGCAAGAGCAGCTATGTTGTGGATTAGTTCAGTGCTGGAGGTGGAGGAGTGGAAATTAGCCAGAAAGCAAGGCTGCCCTTAGCCACTTGGTTGCCTGAGGAAACAGGAGTTGACGGGGTCAAAACTAGCTTGCTAGCTACGTAAAATGTGATGCTTGCAATTCAGTTTTTAGCAATTCTGTACTGAAAATACCGTATTTTTCGTTCTATAACACGCACTCGACCATAACACGCACGTAGTTTTTAGAGGAGGAAAACAAGAAAAAAAATTCTAAACGAAACAGTGGATGTATGATTTTTGTGGTTCATGCTGTAGCCACAGACATGTGATCTGACAGTGAGTTTGGAGTAGCCCAATGCAAAAATCCTGAGGATCCATGTGGATCCATGCTTTGTAACCATGTTTTTGCACCACTGCAGCCCCAGGCAACAGTGGGTGCTTGATTTTTTTGGTGCAAGATGTAGCCATGGACATGCTATGTGATCTGATGGTGAATTTGGGGTGACCCAGTGCAAAAATCCTGAGGATCCATGTGGATCCGTGCTTTGTAACCACGTTTTAAGTGGGGAGGGAAGGAAAAGCACTCAAGGGACAAGGAGCATGCGTGGGGTGGGTGGAGAAGGATGCTGCTAATAATGAAGAAGAGGGGTATAAGGGGAGAAGGCTCCCCTCCTCTCCCGCTCTGCTCCTTTAAAGCAAGCAGGCTCTGCTTTTCTCCCTCCTCCCCGCTCATCCCCAAAGCTGAAAAACTTTGCTGCTATTTAGCGAGCTGAGTGGGGAGGAGAGAGGGACAGAGAGCCTGCTTGCTTTAAAGGAACCAACCAGACAGGAGCCGCTTACACTTGTGTAAGCTGCTCCTCTCCTCTCCCGCTTTGCTCCTTTAAAGAAGCAGGCTCTCTTTCCTTCTCTCCTCCCCACTCAGCGGCTCTTCTCCCGCTTTGCTTTTCAAAGCGAGCCACAGAGGAGGGAAAGAAGGGGAACCATGGATCCTCTGCTCACGACTGCAGCACATCCCCCCCGCAACCCGTAGGCATTCCCTCCATAACGCGCACAGACATTTCCCCTTACTTTCTAGGAGGAAAAAAGTGAGTGTTATGGTGCAAAAAATACGGTAATTTAAACTTTTCTCTTAAAAATCTGCCCATTTAATTGGGCACATTTTAAACTGGTTTATCTTAACTGAATTGATTAGTCAGTCAGCCACACGCACGTTCTACAGTTCAGTGATGGAATGTCGAATTCTGGATGCAACTTCCGTTGAGGCTTCATCATTACTTAGATAAACCCTGACTGGGCTTACCATGGACACAGCTGCAGTTTAAATGTCTTGAATTCTGCTGATGCAATTTCTGAAATGATACTCTTTCTGGAGGCAACAGTAGACTTCTGGATCCTCCCAGTTAGGTTAGTATCTGAGAGATGCTTGCAGTTCTTGCACAATTTGTTCTCCAACTGCAGTATGGCATTGGGCAGGATTTTGCAGAAATCCAAGGTCCCACTTAGCAGAATGAACAGGAGGGCCCCAAACACAGCAGGGCTGGCTGACTGCATTTGGTAGTAAGTTTACCCAGGAGGGACCCACTCCCTTTCCAAGCTGAGACACTGGAACTGAGACAGTCTCCTTGTCAGTCTGTAAGCTGTTCTAACATATGGCTAGAAAGAGCTGAAACCATGACAAGCATGCAGTGTTTACAAGGCGGCAGCCATCCGGCTTATAAACAAGGGGCTTCTCCAGTGAGCAGCAGCAGCAGCAAAAGTGCATTCCAAAGACTGCAAGCTTGGCAAGAGGAAGTCTGCTTTGAAGGAGGAGAAGCACTGCAGCCTGGTCTTCCTTAGTGGGCGGTTTTGTTTAGGGGCAGACTGTCCCTGTCTCTGTCCAGCTTAGGCTCTTGCACTGCATTCATCAGCATAGCAGGAGCACCCTCTTCAAAGGGATTTCCTTCGGTGCTCATGCTCAGACTTTGCGGCTCAGCACTTGACAGTCCTTACATCCCTGTCTCCAGGTAGGTCCATTGTCCTTATATATTTGCTGCACAGGCGGGGGAACGAGCACAAAGGGGGAAAGGGTCAGAGAGCACTTGTGGCCATTTCATGGCAGGGCTGCACACACTCAATCTGTCAGTGTCCCAGATCCCTTAATTTAGCAGTAGAGCATGTCCTTAAGTGAACTTTGAAATGAGATGTGGGAGAGAAGAAATTAAAAAAAGCATTACTCTGTCGAAAGGGCATGATGCAGTATTAATGAAAATATCCTTGCCCAGCCTGGTGTCCTCTGAATGTTTTGACCAAAGCTGTCATTCCCCAGACAGTGTGGCTGCTTTCAGACACTTTAGTAGACCCGGATGTGATCTAAGAGGCCAGCTGAGTGAGCCTAGACACATCCAGCTGTCTGGATGAAGAAAAATTCCTAAACAAGAAAAACAATGGAGTGGATCAGGGTTGGGGAGAACTTGTGATGCTCCAGATGTTGCTGGAATCCAGTTCCCATCATCCCTGACCATTGGCCATGTTGGCTGAGGCTGATGGGAGTTGAACTCCAACAGCGCTGGGTGAGGGTGGGGGCAACAGATCTCTGTGTTACAGTTGTGGCAATGAGAAGAATGAATTTCCAAGGATAACTTTTGTCTAACTTGGATATCTGACATCTAGTTCTTTTCCCCTCTAAACCGGGACTGGATGTCAAATATATGTTGCCCTGTTCTAATGCTTTATTTTTCCTCCTATTTCTTATGTGCTGTAATGGTTTACACACTTCTCTCATTTTAATTACTGCGTTTATTTTATGTAGTATTGCTTCAAGTTGTACAACACATTGGGGACCATGCAGTCGAATTATTGTAAATAATAAGCCTCCGCTCCCAGCTCTCCTGAAGTCTCTGCATGTGGCCCTTAAGAGTAGATTCCCATGGCCAAATCCAGCCAGCTTTGCAAAAGAAAAAGAAAAAAAAGCACCTGTTTAGTTTGTGGAGAATAATAATATCAATGCAGCCTGTGTCCATCTGATTTAGAGTTAGGGAGCCGACACATTGAACATGTATACAGGGAGATACCTGTTTTGAAGTGAACAATCTGATGGTGGAAATGACAAATATCTGACTTCCTACATATCCCTTCTCTATTGTCTTATAAGTTTGGAAGCTTTAATGTTCGATGTGGCTAAGGATCCTTAGATGGAAAAGAGCTAAAAGCGTTAAGTCAAGCAATCCCTTCCTGCTTACTGCTTTGGTCCTGGGCTCCCGGCTCTGTGCCCTTGGCCTGGATTAGAGTTGCTTTCTGTGGGAAAAGCTTTGGAGCGGGAGCTCCCAATAGCACCTGTGTTTTGCAGGGGTGATAAAGAGGCTGTGAGAAGAGATCCATCATAGGCAGGTGCTCTCAGGGGAGAAGAATGTCCCACTGGGCATGGCAGTGAAGGCGCTGGTGCAACAGCAGCGGCCGTGAATCCCCCTCCATCGCTTTCTCCCTCTCTCTCACACCTTGCTGACAGCTGCTGCTTTAAAGCCAACTTGGGATCTCCAAAAGGAAGAAGGGCCCCAAGGTGAGATGAGGCAACAGCTCTCCCTCTTTGCACACATATAATTGTTGTTAGAACAGTAGTCTCGAAAAGAGTCAAAACTGTTTGTAGTGACCCCGGAGACTGGCTCCAACCAAAAAATATTTCACAAAACGCTGAGGCATGTATATTTCATGAGTGTGTTTATATGGTGGATTAGTTGCAGTGCGTAATTGCTCTTATATGGCCGCTCTGTTGGTGAATGCATGGCTGAGAGAGGCTTTTATGAAACCCAGCTCTGTCTAGGCATTCAGCCCTGCTGGTTTCCATTACATATTAGTAGTACATCTTGGGGGGGGTACGTGTTTGACTGTATATGTCATAGGTACAGCTCTGATTGTGCATTCACTTTATTATCTCTACGGTCTGGGGGCAGGGAGAGGATTAAGATGCTATTTGGCTCTATTCCCTTGTATTTTATGAGCTATTAAACCATGCAGTTTTAAGGAAGTGTGAAATGAGAATAACAATGAACGTGTGAGGGTGGAATCCTCCTTTATGAACCAAGATAAAACTTCCACCACAAGACAGCCTTGTTGCCTCTCAACTGTGATATGTACTTATTGACAATCTCTTCTGGACATTCTATTTTTCATCTTCCAGTCTCTGTCTTTTTTACCTAGGCATTCTTTCACGTGTCTTCTGTGTTTATCTGTAAGGCCAGACTTTCCACAAAACCCTCAGAGCTTAAAGGTTGTTGCAATGTTTCTCTCACATTCGCAAACCTCCCAAAGTGTGTGCGTGGGGCAGCTATTATGGTGAGCAATTTGTAACAGCCTTCCATGCAAGGGCAATTTTGTGTGTATAAGCCCTCAAAGCTTGTCTACACACCAGCACTGAAGTGAATTTGATTTACCTGACAGCTAGTCTTCAGTGTCTGCTACACTGAATGCAGGTGACCATAAGCGTAAGGGCGCTACTAGATCTAATATTTGATCAATTTACATTCCACCACTTGGAAGAGTATAGCAATCATATATACCTGCTTTTCATGATCACGACTTGTCTTTCTGTGTACTTCCTTGTCTCTTCTAATGTGTTTCCTCACTTCTCCTGTTTACTGCAAAACTACATGTTAATGCACCCAACTAAACTGTTTATTTTCCACCTGCTTTGCAGTATTTTGTTGTTGTTGGGTGGGTGGGACTTGCACAACTACAGATTTGTTGCCTGTCCATAAGACCAGAAAAGAAAACAATGGCTTTTATTTAGAACAACTCCTGGAATGAGCGTTCTTCGGACGTACTTGAAACTGAAATATTAAGCCTCCCCAGCAGATGGCCTGCTTTCTCCATCCTGGAACAAATTTCCATACCTCCTGGATTACAGCAGATAGTTACTTAACAGTAGCAGCCTGGAGACTGCAAGGCCCATTTGTCAATGTAGTTGAAATGTGATGAACACAAAACCTTTGCCAGAGGTTTGTGACTCATAGATTTTTTTCTGAAAATGCCTTTACAGGGAGCTTCTTTGTCCAGTTTACCAGGGAGGAAGAGGTCACAACAAGGACTCTGCAGTCTTGGCTGCCAGCCACCTGGTCCAGGATGGCGAGTGGAGCGGTGCTGCAGAGGTAAAGATGCTGAGTCCATGCCAGCCAGGATCCGTGGAGTAGGGGATGCTCAGAAGGGAGTGGGATGGTTGGGAAGCTGTGCCTGCAGCACATCGAGCCAGATCACACTGCAGAAGGTGACCCAGCACCATGAAACTTTCCCTTTGACACATTACTGGCAATTGCTCCCAGGGTCTCCCTTCTTGAGTGGCAAAACTCATAGGATCTTGAAAGCCTGTGGCGGGGTGGGCAGAGGGAAGAGTTACTTGCCTGCTTGGATTGCACCTTCCTCTCCATGCTGGTGAGGCTCTGTGGTCATTAATCCAGCCTGTTTATCTTTCAGCAAAGAGCCGCTGATGCAGCATCGGGCAGAGCTGGATGGAAGTAGTCTGTCTTTGGATTCAGGTAAGGAAACAGAAAGCCTGGGGGTGGAAGGAGAAATCAATTTCCCTGGGTAGGAGGTTCTCTCTCTCTCTCTCTTTCACAATGCAGTAGTCCAATGTGGTTTGTAAGCACTGCTCCAAATCCTGGAAGTTGGCAGGGTCTTCATTGGTGAGCTTAAAGGTTCACAACCCAACAGGATGGTGGGGTTAGCTGCACTTCTAGGAGGCAGCCCTCTGACAGCTGACCTCTTGCACAGGCTACCCGCAAAGAAATGCTTTCTTCTTGCATGGTTTAGTGACAGCATCTCTGACGTCAGGTACTGGTTCAGTGCTCCATGAGCACCTCAGGCTCCTATTGGCCAAGGTGATAAGACAATGCAAACTCACTCTCACAGAACGGCATGCAGATCTGGGTGCCACAATTTAAGGAGGATATTGATAAGCTGGAACATGTGCGGAGAGGGGCAACCAAGATGATCAAGGGTCTGGAAACGAAGCCTTATGAGGAACAGTTGAAGGAGCTAGGTATGTTTAGCCTGGAAAAGAGACTGAGACGAGATATGATAGCCATCTTCGAATATCTACAAGGGCTTTCACATGGAAGATGGAGCAAGCTTGTTTTCTCCTGCTCCAATGGCTTCAAGTTACATGAAAGGAGATTCTTACAAAGCATAGGACAGTAAGAGCTGTTTGACTGTGGAACAGACTCCCTTGGAAAGTGGAGGACTGTCCTTCCTTGGAGGCTTTTAAGCAGAGGTTGGATGGCTATCTGTCATGGATTCTTTAGTTGAGGTTCCTGCATGCAGGGGGTTGGACTAGATGACCCTTGGGAGTAGGCTTCCAACTCAGTAATTCTATGATTCCAGGCCCCAGTTTCTGTTCTCTTTCTCCCATCCCAACTACAATGGAGCCACCACTCCCTGGTCTTAGATTTTGGATCACACGTCTAGTGTGCATTGACATTAAACAGGCATGGTCCTTCTTTCCTTCCTTCCTTCCTTCCTTCCTTCCTTCCTTCCTTCCTTCCTTCCTTCCTTGACTGCGTACACACTATACTTTTCGAGCACATTTGAAGCGCTTTCATTCCAGAAAAGAATTCTGAGCACTGTAATTTATCCCTCACAGAGTCACAATTCCCAGCAACCCTTAACAAACCACAGTGCCCAGAATTCGGGGAGTGGGGCAGTATTTTGAATGTGCTTTAAAGGTATAGTGTCCTTGGGGGCCGCTAGCTATCTTGTTCCACCCTTGTTGTTCAAGGGACAGGGAGGTGTACGTTGATGCCTCTGATTCTGTTGCTAGCTTCTGGTTTGGAGTTGACTGGGAAATATTCCATGCTGACTTCGCAGACCCAGCACATTAGAAGCTGAGATGAGTACAACAAGTCTGACCTTTTGCCCTCCATTCTCTAGGAACAATGGCCAGTTCAGAAGGTGAATCAGAAAGGGTGATGGATGAGAGAAGGCAAAGCTCTGATAGCACAAACAAGGTGAGCAGCATTAGGGGGACCACTTTACTTTTAGCTGACTTATTCTTAACAGGAAGTTCCCAAGTAGTGTCATCTTAGGTGCTGATCAGCTCCAGAACTGCTTAGTTTCATACATAGCACTATTGGGGGGGGGGTCCCCCTTCTCATAATCCATTTACCAGCTGGAACCTGCCTTGTTCCACCCTAGCAAGTCTTTCCCCTAAAAGGATGTTGCAATGTACTCTACATGGAAGGAGACAACCCTCAGCCCCTCACTACTGTGTGAGCTTAGCATCACTGGGGTTCTTACCTGTGTCACTCCTTCCTCTTCTAGGAGAGCCTAATCCATCACCGCAGGGCTTTACACCTGTCTGCTGCTCTTCTCCCTTTGCAGCGTTGTGCTAGGAAACTCCAAGAACAGGCACGCAAGGAGAGCACGACGGGCAGGGAACCAACGGTGCACTTTGAAGATAGTGGTGAGAGTGATGAAGGTTGGTGAGTGAGACTTTGCCATTGCTTTCCTCATTTGCTCTTCTCCTATGGGAGTGTCCCCTTCCCTTCTTTTAATGCTATTTATTTACATTTTCTAGACTCTCCCATCCACTTCCTTTTCTGCCATTCATTCTCTTTTGTTTTGCTTCTCCTTCTTTCCAAAATAATTTTTATTTGATTTTACAGTTATAAAAATATAATAATACACATCCATAGTTAAAAGATTCCTCCAAATCTCTGGACTTCCCACCTTCCTCTCCATGGGTTCTGTTGCTAATTTTTTCTACTGCATCTTTTTCAGTAATCCATATTTGTTAATAACTCCATTATCTCCATAGTACCCGTTACATTACAAGTGTTATTGCAATGCTGCTCATGTTTTCATCTGTTTACAGTGGTCTCCAAGATAAATTATAACTTTTCCCCATTCCTTATTAAAGTTTTGGTCTTCTTGGTTCCTGAGCTTCCAGTCAATTTTGCCATTTCTGCATAGTCCAACAATTTAATTTACCATTTTTCTCTGGCAGGGACTTTATCTTCTTTCCTGTTTTGCTTCTCCCTTTTCCACTTGATTTATTACATTTATGTACCCCTTTTCCTCCATAGAGCTCAAGGTGGCATACGTAGTTCTCCCCGCCCCCTCCATTTTATCATCACAACAACCCTGTGAGGTAGGTCAGGCTGAGAGACTGTGACTGGCCCAAGATCACCCAGTGAACTTCATGGCCAAGTAGGACAAGGGTCTCCCGGGTCCTAGTCTGACACTGTAACCACTATGCCACACTGCCTCTCAGTTCTATTTCTGTCTCCATCCATAAAAGATCAACACATTCCTTTCTAAGTCCCAAGGAGGAGTGTTTCTTCTGGTGTAGATCACCAGGAACTCCCCTTGGTGTGGTCTGCACAGGTCTTGTCCTGCCCTTCCTAGCTGCCCTGGTGAAACTGTTCCTCCCTCCCTTGTCTTTCTTCACCCTCAGCTGCTCACCTTCTTAAACTTCCCTGGTTTCCTGCTGAAAGTGACAGGCTGTAAGCAGCTAGAGCCTACCTTTGTTTTGCGTTGAATCCAGGGTTATGAGACAATCTACACTGTTTTGCAAAAGTTAGCATATTTTGCTTGACTTCCAGGTTCAGGTGGCCCTTTCCATCATTTCCCCTATATTCTTCCCTTATTTTTTGTTTAAAACTGAGCAATAATAATCTGTATTTTGGAACTGCATCATTTTTAAAAATGTGTACTTGCTGCTCTCCCTCCTAATTTTCTTGTCACAAAAATCCTGTACGGTAGGCTAGACTATGAGAGGTAATGATTGGCGCAAGTTAGCCCAGGGAACTCCATAGCTAAGCAGGGATTTGAACCCTGGTCTCCCGGGTCCTAGTTCCCCACTGTTTTATTTCCTGCTTTATTTTAGCTATGTCATTCTGTTTGCTTGTTTCATGGCTGAAGAGCAACAGATGGATGGTTTGCCTCTATCCTGAGTGGCAAAAATCTACATTGCAACTGGTCTTGATCTAGGCTAGAAAGATCTTGACTATGAAGGCCTGGCAGTAGCTGGTATCTTATAAATCTAGTGTGTGGGTGACCTGTAAATCAAGTGCTTTTGACCAACCTCCAACTCAGGGGTCAGAAAACATTTTCAATAGGGGGCCGGTCCACTGTCCCTCAGACCTTGTGGGCCAGACTATATTTTGGAAAAATAATAATGAACGAATTGCTATGCCTCACAAATAACCCAGAGATGCATTTTAAATAAAAGGACACATTCTACTCATATCAAAACACCAGGCAGGCCCCACAAATAACCCAGAGATGCATTTTAAATAAAAGGACACATTCTACTCATGGAAAAACATGCTGATTCCCGGACCATCCGCAGGCCGGATTGAGAAGGAGATTGGGCCAGATCCGGCCTCCGGGCCTTAGTTTGCCTACCCATGCTCCAACTACTAGCTTGCCATAGATAAAGGTAAAGGGACCCCTGACCATTAGGTCCAGTCGTGGCCGACTCTGGGGTTGCAGCACTCATCTCGCTTTATTGGCCGAGGGAGCCGGTGTACAGCTTCCGGGTCATGTGACCAGCATGACTAAGCCACTTCTGGTGAACCAGAGCAGCGTATGGAAACGCTGTTTAGCTTCCCGCCAGAGCGATACCTATTTATCTACTTGCACTAGAGTATTTTTGAACTGCTAGGTTGGCAGGAGCAGGGACCGAGCAATGGGAGCTCACCCCGTCATGTGTATTCGAACTGCTGACCTTCTGATTGGCAAGCCCTATCCTCTGTGGTTTAGACCCATTGCTTGTCATAGCTTGGTGTTTTCTACTCAGATACAGAATGGTGTCATGGAGCTCCCATGGCGCCTTGATTTTCCTTGTCTGGCCCTGGTTTGGATCTATTTCAAGGCTGATCTTTCTTTACCTAGACCCAGATCCCTCTGAAGATGCGCTGACTACCTCTGCGATGGAACTTTCTGTGCTACAAAGGCTGGGCCTGCATAGGTAGGAACCTTCCACGTATCTGTTTCTTGTGAGCAGGGAGGGCTGTATGAAGCATGGCACCTGTTCCAAGAAGGTGGCACGAAAATGATCTTGCAGTCAGACGGAAGCAAACTGCTGCATTTGGGATCATGTCGACCCATGTAGACAGTCTCGCAGGACATTGTGAAGCCATGGGGAATCTTACCATATTATTTCCCGACTGGTTCCCTTGTATACCTTGGGCTAATATTGGCACTGCAATCCCTTTGCCCTTTTTCTTGAACAGAAGTATTCCCATCTAGATCTCTTTGCTCAGACTTTTTGCAGATAAGAGGATCAAGAATGCAACATGTTGAGGATGTCATGAAATTCTACTCAGTATTGAACCAGAGCAGATTCCAGCGTACGGTTAGCAGAGTTAAAACTTAAACACGTTGCAGGATTCCAAAAAAAAGAAAGACCAGAGACAATTAATATTTCATCCTGCAGAGCTCTACTGCTACTGAAGGCAAATGAACATAATGGTCACAAATCCAATACACGCAGGATTGGCACTGTCCACAAGAAATCCAGTTGTAGCAGACTTAACTTAAACTTACAATAACTTATAATAAGTATAAACCTTAACACCAAGCATACTATGTACAGAGCACCACACCAGAAGAAAAAGATACAGAAAGAGAAAGTGCAACCCAGACTCCTTCTGGCCTTACTTTAATAGTCAGCCTAACCTGACAGAAAGAGATCAGAGAACCAGTTTAAGCCAGCTGTAATCAGCTTCTCTGAAGGAATAACCCAAACATGAACCTTCTGCTTGTTTCTTTCACACAGAGAAGCTTCCAGAACCCTCTTGAATTAAGTAGAATAGGAAAGATCTCTACACATCAGATCAATACTTTCTGCAATAAGAAATGGAAACTGACAGTGGATTCCCCTCCCCACCCCTTAGTTAGTTAGCATTTAGCTTTTTGCACAGTTTCAGATTTAGACAGCAGCTATCCTTGTTGGAAACCACAGGTCCTCCAACCTGCTGAGCTGTCTGTGCCTTGCCAAATCTCTTATGGCTCTGCTTTCTCTTCCTTCACAGGGTAGCTTTGACAGAGCAGGATGTGGAGGTGAGTTGAGTGCTGTTGTCTTCACTTGGCTTGGATGTCTAGTATCACTTTTATGTGCCACTTTGAATGAAATATTCTGAGGCTTAGTGAGACCATCGTCAGAACAGCAAATGATCATAGCAACCAGCTTCAATCTCACAGTTGATTTAGGGGCCTTGCTTTCCAGCTGGTAGTTGGCAGTGGCTGTGGCCCTTGTGATGCTCTGACTATTCAGTCAATCAGGTTGTTATTGTTCGTAGCCCGTGGCCATAACAATATTAAATCGCAAAACAAACAAACAAACGAGACAATCCGAGCGTGAGTTAAAACATCCATGCGTAGAACTGCAAATTGTCAAATCTTAAAGTTTACCCAAATAATTTAGCTTTCAAAATTCCCTTGGCAATTTACACTGTTTTAAATAGCTAAACTATACACAACAAATTTGTCTACGTTGGTCGGCAACCTTCTAATTTTGAAATCATTTAATTTCCTTTCTTAACAATTCTGGAACGAACAGAGAAATCTGTTGGAACCATGTTGATGGACTATGCCAAAATGGCAAAATTAACTGGGAAGCTCAGAAATCAAGAACACAAGAACTTTAAAAAAGAATGGGGAAAGTTCATAATTTGTTTACGAGACCATTGTAAGCAGGTTAAAACATTAGGAGGATTTTAAACACCCTTGTAAAGTAATGGAAAGTATGGATAATTTGGAAGGATAAAAATTTGGATAAGTGTTGATATGCAGTTGTAAATATTACCATCAGGACCCATGGAAGAGATGGGGAGAAGTCAGGAGATTCAGAGTAATTTTGATAGTTAGATCTTGAATTGTTTTTTGTTGTATGTTTACATTTTTAAGAAATCAAACTAATATATATAATAAAACCACAACAATAACAAATCTGCTGGTAGGTGAGGGTGTGTGTGCGGTTCCACCCATCCTTGGGTGAGAGTCTTGGTGGAGCACAGCAAGCTGGTTGAGAGCCAGATTGCTTGGAGGAACAGTCCATCTGTGTGACTGATGGGTGGCTGTTTGTATTGTTATTTACATTGTTCTGTCCATGAATGGCTTCATTGTCTTCTTGGTTTTTCCTATTCATTTTTGTTGAGTGGAAGGAGTGACTGGTGTTAGCGGTTGGTGACTGAATGGGTGACATTAGAGTGATTGGGTGGATGATGTGTTTGTGTGTATTGGTGGGAGCAAAATGGGACAAGTGATACTGAATGAGTAATAGGTATTTGTGATTTGTGCAGATGTCAGGTAGAATTTGAGTCTCACATGTAGTATTTTGCAAGTCAGGGTGTGCCTTGGTGAGAGGCAAGCTGGAGACGGAAGGGATCCCTGGATCTAAAGATGTTTTTAAATGTCATTAGTTTTAGTGATTTTATTGTTTTATTGCATTGCATTGCATTGCATTGCAGTTTTGCCGTTTCATTGTTTGTTATATATGTCATATTTATTGTTTTGTAAATCACTTAGAGACTGATTTCAGTATTAAGTGGTATCCAAATATTATATAATGCACAATGTTTCCAGTATGGCTGATGCTCTGACTAACCACCTGCTGCCCTTGGCGGGGAACATCCCGCACTCATCTAAAGTTGTCCATAGAGCAAGTGTTAAGTTGAACAGCAGCTCATTGCACACAGTTAGTAAATCTCTACATTCATAACTGCTGATCATTCCCAATCCATTTGCAGCACATTCCAAGGGCCTTGCTAGAAAGTATAGCTTGGGAAAATGCACTGTTCCCAATATGTAGTCAAGTCACATTTTCCCAATAGTTAAATCACAAATTATTATTGCTGGGAGGGTGCAATACTTTCTTCAGCTATCAGGGAGTGTCTTGAACAATTAGGACTTTGAGATGTGCCTGGAAGATGGATTTGCAAGACTCCACAGGCACCTGCTTGATGGTCATGATGATGCCAGTAACAATGGGCCTCCCAAAGTCTTACTGTCTCCACCCAGTGCCCAGCCTGAATGTGTAGACATTAGACTAGAAACAACCGAAGTTGACTGACCAGTCTTCAGGCACAGCCTTGAAGTGCTTCATATCAGTTTATCTCACACACAGAGATGTATACACAACTGGCAGCCTGATTTGCCCTTCTCCCCCCCCCCCCGACTGGCTGTTGAGGTGAAACTGAGGTGAAACTGAGCCAGTGTGGTGTAGTGGTTAAGAGCGGTAGTCTCGTAATCTGGTGAACCAGGTTCGCGTCTCTGCTTCTCCACAGTCACACTTCTTTGAAGTCTCTCAGCCCCACTCACCTCACAGAGTGTTTGTTGTGGGTGAGGAAGGGAAAGGAGAATGTTAGCCGCTTTGAGACTCCTTCGGGTAGTGATAAAGCGGGATATCAAATCCAAACTCTTCTTCTCTTCAAGAGCCTGCAAACTTCAGGAATACATTTGCATAAAATTATTAAAATATTTAAGCAAAATATAGATGCTTGTTTCTAGAACTGGCCTTCCTTTTCTCACAAGCCAGGCCATAAACATTTCCCCCAAAATGCTTTTGTTTTTGCAATGGTGCTGGTGAGTTTCCTTTCCTTTTTTTTCTTTTTAAGCCTATGCTTGCATTTGAAGGCCGGTTCCTGAGAGTCGTTTGCTGTGTTTTGACCTGCCCCCTTTCTTGGCAGGCAGCTTTTGCACACTTGGCTCTTGCCTTCCGCTGTGACGTGTTCACGCTGAGGCGGCGAGTGCAGGTGGAAGAGCGAGCGAGGAACACAGCTGAGGAGAATATTCAGCATGAGCTTGGGGAATGCCGGGTGATGCTGCAGGTCAGTGAAGCCATGTCCCAAGAACCCTTGGCCATTTGGACCATTCGTTTGCTGCATTCCTCTTAAAGCATTGTGACTAAATTTGGCATGAAGGTTCCTGAGATTTTGGTGTTTTGATGCAGTTGGGTGCCATTTTGAATCAAGATGGTGGGCTGAACCTTTCAAAGCCGCACTGATTATTTTGGTTTCTTAGAATTCTCAAGCAGTGCCAGGTATGAGGCTGCTAGTCTGTTGCAAGGTACAAACAGGATCACTGTTTGCTATAAACACTTTAGGGGATGTGGTGCTTTTTGTTGCTTGTGTCGTGCTGTCTTGCATCTATACAGTACACAGGACATGGTCCAGTGAGTGGTGTTGTCTTCTCCCCTTTACTGATTCTCATGGTCACCATATACCTCTTTTCTCAACATTTTTAAGTGGGTGTCCCTCACCATCATTTTTGCACCCCATTTAGTGTGTCATTTTAAAATTATGTTGCTTGCACTATTCCACCATGGTGCAATTGCAGAAATCTGAAAACTGCAGTTATTTCCGAATATGGTTGGGTGACAGCTGTTGGTAAGCAGCCTAAGTTAATTGCACTTAGTTTCTATTTAAATAAATGAGACTTAAATAAATTAACTTGATCCTGTGGATTTTTGATTGTGCCTAATTTCAACTATCTTCATTTTGATCCAGCTGTTCACAGAATATCATAGATATTCACAGAATATGCGGTCCTGTTGGAGGAAAAGTGGGAGGTGATTTTGACGGATTCCCCCTGAAGACCTCATGACTACCTCTCCACACTATTTCAGAGGTCCCACAATCCTCCAGAGCCATTTTTTCCTCCGGGGGAGGGCAACAACAGAGAGGAGGAATCAGCAAAAACCACCTCCCTCTGCTTCCTTCAGCTGGAGTACCCTGTAAACAGAGTTCTGCTCATGGGAACTGTGGATCCATGCAATTGTCTAAACCAAACCTGATTAAACTGCTGGTGAATATGTCTAATGTGTAAGTAATGATCTATTGCTTGGGATTGCCTTTTTATCAAGGTCTGGTGAAGAACCTCAGTTAGGAGTTAGGCTGATAGTCCAGTTAATCCAATATTTTCCATCTTGTGTTTTATCTCTCCAGAAGCTGGATCAGGCCTGCCTGGACCCCAGGCACAAGGAATTGGTAGAACATTTGCAAAGCACTCTTGCCGTCCTAGAAGGAGCAATTGAACGGGCAACGGGCGCAGCTGAGAAATTAGGAGCTGTCCATCAGGTCAATTACCAGGCTAGGTGGTGAACATAAGGCAAATGACTGTGGGCTCTTCTACAAGTGTGTCTTTTTGCCAGTGTAGAACTTAGATTCACACTATCGGTTGTTTTAAAGATTTGCCATAGGCATGAGGAACCCCATTTAGCCCTAGAGTCAATTTCCCTTCTAGCCAACCTTCTTGGGGGCCACATGCCACAGCAAAAGTGGGCAGAACAATTGCTATAAATTTTACCTTTGTACAGCAGGCTAATTTTTGCAAACACTTGCACCCCACCCCCACAACCCTTCATCCAGACAAGTAAGAGGTGTTTGCAGAGTCCAAGGACACATTCCAGCCAGGCAAAAACACCCAAGGAGAGTGGGAAGCAGGGCTCGTGAGGGATGTGACTAAGGAGGGAGTCTGGCCTGTGGAGAATTCTGAGGGCCAGATTGCATTTGGCTTCTGGGCCTGAGCTCCGCCAACTTACTGTATCAAGATCTTGAAGCTCTTTTATTAAAAGGACTCTTGTTGTTTTCTTTCGAGAGCTGATACAGCACAATGGCAAAGAGAATGTGCTCTGGAGGACCAGGAATTCCTCAGTTTAATCTGCTATTAACTCTATAGGTTATTAAATCTATAGGCAACCCACCACCTCTCACCCAAAGTACCTCCATGGCCAATCTGCCATACAGAAATAAGTAAACACGCAGCAATATCTCCAGGCCCCTTCCCAAGAGGACTGTGCTGGCTTTTGGTCTCTGAGCTACCTTGCCCCACTGCTTTGCTTTAAACCACCCCTTGCACTCTCTCCCACAGGAGGCCCGCATGAGCCGGGCTGCAGAGGTGATGGTACAGCATGTCGAGAACCTGAAAAGGCACCACCTGAGAGAGCACACGGAGCTGGAGGAGATGAAGAGGCTCATTCAGCAGAACTCGCGCAACCGGCAGCTGGCAGAAAACAGGGGTGAGGTGGGGCCCGCTTTCGTGCAAAGAGTGGCTGTGCGGTGCCTTGAGATGAAAACATAATGTGAACAAATGCTGATGCGTGGGCAGAAGGGGCATTAGCGGGAATAAGAAGACACCAGGCGCTGGAGTCAGTTCTCAGGAGCAAGTTGCATGGGGCTTTTTTGGGTGTTGAAATGGATTGTAGATAACAGCACACTGGTGAAAAGCCAACACTTGCAGTGCATCAGTTGAACTGCAAATACATGAGAGGTGATTCTAGAGAAGCAGAAGAAGCTGCCTTATACTGAATCATACCATTGGTCCATCCAGCTCAGTATTCTCTACACCCCAGGGTTTCAGGTCAAGGCTTCTTCCAGCCCGCCCTGAAGATGCCAGGGATTGCACCTCAGACCATCTGCACGCAGGTGCTCCTATCCTATAGGGAAAATATGGGTGGGAAGTCTTCATACTTGACTGATCTACTTTATTTTTTTTGACTAAGACCCTCTCCCCAAAAGATCTACCAACCAGAACTTGGAGCAAAAGCCATATACAGTGGTACCTCTGGTTGTGAACGGGATCCATTCCAGAGGCCCGTTTGCAACATGAAAAGAACGCAACCCGCAGTAGCGCATCTGTGCATGTGCGGGTTGTGATTCGCCACTTCTGCGCATGTACGTGATATCATTTTGCGTTTCTGCACATGCGCAAGTGGCAAAACCCGGAAGTAACCCTTTCCGGTACTTCCGGGTTGCCATGGGACATACTGTAACCTAAAAGAATGTAACATGAAGCGGACATAACATGATGTATGACTGTAGTTAGAATTAAAGAACAGGGTGCCTTTGTGTACATTATGAGCCTAGGAATTTGTTTTCAGTACCTCACAGTCCTGTCAAACAAAGCACTTTCCTAGTTGCCCTTTCCGTACTTCAGCAGTCTAATTTACGACGGGCTTTTTGTTGTTCCAAATATTTTCCATTATATTATGAAATCATAAATTATCCATATTATCCACAAATTGTCCAAGTTATTGCAGATTATCTGCAAGTTGCTACTAAATTCCAATCTACCTTCTGCTCAAGTGTGCTCTAGAGCATAAAGCAGTTCAAGGCAGATGCAGTGATTGCCTTTATGAACATGGGAGGCCTTCCCATAGTCAGGCCATTGGTCCATTGACCTCAATGTTGTCTACACTGACCAGCAGCATCTCTCCAGGGTTTCAAACTGGAGACTTCCCCAGCCCTACCTGGAGATCCCAAGGGCGGAACCTGGGACAAAGCGTGTGCCGTACCACTGAGCTACAGCCCTTCCCCTGTTTTTGTCTCCCTAGACGATAGTGAGCAGAGACTGAAGCATCCTCCATTGCGAATGTTCCAGCAGGTAAAGTGACAGGGTGGAGGTGGGGGGACTGTGTGCATCTCCTCCTATGTTTCATGGAGCACAGGACCTGTGCTGCTGCTGCTTTCCCTGAAATCATGCCAGAAGGCAAATGGGTCACTTTGGCCCTTCAAGTATTGTTCAGTTCCATGAATAGCCCCTTTTACAAATGAGCTCTTGAGCAGAGGTCTACCTGCCCTAACCATACTAGCTAGATTTTTTTTCGGGGGGGTGTGTATATGCTAAAGGGACATCCAGTGGATGGGGGAGAAATCCATTCAAAACCAAAAGGCTTTCAGTACAGGTGACCCACTATGTTAGTTATTTTAATGATACTACATGTTAATAACATAAAATGTAGCAGAATCAAATGTTGCTTGTTTCAGTTTCCTTGCACTCATTGACTTAATGCAGCAAAATTGGCTTCCTTGTTCCTGAGCAACTGGGTATAATATTACCTGCAGACTTTCCCGTATATTCCATAACCCAACATACCACAAGTCTCTTTAATGAAAGCTGAACATTCAGGGAATATGCATTCTTCGCAAGCCTCCCTGTAACTACTGCTCTGCTAACTAGGATTGTTCTTCTATGTCCCAGGGATCAGCTCGTCGTAGAGTCAGCATTGCAGTGATTCCCAGACAGCTGATGGTAAGGAAGCTCTCCCTCTATGATGAGCTTTTTGCAATGAAGGATATGCCTGATCTTCATTGCTTGCTGGTTTGCAATGCACCAAAACACAGTGACGTCCCACATTCCAACTGAATTGCCCATTATTCATTGCACACATGTGTCTAATTCCACCTGGGCACATTCTGGAGTTCCTCCATGAGTTTATTCAAATCTAAGTTGTGATCATTTTTGTATTGCCTGAAGCTGGAAAAGCAAGCTTTTACTAAGCCATGTTTATTAAAGCTTACCAGTATTGAAGGCTGTGTAATTCCTAAGTGCCATTGCAATGCATGATGGGAAATGAATCTGTTAATTCCCAGTCTGTTCCAATTCCCAGCATGCACCTTTAGGCCTGAAAGTGACCTGAAAACTTGTTGGTAGTGATGATCTGGTAAATGTGTTCTTATTATCAATTTGTTGTTTTACATTGGTATGCGTCAATCCCATTTTTTTGGACATTGTTTCCACAGCACCACATTCAAGACCAGCCTTGGGTTGCTCCAAGACGGGCAAGTTTATTGAACATGTGTCCTGATTTGCTTGCACAATATCTGCAAGAAAGTTATATGGCGCTGCCATCAAATGGTAGTTATCCCACAGTTCCAGTGCTTTTCCCTGTCACTTTTCTTACTGCAAAGTTTTTGTTTTAGCACAAGAGCTCTGTATTGCAATGTGCCCACTTTCACGGGGGTGAGTTATGAAGGTGTTTTTTATTCCATGAAAGACGTATGCTGGCATCCACTTGAATGGGTGAGAGGTCAGTGCAAAAGTGCTGACAGTCTGGAAGCGAACTTAGTTATAAGGATTCCAAGTTCTGTTCCAGATGCAATATATGCTATTCTAACAAGCCTGGGGCAACAGGACACTAAGCAGGAGTGGTGCCTTCTCTCCTGTTGCTGCAAGTTTGCCTATTCTCCTTATCCACTGGCTGTGAAGCTGAACTGGAAGGCCTTCTTTACATTATCTTCTTCAGGATTAAGCAAAACTGCTATACACAAAGGAACTAGCGTCAGCAAAAAGGACTGGCTGGCAAAAATGAGAGAGAAGTAACTGTACATCATGCTTTTGTCTGCTTTCAGTGTCCATGTGAATTCACGTGACTCACTTTTATCTGACTCTTTGCTTCATGCGGCTTTTTGTTTTCATTAAAGTTAACAATCACTGGCAAAAGTGCTTTGTACCAGCCTCTGAGGCTTCTAGTGAGCTACAAATTCCTAGCAGCACTGTTAACCACAGGGAATCAGCAGCCATGAGTCATCCCCACACCCTCCTCCTCAGATCCTGGGATTCAGAATGCCACATTTGGAATTCCCTTTAGTTACTCAAGTTTTCAGGCTTTGAGGGCTAGGAGACTCCCGACTGCCAGTATTTTGTGGGAGGGATTTTGAGTGCAAACTGGGAAATTATAGTTTCCACAATTAAAGTGGATTAAAGTGCTCTCACTCTAGTGTGGTAAATCCAGTTATAATTTTGCAATTAGGAATGTGATGAGGAAATTAACTGAAAAGTGTGGAGTGAATAAATAATTAACAGGAAGATGTGTAAACACCCTGCAAGAAAATCAGGATGGATGCTCATTGTTTTATAACCACCCGGCAAACAAATCAGAACAAATGCTCAATAAATATTGGATATAATTTAATCCCCGTGTAAGCTTTGTACCAAGAGACCAGTGCTCAAATCCCTGCTGAACTTAACAGGTGAACTTGGGCCAGTCACAACCTCTCTGTCTAACCTACCTCACAGGGTTGTTGTGAGGGTAAAATTGGTGTGTGGGGTGTGTAAGAACCATGTACGCCACCAGGAGCTCCTTGCAGGAATGGTGGGATGTAAGGAAATAAAAATTCCAAAAAATAAAATAAATAAGTTAAGCTCTTGGTTAAGCTCTGGAAAAGCTCTTGGTACTACCAAATCAAAGCTGTAGTTCTCAGAATAGTGCAGTTACAAACGGCTCACGCTGCATTATTCTGTTGATCCAGTTTCTGATGCTTGTTCTGTTTGAATTTTGTTACTTTCCTCCAAAGAGCCCCCCCCTCTAGTCCCCAGAAGAGATGATGCAAGTGGCTCAAGGCTTCCCAGCCTCTCTTCATCTTTTGATCACAATCTTCCTTGATTCTTATTGCAGCACTTTCACAGCCCTGAAAATGAGCAGAGCTCTGAGGGGGAAGCAATTAAGTCAACGGCCGAGGAGGAGGAGGAGGAGGAGGTGGAGGAGGAGAACCCAGACAGGTAGGGATGGGTTGATGCAAGAGGCAAAGCTTGATTCAAGTGTGCGGAATACAGTGGTGCCTCGCAAGACGAAATTAATCCGTTCCACGAGAGTCTTCGTCTAGCGGTTTTTTCGTCTTGCGAAGCAAGCCCATTGACGGATTAGCGCTATTAGCGCTATTAGCGGTTTAGCGGCTATTAAAGGCTTAAAGGCTTAGGGGATTAGCTGCTAAAAGGCTATTAAAGGCTATTAAAGGCTTAGCAGATTAGATAAAGGGGGGGAAAAGCGCTAAAAATATCTCAAGACTCGCAAGATATTTTCGTCTTGCGAAGCAAGCCCATAGGGGAATTCGTCCTGCGAAGCAACTTCAAAACGGAAAACCCTTTCGTCTAGCGGTTTTTCCGTCTTGCGAGGCATTCGTCTTGCGGGGCACCACTGTAGTCTTGCTTGGTCCTTGGCATGTCCAGTGTGGTAATCTTATAATTTCCTTCCCACAGACAACCCCACAGTCTCCAGGAAGACTCTGCTGACAATTACTTTCTCCTGCATGCAGCATCTCCCAGCTTCTCCCAGCAGAGCATGGCAGGGACAACCAGAATCGAGTATGATGTATTATTATTATTTATTAATTTTGTGTAACACATTTCATCTGAAGATCACAGGGCGGTTCACAACATGAAAATGCAAAATGTGAACACAAAATATGTAATAAAACAAGTATAGTGGACGCTCGGGTTGCGAACGTGATCCGTGCGGGATGCATGTTTGCAACCCACAGCATTCGCAACCTGCAGTGGTGACTCTGCGCATGTGCGGGTTGCGATTTGGCGCTTCTGCTCATGCACAACGTGCAATTTAGCTCTTCTGCGCATGCGCGACCCCCAAAACCTGGAAGTAGCCCGTTCTGGTACTTCTGGGTTTCGGCGGGTCCGTAACCCGAAAAAATGCAACCTGAAGCGTCTATAACCCAAGGTATGACTGTACAAAACAAAACCAATAACCCCCACTCCAACAAACACATTTAAAAGGCAATAGGATGCCTGGTTGTAGACAAATGTTTTCACCTAATGCCTAAAGATATGTAATGAAGGCACTAGGCAAGCCTCTCTGGGGAGTGCATTCTACAAACAGGGAGCCACTGCAGAAAAGGCCCATTCTTGTGTTGCTGCCCTCTGGGCTTCTCGTGGAGGAGGCGTATGAAAAAGGGCCTCACATGTTGTAGACAAAAGCCACTACACAGAAGGGAAAGCAGTGTGATCTCTGCCTCCTGGAGGGAGAATCTGGCCTCTTTAAATGAGAGCAGACATCTGAGTGATGAAGACATCAAACTATGAACTGAGACCCAGGGTTTGTTTCCCAGATAATATGTTTTGGCTATGCACTGTGCAGCAGGCATTTTGCTGCAAGTGGATTGCTGGTTTCTGCAGCAAACAGGCCCATGTTTTAAAATACACACACCTGGGAGCTCCCAGCACATGTACACAGGTGCTGTGAGGCTGCCACTTGTCAGTCACACTCCACTTTATTTGATGAGAGAAACACCGGTATGCCTGGGTATTGCCATGTAAAGTGAAGCTGTTCTTTATGCCAGGGGATGTGCCAATTAGTCTATCTCTGTATCAGGGCCCATCTCCAAAATGGCTCTCGGTCTTCTTTAATCACCTCCTTGGGAGGACAAATATATTTTAGGCTGAGTCAATCTGCTGTTGCAAAGATGGGAGCCCAAAGAAGCTCCTTGAGTGATAGATAGACTCCATTTCTCTGAAGTTTCATCCAGCATTACAGTGGTGCCCCGCAAGACGAATGCCTCGCAAGACGGAAAACTCGCTAGACGAAAGAGTTTTCCGTTTTGGAGGTGCCTCGCAAAACGAATCTGCTATGGGCTTGCTTCGCAAGACGAAAATGTCTTGCGAGTTCCTGGGGTTTTTTTTTCCTTTCCCCCCTCTTTTTCTAAGTCGCTAAGCCGCTTATCTGCTTATCCGATAAGCTGATAAGCTGCTAAAAGCCGCTAAAAGCCGCTAAAAGCCGCTAATAGCGCTAATCCGCTAATCCCATCAATGGGCTTGCTTCGCAAGACGAAAAAACCGCTAGACGAAGAGACTCCCAGAACGGATTCTTTTCGTCTTGCGAGGCACCACTGTACTAGAAATGTACTCCATTGCTAGCTGAGCTGGGAGCCTCTTTTTCTGGGGTTAGTTGACCACTGCAGGATGCACACTGTCTTTCTTCTCAGGAGGGAGTCAGAACTTCGGTGCAGAAGCAACATCAGTAAGACTGTAGAGGAAGAACTCAAAGAGGAATCAGGCATTGAGGAACTAGATGAAGAATGTGAGGAACTGAGGGGAGAGACGCTTCTGTAAGTGAACAATGCTTTCTATGCTTGCCATCCATAGGATTGTTCTAGCCCTTCTCCACATGGGAAGTTTTCTTTGCAGTCTGAACAGAACTTTCTGTAATCCACAGTTTTGGTTGCCATATCTCAAAAAAGAAAAAGGATATTGTAGAGCTAGGAAATGTGTTCTATTGAATTTGGGGTGTTCTGTTGAAACAGTTTGGCCAGAGATTTGGAGCGAGACAAAGGGACATACTCTTCCTCACATCACAAAATTAGTTTATGGAATTTTTGCCACTGGATGTGGTCATGGCCCCTCTCTTAGGTGGGTTTAAAAGGGGGGGTGAGACAAATTCATGGGTGAGAAAGTCTATGAGTGGCTACTAGTCATGAGGAGAAGATTCAGAAGCAGCATTGCCACCAAATGCCAGCTGCTGGGAGTAATCTCAGGAATGGGCTTCTGTCTTCATGTGCTGCTTGTGGACTTCACTGAGGTATTTGGGTTGGCTACTGTGGGGAAACAGGATTCTAGTTTGGGTGGATCTAGCAGGCCTGTTCTGCTGTATTTTCATTTCTGGGAATTCAGCATTCTGTGAGGAACTATTTTTGTAAAAGAAATGTAAAATGTTTAGCCTTTATGACCATGGAATTGATAAACGACATGAAATAATACAAAAATGTGTGTAAATGTGCACATTCAGTATAGATTGCAGAATTCAGCTGTTTCAGGAGGGATGTATAAATTTGTGTTTATACATTTTACATAATTTAGTGTTTCCTTAGTGTTGTTAAAAGTACTCTCATTCTTATGGAGGCTACAAATGATGGAAGCCGGAGCTTACTGGGCCTAGCTTATGGCAGGGCATCAGACTGATAGTTGACTGACTGCACCAGGTGATTATTTTCTCTCTTTTTTTTCCTGGCAGGTGCAAAGGATCTAAAATGGAGCTTTGCAGAGCCTGGTTCTCCATGCCCACCTACTATTGGGTTTTGTTGTGGCTGTTTTTTCTGGGGGTCGCTTGCCTCATTCTGATCAGGATCCTGGAGCTGCAGAAACAATACCCATTTACAACCTCTGATTCTTAAAGTCACATAAGGAGCAGAATAACCATGCCAGGACTTTGCACCATCAAAATCCTGGACAGTTTACTTCTGAAAAATAAAAATAGAAAGGAGGCCCTGTTTCATGTGTGACCAGTGAACACTGCCTGGGATGTGGTTCTAACAGGCTGGCTGGTGCGAAAAGAGCTGGAGAGGTCTGCAGGCGGGACTTCATCTGAATCCGAGAGGTGATTTTAGCTGCTACTACTCCATTGGTGTCCTCAGCATAAGCCCAACAAGCCTAACAGTTGTCTAATAGAGATAATGTTTGCAACTCTTCAGAGAACTCCAGCTAAGACATTTCTTCTATCTTTGGAGGTTAAATATCCTTCAGAGTCCCTGTAAAGTGGCAGGTATATTAGAACATTAGGTTTGTATAGCGTTGTTCACACTGAGGTTCACCAGAGAGCAGTTTGGGACTATAGGGCTCAGACCACCTTTGTATCTTGCTACTTCATTTTAGCACTGCTCAGTTGAAATTGAATCTCATATTTACGGCCTGGCATGTGAGTAACCCTAAGCCAAGCCATAGCTAAATATGAATGAGAAGTTGTGCAGGTGCACCGTTAGAAAATTGCTTCACTCAGGGCTGCTGACAGCGGGGTATTGGGGGTATGCATGTACCAGCAGGAACCACAGATTTTTAATTTTCACTTTTTAAAAAACATGACTTTGGCCCTCAACAGACAGCACCATTGCTCAGGAGGCTTGTTCGCTTAATCACTGTTGCTAAGTGACCGGAGGAAAGAAGGTTGACCACCCCCACCAGGAAAAACAAGCTCCTTATTGCTGCTACCGCTGGCATGAAACACGACTCCAAACCATGGCTTCTCTGTCAGTTGTGCAGCAGCAGCAGCAGCAGGAGGAAGCAGCAAAGCGCACTCGCATGCTTGCTTGTTCACTTAGCTCATGGTTAGGCTTACCATTATATGCAAACGAGGCACGTCAGCAGTTTTCCTGCCCTTTGTTTAAAAGGTTGCCCTCAGGTTTTGTTTGCATTGCAGCAGCAGCAGCATGGTAGAAGCACATCATTGCAAACATTGCTCTGCGAGGCCACAAAACGTTTTTAAAGAATCGGTAGTGAACTTGGATTTTAGCCTCCAGATGGCCTTACCGGGGGACCCTCCTTAGATGAGGTGTATTACGTCAAAGTGTGATAAAACGGCCCTGTTGTGTTTGGGGAGCCCTCCTGCTCCTTCTGCTGTGAGTGGGGCTCTGAACGTCTGCTCCTGAATGTACCCAGACGTGAACACGGAAAAGGATTTGTTGTATCGTGACAGCTGCTGCACGGTCGTAGTGCATACAGATGGGTTGATGTGTGGCGCAGCATTTCTCTCCGCCAGCAGGTGGTGCCGATGCCCACTCAGTGCAGCTGAAGGGCATTGCTATGAGAATGGGTATTAACTTCCTCATTCACTACTACAGTGGTACCTCAGGTTAAGTACTTAATTCGTTCCGGAGGTCCGTTCTTAACCTGAAACTGTTGTTAACCTGAAGCACCACTTTAGCTAATGGGGCCTCCTGCTGCTGCCGTGCCGCCAGAGCACGATTTCTGTTCTCATCCTGAAGCAAAGTTCTTAATCTGAAGCACTATTTCTGGGTTAGCGGAGTCTGTAATCTGAAGCATATGTAACCTGAAGTGTATGTAACCCGAGGTACCACTGTACAATCCTAATCGTAATTATTTGGGAGTGTGCCCCATTGAATTCAGTGGGACGATCTTCTGAGTAAGGATGTAGACGGCTGGTCTGCAAGAAGGAAAGGAGAAGAGGGCGCCTCTCTTCTGCCCGATAAGTGCCATTGCGCCAATAAGGAAAAGACAATAAAACTGGATGCTGAAGAAAGTGCTCATCTTTTGTGAAGCACAGTGCCTCCCCCCACCCCTGTTTGAAAGTCAAAACAAAGCTGGATTTATTATCTAGGAACATGGGATGGAGGGGGGGAGTTGAAAGAAGGATGCAAGGCAACCCTGTAAGAAGTCGTTTAATGTGACAGGTGCTGTTTACCTCAGGAAAGGATGCATGCAGAGAGAGTCAACATGACCTTTCAGGAGCATTGACATGTGTCTCTCCTGCAAACACAACACACCTTCCTTCAGCTGCAATCTGGGACTGTGGGTGGTGGAGGCTCAAAAGCATGACTGTGTTAGAGACACACACTCTCTCTCTCTCTCTCTCTCTCACACACACACACACACACAACAATGCTCACCAAGTTTTGTATACAGAGGGAACGATTATTACTCCACCCAGAACAGTCTCGTTCCCAAAGGTTGTGTGCCTCTTAGGAAACTCTTCCAACCAGCTCAGTACTGTGTACACTTATTGGCAGCAGCTTTCCAAGGTTTTCAAACATGGAACATTCCCAGCCCCACCAGGAGAGAAGCTTGGACCTTCTGCATACTAAGCAGATGCTTTTACCAGAGCTACAGCCCTTGAAAAGCAAAGTTAACAGATTCAAAATATTTTATGGGGCCAAACATGGCCAACTAGAAAAAGAGATGATCATAGAACTGGAAAGGGATCTCAACTCAAAACAATGCAGGAATTGCAGCTAAACAATCACAGAAGACCTGCCTGTACTTCTGGCCAGAGGGGTTTTCAGGTGCTGCAATCTGAATTTGGCACACCTGGCAGCAGCAAGGGCTAAGGCAGTGGTTGTCAGACTTTTTTCTCTAGGCCACACTTTCAGAAGGAAAATTTGCTCGTGCCGCACTGAATTTTTTATTGGAAAACAAAAAGAAACAACTCCTAGTTGAACATAGTAAAGGTATAGGGACCCCTGACCATTAGGTCCAGTCGTGGCCGACTCTGGGGTTGCGGCGCTCATCTCGCTTTACTGGCCGAGGGAGCCGGCTTACAGCTTCTGGGTCATGTGGCCAGCTGCTTCTGGCGAACCAGAGCAGAGCACGGAAACGCCGTTTACTTTCCCGTCGGAGCAGTACTTATTTATCTACTTGCACTTTGATGTGCTTTTGAACTGCTAAGTTGGCAGGAGCAGGGACTGAGCAATGGGAGCTCACCCCGGCGCGGGGATTCGAACCGCCGACCTTCTGATCGGCAAGCCCTAGGCTCTGTGGTTTAACCCACAGCTCCACCCGCGTCCCTTCTAGTTGAACATAGAACACAACAATTTTATAATATGTTCATGGGACACCCAGAAATGATAAAACAATTCAGCTGCATAATCATACTGCTACTGAATATAGCTACTGAATCATTCCTAAAATAAAAAATTGATTGTCCTTGTATCTTCCTGCCACACTTGCCGTCCTCTCCTGCCACACCAGGTTGGCGTGCCACATCCTCTGAGAGCCACTGGGCTAAGGGGACTGTCCCCTGCTGCTGAGTGCTGTTAGTCCAAATGGCAGACTGGGAGCTTAAAAGATTGTTGCAGGTGCTGACACAATTCAACAAAACAGGAACTGAAGTATACAACCTTCAAGCTGGTTGGTACCTCTTCCCTCCTTGCTGTACTTCCCCTCTGCCTCTGGTCGGGCACTAAATCAGCTAGACAGGAAACCACCATCTAAATGTAGCCTTCAGGCAGAGAACAAGCAGATAACCAAGAGGAATATGAAGATGTGAGAAGAGAGGGGCATTTGCAGCAAACGAAGTTGATGCTGAAAGCGGCAGATGACACAGGTGAACCTACAATTGTATTTTTAAAAAGCATGTTAATTTCATGAGGTGCCTGTTCTTGTTGTAACGTTATGCACTGAATGTTCTTGTAGCATTTTGCACCACAGCAGGGCCAGCTGTACTGTGGCACCCCCATAGTTAGCCTGCTGCCGTCAATTGCGGTGGAGGCCATTGCCATCGTTGAAATAGTATTCAGCTGTCCTGTTGACTTATGTACCTGGAACAGTGAGGGCACTACCATGTCCTTTGCCTCAGGCAGAAAATGACTTGAGCCAGCCCTGCACTACAGCAAACAGAGGTGCTTTATTTTCTTTTCAAAGCTACTTATGATCATATATATCCTATTGTCTTTTGATTGTGGCAACACAACCAACACACTGTGTATGCATGTGTTTCATTGCGCAGTACTAGCACATGCGAACACCCAGGCCCTGCAATTCTCAAGCATCACCACGGATGAGCAAAAGGCGGTGTGTGGTGAAATCGAGGTGGGCTGTCACTTCATGCATGCCATCAACACATCCAGTGGATCAGGACAGCATTTCCTGTGCAGCCACCACACATGTATGAATCAGCCCTAAGGAAAGGGCAAGAAGTAACGCTTAAAGGAATTTCTCCCCTCCCTGCTCTCTGGTCGTAAGTGACGCTGAATTTCCTGTCCCAGACCACCGGTCCCGGATAAAGTCGGAGGGCACAGGATGAAACACCCTCGCTGAAGCTTAGCCGATCTGGGAACCTGACGGTGCCTGTCCTGGAGGCTTCCTGGAAGTCCTTTGCATGCTGGTTTGAGGATTGTGGAAGAAAGGTAGGATATAAAAAACGTTGCACCGGCAGAGCGTTTTGGGGGCAACTCGTTTCCGGTGGGAGCAGCGCGCATGGGCAACACGTGAGGCCAAGAGGGCTTCACTTTTAACTCGACATGTGTGACGGCTACACAGCAAAATAAAATGAAATAAAATAAAAATAGTTGGATCGTACATCCTAGGCCCCTCTGTGCTTTATGTCAGCATTTGTAAACGGATCCCACGCTAAGCATTCGCGCATTTATTTGTTTTTCCAAAAAAACCCCTGTGAAGTGTCGTATTACCCTCGCTTTGGGATTATTATCTTCCTTGCTGCTGCAGTCTTCTTTAGGTTGCACAAGGAGTTTTTAAAGTGCCCGGGCAAGAAGCTCCGCCTCCGGGCTATGTGGCTCCGGCAGCCTCGCAGCCCGAGCGCGCGATGCTGCCGTCCCCTCTCCTCCGCCCTGCGGAGCCGAGGGAGCAGTTGAGCCGCGTTTTCCGATCCAGAAAGGCAGCGAAGGGGGGGAGCAGTCTCTGCTTAGGCTTCCAGCAGCCTAAGCACAAGCCACTCCTAGCGGGGAGAAGCCGAGGAGCCCCGGCGGCGGAAGAAGCGGAGCGCAACCGGGAAGGAGGAGGTAAAGTGGCAACGGAGCCGAGGGGCGCCCTCGATCGTCAGCCGGGCTGCGTGCTCGGCAGCCCCAGAGACCGGCGCTATCGCTGCGCGCCTGGCTCAACCCACCGGGCAAGGCGGGCAGAAAGGAATTGCCGTGCGCCTCGGGTGCCAAGGCACAACGGATAGGTCTAAACGCGGGTGTTCGTGGCAAGCAGCCGCGGCTCAGCTTTGGAACGCGAGAGCCAATGGCAAAGCCCGGGGTCCCTCTGAGCATGTACAGAGTGCGCGGCTGGCCTGTTCTCTTCTTCCTCCCTCCGCGGCCAGTCTTAACTAGGCCCTCTTTGCGTATGCGCTGAGCCGTGGGCGCTAAAGGTAGAGGATGCGGGAAACGGCTTTGAGAAGCGACCTTACGCATGGGACAAGGAGCTCAAAGGAGAGGGAAGCCCCTGCGGTCGGAGCTTTAGGTAGGAGGGAGCCGCTTGCAGCTTAAAACTTTGATCTGGGAGGGGGTCCCCGCCCCCCTTGCTTTCCAAGGCAGCAGAGACTAACCAGGAGATAATAGGGCGCGGGTGTCCCCCATTAAAAGTGTGGTGGAATCTTAGCCCCTGGGGGCTCGGGAAAGGTACCCATCACAATGGGGACGGGTAGGACTCCGGGCTGATAGTTGATGGGCGGGGCAAGGGTAGCCGTAGAAGCGCCCCAAAAAAGTGCGTGATCTGCGAGCTGCGCCCCAGCATTCTCTGCGACCTCGCAAGGGATCCTCTTGGATCCTGCGGTGTGGATGATTGAGGGCTTGGAGCCTTGGACCATCCCTGTTGGTTGGATTTCGGGCTCGGCTTTCTAGACCACGTGCCTAGGGAATGGGAGGGGTTCTTTGAGCGCTCCAGCTGGCTTGAGTATGTTGTGTAAGATGACGTCTTTGTATCGCCTTACTTTTTACGACTGGTAGAAAGGGCTCGGTTCCTCCTCCTTTCAGTCCCGAAGTAATACGAAGAGTGCGAGTCTGCATTGGCGGTGGTGGAGAATGGGGACTTTGCGCATCTCCTGTTAGTAGCGAGGCTGTTAATTCACACTGTGGCTTTCAAACTGACATAAATCTTACATTTTTCTTTAATTCTACAAATTAGCACTTGCCTCCAGCAAATTAACCCTTGCCAACATCTTGCTATTCAGGCAAATGGTATTAACTGCATCTCCACACCTGAAAGTTGTCAGCTGAATTTCTGCCTATCCTGCACCTGCAATCTTACTGACAACCCTGTGACCAAGTTCATTGATCCTCAATTTGGAGACAAGGAGTATAATTTTAAATTTTCCCAACAATGAGAGAAGATGCAACTATTGGGCTTCCCGCCCTATTCCTTCATTGAGCCTTGTGACCATCCGAAACCAAGACCTCCCACCCCTCTTGTCCCATTGCAGGTGCCTTATGTTTAATAAAACTAGGGCACATCAAAATTTGTGCAGGTAATGTGCATGTGCTATCTGCATCCTTTAGTACCTACGTGTGCTTGGCAGGCTTGATAACCACTGCAGCACCTTGACTAACAGAGTTTACACTTCCTGGTTCTCATGCTTACTTCCTCCTTGGCTTAGGCAATTTTAATTGCTGAAACGAAGTTAAACTTATCTTCTATCTACTAGGCGCTTTGCTGAAAACAGGAAATGTTGCTCTCCTAGGTGTTGGAAGGTGAAGGGGAGAAGGACCATAAAATTTCTTTCTGTGTTGTATACCTACTTGTAGCTGGTTAGGGATGCGTGACTATGAAAGGGAGATTGGGGTGTAAGGCCTCCTATAAGCCACCTCCACAGAATAAGCAGAGAGAACTGCTTGTGTGTGTGCTGATAAAGTGCAATGCTGAAATATGAATGCAAATTGCGGATGCCGCTGGCTCCCAAGTAATAATCCATACTGGCCCCTTTCTTTTTTAGCAGCCAGGTGGCATGTCTTTTGCTGCAGCAGATGTGCAGACGACAAAAAGGGATGGCTGTAGGGCTCTCTCTAGTTCTTACTCACACCACCTGTACCTCTAATTGTTTAACTGTCACGGCAGCCTAATTCTTTTGCAGGAAAAAAACAATTAAGTGCAACTCCTTGCTGACTCGAAAGGAAAATAGTTTGTCTGTTGAGTCCTTGATGTAGTTTGTTACAATGCAGAGTGTAGCACAGTTCCCTGGGGAGGCATGTTGTACAAGCCTGTCCCATGTTGCTGGCTTTTTCATTAAGGACAGAATGAGCATTAGAGTGGTCTTGGGGATCTTTCACAGCAGAAGTAAACAGCATGTGAAAAGTGTCTTCTTGGAGGAGAGCAAAAATCCAAAAGTTTGGTTCCAGATCTAGACTTCCAGGATTTCAGTCGTTGAGCTTACTCAATTAAGTTGTAGGTTGTTCTTTAGTTGAAACAGCAGCACTAGAAACTTTTGGTGGGTTCTGAACTCTAGATGTTGTTCTTTCTGTTCTTACACTGAAAGCTTGCTACATTTTTTGTAAGTATTTTTCTTTTGTGTTTATATTATAACTGAATGCACTTCATTCCCACACAATAAATAAAATAGGAAGGAAGGTGGTGTGTGTGTGTGTGTGTGTGTGTGTGCTCACATGTCGCCCTAAACAAGGTGGCTTGTTTTAAACAACCCATAGTTAATGTTAACCTCAGTTTGTCAATTTGGACAAAATGGCAAACTGATGTTTTTGAATTACTCCTGACTGTGCAGGAGCAGGGGGGAAGCATGCAAACACAAATCATGCTGTAGCTAGTTCAAGTTTGTGCATGTCACACTGAACTATGGTTTAGCACAGGCTTCCTCAACCTCGGCCCTCCAGATGTTGTGCGACTACATTCCCCATCATTCCTGACCACTGGTCCTGCTAGCTCATGGGCGTTGTAGGCCAAAAACATCTGGAGGGCCGATGTTGAGGAAGCCTGGTTTAGCATGATGGTTTGTGTCCATCAGTTCTATTGTGACCAGACTGGCTCGCTAAATGAACTGGGAGGGAAACCCAGCAAAAGTTCAACATTTTTGTCAGTTATTATCTGGCAGGAAATATGAGGAAAAGCCTAAAAGTTCAGAAAGTATGAGGGGTAGATGAGGAAAGTTCAGAATGTTCTGTTTGTTTCCCTCCAGCTCATGCCCTTTTAACTGTTGCAAGTCTCATGCAAAGCATGATTGCATAAGCAGTAAGTATCCTAAGCCTGCCCTACTGGATAATCTGTGACATACAGACCAACCTGCTCCTCCAGAAACTACTACCCTTCTTCTTGTGACTTCATTATTCTGAAAGACTTTATTCTTCAGCACTATACAAATCCAATGTGCAGGGCTTATCCAGGCTTTTTTTTTTTTAAGTGACAAGTAACTTGCAGTGAAGCCCTGCCATTTCTGCAACTGCTTTCCAATGTGTGTGCAAAAGCATCCTTTTGTTACCTATATATCCAATGTTTTCTGCAGCATCAACACATTCTCCCTGGCTATTCTCCCTCCACACTTATCAGCACATACTGTCCCATTGATAATGCTAAAAGGCTTTACATTTCACATTATGGCTAAATTAAGTTGGTGTGGTGCTTTCACTGGTTGCATGGGAAATCCTTAAAGATCTTAAGTTTTGCTTTCATCCAGCATGTGCTTATTGCAGCTTTGCCCTCCAGATGTTTGGAGCTACTGCTCCCACCAACCCCAGCTGAAATCGCTGCGCTGGTTTAGGCTGATCAGAGTTGTAGTCCAAAACATCTGGAGCCTGCCTTATTGCATCTGCATTAAGTTGTCATATTATGTCGGTTGACTTTCTTGGTGTGATCTAGACATTGGCATTCATATATCTGACTGCGTATCATTGATGGAATGGGGTGAACACCACTAGTGTTATTGAGTCGTGTGTGTACACTATGTTGGCATCTGTCTGCTGTCTTGAGGGACAATGGAGTGCTCTAGCAAAAAGCTAGAGAATCACAGCGCCTGCTGTGGCTGCAGAGAATGGGAACTTGTAACTGCTGCCTCTTGCCTTGTTTTTGTTGCGTTAGCAGAGCTGAAGTGACCTTTCTGAGGCCTCTTATGGGGCACCAGTGCAGTACCAGGTGTGAAGAGATGGAGAATGTATGATTCTGTGGTCCTTGGAAATTACACAAATGCAGTGTCCCCCTCTCCTGGTATATTCTTTGCTATTGCTAGGTTGATACCCATTGCAGTCACCGGGGAAGAGTGCTGGGGATGTGAACACTTTTTTTGAAAACTTAAAATAAGGACATTGCTGCAGGGGCTTGCTGCAAGGTTATGGGGACCATTTGCTTTATATTTCAATGTTTGTAACAATTCATAAAGTGGTATGGGCACGGGAGGAAGGGTTGTGTTGCTGTTCACTAATTATGACAAAAAATATCTAATGGGCACCAATTAATATATGTGGAGCCACACTACATTATACTTGGTGTATTCATGAATAGCATGATTCCAGTCTGGGAAAGAATGCAATTTTCCTAAGTATGATTGGCTGAACAGAACACTAGGGAAACGTGATATTTGGAATTGCAATCTAGTGCAGAATGTCCGAAGCAAATGGTAGACAGGTGCAGTTTACAGTGCAAAGTCTCCGGCACCATACTGTGCCACCTCTTCTGTTTTGCTTTCGTTGCCCAAGGATTAATAATTAATTATGCCTTTTAGCACTCTTTTAAATGTCTTCCTAGGTCAGACCAGAACACTTTGCATTCAGATTGCTCCTAGCACCTCAGGGTTTGTTCCAGTAAGGAAGTAACATTGTACAAAGGGTCTTCCAACCATTGTGAAATGGTTACTCCTCATGGTTGCAACTCCCCCCCCCAGCTTCCATGCAATATTGTTGGCATCAAAATACCAGCCTGTATTCCTCACCCTGCTTTTAACCTGGATTTACCCTTGGGGAGGGGATCCTATATGCTTTTTAAAAACACCCAAACAACCCAATAGCAGAAGAATATGTTTACTGTGTTATGGCCCCCCTCCTGTCCCAAAGCACCCTAATTCTCCTTCACCTCACTGTCACATGGGTGTTTTGACTTCTCTTATGGCCAGATCTTGTGAAATTGTCAATTGAAAGCCTGCTGATTGCTATGATTCATGATGATGTCCTTGGTCTAGAGTCAGTGGTCAGTCTTCCATCATTCCCTCCTACTGCTCACCAGAGAAGTGTATTGTCTGTGATGGTTACAATCACCAACCAAGTAATGCACAAGGGCTATAGATAAGGACTGCAGAACCTTGACAGTTGCTTTTTCTTCTAGCAGATGTTAACATTTCGGAATGGGGAGAAAGTGCAAAAAGGAAAATGCTTCCTTCATCTAGCTGCACCTGCTTTCTTTAGACTGAGGACCTGATTTTTAATGTGCAAAATCTACACTGCTTCATAACGTGGGTAAACTAAAGATGAAATATTTTGTAATACAGTCCCAGAACAAGTTTGTAATCTGTTAGATGGGGAATAAAGCTCAGGCAGGCTGGCAAACAAGTTTGGGTGGTGAATTTCCGAGCGATAACAGAGCGAAGGATTTGGATGTTTGTTTTTGCAAAACTGAAATCAAGCTCTGGATAGGTTTAGTGAAGAAATGGTAGCTAAACTGAAGCTCAGTCTAGGCAAGACAGAGGTCCTGTTGGTGGTTTCTTCTGCCCTGGAAAGTGGTGTTCACCCCACTCCAGAGTGGGTTGCATTCCCTCTTAAATTAGGGGTGAGGAACCTGTGGTCCTCCAGATGTTGATGAATGACAGCTCCTGTCCATGTTGTCCATGTTGTCTGGGGCTGCTGAAAGTTGGAGTCCAACAATACTGCAAGGGCCATAGGTTCTCTATCCCCTGATCTAGACTATGGTTGCAGCAGCAATCCTGGAGTGAGCAATGGGTGCTAAACGGTTTTTTTTAGAGATATTTCTTTGCCCTCTGGATTATTCAACGCTTTATGATACTTCATGAGCATCAAAAGCAGTTCATGAGCAGTTGAAGAAGGAGCAAAAAGGGTTTTCTTGTGTGTGTGTGTGTGTTTCTTTGTGGCTGATTAGCTGCTCTCCCTGTGTAAAGGTCAGAGGGGGCAGGGTTTCTGTTGAGGCAGGTGATTAGCTGTGGGAGGAGCTTATCAGAGCTTGCAGGGCAGCAGTTGAAGAAGGAGCAAAAAGGGTTTTCTTGTGTGTGTGTGTTTCTTTGTGGCTGATTAGCTGCTCTCTCTGTGCAAAGGTCAGAGGGGGCAGGGTTTCTGTTGAGGCAGGTGATTAGCTGTGGGAGGAGCTTATCAGAGCTTGCAGGGCAGCGGCACGTGCAGTTTGATCCATCTTTTAGATTTAGGGGAGCTAGTCTCAAACGTTTGTTGGGGGAGACCTAGGGTTTTTTTGTGGGGGGAGTTATTTGTCCTGTCTTCACGCTTTTTATGATGGAGAACCGCTGTAGCCACCCCCAACGACACGTTCTCAAGATGGAGGGAGAGGGAACAGCTGCAGTCGCCTGCGGTTCCTGCGCAATGTTTGCCATCTTGCCAAAGGTTGCAGGCAGCTTTACCTGCAGCAATTGCATGTTGATTGCCCTCTTAAAAGACAAAGTCCAGCAACTGGAGGAACGTGTAGCTACGCTCCAAAGAATTAGAGAGCTGGAGCTCTTCTTGGAAGCAACAGAGCACACCGTCTCCACCAAGGAGGAGACAGGGGACTCCCTGAGAAGGAGGCTAGTTCACCAACACAGGAGCCAGATATATGGAGAAACGTGACCCAAAGAAGTAGGAGGCCCAGGGTTCGCTCTGATTGTTTAGACATACACAATCGCTTTGAGGTCCTCTCCCCTAGCATGGAAGACGAAGAGCAGACTCCATTTGAGGATCTCCCTCATTACAGTCGATCAGGTATATGAAGACGAGCAGCAAAGTCAGTCCTCAGGGAATGTGCAGGCGACCTTGGAACGGACAGCTCACGGAAGAACCCCGACCAAACCTAAGAGGAGGCGTGTAGTGGTGATAGGGGATTCCCTACTGAGGGGAACAGAAGCAGTGATCTGTGGGGCTGACAAGATGTCTCGGGAAGTGTGCTGTCTCCCCGGCGCTAAGATCCAAGATGTAACTGAACGACTGCAAGGAATCATAAAACCCACTGACAAATACCCCTTCCTCTTGGTTCATGTGGGAACCAATGACACTGCAAGCAATAGCCTCCAGAAGATCAAAAGAGACTACGAGGCTCTGGGCAGGAAACTGAAGCAATTAAATGCACAAATTGTCATCTCATCTGTCCTCCCAGTTGAACGACGTGGCCCAGGGAGAGAGGGAAAAAATAGTGGAAGTGAACAGCTGGCTTCGCAAATGGTGTAAACAGGAACGGTTTGGATTCTTAGATCACGGACTGCAGTTTCTTGAAGATGGACTTCTGGCAAACGATGGGCTGCACCTCACAACGGTTGGGAGAAATGTTTTTGCCAAAAATCTCAGAAACCTCATCAGGAGGGCTTTAAACTGACTAATGTGGGGGAGGGAGACAGTGCTCCTGAAGGTAGGAGTCTATCAATTGATGAAGAGGATCATCCAAATGTCATAGACCAAATGGAGCAAACAGCACGCAGACCTAGTGGTGGGAGGAAAAAATCCTTAAATAAGAGACACGGGGGAATGATTAATGGACTTCAATGTCTGTACACTAATGCGCAAAGCATGGGAAATAAACAAGATGAGCTTGAGCTCTTGGTACAGCAAACTAAATCTGACATAATAGGCATCACTGAAACCTGGTGGGATAAGTCCCACGATTGGAATGTAATAATGGGGGGATACAATCTATTTCAGAGAAACAGACCAGACAAGAAAGGAGGAGGAGTGGCGTTATATGTCAGGGATGTGTATACCTGTGAAGAGATCCAAGATTTAGATCCCCAAAGCCAAAGTGAGAGCATTTGGGTCAAAATTAAGGGAGAGAAGAATAACAGTGACCTCATTGTGGGAGTTTACTATAGATCCCCAAGCCAAACGGAGGACATAGATGATGCCTTCCTGGAACAGATGGCCAAGCATGCAAAAGGAAGGGAGATAGTAGTAATGGGGGACTTCAATTACCCGGATATTTGTTGGATGTCAAACTCAGCCAAGAGCATAAGGTCAAACAGATTCCTCACTGGCCTTGCAGACAACTTCATTGTCCAGAAAGTGGGAGAAGCAACAAGAGGAACAGCCATTTTAGATCTGGTCCTAACCAATGTTGATGACCTGGTTAGTGGGGTAGAAGTGGAAGGATCATTAGGCGCGAGTGATCATGCTCTTCTGAAGTTTACTATACAGCGGAAAGGAGCAGCCAAGCATACTAGGACTCAATTTCTTGACTTTAAGAAAGCCGACTTCATAAAACTTAGGGAAGTGCTGGGTGAGATCCCATGGACAGTAATACTAAAAGGAAAGGGAGTTCATGATGGCTGGGAGTTTGTTAAGAGGGAGATAGTAAAAGCACAACGTCAGGCAATACCAATGAGACGGAAACATGGAAGGTGCCTAAAGAAGCCAGGGTGGCTATCTAAAGAACTTTTAACTGAGTTAAGATTAAAAAGGATGTGTACAAAAATGGAAAAGGGGGAAACCACCAAAGAGGAATTCAAACAAATAGCCAGCACGTGTAGACACAAAGTCAGAAAAGCTAAAGCACAGAATGAACTCAGGCTTGCTAGAGAGGTTAAAAGCAACAAAAAGGCTTTTATGGGTATGTTCAGTAGCAAAAGGAAGAACAAAGAAACAGTGGGGTCACTCAGAGGAGAAGATGGTGAAATGCAAACAGGGGACACAGAAAGGGCTGAACTCCTCAATGCCTTCTTTGCCTCAGTCTTCTCCGATAAAGAAAACAATGCCCGACCTGAAGAATTTGGAGCAAATGATTCAGCAAAGGAAACACAGCCCAGAATAACTAAGGAGATAGTACAAGAATACTTGGCTAGTTTAGATGTATTCAAGTCTCCAGGGCCAGATGAACTGCATCCAAGAGTATTAAAAGAACTGGCAGATGTGATCTCAGAACCACTGGCAGTCATCTTTGAGAATTCCTGGAGAACAGGTGAAGTCCCAGCAGACTGGAGGAGGGCAAATGTTGTCCCTATTTTCAAAAAGGGGAAAAGAGAGGACCCAAATAATTACCGCCCAGTCAGTCTGACATCAATACCAGGGAAGATTCTAGAGCAGATCATTAAGCAAACAGTCTGTGAGCACCTAGAAAGGAATGCTGTGATCACCAATAGTCAGCATGGATTTCTGAAAAATAAGTCATGTCAGACTAACCTGATCTCGTTTTTGACAGAATTACAAGCCTGGTAGATGAAGGGAACGCAGTGGATGTAGCCTACCTTGATTTCAGCAAGGCATTTGACAAGGTGCCCCATGATATTCTTGTAAAGAAGCTGGTAAAATGCAGTCTTGACTATGCTACCACTCAGTGGATTTGTAACTGGCTGACTGACCGACCGAACCCAAAGGGTGCTCATCAATGGTTCCTCTTCATCCTGGAGAAGAGTGACTAGTGGGGTGCCACAGGGTTCTGTCTTGGGCCCGGTCTTATTCAACATCTTTATCAACGACTTGGATGATGGACTCAAGGGCATCCTGATCAAATTTGCAGATGACACCAAACTGGGAGGGGTGGCTAACACCCCAGAGGACAGGATCACACTTCAAAATGACCTTGACAGATTAGAGAACTGGGCAAAAACAAACAAGATGAATTTTAACAGGGAGAAATGTAAAGTATTGCACTTGGGCAAAAAAAATGAGAGGCACAAATACAAGATGGGTGACACCTGGCTTGAGAGCAGTACATGTGAAAAGGATCTAGGAGTCTTGGTTGACCACAAACTTGACATGAGCCAACAGTGTGACGCAGCAGCTAAAAAGCCAATGCAATTCTGGGCTGCATCAATAGGAGTATAGTATCTAGATCAAGGGAAGTAATAGTGCCACTGTATTCTGCTCTGGTCAGACCTCACCTGGAGTACTGTGTCCAGTTCTGGGCACCACAGTTCAAGAAGGACACTGACAAACTGGAACATGTCCAGAGGAGGGCAACCAAAATGGTCAAAGGCCTGGAAACGATGCCTTATGAGGAACGGCTAAGGGAGCTGGGCATGTTTAGCCTGGAGAAGAGGAGGTTAAGGGGTGATATGATAGCCATGTTCAAATAAATAAAAGGATGTCACATAGAGGAGGGAGAAAGGTTGTTTTCTGTTGCTCCAGAGAAGCGTACACGGAGCAATGGATCCAAACGACAAGAAAGAAGATTCCACCTAAACATTAGGAAGAACTTCCTGACAGTAAGAGCTGTTCGACAGTGGAATTTGCTGCCAAGGAGTGTGGTGGAGTCTCCTTCTTTGGAGGTCTTTAAGCAGAGGCTTGACAACCATATGTCAGGAGTGCTCTGATGGTGTTTCCTGCTTGGCAGGGGGTTGGACTCAATGGCCCTTGTGGTCTCTTCCAACTCTATGATTCTATGGGTAGGCAAACTAAGGCCTGGGGGCCAGATCCAGCCCAGTCGCCTTCTAAATCTGGCCCGCGGACAGTCTGGGAATCAGCATGTTTTTACATGAGTAGAATGTGTGCTTTTATTTAAAATGCATCTCTGGCTTATTTGTGGGGCATAGGAATTCGTTCATCCCTCCCCCCCAAAAAATATAGTCCGGCCCCTCACAAGGTCTGAGGGACAGTGGACTGGCCCCCTGCTGAAAAAGTTTGCTGACCTCTCCGCCAGACTAACCTCCCCGGGGAGAGCATTCCACAAACAGGGAGCCACTGCAGAAAAGGCCCGTTCTTGTGTTGCCACCCTCCGGACCTCTTGTGGAAGAGGCACATGAAGAAGGACCTCAGATGGTGATCTTGGGGTCTGGGGATGGGATGAAGCCAACAAAGTTAGCGCAAGAATTTCCACCTGTGCAATAGTACTTCCTCTTGCTATTCTTTCCTCTCTTTATGCAACTCCTGTGCCCCTCTAAACAGATCTTTTTTTGCACTGGTGGGGTGGGTTGCACAGGGAGTGGAGTGGGACAAGAAACCCTATTGCCCACCCCACCCCCAATATTCTAAAGAGGGTCTCTTCTCCAGTCTTCAGAGAGTAGCTGGAAGTGGGGAGGCAGAAAGGTCCTCCTCTCCTTCCACTCTGCAGTTTTAATCTGAAACCTTAGGTGTGGTACTGCGCCCAGAGCTCAGAAACTGATCACGCTAATGAAATTCCCTGTCGCAAAATGCACCTAGAACAATGGGAGTTTTGAACACTGGCAGGAAGCGGACATGGACTTCCTGACAGCAAGAGCTGTTCGACAGTGGAATTTGCTGCCAAGGAGTGTGGTGGAGTCTCCTTCTTTGGAGGTCTTTAAGCAGAGGCTTGACAACCATATGTCAGGAGTGCTCTGATGGTGTTTCCTGCTTGGCAGGGGTTGGACTCGATGGCCCTTGTGGTCTCTTCCAACTCTATGGTTCTATGATTCTATGATTCTATGAAAAGGATTCCACTGTAAATATGCCTTGCCATCATTATATCCATTCCCCAGGAAAAAACCCTCTTGATATCTAGTCTATGGGCATGTGTGGGGTTACGTAGCTTCCTATAATTGAGTGCTTGGTTCAAAAGAAACTGATAGCTCAGAACTGGTAATGCCACAGACTCTGTCACCTTTTATCTTAAACTCTGCTCACCCAGTGCATTTGAAGCTGATTATGTCCCCCAAAGTGTTCTGGGAACTGTAGTTTGATATGGGTACTGGGTATGATAGCTGTGTGAGGCGTAAAGTTCCCAGAATTCTTTGGGGGAAGTAATGTGCTTTAAATGTATGGTGCATACATAGCCTCTTATCCCTCTCCCACAATGTCCTACACTAATTGCACAAAAATAAAAGCAGGTTAGGGTTGGCTAAAGGAGAAACGACTTTCGAACTGGACTGAAGTTAGCTTTTTGTAAGGCCACCAAAGTGGAAGATAGCCCAGTCTGCATATTAGTGGCGTGCTGTGTTATTTTTTTTTATATGTCTGTTGTAAATGTGAGTCACACAACTAGGTGTGTAATCATGCCAGTTGTGTAATCACGCTTGATATGCAGGTTCTCTGATGAAATGTGTAGTAGCCAAGAGGTGCACAGTCTGTTTATTTCTCTGCATAAGCTTCTTTCAATCCTGCACTGCATTGGGGAAGGGCTTTTGTTTGTGTGTAATGCTGTAGCGTGCTTTTGAAAAGATAGGCTCCTTCTTTGGTTAAGGCAGTGGTTTGGGATTTGGAAGGTCATTGCTTCAATCCTCTCTTCCTGTCTGGGAGCAATTACTCAAGATCACTTAGCAGGATCACTTACTCCTTTAATCTTCTCGTTGAACTCACACCTACAGAGGCTCAGGAGTCCAGTGTCAGGGCTTGTTCCTCCCCTGTGCAGTGCATGCTTGTGGGTGAAGAGAGGGCTGTGAATATGCAGTCTGGGGTTGGTAGTTCTTTTCCATCAGAGTGGTGAATGCAAAGCACAAGGATGTGGGTGTGGGGGGCATAGGCATCACCGTGAAGTTTCAAAATATTTGGAAGGATCTCAGAGTAGGGGTGTGGCTTTCACAGGTATTTAGTATGCAGAAGTTCAAAACAAATGCATGTGTTTGGCAGCCCTGGAAATCAAGCCACACACAGGGTGTCTGAGGCTTTAGACAGTCCTATTCAACAGTGGTTGCAGGATGGAGGCACGATGAAGGCAAATATCTGCAGTGCTCTTTGTGTCTTCCTGCTTATGTCTGCAGTATTGACAAACAGATCGTTTTCAGGTCAGATTGCTGCTCCTGCAGTCTATTGCTCCAGTGGCGTCTCTTCAGAATACAGTGGTACCTTGGGTTACAAACACCTCGGGTTACAAACACTTCGGGTTACAGACTTCACTAACCTGGAAGTAGTACCTCGGGTTAAGAACTTTACCTCAGGATGAGAATAGAAATTGTTCGGCGGCAGCAGGAGGCCCCGTTAGCTAAAGTGGTACATCAGGTTAAGAACAGTTTCAGGTTAAGAACAGACCTCCGGAACGAATTAAGTTCGTAACCAGAGGTACCACTGTATATTGAATAGAGACAGAATCTGATAGACACAAATGGTATCTCCAGGCCTCTCTCTACATTGCTTGATGCAGTCAGTGCTGCAGAGCCTTTAAACAAGCTATGCTGAGCCTGCCTGTCTGAGGGCGCAAGCATTTCCTCATTGGTTAAGGACCCATCTGGTTGCTTAGGATATTACATAAATAATTCCAAGGTGCAATTGGTTAATGTTCTTGAGTGTCTCCCTTGATCTCTGCCTTTGTCTCTAAAGCAGGTTTTTCTATATCAGTGCTATTGGCACAAGGGTGGGTGGGGGAATGGATTCTGAGATGTTCTTAGCACTGCCCAAGGCTTTTGCTTCAACACAATGTTGTATGTTGTGATGATTGTTTGATTACTGTCACTCCACCTGAGTGGATCTCAAGGCGGGTTACACCACAAAACCACAATATAAAAAATGCAAAATACATAACAAAATAAGATTTAAAAAACCCAATAATCTCCCCTCTCACGATACATTTGAAAGTATATCGGATGTTAAAGGTCTATAATGAAAGCGCCAGACCAAAAAGCCAATGCAATTCTGGGCTGCATCAATAGGAGTATAGTATCTAGATCAAGGGAAGTAATAGTGCCACTGTATTCTGCTCTGGTCAGACCTCACCTGGAGTACTGTGTCCAGTTCTGGGCACCACAGTTCAAGAAGGACACAGACAAACTGGAACGTGTCCAGAGGAGGGCAACCAAAATGGTCAAAGGCCTGGAAACAATGCCTTATGAGGAACGGCTAAGAGAGCTGGGCATGTTTAGCCTGGAGAAGAGGAGGTTAATGGGTGATATGATAGCCATGTTCAAATATATAAAAGGATGTCACATAGAGGAGGGAGAAAGGTTGTTTTCTGCTGCTCCAGAGAAGCGGACACGGAGCAATGGATCCAAACTACAAGAAAGAAGATTCCACCTAAACATTAGGAAGAACTTCCTGACAGTAAGAGCTGTTTGACAGTGGAATTTGCTGCCAAGGAGTGTGTGGAGTCTCCTTCTTTGGAGGTCTTTAAGCAGAGGCTTGACAACCATATGTCAGGAGTGCTCTGATGGTGTTTCCTGCTTGGCAGGGGTTGGATTCGATGGCCCTTGTGGTCTCTTCCAACTCTATGATTCTATGATTCTATGGGTAGGCAAACTAAGGCCTGGGGGCCGGATCCAGCCCAGTCGCCTTCTAAATCTGGCCCGCGGACAGTCTGGGAATCAGCATGTTTTTACATGAGTAGAATGTGTGCTTTTATTTAAAATGCATCTCTGGCTTATTTGTGGGGCATAGGAATTCATTCATCCCTCCCCCCCCAAAAAAATATAGTCCGGCCCCTCACAAGGTCTGAGGGACAGTGGACTGGCCCCCTGCTGAAAAAGTTTGCAGACCCCTCCGCCAGACTAACCTCCCTGGGGAGAGCATTCCACAAACAGGGAGCCACTGCAGAAAAGGCCCGTTCTTGTGTTGCCACCCTCTGGACCTCTTGTGGAAGAGGCACATGAAGAAGGACCTCAGATGGTGATCTTGGGGTCTGGGGATGGGATGAAGCCAACAAAGTTAGCGCAAGAATTTCCACCTGTGCAATAGTACTTCCTCTTGCTCTTCTTTCCTCTCCTTATGCAACTCCTGTGCCCCTCTAAACAGATCTTTTTTTGCACTGGTGGGGTGGGGAGTGGAGTGGGACAAGAAACCCTATTGCATAGTAGGAGGTCCTTGCGCTAACAGGATGACTCCATTAAATGCAACCAGATTTTGTGTGTATCTCAAATATTTCCCTGAGTTGAAACCTTGGGAAAGAGTTTCTGGGAAAGGGTCCTATATGCTGTTCAAACAACTGGCAAAGGCAGTTACTGATTAAGCCTGGGCAGTGTATAGTTTGTCATGATTCAAAGTCTTGAGGAAAACAGGCTTTACTGAAATCTTCACAAAAGTTTATGCCGTAAAATATTTCTTTGTCTTTAAGGTAACTTCCATTGTGTGTTTTCACTAACAAGGTAGCTTGTTTCACAATTTTTTTTCAAAATTTTGGTGGGTGTTTTTTCCCACAGTCAGAGAAATTTATTGCATGGTGGTTGGGGTCTGGATCACCAAGTGTTCAAAATGTGAGACGTATGCTTTCAAATTGCAAGTGTCAGAAGATACTTAATCTTTAAGTTTCAAGGACTGAAAGGAGAGGGCATTGAAACAGCCCTCAAAGACTTCCTTAGATAGCGAGTCTCCTGGCTAATATCCTGTTTACTAATACTTGGCACTGTTGGTTTCTTCCATACCCACTCCCCTTGTTTAATTTACAAGTCAAATGTACCCAGTTTCCTGCCTTACATGACCCTCACTGGGGAATGAGGAGGACTTAATCATACATGGGGAGGGATTATAGTCTTGGTTGCCATTGTCCTTTGTGTTCACTGTATAACAAACAGCTTCCAGTTCTGGTTGATGTCAGCATAGGCTTATTAATCCCAAATGTTTGAAATGTAACAGTTAGCATTTTTTAAAAATCTATATTTTTATTTTTTATTTTTATTTTTGCTTCTAGGGTTAGCCTGTACCCTCATGCATACTTTTCCAGCAGTAAACACCACTGGATGTACTTCTGAGTAAATCTTGCAGCACAGAGCACTTTTCAATGTTATATATTCAAATCCTCCTCCCCAACCATAGCCAAAGCGTAACTCCTGCCAGAAGAAAATGATTGAAAGAGAGGAACTCATTGGGTTGCCAGACCCCAGTGTATTTCATGTCTGGAAGATAGAGAACAGAGGAAGTGGGAATGAAGGCAGGCAGGCAGGAATGATGTAATAATCCTCCCCCACCCCCTCATTTTGAGGGAATAACCATGTGACACACTGGAGATTTGTAAAAGTGGTTCCCATGACAAAGAGCATGCTTGACAAACTGTGCAAACATTTGCATGTAATCAGGAAGCGTCAGTGAAATGCACTTGCTTTGTATATGTGCATGTCCAGGGTTGGTATTCGTTTGTCTCAAGGGACAATGGAGTGCGCCTCTAGGGGTGAGGTCAAACCACTACATTAGCAGCGCTAAAGCCTGGGCAGTGTGTAGGTCCTGGGATGCCCAGAAGACAACACACACACACCCTGCCTTGCTGATACGGTCCAGAGGAAAGCAGAGCAATATGTTTGGCACCAGCTTGGCTGCAGGAATGGCCGGAAGTATACAAGGCGCCATCCAAACGCCTTAGGAACTCCACTCCAGATCTGTGTAGGGTTTACTCCTTAGTCTTTGTCTTCTTCCAAAGATATCCTGCAAGGCAACAGAGGTTTAAGATCAGAGTCTTCCTTCTCCTAGTTGAGCTACCTTCCCTGGTTGACGAGTCCCACATGCACCCTACATCACATGCAGAAACCGCCTTCTTGACTGTTGGACCCACTATTGGTCTCATCCACTCAATCCACTGAAGCCTTTCTTCAAATGCAGGGGAAATTCCTGACTCACAGAGGGTTTGAGACCCATCAGCTACCCTCACCTGGTTTAGCTGGCCAGTTGAAGCCGTTTCCTGGGGTGTGGCCACTGTTGCATGCTGACAGCTTCTAGGAGTCACAGATCAGAGCTGAGTGTAGGGTAAGGACCAAAGGTGGACAAGCTACGCTAGAGAGAGCATTATGTGTCCCCCCCACCTCATGGCATACTACCCCCAACACCCCATACACCCCAGGGTAATGTGTGGTAAAGGGTAACTCTTGCATGTCCTCTCTGGGGAGAGGCCTGTGCATCTCAAGGGGGATTTTTTGCACTAAATCAAATTATTTCCATATATTTATCCAAGAAATCCAGAAAGAGGACATGTGCATGGTGTTTTCTTTGCCATATCATGAGAAATCACACTGCGTTTGTTCTGGGTGAGTGCTATGATGCCACCAACCAACCTCCCCCTTTTTTGGTTCATGTGGGGCAACTCTGGATATCTGTGAAAAAAGCAAAGGGAGCCATGTTGGTTCACAAGAAATATTCCAAAATCCACAGCATTCTAAGGACCAACAAAAATGTTACAAACTCTGTAGTGGACATAGCTTTCAAGCCCAGAGTCTTTGTACAGCTCAGCTGTTAACACTGAGCATAAAGATGTTTGTACAAGATGAAACATATATTAGAAAAAACGTATCTTAGAGTTGGAAGGACTCACAAAGACTCACTGCCACACCACCACTGATAGGTAACTGTCCAGCCTCTGCTTAAAAACCTTTAACTAATGAGAATTCACCACCGTCTATGACATGAGAGCTGCAATGTTTAATGTTTAACTAAATGCAGCCATGGAATTTGTGAGTGCTAATTTGATTAGGGAAGAAGCACAGAGGTGAATATTTTAAACTTATTATCCCTTCACTGTTTGCCTGTTCTAAATTGTTCTCACACAGACGCGTGTATATGTGCGCGCACACACATACACACAGAGTTGCTCTTTGTTCCATTCAGAGAAAAATACTGGCATAAAACAAGTTCCTGTATCACACACACACAGCAAATAGGCATCTTTGGGAGGGCAATGTTGTAAATAAAAATATGCCCTTTTCCCTTATGGGGTATCCAAGAGCCCATATAGAGTCCTTACATAGGTTCCCTATTGGTAGGAGAAAATAACAGAGGCCAACCAGAGAATATTGAGAAGCAAAGCAGCTAGTAAGCTTGATCTTTATTAATCTGTTGCAACAGGGTGCTCCCCTCACACGCAGGAGAGGAAGAGGACCCCCAAAAATGCTGTGCAATGGCTTATAAAGACTTTTGAAATTCCCATCCTCTAGATCAAGACCACCCCCCAGAAACATTATGCATACATCACAGAAGGGGTGTAACCTAAGACCACCCCTCAGATACATCCCACCTACATCACAGAAATTTAAATGTACTTTTTCTCCTGTCACAGTTTATCTCCTGTCTGGCAAGTTACTTGATTGGATTGCCTGGGGAGCCTGGCCATTCTTTTATAGTGGTAAAATACTTATTTCCTGGGCCAGGTCACAGGCTCACACCTTATTCAAACAGACATATCCTTGAGACAGGATCTGTGAGGAAAGAGACAATGGGGAGGCTTTTCCATCTTTACCATGCAGAGAAACATTTGCTCAGTTTAGGAATCAAAATGGTTCCAGGTTGGCCTTCCTGTGCTGATCCATGTACGTGTGGTTATGAACGTTGCCATATATCTAAAACCATAAAATTCCTATCACAGCAAGTTCAATCAGGAAAACATGGGGCAGATGGATTAAACACCTGCACCAAAACAACACTTCCTTGATCAAATTGGCTGCCCACTGACTTCACAGCTGCATTAAGTAAAATAAATAAATAAATGCCCTGGTGCTGTGATAGGAATTTTGAGGTCTTAGATATATGGTAATGTTCATAAGTGTACCAGCCAAGCACGTACATAGATCAGCACAGGAAGACCAACCTGGAACCATTTTGATTCCTAAACTGAGCAAATGTTTTCTCTGCAAGGTCAAAGTGGGAAACTTCCCCATTGTGTCTTTCCTCACAAATCCTGTCTTAAGGGCACATTTAAGATATGAATAGGGTGTGAGCCTGTGACCTGGCCCAGGAACTAAGTATTTATCATTACAAAAGATTGGCTAGGCTCCCCAGTCAATCCAATCAAGTAACCTGCCAGACAGGAGAAAAACAATGACAGGAGAAAAACAACATTCAAATTTCTGTTTTAAACCACCTTTTTTGTGATGTAGGTGTGATGTTCCTGGGGGGTGGTCTTAGGTTACACCCCTTCTGTGATGTATGTATGATGTTTCTGGGGGTGGTCTTGATCTTGTTGTTGTTTAGTCGTGTCCGACTCTTCGTGACCCCATGGACCAGAGCACGCCAGGCACCCCGTCCTCCACTGCCTCCCGCAGTTTGGTCAAATTCATGCTGGTAGCTTCGAAGACGCTATCCAACCATCTCATCCTCTGTCGTCCCCTTCTCCTTGTGCCCTCCATCTTTCCCAACATCAGGGTCTTTTCCAGGGAGTCTTCTCTTCTCATAAGGTGGCCAAAGTATTGGAGCCTCAGCTTCACGATCTGTCCTTCCAGTGAGCACTCAGGGCTGATTTCCTTAAGAATGGAGAGGTCTGATCTTCTTGCAGTCCATGGGACTCTCAAGAGTCTCCTCCAGCACCATAATTCAAAAGCATCAATTCTTCGGCGATCAGCCTTCTTTATGGTCCAGCTCTCACTTCCATACATCACTACTGGGAAAACCATAGCTTTTACTATACGGACCTTTGTTGGCAAGGTGATGTCTCTACTTTTTAAGATGTTGTCTAGGTTTGTCATTGCTTTCCTCCCAAGAAGCAGGCGTCTCTTAATTTCGTGGCTGCTGTCACCATCTGCAGTGATCATGGAGCCCAAGAAAGTAAAATCTCTCACTGTCTCCATTTCTTCCCCTTCTATTTGCCAGGAGGTGATGGGACCAGTGGCCATGATCTTCGTTTTTTGATGTTGAGCTTCAGACCATATTTTGCGCTCTCCTCTTTCACCCTCAATAAAAGGTTCTTTAATTCCTCCTCACTTTCTGCCATCAAGGTTGTGTCATCTGCATATCTGAGGTTGTTGATATTTCTTCCAGCAATCTTAATTCCGGCTTGCGAATCATCCAGCCCAGCCTTTCGCATGATGAATTCTGCATATAAGTTAAATAAGCAGGGAGACAATATACAGCCTTGTCGTACTCCTTTCCCAATTTTGAACCAATCAGTTGTTCCATATCCAGTTCTAACTGTAGCTTCTTGTCCCACATAGAGATTTCTCAGGAGACAGATGAGGTGATCAGGCAGTCCCATTTCTTTAAGAACTTGCCATAGTTTGCTGTGGTCAACACAGTAAAAGGCTTTTGCATAGTCAATGAAGCAGAAGTAGATGTCTTTCTGGAACTCTCTAGCTTTCTCCATAATCCAGCGCATGTTTGCAATTTGGTCTCTGGTTCCTCTGCCTCTTCTAAATCCAGCTTGCACTTCTGCGAGTTCTCGGTCCGCATACTGCTTGAGCCTTCCTTGTAGAATTTTAAGCATAACCTTGCTAGCGTGTGAAATGAGTGCAATTGTGTGGTAGTTGGAGCATTCTTTGGCACTGCCCTTCTTTGGGATTGGGATGTAGACTGATCTTCTCCAATCCTCTGGCCACTGCTGAGTTTTCCAAACTTGCTGGCATATGGAGTGTAGCACCTTAACAGCATCATCTTTTAAAATTTTAAATAGTTCAGCTGGAATACCATCACTTCCACTGGCCTTGTTATTTGCAGTGCTTTCTAAGGCCCATTTGACTTCACTCTCCAGGATGTCTGGCTCAAGGTCAGCAACCACACTACCTGGGGTGTACGAGACATCCATATCTTGGTCTTGATCTACAGGGTGGCAATTTCAAAAGTCTTTATAAGGCCTTGCGCACCATTGTTCTGGGTTCCTCCTCCCTCCCTTGTGTGGTGAGTGAGGACTCTGTTGCAACAGATCAATAAAGATCAGGCTTACTAGCTGCTTTGCTTCTCAATATTCTTTGGTTGGCCTCTGTTATTTTCTCCTACCAATAGGGAACCTATGTAAGGACTCTATATGGGCTCTTGGATACCCCATAAGGGAAAAGGGCAATTTTTGTTTACAAGAGTGCTAAGAAGTCAGCATTCTAGGCAAGGAAAGCTGACTGATTTCAAAGAAAGACAACTTTCTCCATGCAATGCATGCCTGAAGATATGCAAAGCACTTGAAAGAAACTTCATTAGCAGAAGTTACACCAGTCAACTGTTTTATTATTCTTTCTGTGTGCAGAAGGCAAGAAGGAAATAGCTCTTTCTCCATGGTTAGTAAACGGTTATATATATATATATATAATGAGATGTGTGTGCACATTGGCGCGCACACACACACACACACACAGAGAGAGAGAGAGAGAGAGAGATGTGTGTGCACATTGGCTTCTGCAAACCAGAAAGAAGTCACCTTTCTTTTTAGACACTGCAAGGAATTTTCCCAGCCTGTGTCAGCCTTCTTTAGCAACAAATGTGGTTGAGTGGGCGCACAGGAAGTTGCTAACCATGAAGCTGGGGGAAATTAGTACAGAACGCCGAGCAAGTCACTGTGTTAGGAAACTTAGGGCTGCGGTTAGAAAAATGTGTAGGCTGCTTTGTAGTGCTTCCAAATTACAGCTGTATCATTGACAGCGGGTAAACACATCACTCCTCCTTCTCCTGAATATGAATAAGCTTCAGCAGGACAAGTATATCAACTGCCCATAACATTCTTGTTAGAAATATATAGACTCCTTTCTTGAAAATCAGTACACATGTGCAGATTAATCACTTCATCACTTTCCTTGTTTGCTACAGTCTTTTGTATTCCTGCCTTCTTTGCTAAAGTCTGTATATCTTGCATTCCAGAATTAATATTGATTAAGAAAGTCAAAGAGCAGCCGAATCTTGTGTAACCTCCAGTCTTCTGTAGATCTGCTGTTTAGCACAAAGCAAGCCTGAATTAAGACTTTTCATGCATACTTTGTAGTCCAGACTTGGTGGGTGAGATGCAAATGGACTAAGGGGAAAAGGAAGTGGTGTTTTTCCACTTCAGATAACTTTCCAGCTATTTATCTGGGCCCGACATGCATGAGTCAACCATGGTGTGCAACATTTTCACACTGACTGTTGGCCTTGTTTGTGAAAGGAGACAGACCTTTGCTTGGAGGTAGAGCTTGGATTTTTCCTAATGCTGCTGAGGGCAAAATGTGCGCCCTAACTGGGAATAAGCATATGTTCTTGTGCTCTTTCTATTTTCAGTGCTAAATATGACTTAGGGCTTTTCAAATACATGAATATGTTTCTTTGGGATTTGGCAGTCTGTATATACCTATCACAGTTAACATCTGACCTCTAGACACTAGAAGTGGTGGTGTTATAACTCAGGGGTGGGGAACTTCTAGGCCGTGGGCCAATCTTGGCTAGGCAGGGGTCCAGTTTGGCCCCATGGGGCCATTTCCCCCAAATCACGCCCACCTGTCAATCAGCTGGTGTGCTCGCTGTTTCTCTTGCATCTATTAAGCTGGGCCATGGGGTATGGGAAGATAAAGACCTGGCCTGCCAGGACAAATAGTTCCCCCACCCCTGGAACTATTGTCTAAGACACATTGCCTTCAGACTTCTGCATCTGCTCATATTGCATGCATTTGCTCTCATGTCTAAGCTTGAGCATGTCTTGAATTCAGACATAACCCTTCTCCTGAAGAGGACCTATGTATAAGGCTGCATATGGGTGTAAACAGATAGGTATGTTGCATTCCCCTTCATCTCCCAAGGGGGAGCAGCTGGAAGCAAGGAGTTATGTCTTGCTGCTGGGTGTTGCCTTGCAATGCCAAATTCCTGATCTCTCCAAGGAGCAGGAGCTGTTGATGCTCACCTGTTGCTTTCTTTCTTTTCCAGGCTTCTTCTTTGCCCCTGAATTCCCAGGAGGATGAGCCAGCAGAATGGGGAGCAGTCCAATCTGTCTCATTCGCTCTTTGACACTTTTCTCCATGCCAAGCAGTGCAAAGAGGTGCTGGGAAGTTTTGAGGCGCTTTGCAGACACCTGGGACTGGAGCATACTGGCCAGCTCCAGTTCTATCACAAGCTCAAGTCTCGCCTCAACTACTGGAGTGCCAAGGCTTTGTGGACCAAGCTAGACAAGAAGGCCGGGCACAAAGATTATGATCAGGGGACAGCATGTGCCAACACCAAGGTAAGGTGGCAGAACTGCGGTTGCTATGCTGCAGAGAATAGCCTACCTCAGGGTTGGGGGAACCTTTTCATCCTGGCGGGCCACATCTTTATCTCCACCACCCTGAGCGGCCAACTTTTGACAGGTCATTTGTGCTGCCCACCTGTCAACGTTTGCCCACTGGGGGAGATGCTACACAAAGGAGGATTGAACTCTCTATGCATCAGCTGATGTGCCAGTTCAGTTCAGCTTTTTTCAGCCGGGTCTCTACCTGCCTCACACCTGATGTCACAAATGACATCAGATGTGGGGCAGGTGCAAGTGGTTTTAGAAAAATGACCATGTGGGCCAAATAGGAACACCTGGTGGACCAGGTTTGGTCTGTGGGCTGAAGGATCTGCAGCCCTTGTCTACTTGATGGTCATCACATGAGATGCTGAACATTCTAGGCCTCTCCTCTGGTGGCCAGTACCAAGGACCATCTTCCTGTGTTTCCCAGATGCTGAAGCAGGCCTATTTCTTAAATGTGTGCTAAACTTCAGCAGTGCAGATGAGCATATCTGGGTTATTTTTCGTATTCTGTGGTTGCTGTACTTCTACCTCCAATTCCTGATTAGTTACTATACGTAATGTAAACATTAGTTCTGCCTACCCCTACGTGCATTGCTTCAATGTTTTATCATTACTTCCTAGTTCTTAACTTACAGAAGTAGATCGTCTGTTGTGTTCCTGTTATTCTAAAAGATAACTCGCACTGATAATGGTGGGGTTTCCATTGATTTCCAAACGTGTAGGCAATTGTGCTCCTGAATAACCCTTCCAAAGTTCACTTTACACATTAAAATCAAGATTTAATTTCATTGTCACCAACAAACCAATCACCACACAGCACATAAGCAAACGGAGATGATGCAGTATGGTTTCTTCGTAAAACCTCAAAACAAAAAAAGGTAAATTAAAAGGAAAAATTGAGAAAGACCAGTGTCGTGAAAATCTTTCAAAATATGTGAACACTTGGAATTGTGAAACCTGAAGGAAAGGAAAGAAAGAGAAGAGAAGCCATTCCTATATATATATATATATATATATATATATATATATATATATATATATTATTTATTAAGTTTCTATCCCACCCTTCCTCCCAAAGAAGCTCTGAGTGGCTGTTAAAAGATTCTGTCCATGAAACCCTGTAGCTCAGGAGAACCACCTTCCCTGCTTAACATCACACCCAGGGATGCCTAATATAATTGACAATCCAGCCATGTGAGAAATGCAGGGAGCCCTTGCGGTCGAGACTCCAACTGTTACCGCACGGAAGATTGTGTTGCAGGAGGATTAAATGCCCTACTTTTGTGCTAAATCGTATGGCTAAGTAACCACAGGACAGAAAAGCCTACAGGATGGTAAATTGGTACTTTGTATTGTTTCCTAGTTGTCTTCCCTTGGGAGCGAGCTTCTGTTTCAGAAACACTTAACTTCTTCCTAGCACTTAAGCAGCAACAGGTTATTGCTGGGAAAATGTGACTCTTTGCTGAGCTTGTGGAGCTTTGGGAATGTGAAGTGCTGAACAGTCCGGACTGTGATTGTGTGAACATCACCACTCATGATGAGTGACTCTTGGCTCCATGTCACTTTGTGACTCTGTACTGTGTCCAGGGATGGCTCCAGGTTTGAGAGTGATGGAGACAAAGGGAACTCTGGAGGGCCTTACTGGGCTTACTTAGTGGCAGCACAAAGCACTGGATGGCAAGGAAGGTGTCCTGAAAATCTCTCTGAACCTTTGCCAGGCAGCTAGGGATGGTTGGTTGAATTTCCCACAATGCCCTGTCCTGGAACAAAGCTATGCCATCTTGTGGGAGATTGCCATTTTGTGGCTAGTCTCGGCTAGGAGCATCAGGCTGAATTTCTTTTTAAGGGGGGAACCACTGGCAGGAATGGGGTTGACCTTTGGTAGCTGCCCAAGGATGCTTAGTGCTGGTCTGTCAGGTTCTGCTCTATGGAGTAAGGGCTGCCTTCCTTCCAACCCCATATACGGATTCAAACTGCCTTTGAACGGAGGCTAAGCAGTTCAGCTTGAGGTGACTGCCAAGATAAACCTTAAACGTACGCTCTGAGAGTAGGGCTCAGAAGTATGTAGCAGATCTTGGAATGCCCTGCAAAAATAATGTTTGGATCTGCAGTGACTTGTTGGGGTGTACAGGCAAGAGGGGCAGCACCGGGCCTTAGGTGGTTTGGAGTGTAAACATCTGTTGCAAAAATCTTGGTGGATGTTTAAGAACTTCCTGTATGGCTGGATCTGTTGCAACAAAGCATGATTCAAATTCTGACTGTCCACTCATGTGATTGAATGGCTGCTTTGCTGAAGGAGACTGAGACAAGTCACTCTGTGTGGGTTCGCCATACTTAAGTTCCGTGCTAAAACAGGTTTTTTTTAAAAAAAAAAATCCCTGAAGAAGGTGTTTATAGTAGTGAGAGGACAAGACCACGGTAATGGCAAAAAACAGTTAACTGCAGAGCAGTGGTGTCCAAACTGTTTTCAAAAAGGGCCAGATTTGATGAAGTGAAGGGCCGTGAGGGTCGGCCAAAGGGCCAACTAAAGTTGTTAACCTTTTTTTAGGTCACTCAGGAAGTAAGCTGCTACAGGGGCCAGATTAAACCACCGGCAGGCCGGATTAGGCCCCCGAATCGGACTTTGGACATGCCTGCTGCAGAGGCTGCTGGGTCTTCCTTTGCCTCTGAAAAGGAGCATTGTGCCCGCCTGCTCTTTTGACATAATGCCAAGCTCACAGTCACTCTTATGGATTGTATGTTACCTGCCTGCTCCAGAGGCTGCGGCCACAGCAGCTTCCAAGTGTAAGCACTGTCTCCTTTATGGCACCATTTTATAAACTTACCACCCGGTGATAATTCTTTTTCCAGTGCCTGATTATTGGGGCAGGCCCTTGCGGCCTCCGCTCGGCGATTGAACTGGCCTTCCTTGGAGCCCATGTGGTGGTGGTGGAGAAGAGAGACTCCTTTTCCCGGAACAATGTGCTGCACCTTTGGCCTTTCAGCATCCAAGACCTGCGGGCTCTGGGAGCTAAGAAATTCTATGGCCACTTCTGCACAGGATCCTTGGATCACATCAGTAAGTAATGCAGAACGGACCAGGGCAGGGAAAGTATCTCCAACATTATGGAATAGTGGTGAGAAACCAGCATTACCAGCTAATGGGAGCGAGTAGTGGTGGGAGTGGGTAGGATGGAATATTAATTAATTAATTAATGGCTTGGTCTAGAAAGCATTTACTGAAAAAGTAATTTAAAAGTGCGTTTAAAGGTCCAGCATCCTTATGTAAACTGAACATTTACTGCAAAATGTAGCATTTCTGCTTTCGAAAGGGCGTTCTCAGGAATTGGTTCTTACTAGATAGCTCAGTCGATGGAACATGAGGCTTTAATCTCAGGGTTGTGAGTTCGAGCCCCACATGGAGCAAAAAGATTCCTGCATTGCAGGGGGTTGGACTAGTTGACCCCCATGGTCTCTTGCAGCTCTACGATTCTACGGTGTGTCTCCTAAGGAGGGTTGTGTTTCACTGAGGGAACTGCAATGGGTACCCAAATTAAACTGTACAACAAGAAAGTAACTGTACATCAAGGTGGTACAAATTCAGAAAGAACAACATTGGATCAGTGTTTCAAATAAATTAATAAATTGTGTAAGTAAATAAATCGGTCAAATTGCCAGTGTGGCAGAGGAATTAGCTGACTTTAACGATCGTTCCTGTCTTTTGGGCTTTGCTTTCAATTTAACACTATTGGCTTATTGGAGTTTAGCTTGTTGCACACTCTTCCTCCCAGCCTGCATCTAGAAAACCCTCCATGGTGCCATATTCAATAGCTCTTTAGGACTCAGTATCCCTCTTGTTGAAACTGGGGAAGGCCATGATTTTCCAACCCCATGACAGGGAAATCATGGAACAGGCTTCTTTCTGAAATTGGAAGAAGAGGTGGCTGGAAGGTGGAGCTGGGGTTTAAGGCAGTGCTTGCCTGAGAGCAACTTTGAAATGGGCACAGATGGGCTTGTTTGTTTGTTTAATTAGGCCTGCTCTGCTAATCCTCTCCTTCTCTGTCTTGCAGGCATCCGCCAGCTTCAGCTGATCCTGCTGAAAGTTGCCTTACTCTTGGGGGTTCAGGTTCACATCAATGTGCAGTTTAAGGGGCTCGTCCCACCTGCAGCAAATTCAGATGGACAAGGTAAGAACGACAAAAGTCCTAAGCCTTTGGAGTCCTTAAGGGCAATGCACCAATCCACACCCCTTGTTTCTGCAGGTGAGAAGGTAGCTCAGGACGTCACAGTGAAAAACTGTTTCATGGATGAGTTTCTTTTCTGTTCTGCCTCCACTTTCAAATGTTCATTTCCCCCTTACTTTGCCATAGAAGCAAAACCAGAAAGAAACCAAGCCATCAGACACACCCCGCCAAAAAATGCTCATGGTCTCTCACATCACTCACAACGCATGGCTCTGAGGCACATCTTGGTCAAGCTGTTACATTTTCATGGGTGTCCTGTTGGCTACGGGTCCCTCCACAAAGGCAATCCCATCCCATCTCCAAAATTGTGAACAAATGCAGTTCTGGAGTTTCAGACCAGGACATTATGGTGCCCTTAACACATTCCAAGACAGGATTGGGTTGCTTTTGAGACAGAGACCTGCAGTTTCTCCTGCTTTGTTCCTGCTTTCTTTATAAACATGCAAGTCTGGGGAAGGGTCTGGTGAATTTGACAGTCTTTGCAGCAGGGATCCTGATGATTCCATCCTCTGTTATTACAGTCAGTGGCTGGAGAGCCATCCTAAATCCTCCTTCGTGTCTTCTGAACCAGTGTGAATTTGACGTCCTCATCTCTGCTGGTGGTGGCAGGTTTGTGCCAGAAGGTAAGCAGCCCTTTAAGACCTCTAGTTAAGGTTGTGGGAGAATTTTACTTCGGATTTTTTTTGATGCTCCAGGTGTCTTATCAATAGCTCCTTAGGCCTCTAATAGCATCTCTCCTCAACACTGGAGGAAACTTGTGCCTCTGGCCTTGTGATGAGCAGGTTCCCCCCTTCCTGTGTACTGAGCACCTCCAACAGATAGAATAAAGGGCAAAGCTACAAGTTTTCTAGGAACAAACAGGGCAACTCAATGCAGATGCAGTCCAGTTTGTAGATATGGTGCCTAGCCAAGTGAAAGGCCAAAGCATTATTGCAGATTTTGGGGATGGTAGACACTTCCCCAAACCTCAGCTTTTATGACACTCAGAATTCAGGGGAGCCCTGCTTCCTATATTTTTGGTTGTTTGGGGAAATGTTTGTACAGTATTAATATTTGCCCTGGAATCTGCAAGTTGAGTGAAGTAGAGTTAACTGAAATTGCCTCTTTTTGTGTGTGTTTAAATTGATATACTGTTTTCCATTTTGTCACTTGGGGAGTTGGCCTAGAGACCATATGTTTGACACTTAAGGTTTTGGATTCAGGTAGGTAGCCGTGTTGGTCTGACGCAGTCGAAATAAATAAATAAAAAATGTCCAGTAGCACCTTAGAGACCAACTAAGTTGGTTCTGGGTATAAGCTTTCATGTGCATGCACACGAAAGCTTTTACCCAGAACCAACTTAGTCGGTCTCTAAGGTGCTACTGGACATTTTTTCCCCCGACTTAAAGTTTTGCTTTCATCTGCTCTGCTTCTCCTGATCTCCCTCAATACCAAATCAAGGGCTCCTCAGGAGGGCTTTAGGTGCATCGGCAAGAGCAGCTGCCCAGCCTACCACAACGCCAACCATTGATAATAGCTTGGGTCATAAAAAAATCTGAAAGGCATCTTGCCTTGGGGCAGGAGAGGAGATGAAAAGCAAAGGGAGAGGGAACAATCTCTGTAGACGCTTTGGCACCAGGAAGCTTGCTCTGGTGGCAGCTTTTACTGGGGCTTGCCCAGACCATTTTCAGAGCTGACCTGCCACTCCACTCCAGCATTTCCTTGCCCCTCTCCTTTCATTTCCCACACCTTTATAGGAGTGCTGCAGTATTTTTCAAGCCCTACCAACAATTCCACAAACAGAGAGACCCAATTCGGCTTTTGTGAAATGCTCCCAGCATTTCAGATCGTAATAGATGAGTACAATTGCCGTCCTGCCATGGTGCTGAGCTTTCTCTCAACGTTCAATCAGAATTCCTCATGGTGTCACCTTGAGAGCTGGTAAATACCATGCAACTCTTCAGAGATCTTGATATTCAATGGAGCTGGGGCTTGGCATTTGCTACTCCGCTACTAGAAATAGAGTGGCTAGTCTGGACACTTTTGGGGTGTTACCATATTTCAGATGAGGGAACAGGCCCCATGTTCTGTTCTTCTATCCTTTCCCTAGTTCTTTCACAAACTGCCAACCCCTCCCTTTCCTTCAGGACTAGCGCTGTTTGTGTGTTTATCTCCAGGCTTTAAGCGGAAGGAGACCCGTGGGAAATTGGCCATTGGCATCACCACCAACTTCGTTAATCACCACAGCAGGGCTGAGGTGGAGGTGGCCGAGATCAGCGGAGTGGCTCGCATCTACAACCAGAAATTCTTCCAAAATCTCTACAACAAAACAGGTCTGGGCCAGATGCTTCTTACCTACAGTTAATGACACTTTCCCCTTGTGCCTTCAATAAAATCTTTGTCATTCCGTAGTTTGCAGTGAGAGAAAATGGGGAAGCCCACATAGCAAATGGAAAAGGGTCAACCTGTCTCAAATACCTTTTTGACCAGTCCTGGATCCTTGCCATTTTGGATACATTTCAATAGAAGCTGAATAAATTATGTAAATCTGCTTGTTTGGGTAGTTTAGCAAATCAGGCTTTCTTGGCATGGGATTTTTGGCAGATAGGATATTTGTTTCCTCAAGTGCCAACTATATAAAGCTCTGTAAGGACAAAGGAAGAGTTCTGTTGGATCAAACCAAAGACCTGCTTTGTCAAAAATCCTGCTTTCTTACAGTGGCCAACCAGATGCCTTTGGGAAGTCTGCAAACCGATCATCAGGGCAACGGCCGGCCTCCCCGACTGTGGTTCCCCAGCAATTAGTATTCAGAGACACGCTGCCCTCTGGTCTTGAAAGCAACATGCAGCTATCATGACTAGTAGCTATTGATAGCCTTCCATGAATTTAAATCCATGTAAGCCATCTTACATGTTAATAATAATAATAATAATAATAATAATAATAATAAATTTATTTATACCCTGCCCATCTGGCTGGGTTTCCCCAGCCACTCTGGGCGGCTTCCAACAGAACATTAAAATACAATAACTTATTAAACATTAAAAGCTTCCCTAAACAGGGCTTCCTTCAGATGTCTTCTAAAAATCTGGTAGTACAAAGTACCATGTTACATCAGCAGAAGGCAATGGAAATTCCCTCCTCTTCTTCCTGCTGTGTGTGTCCTGTGTTCCCCCAAATCTACACCAGAATGTTGGGGGAACCCCTGGAACAGATTTAGGGGCACAGGGGGAGAAGAGGGCAGAAGAACATTCCTTTGCCCAAGCAGAAGTCCTTGCACTGATGGAAGCTTTGCGTAGTGCTAGGCTGAAAACAGCCCCCAGCCTTTAACCTTCTGCTTGTGTTTGAACAATTATAGGCATTGACTTGGAAAACATTGTCTACTATAAAGACGACACTCATTACTTCGTCATGACAGCCAAGAAGCAGAGCCTGCTGAAAAAAGGAGTTATCTTAAATGTACGTATAGAGACTGAAGCTCCTTCAAGTACCATGTGGGAGGGGATGGCGACCCCAAACCATCATTTGAATTTACATGCTTTGGAGGTGAAAGATCCTGCCAGGCCGAGAGCTGATTGACACACCCATAATCTTGAACTCTGCAACATTCCAATAAGATTTTTTTACTATTGCTATGGAAGATATCTTGGTCTCCATTCATTTCTAGGACAAGTCAGACATAGAGAGCCTGCTGTCTCCAGAGAATGTGAACCAAGAAGCTCTTCTTGCTTACGCCAAGGAAGCTGCCAACTTCTCCACCAATTACCAGCTGCCTGATTTGCAGTTTGCACTGAACCACCGCAGCCACCCAGATGTTGACATGTTCGACTTCACCTGCATGAGCCGCTCAGACAATGCAGCTCTGGTGCGTGACTGTAACGGCGCCAAGCTGCTCATTGGATTGGTGGGGGACTGCCTGGTGGAGGTAAGTGTCCCCATAATGAGACCACAACAAGCATATGGACAGAGTCCTTTTCACAGTGGGAGAGTGGGTGTGGTGGTGGTGCATCTCAACCATCCTTGATTGCAGTTCTCATTCACTTATCTGTCCATATGAACTGACCTACTTGTTCAGAAAAATCACATGGCACACTGCCTTGAAATTGTACTGGTTCAGTGGGGAGCAGGTGGTGCTGTGGTCTAAACCACTGAGCCTCTTGGGCTTGCTGATCTGAAGGTTGGCTGTTTGAATCCATGCAATGGGGTGAGCTCCCGTTGCTCTGTCCCAGCTCCTGCCAACCTAGCAATTCAAAAGCACACCAGTGAAAGTAGATAAATAGGTACCACTGCAGCGGGAAGGTAAACGGCGTTTCCGTGCACTCTGGTTTCTGTCATGGTGTTCCGTTGCGCCAGAAGCGGTTTAGTGATGCCGGCCACATGAGCCAGAAAGCTGTCTGTGGACAAATGCCGACTCCCTTGCTCTGAAAGCAAAATGAGCACTGCAACCTCATAGTTGCCTTTGACTGGACTTAACCGTCCGGGGGTCCTTTGCCTCATGCTGTTTTTTTTATTATTATTTCTGGTTCAGAACTGGAGAGGGTTTTCGTTAAAAGCTTCCTCATCTTAAAAAATTGCTGTCAGTTGGGAAATGTAGGTTTAAACAATTTGTGTGAAGTTTGTTGTAACTGCGTTACATGGGAGCTTTACTTTGGGATTTTTCTGACACTGGCTAAGCTTTCATTCCCATTGATTTCTATGAGTGTTTATAAACTTGCATTACAGTAAATAATGCTGTACTGATTAGAAAAAAAAAACACTTTCCTCTTCCATGCGTTGTGATGGGAACCGTTGCAGAAAATGTGTTGAAAGCTGAAATGTTCTTTAAAGGATGGGAGTTAAGCAACCTGCTATCTTGTTTTAAATCTGCATGTTTCTCAGACAGACTGTCTTTCACCTGGACTTAGCAGGGAGCCATGTTACTTGACTATCTGGGCTTGAAGGCAAATCCGCTCCTGGATTTTGTGAGGCCAGAGGCTAACCTTTGGCTGGGGACCATATGCATTGGGTTTTTTGTTTGTTTGTTTTTGTTTTTTAAATAACCCTGCCCTTCTGTTTGTCTAGCTTGGAGGGCTCATCCAACATCTGGGAAACCTGCTGTCTCTGATCTAGCACTTTATCCTTTGCACTAATTCACTTCACTATGCAGCCCCCTTTATCTGGCAAAACAGAGCTAGCCAGCTGACACTTGGTGTGAGTGGGGAGTGGGCCCCCATTTAATGCAAACGTTTGCCAAAACAACATGCAGCACACAGAGCGGCTGCTGTGAATTAACCATGACTGCCAGAATCACTCTGGAATCCCAATTTCCTGCTGCGTTTTTGATGCAGCTGAGCTGTTGGCCAACGTCTGCTATATCTCATTGACTCATTTTGCTAAGAGACCCCAAAACATCTCTTTGTTCTTTCTCTCTCTTTTTGTTTCCCAGCCATTCTGGCCTTTGGGCACTGGTGTGGGCAGAGGGTTCCTGGCAGCTTTCGATGCTGCCTGGATGGTGAAAAGATGGGCCTCGGGGATGCCCCCTTTGGATGTGCTGGCTGAGAGGTGAGCACTCTGAGAAGGGGCATTCTCTGCCCACAGTGATGGTGGGGTGACTGGCGATGGTGGTGGTATCTTGAGGTCTATAGATGTTCCAGGTTATGCGTTCAATGTAGGGAGGAGAGATATTGATACAGTGAGCCAGGACTGCCTATTTTGTCTAGAAGTAGTGCTTCAGAGTCTTGGGCAGTTTTCTGAACCATACATAGACAGTCTTGTCTTCTGCTTCATGCTCTCTTGTTCAGTCTTTTAAGCCCTAGCCTGGTAGCCATAAGACACCAGGAACTTCACACAGGCAAGTGAGTGAGCTGGTGGAGCCCCTTTCTGTTCTGCTGCCCAACCTCAGGAAGTTCCCAGCATCATCTAGGAGACTGCAGGGCTGTGAGTAACTGACCTGGAGCATGGAATGGGGAACAGGAATGGGTGTAACTGTCTGATGTAGTGGGAACCTGAGAGCGCAGGAGAACTTGTTGATGCTGCTCATGCCACAGACCCAGGCAAGGGGTGAGGAGGGACTGCTGTGAAGATGAGAAGGGTGAGAGCATGTCGATCTTCCTCTTTTGCCTGAAGGCTCCTGAATGCTGTGAGTGCCATGTACACAATGTATCTTGGTGCTGAGGGACTAAGAGGGGGACATTCCTGCTTAATCTCCATGCAGGGAGAGCATATATCAGCAGCTGTCGCAGACCTCACCTGACAACACCAACAAGAACATCAGTCAGTACAGCATTGATCCTACCACGCGGTACCCAAACATCAACCTCCAAGCCATCAAGGCCTCTCAGGTATCGCTATACATATAGGGTGGTGGTGAAGAACACAATATCTCCTCCTTTTCCTTGTCAGTTTTCTGATGATTCTCTTTGCCTCATGCACTCTTCTTTGCAGCTTTTAAACACTGGCACCATGCCACGTCCCTGAGCCATGTTCCGAAAGTAACAGAAATGTATAAGAGCGCTGGCATTCGCCGCAATAGGGCTTGGAGAAAAGACTCCCTTGCAAGACGTCCTTTTGTGCTGTTCTGGCACTGAAGGCTGTTCTTTGCTGAGTAATGGGGTGCGGTGTGTTTTCCAAGCTGGGACGCTAAGGGCCACACAGGAAGCGTTTGGGCAGCTGCAGACCTGGGGGAATTAGCTGGGTCTTTTTCTGGATCCAAGCTGTGGTCAGTGATAGGATATAAATAACGGTGCACCTGCTTCCAGGTTCGTAATCTGTATGTGACAGGAGAAATTGAAATGGATATGAAGAAAGGAAGAAGTCGTGGCAGCCCCGAGATAGTCAGCAAAGGCAAGTCTGGGTCATGTTCTCCCCTGGCTACTGGTTGCAATGGATCCACCTGAAAACCAGTACCAGACCCCTCCACACTTGTTCATACTCGCTGTTCTCTCCCTTTAGATGAATTGGATTTCTCTGCAGCAAAGTGCAGATCCTCCTCTTCTGTTTTTCTACCCATATGACCTCTCTGCTTGCTGTTCCTTCCCTAGGACTCTGCTTTACCCCCAAGCAGCATATATCTCGGTCAATATTGCTGTCTCTCAGACTGGGATGTGGAAGAGTGATCCCAAGCATTCACTCTAACAGACTGTTCCTGGTTCTCCATAGACATGACAATGTTGCCGAGATTCTGTGACAATGAAAGCTGAATAGGGTGGCTTCTTATGTAGTAAGAAAATGAAGCAATGTGTATATATTTAGTTGTTTTGCGAGTTCCACTTTTGCTAGTTATGGGCAAGGCACCAATCTACCTCCTGCCCCCCTGAAGTCCAGTTCTAGTCATCTCTTCCAGACCCCTGCAGTGTAGGAATCACATTGCATCAGGAATCCCTGACAGATGGTCATCCAACCTCTGTTTTAAAACTTCTACCACCTTCCAAAGTAGTCTGTTCCACTGTTGAACAGTTCTTACCTTCCAGACATTGCTGACACATTTTTCAAACTTTCTTTTGTCTCCATAAAGGCTAGAAATGTCCTGTTTAGAAATAATGAGGCTTGAGATTCTGGAGATACTCAGTTCTGCATGTGCAGAATCCACACCGCTCTGCACATAGATTAAACATAAAATTGGGAAAGACAAAAATTGGGAAAGTTTGGAATAGGAGACCCACTGCCTGCAGCATCCCAGACAGATGTTTGTCTGGCTTTGCTCAATGGTCTGTAATTTGCAAAATAGTCTCTGAAGACAGGTTTTCTTAGCAGAGAGGAATCAGTGTTAAGGCTGACTACTTTCAAGTGTTCTGGCATAGTGCATAGAGTCAACAAGTCAATGTCAGCAGATTGTTACTAATATATAGGAGACCTTTTTCTTTCTTTTTTTGCTGGGTTTTAGTTCTCTGATCTCAGTCCTTTTTGCAATTCTTTTTCTCCCTCCACCCATTCTCTGCAGTTCCACTGTGTTCAAATGTGTTACCCCAGAAGAAAACTGGTTCAAGATATTCCTTTGGGGGGGAAAATTCCTGGGAATACACCTGATCCTCAAGCACACAGCATACACCTTAGTAATAGAGTAGCAGAATCCAGTTGTCTTAATAGGGTTGAGGAAACTTTGGTCTGTTATAGTCAGCCAGCCAGTTGACTCTGGACTGTAACTTGGTTAGCTTTGTGCATCATGGCTGGCTTGTCTTGGGGCTGGTTTGCCTCTTGGTTGGCAAGAAGCCCAGAACTTAGGCCTTGCCGTATTTTTGCTTCACTGCAGGCATGCAAGGTCCCCAGGAAATAGATGGTCCAAATCTTTCCACAGTGAAATACCCTTTTATTCTGGTGTAAACTTGGGTGTAAAAACTTCTGCCTCCCAACAAACTAACAATGCTGAAACATTTCTGCCTACTGCATAGTTATCCTCTATTCATCTCCCAGGAGGAAAACACACATTTGTCACAATCTCTCACTCCCAAACTATCACTTCTGTGGGGAAAAATCCCCTGCTGCCCAGTTCTTAAACAATGGAGAGGGTGTTTATCTATTACAATTTGCTCCAGCTGTAGCATTTTCCTTTCCAGATGTCTATGAAATAAACTAAAAATGCCACAGATCGCTCTGCATTTCTTGAACGGTTTTTCTGCCTTCTCTTACATCTGTGTGCATTTCTCTGTCCCTCTGGCTCTCCCTTCCCTCTTTAAATTACAGCTCTCTTGTTTCTTCTCTGTGTTTTCTCATGTTTCCTCCCACACTGTCATTGTTTTCCATAGCCCAGTCTGTTCCCCTTGGCCTTGCTCTGCTTATGGAATAGCCCTTGTGATGGTTAGCAAATAACTATGTGTTTTGGGAGGTGGGGAGATAATGTGACCTGCCCGTTCACTGTCACCCTGGTTAGAAATGGAGTGCTAGCTACTAGGAAGACTTCTCTGATTCACTTCCACTCAGCTTTTAGGCTGTGCGTTGATGGATTCCAAGCTAAGGATGTTGTTACAAATCTATTGCATGCTGATGTGTAAATCAGCGGTGCAGATGATGGCAATGTGATTGTTGTGGGTTCCTGTGTGGCATCAGAGTAGGGTCAGTGGTGCCAGGTTAGTTTTGGATGGAAGCAAAGTATACTTTGGTGGTTGTTCTTCCTATCGCAACAGAGCTGTGGTTTAGGCAAAGCAGTCACATTTTGTCAGCATAAAAGCTGCCTGAAGCTCCCTATTTAGCTGGACTTGGAGTACAGCAGTCTGCCCTAATCCTAAAGTAGCACATACACAGTCTCATCTCTGTTGGTAGCTATGTGTTAGGCTTTTCCCCTTTTCTGAGCTCTGATGGAGGAGGAAAAGTTCAGACAATAAACCCTGATATGTTGCCAAACTAGGTACTGTGCATTACAGAAATCCTATTAATTCCTATTAAACTGCTGGCCCACAGGCTAATCTTGGTCTGCCAGGGGGTCCAGTTGGACTCATGAGGCCATTTCCCCTCCCAAACCATGCCCACTTGTCTATCATCTGATGTCACTGGGTGATGTCACTGGTGGGAGGTGGTTTCAATCCAGCTGGGTGTTGCTTCACAAGTGTAGCCCAAGCAGGGAATGGTGAGTGGAGGGTTCAGTCCTGCTGGGTGCTGCTTTGCCAACCCCTTTCCTATGAGTCACCTTGGCTATATGGGTTGGACTGCCCATCCATCAAGTCATCTGATGCCATCATGACATCAGAAGATTAGAGTTGGCCCCTTGGGGAGGGGGTGGAAGAAGATTGGGCCGAAAGATTCCCAATCCCTGCTTGTCACTAGGTACATCTTGGGAACTGGACCAAGTGTCTCTCTTTCATGTACCCTTAGCTTGGTTTGCTCTTTCTCTCTCCTCTCCATCATCCTTCATCCACCCTTCTCCAGATTCCAACAGAGCCTATGAGGAGCTGCTTAGCTGGTGTCAAACTAATACAGCAAATTATCTTGGCATCAAGGTAGAAGACTTCACATCCTCCTGGAAAAGTGGCCTGGCCCTGTGTGCCCTCATACATCACTTCCGACCAGATCTTCTGTGAGTGAGCCTTGCCGGAGGGAGGGAATGCTTGTGGGCACATTAGAGGCAAACTTTATAAAGGCATAACAATTAGCCATTGCTGTACCGCTCAGGAAACGCTACTTCAGAGTGATTATACTGTCCATTTGTAGAAAAAAATATTTTAAATTTGTTGTGCAGGTCAACTTATTCTGTGGCTAAGTGCTTTTTTTTCTAAATCACACACACATTCAGCAAACTGTGTATCCCAAATGCCTAAATTAAGGGCTAGTCCATATATGCCTTTATTTCTTAATTCTTTATAACACAGCTGAGAGTGTGAATGGACTGCAGTGAAATGTATTATATACAAAGTGATATGCAGCGATTTGCAAGAAGTTTGATCTGTGGTGGCTCACACACACATGCAAGTTGCCATTTGATGCTGGAATAGCAGCTGTGTGTGTGAGCCACAGATCTAGTCAGCCTAGAGATCTCCATTACTGACCTGGTGATTTGCTCCCTTTTTGGGAAGCTCAGCACCTATCCCCGACCCCGCCTCTAGAAATCGCCACATGGTACTGCTGCCTTTGTTGTAAGTGGAACTCTCCTACTCTATACAGTTCTACTTCAGAAAAGCAGAGCTGAACGCTTCCATCCTAGTCTTCCTTTGTGTTGGAGGTTCAGAACCAAGGGGAGTCCACTGAGCCTCAGATGTCAGGGTCAAGTTAGGCCAGGCATGGGAAGACCTTGTGGCCTGCAGGCAGCTTTTGCCCTGCTGATCTAGAGAGGTACCAATTCTCAAGCCTCTTCCCCACAGCAACCATCCTTTCCTCCTTCCCTCTTACCAGTCACGGCAAAAGAGAGGGTGGCTATAAAGGCAGATGTGACTTTAAAAGATGCCTCTGCTCATGTTTATGTTGCCACAGAGCAGGGATGGGGAACCTCAGGCCCAGGAGCCAAACACATCTCTCCAGGTCTCTCCTGTGGGACTTCCCCCACATGACATCCTTTATTTTGCACCTCCTTGAGTCCCTATGCCTGGCTGGGATGTGTCTTGAGATCCGATCAGGCCTCTCACTTACCTGGATGGAGGAGAGAGAGGGAGGTGCAGGTGTGAAGAAACCAGCTACTATACAGATAGAATTTACACTAATTGCTCTACCCACTTTTGCTGCTGGTCTCCCTGCCTGCCACTGCCATGGGACACTCTACCCAGGCTGTGGGAAGGGAGTATGGTCTTCAGTCTGAAAAAGGTGCCCCGCCCCACCACAAAGCAGTCTCTGCATGTTTCTCAATTCCTAGAGGGTGTTTCAGGGGGTTGATGGCCACAAAGCCACAGACTCCCCAACCTGGGAGTCTGTTGCTTCACAGTCTTGCCTGCCAGATAGGATGGCAGCGACATTTCATTTGCCTGTTTTTGGTGATCAAGAGAAGGACAGGGAGTCTTCCTGTCCTTGCATAGTGAAATGAGACGGGAGCAAGGTTGTTAAAACAGGGGTGGGAAGATTGCTGGCTGACATCCCATTACTGGAAGCAGTGCTGTGTGTGGTTTTCCTGTTTTGTTTAAAGTAAAACATAATTTGTGTGACTGCCTCCTGGTGCCCAGTAACGCACATGGCAGCCGCTTCACACAAGCCAGCTTGTCATGAGCTGGGAGTTGTGCTGCTATCGTTTTTAAAGAAACCGTCACACACTTCACCTTCTGCTTCAGGTGTCTGGTTAAAGTTTCTCTCAGTCTGGGCTAAGTCCTGTCAGTCACCTTGACTTTGTATCTTCCTTCTCCAGAGACGTCAATGCACTCAACCAGAACGACCCCATTGGGAACAACCAGCTGGCCTTAGACGTGGCAGAGCAAGAGCTAGGGATCCCTCCGGTCCTCTCCAGCACTGAAATGGCTTCGATGTCCGAACCTCAGAGGCTTGGCTTGATCACCTACCTGAGCCAGTTTTATGATGCCTTCAAGAACTCTCCAGGTAGAGAATCCCAAGGAACCCAGTCCTGGGGATTTTCCTACAAGGAAAGCCTCACAAGGGGAGTGGGGAACCTTGTTTCCAGGCCTCTCTGCCTGGTCCTTGGGGACTCTTCCCAGGTTCAATTCCAGGTTCAATCTGCAGCATCTCCAGGTAGTTCGGGGACCCCTGGAAAGCTGCTGCCACAGTCATTGTAGACAGTAGAGTACTGAGCTAGACGGACTAGTATCTGGCAGCTTCCCAAGTTCCTAAACACTGCATTCTCTCTTCCAGTACCAGAAGAGAAAAGTTCGACGATTCTGTCGACACGTGGTACCAAGGGAGCGATCCTCTTCCTCAGCAAGCTTCAGAAAAGTCTCTCTCTCTCACGTAAACGTGCCCTGGTGAGTCTCTCTCCACAGCCATTGCTAGCCCATCACCAGACATTCCCAGCAGTGTGTTTGTTTGTGCCTTATGTGCTGGCTAGTGGCCCTTTGGCAGCTGGTATGATCTCTTCCCAGATCACTTTAGCTCTCCCCATTTTCAGATGTGCCTAGTAAGAAGCACAGGATGGGGGGCTGGCAGTGGGGGTTACGTTTATTGCAGGAGCCAAGTGTCTTTGGCCTTCTGTCTTTTCTGCTGCTCCAAAGTCATAATTTTCGATTGCAGGAGAGCTCTGCAGTGGATGACCAAGCCAAAAAGACCAAGCAAGAGGCTGGGGTAAGTTCTTCCGTCATTGCACTTAGGGGTTCATCTGGTACTAGACAAGTTTTAGAGGATGTCATATGTGATGATTCCACATGGAAGGTACTGGCTTGAAAAAATGAACATGAAATCTGCATGTGGATCATAGTATACCAAACTCCTGTGGTATTTCACTGCCTGCGGGAAGCTTTAGCCATCTGCAGTTTCCCATTGCATGAATATACGGGGGGGGGGGAGGGGAACTCTTTTGAGTGCAGCATCTTCACACATTATGGTTACATTTTGGGTTTCCTGTGAATTTCTACATGGAAATGCCTTTATTGCAGGAATCTGGTTATGTGTGAAGTCAACATTAGATATGTCTGGGTCCGGACTAGTGATGGGAATGGAAATTCATTGCTTCTGAAAATTCATTGCTTCTGAAAAATTCCATTTTTTAATCCAGTGTGTATTTCAGGGAGTTTCATTTAAGGAAACTCCATAACCCTCCTTATTTGAGTCATTGCTATTGACTCTGTAGATTTTCTGACCTTTTAACACATGATGGGAAATCTAGTGCATGCAGTTTATTGACTGCAACTGCCAGACGAGTAATATAACTTTAAGACTGCAGTTCAAAGACTGATCCCAAGGGTCAAATTCCACCTGTGAAAATTGGAACTCAAATGTCATTTGGGAAATCCCACCCTGCCTCAGTTCCAATTTGAACTTTGCTGTGGCCCACCACAAATTTATTTTTAAGTGCTCAAAGAAACATTGATTTCCTCCCTTTTCACAAAAAAAAGTTGCACCAGAATTCTGGCTGGTAGGATACACTGGAGGCAAATAACAGTTGCGAGGAGGTTGGATGCTGCCTATGAAGGCTGACCACTTGCCCACACTCAGGGCGGCTGCTAAATGTTCCTCCCTGTATCAGGTTGCAGGCTGCTAGCTCTCATGCATAAGCCAAGCTGAAACAGCTGTTAGGCCTGGAAGAAGCCAGATGTCACTGGGCAAAAAACGAAGATTGTTATTGCATTCATCTGCTGCAGTTACATGCTGGCAGAGAGCCTGGCAGCTCTCTTCTCTCGAGACTCAAACCCGCCCTTCCTCTTATCTGACGGAAAGGAACGACTTGCTGGACCTTGTAGTCATTGTCTTGTTGAGGCTGTTTTCTTGGAGAAAGACATTGGAATGTAACTTGCTGCCTGATACGTTTATCTCACTCGGGATGGAGTGAGGTCATTGCTAGATGTCGGAGGCAGAGAGGCCAGAGGGCTGTTACCATTACCAGGGGTGGGGGACCAGCGGCTCTCCCAGATGTTGTTGGATTACAACTCCCATCATCCCAGCAGGAGCTCAGGGATCATGAGAGTTGTAGTCCAGCAACTTGTGGATATTTGTTAATGTGCCTCATTGGGTTGAACCATGTATTTTGAAACCAAAGCACAAGATGACTTGGAACGTGTGGTCCTAAAGGTGTGGGTCTTTTGGCAGAGCCCTGTCACCTCCTCAGTGAGGAGCAGCGATGCCTGCTATTTCTGCGGAGATCGTGTGTACATCCTGGAGCGAGTCAGCGCGGAGGGATGCTTCTTCCACCGTGGCTGTTTCAAGTGTCACCGCTGCAAGACGACACTGCGGCTGGGGGACTACGCCTTCAATGAAGATGACGGTGAGTGGAGTTGAGAAGACGCAGTTGGTTAGCCTGAATGGCACAGCCGTCAGTGCAGACGGGGGCATTGTTTGATTTCTCTGAAATCCAAACTGGCTGCCTTTCTTTGCATTGTGTCTCTACTTCCTGCAAGTGCATATCAAGATTCATTTGCACCATTTGCTTTTATTCTCCTAGAGGGATCTGAATCTGCTCTGGTAGTCATGTTTATTGGCAAGTCAGGTGAATGCAAGCAACATACCCTACCTGATTATGGCTATCTTGATTTTACTCCTAGGTAATTTCTACTGCATGCTGCACTGTCCTACCTCAAAGGACATAACTACACCCAGCAGCACAACCTCTGTCAGAGCAGCACGTAAGGTGAGTGGGATGGATGCCTTTTCAGAACTGGAGGCATTTGGTGCTGACTAGCAAGGCCACTCCCTAGCTGATAATTAACCTAGTAACTCTGTCCAGTAGCGTATTCCATGTTACTTCCTGTCACGCTCATGGGCGACAGCCTTGCAACTTGCTTGCTTGGAAAACTGGCTTTTTTGTCTCCCTAGGATTCCTCCAAACTCTTCATTCCTTCAGACAAAGGCATTCTGGACTTGGCTGCTGAGGACAAGAAGATGGAAAAGGGTCCATATCAACCAAGCCTGGATGAGAACCTGCTGTCTTTCAAAGATCAGCTGCCAACAGGTCAACCTACAGAACTTCATAAATCAGCTGCTGAAGGCCACAGCTTACTCCCAGCCAGAGTAAATGGAGGCTCTTGTACTATGAACTCATCCTGGCATCCACATCGTCAACCATTAGTGGAGGTGGACAAGAAGTTGGGGGACTCTGTTTCTGAGGCTGGTTTAGCTTCAGAGGTTGTAGGTGAAGGCAGAGATGGAAACAGGGCCAGTCCAAAAAGAGAGAGACTTGAACCAGAAAATTGGACTGGCAGCCAGTCCCAAGAAGAGACACGTGACAGCCTGGTGACAGGAATTCAAGGAACTGATACAGATCCTTTTCTTTCTGGAAAGGTGCCAACTGCTCAGAGCCCCAAACTAGAACAGAAGGAGTGTGAAAATCTTCCAAAGAAAAAGATTTGCTTGTCAGCCCTGGAAAAGCTTGAGTTATCCCGACTGAGTCCAATATCAGCCTCATTTCACTTTCCAGATATGAAAATAGAAGAACGCAGCTTCAGCACCATCTCAGAAGGTTGTTTTATTTATATATCATATGCCTTATCCCCAAAGTTTGGGGCAGACCATAAACATGGGAGGAAACCTCAGCAAAACTTGAACAACATCAGAGCCATTGAAATGGCTCCCCCACCTTTGATTTTAAACCTAAGCGTCAAAGGCCATGCTCAGCTGTCACCATGTGCTCTTTCCTGTACAGCTGCATATGGCTTCAGGGCTTCCTGAGTAGCATATCCATTTGTGTGTGCTGTGCGATGTTCATCCTGCTCACATGGGATTCTCCACCGTGCAATCCCATATTAAAACACATTATTCTTTGTGACATTGAACATTTAGCTTGTTGCTTCTGAAACGGAAGCATTTGGGATTTTAGCAGATCAGAGTTGCCTTCATTGTGGCCCAGAGAGCTGTTTACTCTGGTCCACTTCCATGGTAGTGTCTTCTAATAAACCCTCATCCTTTAAGATGAGGTGGTTTAAGTAGGTGGTGGTGGCGGCATCAGCAGCATTCTCCACATTGCCTGCTTAATCCAACTCACATAGCTTGCCAGACCCGTTTCTGTTCTTCGACATGGGAGTTAACCCTCCCATATTGTGCTTTCCTGTTATCTTTCTTAACCTTTGTCCTCTTTCTGGAGACCATAAAACAGGAAGCACGTGCCCTGTTCTGTTAATGCTTCATAAATGTTTAAGGGCATCCACTGGCCTCTATGGAACAGTTTTGTTTTGGGTCTCAGATCACTGCAGTACTAACTGGTGATGAGGAATTTCATTGTTAGCAGCGTTGGGCCCAGATTTTGATTGGTACAGAAGTAATTCTACCTTCACTGCCCGTAGAAAAGAAGTGAACATAGCATCAATGTGCCTGCTTCCCCACTTCATTATATAAAACCAGTTCTTCTCTTGGATATCTCTAGCTATAAAATATAGCTTCACTCCACCCCCAGCTCCCAAATCACCCTTTAATTTATGGCGTCATTCCAGAAGTCACTGAAATGAAATATTTTTCTCTTGTCCTTTTTTTTTGACAGATTCTCTGGAGATTGACAGTGACAGTGAAGAGGAAGAAGAGGAGGAAGAAGCAACGAGCCAAGATCTTGCAGCATATATTGTGAGTGTAGAAGCCCAAACTTCAATTCCACCACAGCAGACAAGCACAACTCAAATCACTTTCAGCACCGTTTTCAGTAACTCAGGAGGGCTGTGTTATCATCATGACATCCAAACATAGCAAAACTGGGATAGCTCAGTTGGTAGAGCATAAGACTTTTAATCTCAGTGTCATGGGTTTGAGCCCTGTGTTGGGCAAGATTCCTGCTTTGAAGGGGTTGGACTAGATCACCCTTGTGGTCCTTTCCAACTCTTCAATTCTCTGCTTTTAACAGCAGGAGAGCATTTTCTTTCGGTTTTTAACATAATCTCTTCAGCAAATCATGGGATTCCTCTCACCACTCTTCTGTTAACTCTACTTCTTTTTCTCTCCCCTCTCCAAAAAAATTCACTTTTCTCCCTCTCCGTAGCTCCTTTTTTGTTTTTTCTGACTCAACAGGCTCACCTTCTCCCTTCTTTTTCTCTCTCTAGCCTATTAATTTTTGTGTTTATATTATTTTTTAAAAAGTCTGCATCCCATCATTTGCTCTTATCCCCCTATACTGTCACAAGTTTCTCTGCATCTGTTATCCCCCCTTTTCTCTTTCCTTACCCTACAGGTTTCTCTGTACACCCCCATCTTCGTTCTTCTTTTCTTCCCCAAACCCCTCCCATTGCCCCATCTCCTCCATCTCAATGGCAACAGGCCACAAGTCTTTCACGCTCCCAGCCATTCATATCAACAAAGGGCGTCTCAGAAGTAGTTGGCCAAGTGGTGTGGCTGGCTGGAAGCTCCAGTAGGCACCTTATTATCCATGGAGCTCCTCCCTATCCCCAGTTTGGATGGGTGGTGCTAGGCCCTAAATTTATGACACACATCTGGAAAAGGATCACAGACGAATATTTGGAATTCCCCCTCAAGGGGGCTGCAATTGGCTTGGGGGTCTGTAAGAACAGAAGCAGACATCTGTGTTCTGAAAGGATGACTAACAAGAACCTCACAAAGCCCTGAAGACAACACTCTCCATTGTGCATTCTGGGCATGGTCCTGTCTACACAACAAGTTTTGACTGGAGAGTGAGTCACTCTGTCAAGACTTCTTGCAGCTGCAGGGTAGGCTCTCGATTTTGCGATAACAATTCACTCGTCTTTTCCCCAGTGATGTCATACCAAGCACCTTGGGCTTATGTATTTATTTTTGTACCTTCTTGTAACGGGGCTGGGTCACTGTCTAGCCCTAAACTGTGGCTGCAGTTTAGATGGTGGACAGCGGCTTTTAAAAACATCTCATTTGATTCTTGTTTGTGTGTTGTGGCTGCAGCATTTCCTGAGCTTCACTGAAGAACCTCAGTATCCAACGTGGAAGAAGACACTGATGCGACGAGCCAAAGAGGCACAAATGAAAAGGTTTTGCAAAGCGCAGGTAATACTTGCATGCTCCGCTGGTGGACGGGCACTGATATGTTTACAGGGATCGTCCCAGTGAGGAATGGGGCTGCAAAAATTAAGGGTGGAAGCTTCAGATACCTTGCAGCCTGCTATTTCACATCTCAGGCCCCGAGGCTGTTAGGTGTCTCTAGAGATTCTCCCTGTTATTATAAACAGCTGCACGCTTTATGTGGTGAATGTTTGCTTGCATATATCCAAGCTTTACAACCATTTCCCAGAGAAAATTCATTGTGTAGACATCCAGCTGTTCCAGGAAGGGTTTCCAGTGCAGGAATGCTTAAAGATTCACTAGGGGTAGGGAATCACCCTTGTTGTGTTTGCTGCATAAAATGGGGAGCTGCCCTATACCAGGACTAATGATGTGTGACATTGTTGACCTGTATAAAAAGTATTATTTAATGGACTTCCAATCTGCCCTTTAGGATATATATATATATATATATATATATATATATACCCTTCCAAGCTGGATTGTAACAAATGAACGAAAGACTAAAAAACAGTGTTCACTTCTAATGTGAAATAGCCCATTTCCACTGGCTTGATAGTACCAGTTCCTGGCTTTAGTATCACCCATGCACCACATATTTTCTCCACTTTGGAGCCCTCTTCCTGTTAATTTAGATGTAAACTCTCACTTAGCTTCCCCCACTTTTCCTCTTGTACCCTAGTTGCTCCCACTGTTAATGCCCCACCCCATATAAGTAGGTTAGGCTTCCTGAAACTGGAATGTGATGCACTTCAGAACATTGGGAGGATAACTCCCATGAGCCCAAGCGCCAGAAGATTGTGCCAGGTTCTTAATTAATTTTTATACTATTTCACTGGTTTTTATGTTGTATTTTTTCATACCGCTTAGAGATGTTAAAATAGGGTCGCAGTTTAGAAATGCTTTTAAATAATAAAACATCTCAAGCAGACCTGCTTCTGGAAGGCTGTATATAACTACTGTGTACAGTATATATACAGTTGAAGCTCACAGGTGCAGGATGTTTGGGTTACGTGGAAATGGTGTGCTGCTTCCTGTGCCGAAACACCTTCTGTGTGAAGCCCTAGGTTGACTATTTTGCTCATTCAACTAATGGTATAAAGTATTTCAAAATTTAATTTATAGAACTATATGAGCGTGATGCGGGCTGGTGATAGTTATAAATCCTTTGTGAGTTATTTCACAACAGTTGATAGGTTCTAAACTGTTGCAAATGGTACGCACATATAAAGTTAATGGCAGAAATATTCAAGAGACTGTAAAATGACTCAATTACACTTATAGTCTTAAGTAGCCTGTACATCCACAGTTTCAGGTGCCGGAGGGATTGGATCATGCCCTTAGATTTTTAATGATGTAACACACGGGCATTTTTTGCTTCATAGACAATCATAAGCACTGCCAGGTTTTGCCAAAAATGTACTACTACCCTATAAGAGTTTCTGCTAGCTATTCTGGGAAGCTATCCACCCGTGCTTGGGTTCCTCTTCCTTACACTTTGAAATGCTTTCTTCATTTGACCAACTCTTTATTGCTTGGGCATTCCAGTCAATCCAGAGGAGGCTGGAAGAGATTGAAGTGACTTTCCGAGAGCTTGAACAACAGGGCATAGAGCTGGAGCGATCTCTGCGGGAAGAGAGAGGTAAGAGCCTGGGCTTCCGCCAAGAGAGATGGGGGTGAGGCTGCAGCCTATGGATAATACATGCAATGGCAGCTGTACTCCTGGGATAACTTCTTCCCTCCTTTATCCTCCAGGAACAGATGCTGAACTAAAACAATGGATGAACCAGCTGCTTTCCCTGGTCCAAAAGAAGAACAGCCTGATGTGCGAGGAGTCTGACCTCATGATTGCGTAAGAGACCATGCCTCTCATAGTTTTGAGACCTGGTACTCATGTCAGTTCTCATCACAGGGGAGTTGGCACAGCACTGCTCCTTCCTGTACTATCACATGTAGTGCTCAGTTTTTCTTGATACCCCAGTGGCATTCTTCTGGTTCCTGCGCTACCTTGAATGCCGTTAACAACCCAACCTAGTTCATATTCAGAGTGCTGGAAGATGGTGTGTCACACAGACAGCATGAATAGAACTACTGTGCCAGTCAAGGGTGGGGAAGGGAGGTGAAGGGGTTTAGAGTTGCTCTTGGACTTACTAGCAGATCTTAGTCCCCTAAGCCATTTTAAAAAGTCGTTTTTGTCCCCTTTCCTTGCTTGGTTTTAAACAGCTAGCTCATTTGAAACAAAACACATACAGCTGGCAGAATGTGTCATACGCCAGCCTTTCATTGGACTACAGCTCCCATCATCCCTGTCCACTGGCCACATGAGCTGGGACTGATGGGAGCTTGAGTCCAGCAACATCTGGGAGGCTGATGCAGACCAGCAGTGGGAATTCTGAGAATGAACCCATGCAAAGTTGGCACTGGACCAGACCTTATGTTGAAAGTCTGCCATGTGTATATAGAAGAACTACTCCCCTGGTAATGTTCTGTAGATAGAAAGGCCTCTGTAAACTGCAGAAGTATTGGCTATCTCAGGGACAACAGGACCTTTCCCTGGGAAGCTCCAGTTAGACAAGGCAGACATGCCTTATTCATTACTACTTTAACTCCTGCCCAATAGTCTGTTCTTAATGAGGCTTAAAGTAGATGGATATTTGAGCTGACAGTATACAGAGGACTGTTACTAACAAAGGGAGAATCAATTGGAAGACTTCTCAAGAGTGGATCTTGTATACCATCATGAGCTTCTCAATTATAAATGACCAAAGTTCTCAGTTGTTATTTTTTACCCCATAGGGTTTGTAGAGATAGACTATGGAAAAAATTATATGAAACGGACATTGACAGACGACTTTTAAAAATTCTCAGAGAGTTACATACAGACATTACAGTCAAAATCAGAACTGGGCCATCGGGAACTCTTACGGACCCACTGCCATTGGGAAAGGGGTCAAACAGGGATGCCTGCTAGCCCCATTTCTTTTCAACTTTTATATAAACGACATTGTCCAGTACATGGCAAAGTACAAGTCATCGGCTCCAGCCCTTGAAGGTAAACGCCTGAATATTTTGCTATATGCCGATGACATGGTTTTAATGGCACTCACCCGAAGAGGCTTACGCAGCATGCTGGAGGGGATCGCAGCCTACTGTTCCCATAATTCACTAAAGATAAACCATGATAAAACAAAAATTGTGGTGTTTACTAGAGCTCGACACACCTTTAGATGGTCTTTAGATGAACAAGTGATTGAACAGTGCCCTTTTTTTAAATACCTGGGTGTTACATTCCAGGCCACATCTAGCTGGCTAGCCCACTTTAAGGCTGTAACCATCCTAACACGAAGAACAATTGGTGTTTTGCTTAGTTTCTTCCATACCAGGGGAGGACAATTGGTGATCCCGGCATTAAGAGCTTCGTTGGGAAAGCTATTCCCCAGATGTTATATGGGATAGAACTCTGGGGGTGGAACCAGAGGCTGTTGGAACGGCTTGAAATTTTGCAAAACTACTATCTCAAGAAGATTCTAGGCCTCCTCAAGGAACCCCAGCAGCCTTCTTGAGGGTGGAGGTTGGTTTACCCTCTGTGTCTGCCAGGGCCCACCTAAGATTCCTACGATTTTACATCAACCTTGCAAACTCTTCAAACACCTTATTGGCCAAACAAGCCTTCGTATCTTTTCAAAAGAATACCACTTGGCGCCAAAACTTATCTGAGATCCTGGTTAGATACACCCTACCGGAGTTTAATCTCCTCAATCGGTGGAGCCCGGACAAAGTCCGGAAATGGATCCTGGAGAGAGACGCTCTGTTAGATACCACAAAAATACAGATCCCAGGGTCCTCCCACTGGCTTCCCCGACTGAAAGCAGTCAAAATCTGCGCCAACTACTTGGAGAATATCACCAATCCCACTCTTCGGAGAGCCTTTACTATGGCCCGTTTTCAAACCATTCCTACGGCCTATCTGTCAGGCAGATATGCAAAAATCCCAGTAGAGCAGCGGATATGTCCTTGTTATATGAGAACCAAAGAGGATCTCATACATTACATGTTGTATTGTCCCATCTATTCGGCCTTCAGGGATGCGATGTTACAAACTATACCTAAATCAATAGTCAACCCTGAGGACCAAGTAAAGTTTTTACTGGTAGACGCTGATCCACGGATTTCTCACGTGGTAGCGGTCTTTGTGGTGAAGGCTATGAAAACTAGGATATGGTTCCTGGATGAAATGGTGAGGTCCCTCCCATTGCTCTCCTAACCTGTTGCTGAACCTTCTTCCTTGAATGGTGGGGTTTTTTGGGTAGTTTCCTTGCTGGGACAACATAGCATGAATTTTAGCTTACTTTTATAATCTTTTTGGTTTATCTTTTAATAATGTTTTATGGTATTTTGTGTAAAGGCATGGACCTCACAAATTTAATAAATTTGTTGTTGTTGTTGTTGTACCCCATAGGGTGCAAGAGCTGAAACTAGAGGAACAGCAGTGCCAACTGGATCATGAGCTGCGCCAATACGATAATATGGATGGTAAGAGAGAGTATAAGGGGTCCAGATTTATACTAGGAAATGCAGAGAAACCCAAAAAATGCTTGCCAAGCTAAGTGGGAGCATATTTTTATTCATTCACAGAATTGATTACTGTAAATCAATTGACTGAATGAGGGGAGGAAAAGGTCACTTAGGATGGATACACGAATCAGAAGCTTGCTACCCTGCTATTTACTATATCTGATTCTCTTGGGCTTTAAGCTAGTTGGCAAAGGAACCCAAGTCTCTTGCATCAAGCAGAATTGTTTTATGCACTCAGTTATGCCTGCTGTATTCTAGTTAGAGCCCGTTAGCCAAGTTAATGAACTCTGGCATCTTATATGTACCTGCTTCTAATGGAAAACCTGCATACCATTGCAGAAAGCAGTGCATGCGATTCCTGCCCACCCCCTGCTAACTTAGCATGGATTAATTATTCAAACTTTGAACCAGCTCCTTTGTTCTCATGATCTGTTGTTAGGGTTAGATATTTTCATTGTGTGTATAGAATGTTTCTAAATACGCACTGGTGATGGAGAAGACGGGGTATGTGGATTAATTTGTCCTAAACAGAATGCAATTCTGGGAATGTCATAATGGAGACAAGCTGTCTGCCTGATTTCACTTAACTGCTGAGAAGAATTAAATATACAGACGCTAAACAGAGATTTCATTCACAGCAGGGGTGGGGAGCCTGTGACTCTCCAGATTGTTGGGACTACAATTCCTGGCCAATGGGCAGAGATAATTTGAGATGCAGTCATGTAATATCTGGATGACCGCAGGCTCCCTGTTTTCTATGCCATAATAGTGACTGACTTGGAGCCGCATTTTTTGTGTGTGTTTCTTAAAGAAACTTCAAAAACCCTAGAAGACCAGCTGAAAGAGAAGGAGATCCTGTCCCAGTTGCTGGAGGTGGTGAACCAGCGCAGTGCCCTAATTGAGATGCAGGAGGAGAAGCGTCTAAGTGAGCTTTACGAGCACGCACCAGCATTTGGGGACCGTGGGAAGATTTGAGAGTTGGCTGTATTGAAGCTTTTGTCTTCGTGCAAAAGCTACATTTTAACACAAATTCCGTTTTAACATGTATCTGCAGAGGACTGGTTGATCTTCAGCAAAGATCTGTCCGAGGCACCCCAGGAATAATGAAGGCCAAGGGGCTGGCTGCAGCTCTGTGCTGTAAGCATCAGGCACTTCAGGGAGTTTGTTCATTAGCAGCCTAGGTCCGCTGCCTGGGATTGAGTCCCTTGCCCCCCCGCCCCCCTGCCCTGCAGATTAGTGTTTGGTAGCTGCTATTAGGTGTAAGGAGAACAAGCCTGACCTTGATGCGAGTGTTTTTAAGTAGTAAGACTGGAAATATGGCCGTTTTTTATTTTATTCTTTTTGCCAATAAGTGATTTCATTATAGTGTGTCTTAAGATTGTCCTCCAAATTCTTCTTTACACTGGCTACAGGGAGACAATATTGCACATGTAACTATCTATAGCTGCCTGCATTCTCCCCTATGGAAAAGGCCTCACTTACCAGGACAGCTCCTCTTTCATGCCACTTCAGGCAGCTGCAATGTTTGCCACTTGGGTAGTAGGGGGCTGCTGCTGTGCAAGTGAGCATTTCTGCCTTCACCCAAGCTCCAGCGGGGCAATATTACTTGCACCTCCCACTCCCAAACTAGCATGAGATATTTGGAGGGGCATAAATGCTAAATAATTTAATATATAAACCAGGTGTAGGGAACCTGTGCCCCCCCACCCAGTGTTGTTGGGACTACAACTCCTATAATCCCTGATCATTGGCTGGATCTGAAGGGAGTTGGGAGTCCCAACAACAACAGCAAGGCCTTTCTAATATAAACAGTTTACAGGGTATTACTAGGGAGGGGGCACAGACCTGTCAGTTGAATGAGCAAGGCTGCATGCAGCCTGCCAGGAATTATAATAAAAAGCAGCACGGCCCCTGGAGAAGTGTGATCCTGTCACACAGTATCTGGTTAGGCATCTTTGCCCCTCACACTCTACTTACATGTGTAATGGATTGCCAGCTATAAAACCACACAGGTGTGGTCTGAATATAGTATCTCAAAGCAATAAAAGAACAGCCACTAGAGAAGAATTAGGGGCGCTTTTTCATCACCACAAACTGCTCCTGCAGCAAGCCCCTTTACAGAACAAGGGTCAGACCTCTGCGGCTGAGGAGATGGCTACCTGTTAGAACCAGAAGGTTGCCATGCCTGAACTGCTGTTAAGCCACAGCTCTTTTTACGGGCTGTGTGCTCCTCTTTCAATAAAGATGCATGGAGTGAGCTGGAAGTGTTGTCCTGCCTTTTCTCACCCAAGCTAATTTAACACAAGAAAAAAAAATATCCCACAGGTATCTTCTGAAGTTTTCTTGGGCTCTACTAAACTTTTTGAGAAGACAACTGTGATCCCTGCCTTTCTCTCACTAAATGAGAACAGCATGGAAGGGCACATAATGAAAGATACGCAGGTAATGTGCCCAGATGGGAGAAACCTCAATGAAAGCTGCTCTGAACCCTTTGAGGAAGAGTAGGCTACCGGTTAAGCTTGTTAAACAAATACTCACATGCATCAAAAAGATGCTGTTCTAGGCTGGACATGATTACCTACATGCTTTCACAGACCTGTCTGCTATCTGGGCTATTTGCATGCAGCCTCTCACAATGTTCTCAATGTAACCGTGGTTGACAACTACGTCTTCAGTAACACACCAAACACATTTCTGCCTGCTAGATGAGAAGTACTTTTTGTCAGCTTGGCACAATGAAGAGGGGCATGGGATGGTAGGATGGGGGTTATCCATGGTAAGAAAAATATATCTACATACCAAAGGTAGGATTCCTGGTCTCAATTGCATATAGGTCTCCATTTCTCCCAAGATGTTTTAAGGCGCTAAAAGGGTGAAATTCAGCCTGAAGACTGCTAATCCCAGCTCTACAGGTTACCGCTGGTGTCAAAGGAGGGCTTTTCCAACAGAAGAAGAGTATTTAAGAGATTTTTTAAAAGACTCAACAATTACATAATAGGCTACTAAGAACTGTGCTGAAGGCTAGCTCCTTAGCTGAGAGCCAAAAATGCTCAGTGGCGTAACATGTCTTTTGCATGCAGGTCACAGGCTGAGACTGGCATCTGCAGATTCCCAGGATCTTAGGCAAGGCAGCTGGGAAAATGCCCCCTGCCTGAGACCCTGGAGGCCTGCATGGTTTAATGGTTTGACTTGTTAGGAAGCAGCCACACCAGCCTTAAGCTTGCTGGCTGGACTGCGGCAAGCCCTTTAGCATCACTCCCCCACCCTACTCCAAAGAAATGCAAACAACAGTGATCTACTTCACAAGAGCTGCAGGAAGTATGATGTCAGTGAAAGGATTTTGGTACATTCAAGTGCTAAGCAAGCAATTAATAAAAAGGGTTTCAAGGAAAAGAATTTCACCAGTAAATGCTACTTTCTGCTCTGTTGTATTTGAAGACTGATTTATTCTGTTTTCAATTCAAAAAGGAACTTTGTATAAACTAGAAACGCTATACACATTTTAACTCGTCTGCTTAACACCAGGCTTTTACAGTACTAATTCAGCCACCCGACTCGGTCGGAACAGCATGGTTTGGTTTGATAAATGCTGGTTTCTAAACAGCCACAGCTGAACCGCATGCACTTGAACTGCTTTCGTTTCAAAATTCCCTTCTGCACAAATCGTACTTGTGCTAGAATCCCTTCAGCAGAAGGTCGGAACTATTCGTAGAAAGTTTTATTGCCCTAGAATTAAGCTAAAAATAATAATAAAAAACTTCTACGGCAATTGCTGCCACGTGCTTAAAAAACGGCTAACCCTTAGAACCTGGCGGCACAGAGGAACTTACGGCTCCCGGAAAAGCTTTCAGCATAGTCTCTTGGTCCCTGTTGGAGTTCCAGCAAGCGACAGGCCTCACCGAGAGCTCAGCTTGTCCTGGAGTGTCTGCAGCCCCACCCGCATCTGCTCCTCTGTCCCCTGGAGCACCTTGACCTCGATGGTGTGGAAGAGGTAGAGCACAGCCGAGATGAGCAACACCAGCACCCCCAGCAGGCTGAGCAGCGAGAAGGAGAACTTGGGGAAGGGCTGCAGGAGGGCTTCGCCAAACATGGAGCTCAGCCCCATGGTCGCCTGCATGAGCAGCAGCAGCATGGCCAGGACGGCCATACGGCCGCAGGAGTACTGCTGCCGCTCGGCCGCGTGCAGCCCTACCCGCACTTCCATACGGGCCTCGTTCAAGACGTCCACCAGCACCGGTTCTAGGAAGACAGACGGCAGCAGGACTCAACCACAATGCACGTTGAGGCAGTAAAAGTCCCAACACGTTTGTGTCCAAGCCCACTCAGTGGTCTGCAGAGGCAGGCCAAGACTGCTACTTTATGCAGAGATACTGGCTTCTTGACTATGGTAGTGCATGCCTGCAGAGAAGCCAGGGCCCTAGCACAACAGCCACATTCTTCTCTCCAGGGAGGTTAATGGGCGATAACAGGCCTTGAAGGAGCACCACTGGGGATGGACCAGGCAGGCTTTGCCATCCCTCCCCTCTTCCCAAAGGCACGAGTACTTGCTCCCTCCTGTGCCAAAGCAATGAAACTGGGGTACTCACCAACTCTAGGGTGGTTTGGGCCTTTGCCTAACCCTCTCTTGTTCACAGATAGTGTGGCTATGACAGCTTCATGGTCAGAATAGGGTATGTCCTTGTTGGGAGCTGTTCCAGTAGTTGTCTCATGGCGGTTGCATTTTACTTCATAGTGAGACAAACCCTACAAGAAGGGAAGTTAAGCAGGAGAGCAAGGTGCTTATTATGCACATGTGTTTTAAATAAGTAAGGCTCCCAGAAATTCTAGGCTGTGGACTACAGGTGAAGAGGGTGGGGAGCTAACTTCTTATTAGAGTCCTCTTTGAATGGCAGGGGAAACTATTCAGCAATGTCTTCGGGCAACTTGCTCCCGTGGCTTGTTCTTTCAGCAAATTCATCTTAAATCTAAACTTTTGCCATTTAAAATCCATTGCCCGACATCTACAGTGTTTGGCAACAGGCGCATTCTTGCCATCAGCTTTGGGGTAAGAGTTTAATACAGACTGAAGATTATTTTCAGGCTCAACGCCAATCTGATTTTCTTATGGGTAACAGATGTGCTCAGTTCTTTTCACCTTTTCTCAATGATGTGACCTTTAACCATATTTGCTACCCTCTTCTGAATTCTCCCCAAAATCAACATAGGGCCATGGTTCTCACAAACGTCCACCTCAAACCGAGGAATTAATTACAAATGTAGTTCCCCTCTTACAGGAAAGGCTGGATATCTTGGGCAACTATCCATGCCCCTGTGTTAGAATAGGAAGGAGCAACAGCTGTGATCCAAGTAGTGCCCATATGTTTACAAAGTTCAGGAAGTGATCAAGCAGTGCAAGCTAATCTAATTCCCCAAATGCAGCAAGTTCTTGCAGAAGTGTGCTTAGTGCTTTGCTCATTTTGGCTCTAAAGCTTTAAGTGTTATCCTCATATCTTGAAAAGCCAGTCCCAGCTGTTACAGAGAACATGCCCAAAGACAACAACAGCAGGAAATCAAGCAAGTGAGTTCAACCCGGTGCCAAGAGGTTGCCTGAGGCCATACCAGTCTGTGAGCACATAGTTTTGGAGACTATTGGACAAAGAAGACATTCCAGACTGAAGATACTGACAGGAGACAGACCTGTCATGGGGCTAGTGTCAAACCATATTTGACAGCCTTTATTGCTTAACTGCTTTCTGAACTCTGTACTGTTGCAGTCTGCTTTCTATGTGTTGAACTTGCACATACCTTATACAGAATGTAGTCGATACGAATCCCCTGGGGATAGCACCGCAGTTCTTTCTTGCTTGTGAAGCAGTTGGTGGGCAAGAGCGTAGAGCCATCCTCACCTCCCTAGGAGCAAGACCAGAGTCTGAATTCTCAGTTCTAAAAAAACCAGAAGTGGGGGAACTTTTTCAGCCTGAGGGCTGCAATCCCTCCTGGGCAATGTTTCAAGGGCCATATGCCAGTAGTGGGTGGGGCCAGGGACAAAAGCAGATGGAATACCTAATACACATTTGCGTACCGTAGGCTTATTTCTACACACACTCTCACATAATCTCTATCAAGACAAGCAATGTGCATTATCAGAGTTGAAGGACACATTCCAGTGTGGCCTGGAGCCAGATAGGGAGGCCTGGAGGGTCACTTTTGATCACTGGGCCTGAAGTTTCCCACCCTTCTAATAAAAGATACTAGAGCATCTGCAGCAAGCTGTGTTGTGGAAGAAGCTGCCAACTGAGTCTGGCTGACAGTGCAGCCTGCAGAGCCCGGAGCTTTCAGGAAGGCAAAAGAGAGAGAGAGCCGTGTGGATGGAAGAGGCACCTTTAATCTGGTTGGTGTAACCTATCTCTTGACATTCTTACCCCAATAAAGATAAGGTTATAGTTTCCAGGCCCCAAGGGCAACTTTCTTTTCCTTTTACTGAGTGACCAAAAGACCATTTCATAGGGCGGTACCTGGCGACTCACCTCAACCTTCTCTGCGGCAATGAAGGAGTCCCGAAGCCCTGCCCAACCTCGCAACAGCCTGATGCCCACGTCTTCTGGGTGCATGTTCAGATCCCCACCAAGCAGCACCACATCGGCTCCTTTCGAAGTATGTCTGGGAAGATGAGATACAGACTGAGAGGAAACAAGCAGCCCTCAATGATACAAGGATGTTTTTTGTCATGAGAGATCTAATCCGTGTTAGACTTGAATTCTACTACACACCCAAAACCATGGCTGCATCCTCTCCCCCTATCCACACATTCATTCTGTTGCTGGAGCGATAGCATTACATGGACTGAGTATGTTCCAAGCCAGAGCTCTGAACTACTGCCAAGGAGGGAAACCAGCTAACAGAGAGAGGGACAAAGTGTGCGCACACAAACCTCATTATAAAGATTTCTGGAGTCTCCCCATGACTTACTGTATAAACTGGGCAAGTTCCCAGGCCTGAACTACTCGGTGGGGCAGGTAAGCATCCTTCTCCCGGCAGTACTCCGCATGGAGCTTGGGAGGAAGAAAACAAGACACACATGAAATTCACACTTGTATAGTAATATATGTGAAATCGCAAAGCAACAGCCTATGTACTCGCCTTGCTGCCCCACTTTAAGCTGATCAGGGAGCCTGTGGCAGAGATCAAAAGCAACAAGGTAGGAATTCTATAAGGCAGTGGGATTTCACAGTTTCAGAGACACACAAGGACCTACGGATGATCCAAGACTGTCAGCAAAGAGTACCATCTGGTACAGATATGACGCTAAACTACTGTTTCGCATTACTAGTATAAATCTTGGGCTTGCGTATGCATTCTTCTTCTGCTCCAGCAAGATCACAAGCTCCTGCTTCCACTTTCAACTAACCAGGCATTATTGTTAAGCCCAAACGTTGGAACTGTGGTTAATCTTAACAATGTTATAGAGAAACTAGGCTACAGATTGAAGTTGACTTGAGTCCTTGGACCAGGGATGGGGAACCTGTGACCCCCATCAAATGTTGGTGGGCTATAGCTCTCACCGCCCCTGACTATTGTCTATTCTGGCTAGGGCTAGTGGAGTTCACCAGCATCGGGAGGGATGCAGGTTCTCCATCCTTGCTACCAGTGTTTGCCCAAGTAACCGAATAACAAGGAGCCACAGTTAGCTGAAAATAGAAGCAAAAGCTTCTATCTCCTCTTTGTGACTATGCCAGAGAAGAAGACGGGAGCTTGCGATTCCAAAGCTTATTCGCATTAATACCAACCACAGTTGCGTCTGAAATGCTGGTTGTGTGAATGGACAAACTACCGTGAAGTCCCTTGTTTCTGTAGGCAGGGTTTGTTATCTCCCAAAAGGTGCCCCAGAATAATATCCTCCGATCGTGTAACCCAGGCTTCACCAAAGGAATGATCTCAAGATGTCGTTACACTACAACTCCCAGCATGGCCAAGTGTAAGTAGACCTAAAAAATATTTCCACATGTAGCTTTCGGGCTTCAGCGGACTAGGCAACACTGACACTCCTGTGTTAGTACCAAGCTTGTGAAATCATACTGCTCATTAAGGCTGCCTCCTGTGGGAGTTTCTCTCACCCATTTCATTGTGCCGGCTTTCTATTCCTCCTCAACGCTAAGATAATTTAGAGACAGTCCCACAAGCAGAAGTTAGTTTATTGATCTTTGGGACTGCACTCACTGCTTGCCTGGCATTACACAGAAATTTTATTTGCATTATCTACTAGCCATAGCAATAAAATAAAATACAATATGCTGAGGATAAAGCTAAATGCTTAGCTATACAAAATACGTTCTAGAGGTTTACATCAATACAAATGACAGAATTGATACATAATCCTTTAACCACTTAATCCTTTAACAGGCAGCTTCTATTCATCTATGCAATGTGGCTTGCATTTATTGTACCTTGGGATAAGAATGAACGGCAGCTTTCTAATGATGCATACATTTGAGAGAACACAGAAAAAATCCTTCTTTAAAAGGCTGTGTGTCTTGTTCATTTTTAAGAAGGTGCCACCCAAGAAAATAAAAAGCCTTGGCTGTTCATGGACACCCCCTGCTGGCAAATAGGCTGTAAAAACAACAAGTATCACTTGTGAAGTCCAAGCCAGTACAGTCCCACCTTGGAAGTCGAATGGAATCCATTCTGGAAGTCCATTTGACTTCCAAAACATTCGACAACCAAAGCGCGCCTTCTGATTGGCTGCAGGAAGCTCCTGCAGCCAATCGGAAGCCCCGTCAGATGTTCAGCTTCCAGAAATAGTTCACAAACCGGAACAGTCACTTCCAGTTTTGCAGTGTTCGGGAGCGAACACTTTCGAGAACTAAGCTGTTCGAAAACCAAGGTATGACTGTAATCACAGGATTCATTCAGCAATCTAAGCAAATCTGAAGTGCTATCCTGTGTTCCTCATGTAAATCCTACTCTCATCTAGACATGCGCGCACACACACACACACACACACACACACACACAGATGATCTCTGTAATCTTGCTCCAGGAGTTGAATAAGTTTGTAACAAATTTAAGAAAATACAACAAAATAAATAAAACTGCTCACATGAGTCACATAGATGTTGAAAACAATCTCCTGTATCTTCAGGACTACAAGCCCCACTGATTTACCACCAAACCAGTCTCCATGCTGGAACTGTAGAGAGAAGAAAGTGGAAGACAGTAGAAGAAACATAGGCAATGCTGGTCACAGTGAAAAGAGCCTTAGAAGAAAGATGCTCTTTGGCACGTTCCCCAACCCCAAGCAAGGCATTGCCCACTCACCATGTAGGGGTAGCCATTCACAGAGTATTGGTACAGGAAGGTGTCCAGGATTTGGTATCTGGAGAAGATGCAGAGCCCACTGCCAATCACTCCACTGTGAAAGACACAGGCACCACAGGCGTCAGCTAGAGGCGGGGAGGGGGGGGCATCACCAATCCTCGCTGTTCCCATCCTCCATTTGAAATCAATAGCTAGAGTTTACAGAAAAGGGCTGGCATTTGGGACTCCTTGGAATTATTCCTGGTTCTAGGGACGAAGCGAAGTCTTCTGACACCGTGACAGAGTCAAGACTGAAAAGGGATTCTGCCTCACCATTATTAGCTTCTGTAACAGCACGCAAGGTCAAGTCACAGGTTCCCACCAAAATGTACATTTAAGAAGAGCTTAATGCCATGTCTGCCAAAGAAGTGAACCATAAGGTTTGGTAACCATCTATAATCAAGTGGCCTGTACAAGGTGAGTCTGTAAAACTCAGATTAACTAATGTCACAAAAATTTATTGAGTTTCCCTGTGTTCCAAGCTGTGTCCCCTACAGATGAAGGTTGGTTTCACAGGTTGGTCTGCAGGTTGGTTTCACACCAGGTATATGCCAACATGCATCCAACCCATGCGTCCTGCACCATGCTGCCCATGTAGTGATCCAGTGTGCAACCATGGGCTCTGCTTCACAAACACAGCCTTAAAAATAGACCTGTGGGCTATTCAGTCAGCATGCCACATCTGGAAGGCAAGGATTGCTAAGGGAACAAGGGCAATTAAAGAACAATTATCTGTCACAAGGGGTGAGGCTGCTGCACAACAAGGCACCTGTTTCCAAGAAAATATTATTTTGATCAGCTAAAGACCCAACTTATTCCAAGGCCTTTTATGCTAACCTTTCTGAGCTTTCAAGAAACTAAAGAGTGGAAATGATTTCCTACCAGTGTCTGAGAGGGTCCTCTCTAAAAATCATATAAATTTCACATCTATGAAGTCAAGCCTATACTAATTGAGCTCAGCCATTGGCATGGACTATTCAAGCTCCTTTTTACCTTTTAAAATAGTGGAAAGAAGGGTAGCGGGCACACAGCTTCTTTTTCAGCTCCCAATAATCTCTCTCGCTCCACACCTGGAAAAGCAGAGAGGTTGTAGTCACAGTGACTGCAAACCAAAGAACAGAAGTGGGAATTGAATCAGTGGGCTAAGTTGAAGCTAGGCGTGGGGGGGGGGGGCGCTAACCCCTCCCTTCCCCTAGTATCCCTCCTCCCTGATTAATCATGTTTATATAACACTGCAACAATGTATAGCGCTTCAAGATCTTGCCATGCTCTGCCCACAACCTATGCCAATACTAGATGCACTATAACAGATGTAAGTACTCACCTCCTGCAAGAGCGCCAAGTCATATCCCTCCTGGTTGAGGACATTGCCAATCAATTCAATGCGCTGCTGCCGTACTTTGCTAAGGTAGCGAATGGCCCTGGAGGGGAGAGAAAGGGAAGGAAACTGAGTGAAACATCAGGTTCCAACTAGGCTCACTGCTCATTTCAATCTTAGCCCTTCATTACTTACACCTGGTAAAGAAGGCAGTATCATACTGAGAGCTAAAGGAAGCACTCCTCCCAATGCAAAAAGCACACCTGGAGGAGCAATTTTAATCAGGACTACAGTAGGGAAGGAAACGGTTAAATCCCCTCTCATCACCGAGGCAAGCAGCCCTCCCGCAGCATGCCAGTGTAAAACCTCTGACTTTTGTGTGGCCAGAATGTAGGACACGGTACAAAATTAAGGGTCACGTGCATTGTTCCATCTTTTTTTCTCTGGCCTGCCCACTTGAGTCTCTGCCCCACCCCCAAAGTTTGTCCTCAGCATGAAAAAGATTCCCCTCTCTCTCCATTTAAGCATAGATGCATGTTCAGCCAAATCACTTAATCATTGGGTTGGAAAAGGGCAGGAACACACAGAGAGATTTACCAATACCCTGTTTTATTTACATAAAAACAGCCCCAGACACAGGAGCTTCATCATTTCCTCTCTGCAAACAGGGAAACAAACAGGTGAAGAACGTGTTTGCTGTAACCCAGAAGACTCAGCAACTTCTTGATCAGAAAACATGACTGAACCTTCGCCAGCAGTCATGCAGATCAGAGCCAAACCTCACCTGCCTTAAACAAACACAAAAAAATAAAGCCATGGAAAAACTCACCAGCAATTGAGGTCAAAGACACGCAACTGCAATTGAGGGTCCTTATCCATCACAGTGGGGACAAGACAATGCAGAGGTGGGTTCAAATGGTTGCACTCAAAATGCTGACAGGTTCTGCCTCCAGCTCTCCGGCAAGCAAGGTGTCAGACTTTGGCTTTGCTCCTCTGCCAGAAGAACAGGAAGTGTGACTGTAATATTGCAGCTAACATGTATGCACTGGCAGCTGGAAAACAAGGAAGGATGAAGCCTTGGTGGCGCTGATTCAACAAGCAGCACATGCTTTTGTGGATAAGGCCTAGAATGCCTCTCTCTGCTAAAGCCCTCTGGGCAACAGCATCTGAAAGTCCTTGATAGGAGGGAGAGGTGCAAAGATAAGATAAGACCTAAAGATTAGCAGAGTTATAAAGCATTAAAGGGACACTCTCAGGTCAAGCAAGGCCCATCTTTTGCCTGTTTCAATCCTGATAGCAGGAGTCTTTTGCTTCAGTGCTGTCACTGCTACCAAAACGCCGCAAATGCACACCTTTCCAGGCAATAAACCCTCATGGTAAAGACAATACTCCTGTAATCATTTAGGGCCCATCAAGCTTTAAAGGTCCACAGGCACACGTAGATCTTTGAGGGTGCTGACGCCCCATTATTCCCTCTCTGGGCACTTCTCTCTCATCCCAACCTCACCCCAGACAGAAAGAGAGAGAGAGAAAGCACACACATACAAACTTAGCTTTTCCAAGGAATCTGGGCGAAAGCTGGAACCAGCAGAATTAGTCTGAATCTTGAAAAGCACATAGAACTGAAAGAAGTGGGAAAGAGTGGCACTCTTCCAACTTCCTCCTTTAGCTCTGTGTACTTTTCGAGGGAGAAAAAGGTAACCACCCTCACCAAGGGAGGTGTGTGTGTGTGACTTCAGAAGCTATGCAGGTACCACAGCATGCCACACTGATGACCAACACATCACAGGGCAAGTCCTTAAAAAATATAAACAAGCATTATGAGTGATTCCACAGGCCTACCCACTTTTTAAAAATATCATGTGTTTACTTGGTAGATTCTAAAGCTCTCTCCTACTGGCAATCTCTCTGTGCGAAGTTCCAAGGACAAGAAGCCGTGTGCTCACAGGTCAATGACACCCAATCCAAGTCTCAGTTCTTGAATTTCCTTCAAGGATCTGTTTTCAACCATGCTGGAGTGTTGGGACACCCATGACCAAACCTACAGTATTTACTTATCTCTCTCAATATCACAATTCCTCACAATCATTTATGGTTTTTACCAGTGCTTTCCCCCCTAGAAAAACAGTTGCCAGTACTCACTGTGAAGTTCTTACAGTAAGTGCCACACTTTTTAACCCAGAGAGAGAGAGAGAGGTGCTGGTATTGTGTACCCTGGAGTACCCCCTGAAAATAAGCACTGGTTTTTACTGCCCTTGAGGCTAGGGATTTGTGTCTTATTGAATTGAATCAGACTCAGTATGGCTTGCCCAAGAACCCAGGAGAGAGTGCATGGCAAAGCAGCCGGGGTCTGCTCTTCAAACTGCTTCCACCCTGCCCTCAAACCATTCCCTCCCATCTTCTTTGAATGCGTTTTCTTACACTTGTTCACCAGTTGGAATTAGCAAGAAAGGGAAAGTAGCTTCCCTTGTGTTCACTGCCAAGATGAAATAAAATGGCCATGGTAAATATTTTGAGTTTTCAACAATATACAGACAGAAAGAAATGACAATCACATGTTGAAGACATGGACATCCTCATTTTTGTATGGTTTCGCCACAAAATCGGTGGCGAGTTAGTGACGCAGACAGGTCCTGGCTTCTGGCCAGTAGCTTTGATCTGCACTCTGTTTCCTGGTTTCTTCAAGGGAAAAACCAGTATGTACTTTGTTTTAGGATGCTTCTCACTGTGTCTATTTCCCAGCATTTGGATAAAGGTGTTTCATTGCCTCTCACTGCTCAATAGTGAGTCAGGAAGCCCAACCCAATTTTCTCAGACAGTACATGTATATTATAAATATGAGCACAAGTCAGTTTGCTTGACAAGTGTTTCAGATTAGATGTTTCTCGACTAGTAAACAGTCCTATCCTAGGATGGACCATCTATACGTCTTCAATACTCCCTTGGAAAGAAACGTGTGAGCTGATTAAAAGGTTCACTCCTGTATACCTTCAAGGCTCAATACTCTTACATTAAAATACCATAATTTGAGAATTTCCTGTAAGTAAGGATTGAGCAGATTGTAAAATACATATGCCAATCTATTGTTCAATTTATGTGTAAGCACCCAGCTCCCAGAAAATATATTCATTATGTTCATACTGAGCCTGCCTTATCCCCAAGAGCTTTGGGAGCACAGCACTTCCCTTGTGCTTCTCGGTGAAAATTTACTGCCTTTATTTCTTCAGTCTATAGCAAGGATGCTTTAGTTAATACACAGCAATGGCAAACTGCATAATGCAGGTGTCAGGATTACCACTGCATATCACTGCAAATGTTCATTGATTTCTGTGTTCAGTCTGAAGCATGAAACTGTCGTACAACTATTTGCTAGCTGTGCTGTGGAACTACAAAAGACCACAGCTTCTTCATGCATGCAATGATTTACACACAAGTAAGACTGTCATGTGCCTACCTCCCAGGGGTATTCATGTAATCCCCTACACACAACTTCCTTATAAGAAGCTGGCAACAAGGGAAGGAAACCAATTCAAACAAAAAAACTGGAACAAACAGAGGGGGAATGAAGGAGTGCTGAAATGTCCACACTAGCACAGACTAGTATCAATATCTACAGGCCCATAAATTAATTGCTAATAAGCTTTTTCGGATTCAAAATAATAAATGATCTGGCATCCATTCAGGAGTTTTTTACATTCTTGGAATTTAGGGAGCAGAGTTTTAATTTACTTAGTCTATACATTCAAGTTGTGGTTGCTGCATCTTAAAAATACTGCAGAGCTGGAAAGGGTTCAGAAAAGGACAATCAAAATGACAAGGGGGTGGAGCAACTTCCATATGAAGGAAGGTTATAACATTTAGAACTTTTGAGTAGAAGGGGAGGGACACAGCAAAATTATAACAAATTTTATTCCTCTTTTAATAGTAGTATAACCCAGGCACATCCAATGGGGCTGAATAGTGAAACAAAATGAAGAACTACACACAGTCCATAGTTAAACTAGAGAATGCAGTATCAGCCACTAACTTGAACGGCATCCAAAAGGAGCCTAGGAAAATTAATGAACCAGAAGGCCGCTGACGACTACTAGGCATGATGGCCCTGTACTAACAAGGTGTAGTTATGACTAACTTTAGAAGAATCGGAGCCAATATGAGAGACTAGAGTGTATGCACATATCTGTAAAGACAGGCAAAATCCAGAGATGGTCAATGCGTGCTGTTGGATACAGCATAATCAGAGATTATGGGAGCTGTCGTGCAATGGCACCGGGAAGGCCACAGGTCCCCAACCTCTGTTCCGATTGCGGATAATGCAAATGAATAAAGTCGCATTAGCTGTCAAAGCATCCCAGGCCAAGAGAAGATTGCCTTTAAATCACATACTGTATTTACTAGTATGCGTACACCCCCCGTTTCTTTTGGGAGGCGGGCGGAGGAAGGAAGAACGCAAGGCGGCTGCAAAATAGTAAGAGATTAAAAGTGGGGCGGAGAACAAGCCAAGCAAAACAAATCCCTAAATCACACTAACACAATGTGGCAGCTTGAGATCAGTTCCCCGGATTGCGCTCCCTTCTCTTGGCCGCATTTCCCCAAAGGGAAGGCGACTTTGCGCTTTAGGATCTTTTCCCTTAAGCCCTATATAACCTGAAACGTCCCACGGGAAGGAGCCATAATTAAGCGTGTCTTCCGGGCTTCGATCCCAAGTCGATCTCGGAGCGCAGCGTTTGGCGCTCGCGGGAGTCTTCCAGCAGCGCACTTTATCGATCCACTATGTTAAATCATCGATCGCTCCGAGGCGAGAGTTGCCGGCTCAGGCAGAGTTTCGGTTATGGCAGAGCAAGACCAGGCGCGGCTGGAAAGAAGAAAAAGGGGCGCGCAGCGGGGGTTTGGGGGAGTCTTCGAGAGCCACTACGCACCTGGCGGGAGATGCTGTCTAGGCCGGCCGGCCGAGCCCCACTTCCCACTTCTTGCTTCCCTTCACTTCATTCTCGGCGCGGAGACCTTGCCTAGCCGGCAGCAGCAGGAGCCAGATTCCCGCAGACGAAGAGGGCCAGCCTCGCCTCTAGCCGTAAGGCGCGCAGTGCATCCCGGGATTTGTAGGCCTCCTTCCGCGCAGCAGCCTCATCTTCAAGGCGCGCCTCCTGCCCTGAAGAACTAGAAGTTCCAGGAGGTGGCGCTGTCGGCTCGGAAAGGAGAAGTGCTCACCAAGTGGGGGCTTAAAAAAAGAAGAAGGGGGGACTGCAAGTACCGAAATGCTTTGGGGCGGCCGGTGCCCGCAACCTCTTCTGTCGGCAACTGCTGTGCTTTCGAAGAACTTGCAGAAAAGTATTAAAAACTGCGCTGCTTCCGCGAAGAGCGGTTGCAATAGAAAGCAATAGAAAGCACGGCAGAAAATGGCTGTGCTGGCGAGAGTGAGTGAGCGCGGGCGCATCTTCACTTGTCAATCACTAGAAGCCTGCTTTTGGAAATTACGGTACACAAAAAAATAACACAGCATTCCTTAGTTGGTGGGTTGTTGTAGTGTTGGTTTTTTTTAAGCCCATTAGCTTTTCAGGTATTTATTGTTAAGTGCCCCAAACCGTGCTTCAATAGAAGTTTACATAATTTTGTGACTCGAAAGGGTTGAAAATCAGGCTCACAAGTGGGCCCTGAGGATAGGAAGTTCAAGAGCCCCTGTGCTAGAGCATAACAACAACAAACAAGAGTTTGTCACCCTGGTTAGAAGAAAGAAATTCTGAGCATGGTCAGTTTCACATTTGAAACTTACTTATAGTGCCATAGTGATTACAGGAGTAAATAGAGTTTGCTTCTGTTGCCTTGAAGCTAAATGCATTTGCGTGGGAACTAGCACCATTTTGTTGTAGAAACATCGGAGTATATACTTGAAGTAAAAATAGTAAAAGAAGCACTTGTAATGTCTAGCTGCCAAGTTGTTTCTAGCTGCAATTCAAAGTGCTGGTTTGGAGCTTCAAAGCCTTTACATGGCTCAAAACACTATATATAGAGCATCACCTTTGCACATATGAACCTGCCCAGGGAAGTGCCTGCTGTTGAGCTCCAGATATGCTCACCTCCCATCATCCACCTCTCTTATCTTTCCTGGCCCTGACTTGGACCCGCAAACCCAGCCCTAATGGCACCACTGGAAGTACGCACAAAATACACAGCTGGCAGGAACCCTCCTCGAAGAGGCATTTCTCCTCTTGCTCTCACAAGAGAGAAGGCTCTTTCAAGACAATGTCTACTGAAAAAGGATGCTGCTTTTGACACAAACTATTTCTTTACTCGAAGAGAAGACTCCCTGGAAAAGACCCTGATGTTGGGAAAGATGGAGGGCACAAGGAGAAGGGGATGACAGAGGACGAGATGGTTGGAGTGTTCTCAAAGCTACCAGCATGAGTTTGAGCAAACTGCGGTAGGCAGTGGAAGACAGAAGTGCCTGGCGTGCTCTGGTCCATGGGGTCACAAAGAGTCGGACACGACTAAACAGCAACAACATTTCTTTACTCCTGTGCCCATTTATGCAAAGACATACAGGTAGTTGGGTTGCTTGAAACCTAATAATCCATATTCTTAATCTCTCTCTTTGCTGGCACCTGTTTGTCACTCCCCCATACCAAGACCATAAGTACTGTTTGATCTGTTGACTGAGAGTTGATTCAAAGCAGCAGAGTTCATACTTTAGCTAGTCAGAGTGCCTGTTTTATTGTTCAAGGTGAACATAAACATTTGAATAAACCCTCATACCACCACTTTAGTCAAAGGGAGCAAACAGTAAAATTCAGACATTCCAACAGCGAAATTCCATGACGCTGTCTGCATTCAAACCATGGTTTGGAGGATTAGGAACAAACCATATGCTTAAGGGCTCACTTCTTCCCCACGTTCTTTTTCCCCTTTTGAGAACAGCTTCTGCATTACTCCATGTTCTAATCAAACCATGGATTGCTATTACATCCAGCCTAAAATCTATGGTTTCGGCAAGCCTTAATAAACCAGGATCAAACTAGTTTACAATTCTAATTTGGATGGCTCACTCAAACTCTATAGTTGCATGTAAGTGGCAAAATTTGGCTTGATTAAACTACTGTACATCTGTGAGGGGAGGAAAGTAGTCAAGCCCACAGAGGATCATCTCAATGCAACCAGTCACACTTGTAACTGCATACTTTGAAGCTAATATGTATTATTATCCAAACACATTTCTATTTATTTCACACACCCACACAAACATACGTTTTGCAAAATATACATGGCTTCCATTTTGAGAAGGGGTAAATGAAGAACATATGAAGAACAGCTGTGAGCCTATCCCTCACACCTTTGCAATCTGCCAGATTCACTGGTTTATTTGTCTGTCAAAACTCCAGCTCAGCTGTGAGCATTGCGATTTCCCTTTGGGCAGCTGGCAGTTTTTAAATGTTTAAAACAGAATACATTCACAAAACAGTGCAAATTGCTTTGGGGATTGGGAAAGCTTCTTGATGACTTCACGGAGTGCCAGTTCTGTAAGCTTTGGAAAAGAAAAGTACGTTTGGACTGAACACAGTAGTATTGCTTCCAAACTGGGTTCAGCAAATTAACTCCCAAGTATGAAAGCCAGACCTGAAATCCTACCAGTCATAACTTCACAGTCACAAAGCAGATGTTAAACACAATTGTTTTTTAAAACAGCTATTTACACAAATGAAGGCTGAATGCAATACAAAATCCCCCACTCACCCAGTGAGATTGTAGACATATATAAATACACAGACCAGTGTAGATTATGGCCTGGTAAAACATTATGGACAAGTGGTGGAATTAAAAGTTGCACTCTTCTCATCATTCAATCTGTGCAAGCATCCAGCTTGTCAGGTGGAATGATACACCGTCTTCCCATGTGGAATTTTTCCTGACACTCCTCCCCCAATTTTAGAGGACGTGGGGGGAGCACATGGGGAGGAGAGTGCCCAGTTGCACAAGTCCCTGTGGAGGACCTCTGCTGATAGGGGCTGATGAGGTGGATCCAATTGCAGCTTCTTATTGCTGGTGCAATGCTCATGAACATACAAGAGAAAATAAAGGGAAGAATGCGAACAGGTGTTTGAGCCAACCCATGAACAAATAAGTTTAATAGTTTTCAGCAGACCATCGCTTTCTAGAAGCTCCACTGTCTCATCTACTTGAAGATGGACATACAGTAAACACAACAATATATGATACAACCCATCACAGCTGGATTAAAAAAAAATACACAAAATATAATACATAAAAATGGTTTTACAATGTGGACTGACAGAGCTCTAAAAAAGGTGACCATAACCCTGGTAAGCTTTACAAAGTCTTTAAAAAAATAAAACAGTACTTCATGTGAAATTCATAAATACATGGGATGTGGGGTGACATGAGACTTGGTGACTTGAGTTTTTGGGTACCAGTATTATGTCCAACTAAGAGAGATTCGTGAAGCTGGCGTTTCTTTAGCCTTGCTGCCATTCTCTGAGGGACACCCAGGTGGGCAGTGGTTTGTGGGTCTATTTGTGCTCACAGGCTTGTGGCCTGTGCAGGGGAATCTACAAGCAGGAAGGCTGGGGAATGGATCTAACTACATGTTGCAGTGAAAGCAAGAATGGTATGGCATGGAAGGACTGAAAGGGGGAAAGACGAGAAACGTAACATAGGCCAGTTTTGGAGGAGGTTTATTCCAAAGGCTCCAGTTGGGTTGAAGATTGTGGATAAAATACAAGAAACAGTTTTTATATAAGAAAGTTGGGGTTTAGGCAAGACTAAGGCTCTGCTCCACTTTCCCCATGTTGTACACTGAAGTCTCTGCCCCAGGGGTTTATATATGCCCTCCCTTAAAAAAGTATGTTTAGCAGAAAAGGGAATTCTATTGTACATAGGTTAAGGAGAACAGGGAAGGTTTTAACCTTAATTCCCAGAGTTTTTGATCTAGGAATGAAAATAAACATGCTACATATAAACTAACCAGCTCTCCTCTCCTTACAGCTGCAGAGGCTCTGGCTGTAATCATAAGCAATTCAACATCCTGTCTCTTTTAACTCTACCTCCTCCCTCTATCATAGCAATAACTGTTATTCAGTTCCAAGGATGCTGTACCTCTCCCCCCGCCCAATGCACAGGGGTCTCAGAAACGTACCTGAACTTCAAGCTGGCTTTTACAAAGTAGCCAGTTCTTCCTAAGAGTAATAATACACTGGAGAAAGAGTTGTGGCACTAGAGAGACCAGTTTGCCCAAAACATCACACACAGAGATGCATGAGACCATCAGCTTTGCCAGAGGCAATGCAGTAGGATTATCACAGTGGAGGCAGGGGGTAGAGGATGTGCTCACCTGAATTTAGATTACAACTGATTTTTATAACTTTCTGCACCTGTTGCTCATCCCCCAAGAGTGCAACATGTGTTGCAAAATAAGGCACTGTTCCTGAGCAATTTGTGACTTGCTGCTCTACCAAACCAGTCCCCACGTACCATTCCCCTTAGCGTTACCACCTCGGGGGTCCCACATAACACACAGAGGAGTGTTCATTTCAACATTCTAGTGGAGTTTTCCAGAAGTTCTTGGGTGGCATCAATTAAAAACACTTCACAGGAAAAAAATTGTTACATTAATTATAAATGTCCTTCAAAAAGCTGGGAAACAATTCTGTCAGTTGTTCTCATGGTGTCACCTCTCAGCTGCATGTTGTACTCAAACGGCAGTCCGAAGGATCCTGGGAACGTTCTTAGTCTGCGTTAGCTAGACTTAAGTTTGAGTTAGCCCAATGCCTTTGTACCTAGTCCTTCATCCACAGTCGAAACATGGGTGCTAAATCAACAATGCAGTGGTGATACAGGCCAGGCCTGAAGGAGAGGCCCAAGTCAGTTATGAAAAGCCAGACATCAAGACTTTATGAGGCATCTCCATTACATTATCTCCTACCTTCTAAAGCAGACAATGGAGAAGGGAGGAGCTCTAAATTTTAACCTGACCCTTATGTTCCAATGAAAGGCACCCAGTACTTCAGCGACACCACAATCTGTTTTTAACAGACATTTTTGCCCGCAGCCAACACACCCTGAATTCCTAGCTCCCTTCCACTGTCTCTTTGGGAATCTCTTTGCACAAATCTTGATACCACTATGAAAATGATCCTGGTGGTGAAATCTCTACAAATTGGGTCTGGTCCTAGCATTAGGTAGAGTGAAATGGTCTCCTCAGGCAGGTGTGTTGAGGTGTCATGAGAACGGCAGAAATATGTGAAGTTACTATAGTATTTATTGCCAGGGGTGGGAAGATGCACCTGTGGGATTTTCTGCCTCAGGTGCCAAAACAACTCAACCAGCCTTGAGAACTATGCACTGGGGGCCAACCTCCATTTAAAGCTATAGTCAAATACCCCAAGCATAAAAAAATGTAATTGCAAACTCAAGTCTGTGCATTCCAATTTCCTCGTAGAAGTGGAAACCTCAAATTCTCTCCTTGCTTGCAAATGGCTTTTCTTTTTCTTTTGCATTGTATTGCACCTTTTCCAATGTTTTGAGGCTTCTCCATAGGAATCTCACCAGGCCCATGGCAGCATAGGGTGGAGATTAGTCTGAGTGGGTTGAGTAAGAGTATACCAGACTAAAGGAAGGATGGAGCAGCAAGGAGAATTCTCTTAAAAAATGAAAATCAACCAACTTAAAAGCAAACAAATCACCATGTGGCCAGGGAAAAGCTGAAGGACAAAACAGAAAAAAGTTCAATGGTAAAAAAGAAAGGTAGGAAGGCACAAATATTACATTCTGTTAGTTCCTCTATTATTTAAAACTACAAACTAGCATTTAGACAAAGTATAGCTGAAACCTATGGGCCTGAGCCCTGGAGGTGCCACGTACAGTGAGGTTACTGATATCTTGGCACTGTTCATGTAACAGGATTCCTATAAGCACCAATTTAAATCACAAGCCCACTGTCTTAGTCTCCAAGCTTAAGGTATAGGGGCTCATGTTTATACTTAAACCCTACACAGAAACTTTCTTCAGCATTTCCAACAGCAAACAGTACAGCTTTCAAATGAAGAGGGATTCTGTATGACATATTGTACTTTGTTTCATCTTTCAGCACCTCCTTGGGTTTAGGCTGCCAGAATATGCCATTTTCGCTTTGGTTTTTTGTTTGTTTAGCAGCCTCCACAAAGATATCCTAGGTGGGAAGTACATAATCCAGAGGAAAGACTTGCATCGTGATATTTAGATCATGCCCTTTCCTGGATGACTACCACAGATGAACAGGGAAGCAGAAGGGAAATTAATACCTTACCAGAACAATGCCCAGGCAGCAAGAACTTTGGTCTAAGCTTATCCCATGCTGTTTTTGACATGGCAGATGTAATAATAATAATAATAATGCTCCATTGAGAGCTGGTTAAAAATCCCATACAAATTCAGATGTTTTTCCCCAAGTTACTCAACCTTAGCCAGCCCTAATATTTTTCCAGTCATCTCATTGCTCACCTAGAGTCAGCCTGCTTATCTGCAACCCTATGATTGCAAATCTATGCAAATCTCCAAATCTATGATTTCCTGAATTGCTCTCCTCCAACTGAGCACCCCTCCTTCCTCTTAATACATACTCTAACCTTTTAACATCCCACAGACAGATATCTTTAAGTCTCTCCATTTCTTGTTGGCACACGCATGCGCACGCACACACACACACGATCCTGCAACCCTACTCCTGTCTATTAGCCAAACATCTGGGACATGGATGTAAAAGCACCACATTCCTGCCATAATCAACTCCTGGCGCCCTCCCACCACCACCGTATCCTGCAATAGAAAATGCCCAGGAAAATGTTGGAACAAAATCGTTTTCTTGCAATTAACCCATGGGTGGCATGTGTGCCACATGACGCAAGCTGCCAGTTCCCTGTGTTGGCTCTGCACGCAGCCTGCGTCAAGAGATGGAAGAAAACTCTTCATCTTCTTTGTCGGTGTCTCGAACAGAGTGGGATCGGTCACTTAAACCAGGCAGCATCTGATTCCCCATCCCTTCCCAGAACAGACATCCTTAGCAGCCCTCTCAGAACGCTTTTCTCTAAATGAAACCACCCAAGTTTTGAGGACAAATTGGCACGGGATATATAGGCACATCCAGGTATTAAGAAGTAGTTGGCAGTCTCGTTTCACTAGATGCTGTTCTAGTGTTGTGTGACGGGAGAGATATCCAGAGGTACCAGGCCTTGGCGCCAATGTCTCCTGAAATACTGATGACCGAGCCCCCAGGAACAGTCCTCCTCCTTGCTGCCTCCAGATACAGCTCTCCTTCCGTTATATGCTTTCCTGTCATGATTTTCTTTTCTGCTTGTTTTTTTTCTTTTTAAAAAAATTGTTCCTAAGTAGAAAACATCTGTGATTGTGATACAGTCTTTTTGGCATTGCTTTTTGTGTGTGTGTTGTGTGTTCATTTTTCAAAAGACTTGCATCAAGGCATCCTATTCGGGTGGCTTCTCTGACAAGACTTCTTCTCTTCTTCCTCAAATTGCCCGGTCACCCCAAGGGGGCCTCTAGTCTTTGACCAACTTGTACACATGATGCTGGGCTCCGTGCTCGCTGGTGGATACCTCAAAAACAAAGGCTATGCAGAGCAAGGTTTCCTGGGTATCTCTGTTCGTAACAACCTGAGGGAAGAAGAACACACACATACCGTGAGATACGGGAAGATGGACTGGGAAAGTCAGACATTGAGACCAGAGAAATGGCATAGTTTTTTGAGCTGGGTTCCTATAGTACGAGCTCTCATACTATATTTTGTACTCAGGTACAGAAGCTGAGTACTTTATTTCTTTAGAAAATTAATGTCTCCCACTCTTCAGCCGAAAAGGGAGTCCCAGAGTAGCTTGCACATCACTATCTGAAGAGTCATGACACAAAATGAAAATGAGATTTGAGAGGAAGGTGGAAATTGCAACAGCTGCAAAGAGCATGCTTATTTCAATAGCCACCGCCTCTTTTAAAATATGGAAGCAGAAGATTGATCCTTTCCCTGTTGCAATTTAACCATGCACATCACAAACAACAAGCATAATACAGATGTAGTTATCTGCACCAAAGTACAAAATATTATTTCAATCTTCTTTACTTTTACCATCTATCCACTTGATTTCAGTAGGACTTATTTGATGAATTACAAAATCTCAAAAATCAAAGCCACAATTCTAAAGACAGGAATGATTTAAGATTTAAGTGGTAACTTTTAACGGATTGCCTATAACCTGCGAAGTGGTGAAGATAACATTACCACTCTTCTGCACCTGAGAATGAATCTAAGACACTGGTAAAATTAACCTCCTCTCTACTTGCAAGGATGAGACAAATGCCCATCTGATCAAATAAAAATATTTTGAAGTGGGGATTAAGGACTGCAGCAAGTTACTCAACTGAGCCAACACATATAATGGATGGCAGGATAGCACTTTAAATGAGGAACAGACTACATGAGCTTGTCCTTGCCAAAGAATCTCACATGTGCTGAACAAAATATTTTCCTCATAAGAAATGTCTTCATGACAAACCATTGCCTTCTTGAAAGCAGATGATGAGCATAACATTGAAAGGTAGAATAAAAAACAACAGGAGGAAAGGAATGCAATTGTTATTTTGGTCGGAGCCTTGTTATTGGCACCCATCTGTCTTGGGGGACAATGGAAGAGTGTGCCTAAAGTCAAACCATTGGAGAGATACAGCACCTGCTTGTAGCTGTAGGGGGGAGAGAGGTTTTATTACAAGTGGGGCAGATGAAGGGGTCTGCTTTTGCTGCTACAGGCCCAGATTTAGTCATACTTACGGGTAAACTCATTGAAACCATTGACCTAACTTGTACAATTTATTTCAATGGGTTTTTACTCCAAGTATGACCAAATCTGAAACTATCCAGTGGGTTTCTTCAGCCATGAAAAGCCTACTATGAACATCCAGAAGGAGAAGTTACTCCTTGCACCAGCTGGAAAGGATTCAGGATGGAAGGAAAATGTCATTTACCTGCAGGATGGTGAAATTCTCCAGGACGCTGTTCATCATGTATTTTTCTGGGAGGTGTTTCAGTTTATGGATAAAGTTGATCATATACTCGCACATGGGGGACCGATGGATTCGGTACACACACCGCCCGTTCTCCATCCGGGCAAATTCCGTCTGCAGAAAAAGCATCGATAAGGTATACAGTAGGGACCCGGGTGGCGCTGTGGGTAAAAGCCTCAGCGCCTAGGACTTGCCGATCGAAAGGTCGGCGGTTCGAATCCCCGCGGCGGGGTGCGCTCCCGTCGCTCGGTCCCAGCCCCTGCCAACCTAGCAGTTCGAAAGCACCCCCGGGTGCAAGTAGATAAATAGGGACCGCTTACTAGCGGGAAGGTAAATGGCGTTCCGTGTGCTGCGCTGGCTCGCCAGAGCAGCTTTGTCACGCTGGCCACGTGACCCGGAAGTGTCTGCGGACAGCGCTGGCTCCAGGCCTCTAGAGTGAGATGAGCGCACAACCCTAGAGTCTGTCAAGACTGGCCCGTATGGGCAGGGGTACCTTTACCTTTTTAAGGTATACAGTGGTTAAGAATTTAATTTGTTCTAGAGGTCTGTTCTTAACCTGAAACTGTTCTTGACCTGAAGCACCACTTTAGCTAATGTGTCTCCTGGTGCTGCTGCATGATTTCTGTTCTCATCCTGAAGCAAAGGTCTTAACCTGAAGCACTATTTCTGGGTTAGCGGAGTCTGTAACCTGAAGCATATGTAACCCGAGGTACCACTGTAGACCCTAACAAAGAAGTCACTGAAGGTGCAATAATATGAGAGAGATTTGTTAATTTATTTATTATTGTGTATCGAATGGCATTCAAGCTTGGTGTAGGAGAACTGGGGAGGTGGCACACCCTAATTATCCTTAATTAAGCAGCAGGGGGAAAGGAAGAGAGGACTATACTGACATTCTGATAACGCATGCATTGCTACTTATTACACATGTACTGTTAGCACTTAAAGTGTCTCAAAGCACTTTCTTCTTGGGCTGTACGTTCTTCCCAAGAACTTAACTTCCAGTCCCACATTAACTGCTATGCTCTTCACCCACTCTGCAACACTCCCTTCCTGCTGGTACCACACCCAAAGGAAGCGCAGGACTCACCTCCACCTTCTCGACTACTTGCTTTCCGAAGGAGCACACTTTAGTGGAGACTGTGATGGTCATGTTTTCTGCACTGCTATACTGACTGCTTACGCCATAAAAAGCACCAGGACCATCCTGAATGGTGCTGTTCAGATCCGCCTAAAGCAAATGCAAGGAAGGAGGTGTTATAAATCAAGTACGGATTGTGGCTTTCGGCTTGGGGCGTGGAGGTCTCTGACCCAAGAGTTCCGGGATGCATTCACTGAGGGGAGCGAAGATGCCAACAGAGAAGTGTATTCATGGTGATATTGCTAATTATTGACATAAGTATTTAAAAATAGCAAGCTGCTTTCTAACCCTTATCTCATTCAGCCTCACTGCCACTCTTTGCTGTTATGTCCATTTTGTAGATGGAGAATGGAGGTGACTCGCCCCAAGTCCAGAGGTGAGAGGGAATTTGAAATGAAGTCTCACAAACATTCCAAGCTGGACCACACTGGCTCATGTATTTTTAGCTAAGGGTTGAGAAGACGAACTGAAAATGCTTAGTGTGGGACCACAACAGCTTTTAAGATTTGGCGGCAGGGGAGAGTGACAGCTTTTAGGCAATATTAAGTCACAGGTCCAAAGGAGGCTCAAACCAGGCTGAATGCCAGAGTGGCATTAAAAAATTCAGATTCAGATGATAGAGCAAAGTCAATATAAAACACCAGCTGGTCTTGCAGTATGTGCTGTTGGAGCTTGAATGTGTTCAGAGGAGGGCAACCAAGATGCTAAAGGATCTGGAAACTAAGCCTTATGAGAAGCTGGGTATGTTTAGCCTGGAAAAGAGGAGACTGGGAGGAGATATGATAGCCATCTTCAAATATCTTAAGGGCTGTCACATGGAGAAGGGAGCGTGCTTGTTTTCTCCTGCTCTGGAGGGTAGCACTCGAACCAATGGCTTCAAGTTACAAGAAAGGAGATTCCGACTAAACATTTGAAAAAACCTTCTGACAGTAGGAGCTGTTCGGCAGTGGAACAGACTCCCACGAGAGATGGTGGACTCTCCTTCCTTGGAGCTTTGTAAGTAGAGGTTGGATTGCTATCTGCCTTTCTTTAGCTGAGATTCCTGCAGGGGGTTGGACTAGATGCCCCTTGGGGGTCCCTTCCAACTCTAAAGAGTCTATGATTCTATGAACATTTGTGAGAGAAAAATCCCATGGTATTGCTTAGACCTCAAAACATGCTATTGAATGCAGCTCTTTTTCTAAAGGAAGAACCCTTTCCCCCAGACCCCTTCAGAATTTCATTTCATTTTTAATATCCCTTAGGCTCTTCTACCAAGATGCCTGGGTCAAGCCTGCTTAGCATATAAAGCCAGGCAAAACCACATCAAACATCAAGCTCACTGCTGTGTGGAGAATCTGAGGCCAGAAAGCATTCTCCCTCCCATTGTCCAAACATCATCCACATTCATATAGGAGAATAATGTAACCATGGTCCTCTGGTCTAATTTCCTTAGCCGCCTTGTCCGATGAAGAAGTGCCCAATAATGGCTTTTTCAGAGGCATTGTTCGGCTTTGGGCTGCATGATTCTTACCCAGAACTTGACCAGGAAAAAGGAGTTCTGGGGCCCCCTCTCATAGAGCTCCTTCAGGCCACCTTTCTTCTCAGGGAACTTGTCATAGATCTGGCGGATGTCCACTGCCTCCAGCAGCGGGTCGCTGTACGAGGGGTTCGTCTGTCCAATGTGCACGAAGAGGTGCTTGCTATACTGTAGGGTGGGAAACACAAACGGCAAAAAATGTGGGAGCGGAAGGTAGTGTTCTTCACTACAAAGATTCAGCCATGACAAAGGGAATCAGATACTCCTACTGACGCCACGAAATTCAAAACTCTGCTGCCTTATTGCCAGCTACCACAATCCAGAACAGGAGCAGCCAACATCTCCAGATGTTGTTGAGCTCCAACTTCCAACAGCTCAGGCCAGCATGGGTAATAACCAGAGTTGATGGAAGCTGCATGCCATTGGCGACTCCAACCTAGACAAAAGAGCTGTAAAAATACAGCCAATGTGATATGTGTCTACATTACACAAAACAGCACAGGGAGACCAGAGCTTGAGTCTCTGGCAGCATTTATTACATGGGGCTGGTAAGTGAATGCCAGGCTTTATGTAGGTTAGAAAAGAGGGCAGTTTTCTGCAGAGACCCAATGCACTGTAAGAGCTGAAAAACACCATTGCCATCAGCTCCTGCAGCGCCAAATATTTCCCCCCTAAGAGTTACCGTTTCAGGGTCACGCTGCACTTCCATAAACGCTGAATACTCAAGGAGCCGCAGTTTGGTGGAGGCAATGGTGCGGTCCTGCCAGACTGGCACAGCCGAGGCAGCAGGTGGGAGAGGAGCCAGGGGCTCGTAGCCTGGAAAAAAGAAAGTGTTGCCACATTCTTGAGCACTGCAGGAGGAGGTTTCAGCTGCAGAGATGAGGACAACCCTTTAATGCTCCCCCATCTAGCCTAGTTGCCCATCCTTCCAAGAAGCCAAGGACTATTTCCTTCCTTATTGCCCAGATGGCAGTTCTAATGCAACAGGACTCTCTGAAATTGTAATGATTCAAATTTCATTTTTAAGCATTTCATAGTTGTAATAGCTCTGGGATGCCCATGCATTTAGAAGATGGAAGACCTGAAATGGATTAATTTCCCCTGAACGTTAAGCAAGACTGTTTGTAAACAAAAAAGTTGTAATCTCTTAAACTCCAGATGAAGCAACGAGGAATGAAGCAGACTATACTCCCTAGATAAAATACAATTTAAAACTCCCAAGTACTACAGCAATCCAAGAAGCTACCCTTCTACTAGCATGGAGGTGTCTTTACAGGAGAGCTTTCCAAACTTTTCATGTTGGTGATACAGTTTTTAGACATGCATCAGTTCATGACACAGTAATTCGGTTTTACTAGCAAACCGGAAGTTAAACCAACCCCTCTCCAGCCCCAGGAGGAGGGTGGGGGGCATTCGCGCAACACTGCAGTGGACACAGTAACATGTCACGACACAGAGTTTAGAAAGCTCTACTTTAGAGCATCAAGAAGATCATTGGACAGGACAGATGGGCTTCCTGATTGACTGCATAATTTCCTGCTACAAAAACTGTCTTCCTTCTACACAATCCATCTCACAGATGACATTCTGTGGGTAATATGAAGAGATCAAAGGGCAGCATAGAGGCTAGTTAAAATATAAAAAAGCTTTGCTCAAATAATTAAATGCAAAACATCATTTACTGTGTCAAATTTTAAAAATTGGAAGCAGCTAAGGTGTAAAAAGAGGCATTTATTTATATTTTATTTCAGTGCTTTTGCCATATTTCCTTGCAAGCAAAATGTGACCATGGTTGGGAAGACAAGGCAGTCCATGATAACTCTGCTTTCATCTCCATCATACAGAAACATCCTAGGCAAATGTGAAGGTAGAATCCCTCTCACGCAAAGAGGGAGATGATGGAAAACCCATGAGTAGATCATCCTCTTTTCTTTTTGAAAAGCTTAGCAAGTGGCATGGAAGGGAGCTGAATTAGGCCAGCAACAGGCAAGGGAGAAATGGTTAGCCCTCTCCACTGCACTGTTTTCCCCCAATCTAAATTGCACCCTGAAAGCTCTATGAGGGTGGGGAGAACATACAGGTACCATCACTGCTAATGGGAGGATGGAAAGAACTAACCTTTTGGAACAGACAATAAGGCATTCAGTTTCTATGAATGAAATCAAAGAGATTCACCGTCATGGCTGGGCCAAGAAAAATGTTCAAGCTCTCAGTGAGGTCCTGAGGAAACAGCTAGAATTGTCTGTATGAATAAACAGGCCTGGGTACTGGCGGTGACAGGGGAGCCAAGAAAACATTATGAGGCAGAGCACCAGTTAGTTGGAGAAACAAAATCACTTACTGGCTAGTGATGGAGGCATGGGTGGCTGGATGGGGTAGGCTGGTTGTGCAAAAGGTTTAATGCTGAAAAACAAAATAGTGTTAAGTATGTTAGTATGTCAAATTGTTAATGTTCCTGTTATATGCGTACACCCTAAGTTACTCCAAGGGCAGATGTCTTGCAGAAATCATCAAGGTAACTCTATGGTGGCCTCTCATATACATACCGCCACCAGCCATTACAGGGCTCCCCCTCATTTGCCTTCCCCACTATCTGCAGGCCTAATGTAACCAACCTTTAGGAACCTGACCAACAAACATTCCACTATATTATTCATTTTTATTTTAAAATAAAAATATTTTATTTATAATTATTTCATAAAATTTATGCACAACTAGATTTTGTAAACTGCTATGCGGTTTCCTATGAAGAATAACAAATATATTTAGGAGGTTCTGGATACCCAAAGTAATTACTTTAAGAGGGTTTATGGGACTGCAGTTTCTAGTGCATTTTATTATGGCTACATGAACAGTGAAGCATCCCCACTGGAGATGCTGACTTAGCGAAATAAAGGAAGGGCCATTTGTGTACATGTTTCGCATGCAGAAGGTACCAGGTTCAATCCCTCGAATCTCAAGATACCAGCTGGGATAATCCTTCAAACCCTGACAATATGCAGTTGAGGAATTGTTTATTTGAAACACCGACATGCCCCCCACCCCGATGAATATTGTGTGTAATGTCAAAAATCTACCACATCAGATAAAGAAGTCTTGATCTTAACTCTCTCTCTGATTTTTTCCCCAGTGTGGCCCTATACGGAGGAGATTTCAAATACCGTATTTTTCGCTCCGTAAGACACACCAGCCCATAAGACGTACCTAGTTTTTGGAGGAGGAAAACAAGAAAAAAAAATTCTGAATCCCAGAAGCCAGAACAGCAAGAGGGATCGCTGCGCAGTGAAAGCAGTGATCCCTCTTGCTGTTCTGGCTTCTGGGATAGCTGTGCAGCCTGCATTCGCTCCATAAGACGCATACACATTTCCCCTTACTTTTAAGGAGGGAAAAAGTGAGTCTTATAGAGCAAAAAATACGGTAAATGATTTCCCTACATGAGACTTGAATTGGAGCAAGTCCCACATGCAATTATGCATACCTGAGATGACCCTTTGGAAGAATATGAACATAGCAGTTTAGAAATGGAAGCATAAGCGATCAAGTTGTGTGTGTGTGTGTGTGTGTGTGAGAGAGAGAGAGAGAGAGAGAGAGAGGGAGAAAGATTGCACAATGTGGCATCTATTTCTGTGGAACAATTCAGAAATGCTATGCAAGTACCGTCCTCTAACTGCTAAGCCTTTTAATTCTCCACCAAACGTAACAATTGCTTTTCACTTACTCCTGAGAAGGTCCAGACTGTCCTGGGATAGGCCCACTCCAAAACTGAGGAAACAAAAAATGAACACAGAAAACATTGTCATGCATATTCCTACCATCTGACTTCACAGCTACAGTTGTTCAGGTTCATCAAAGTTGTTAAAGGCTTGTTTTAGTTGTTTATTGTTACAGAATGGCAACGGCTAGTCAGTTTTTTAGAATAGTGTGGAAATACCACGACACAGCTGAGGAGAGTCAAGACTACAGCTGGGAGTTTCACACCAAGTCAGTACACGTCCTCCACTCTCTTGTGAGCCACCAAGGGGAAAGGGTGGGTCAGATATGCTGGTGGTGCTGATGGCATGTGCAGATAAGAAGAATTAGGGCTGGGATGGATAACCTTTGGTTTTTCCAGATGTTATTGGATTACAACTCCCATCTTCTTTGACCGTTGGCCATGCCAGCTGAGTCTCAAAGGAGTTTTAACAACAACTGGAGAACCATTCCCATATGTGACAGTGAAAGGTGTTGGGAGGAAGAGCATGAGTTAGGTTTTCTTTTTCTTTTTTTAAGTAAACTGGGCAGAAATGAAAATTAGGGAGACATGGATGTTGTGTGTGGAATACATAAATTACGCTTATGATGTCTGATTTAAACTAAGCCTGTTGGGTCAGGAACACAACAACAGATAAGTAAATAAATAAATATCCTCTCTGGAACCATCTCTGCGTTAGTCACCCAGCCCTATAAGAGAAGCAGCTGTCTTGCAGAAGTATCGACTCCATGCTGTCCTTCTGGGCCTGACCTTCCTAACCAGGCAGGAAAAGTGTTGGAACACCCCTTACCCTGGGAGCAGCAGAGAAGACAGCCTGAGGGAGTGGAGGAGGGGGGCTGAGCTTGTTCTGCAGGACACTGGCAGATACGATCTGTGCTGACGACATGGAAGCCATACTCTGCAGAGCCTTGTCCTTTGAGACCTGATCCTTGAAAACAGGACAGAAGAGGAGAAGCAGAAGGGAGAGTTACTAACACTGGCCTTGAAGGCCCACTAAAGACAAATTAATGGGGGACAGTGAGCCACTTTACAGATGTGTTAGCTGCATTCAGACTTATCAAAACATACTAGCAGTGAACCATTCAAGCAAGCTGTTTTATGCCACTTCCGCTCCCCCCCAAGCTCATTTTTCCAGGGATCTTACTAGTCATAGATAATAAATCCTTTAGAGCAGTGCAACATGTCTGTAGATCAAAGGAGGAGAACACAAACATCCATTTAAGGTGCTGGTGTTTAGCCAGTTTTGTGTCCAAAGTCTCCAAAAGATGCTCATCTCAGCTATTAATTTTGCTCTTCCAGCACCCCCTGCACCTCATCTGCACTCTCTAATACTATTCATGGGGATTTATTTACTTAAAAGCTGTATGGTCCCTCCTTCACCAGTATAGATACCAAGGCAGCACACAGCATACAACAAAATTAAACACTCAGCATAAGGATAAAGACAATCACCAAGTAGAGAACACTTAATGGGGCAGAAACAAGACTGAAGTGCACTTACCAAGTTCATAGCCTGTGTGAAGAGGAGGGAGGAAAGAAAAGAAATATGGTTAGTGCCTCTGCTGTCATAATGGGCACTGCGGGGAGGGGGAGAGTCTGCATAATCCATAACAGGTATCAATAATGGGACTTCAAAGCATCACAGGATGTCAGACTTCATTTTGTAAACAAATTACATCTGTCCCAGGCTGCTTTCTAATGCAGCCTGTTTTACGGAATCCACATGATGATCTGGGGCACGTGGCACAACGGGAATGAGGAAGAAAGGAGCGGATGGTATGAGGCTTATCTCAATAGGTAACTTCTTCAACTTTACAAATCAAGGAAGATGTGCAGGAAGTGAGAACAGACCACCCTGTTCTGTTGTTCTCCAAATCTGATGCCGGTCTGGGCACTGACAGCAACATTCTTTTATAGATTGCAGAGTTACTAGCGCAAACAATGCACTAGATCTGGTCACTGCACTCTCCTGCCTGCAGAGCTATACAAAATAAACAGTGTGTTGCTGTATGTGGACAAGCTTAGGCTTCTTGAGTTGCGTGCACATAACTCTCAGAGTAGTGAAAGGGAGTAAAAAGTACCTAGGGAGTTAAATGATTCTTCAGTATTTGTGAGGGGCTAATTTGCAGAGTCCTAAGCCTGGATGTAGATAAATGGGCCAATAGATCTTTTGCAGTTTTCTCAGTTTACCTTTGGCTCTCTCTTTAAAGACTCAAGGTGGTAAACTGGACCTGCATACTACTGATTTGCCCAGTCTTCTGGCATTGCAGAACACAAAACCACACTGGTTGGAGGTAGAGTGGTTCAGCGATACAGGGCAGAACTTATGGGCATGCACTTAAAAGCTCCTCTCAAATAGATTTGCAACAACAGTACTGCAAGAACAGAGTTGGGAAATCTATTTTCTGAGCACTCCCTCGTCCTAGTCGGATACTTTACTTACTAGGCAATACCACTGATGACTGCTTGCATTTCTGTTCAGATATGCCTTAAATTAAAAGCTCTGATGTGCTTCTAGGTTTGTCCCTGTCAGCTGTAGGCTTAGGGGCAAGATACATTCGTTCCTCCCCTACTTAACAAATGAGACCATAACGATATAATAATTTTTAAAAACTCAACAACACTGCCATGGGCATTCTTTGAATATTTGACGAAATCTTGCCATAATCTAACAAGCATCAGTTGACTAGCATGCCAGCCCTAACTCTCAGGCAATGTATTGTCTGTCTTTTGTGGAAGACATGCTATTGACTAGAATTAAGATATATGTAAAAGTGTTCTACAGTTACATCTGGTCATCATATAATGTGTGCTACTGACTACCAGGACAGATCCTTTTAAAAAGATATTTTCCTCCATTCCATGCTGTTCTTCAACTGTGAGTGTTTTTATTATTAACTGAATTTTGGGTGTGGGCCGCTTTATGCACACAATTTAATCTTCTTATAAACCAGCCAATTATTTTCTTCGTTTGGGGTAGAGGAATGAGGGCATGGTGGGAGGGACGACACACTATTTATGAGTTTTCCCAACCTGGTAATGGCAGCTCCTGCTTTGTGGACTCTAGAAAAGGAAGGGAGAGTATTTTGGACTAAATAAATTTGAACAGCTGAAAAGATTGGAATTTCTAGGTACTTTCCGATGCATAGGCCAAACCACAAGAATAGACAGAGAACCAGAATCAGTTCATAATACCCTTCAACCACTAACCCTTCATTAAGACCCCCTCCCCCCTCAAAAACCCAAATCACAATACACAGAACACACAGAGGAAAGGGTAATAGGAAAGGTTAGCCAATCTCCAGTTACAGAAGAAAGAAGAAAAGAAAAGAAAAGCCAACCACAGAAAGAAAGGCAATCACAGGATAAAAGCTCTCCAGTTTTATCCCTGCTCAACTTCCTTGGCTCCTGGTCCCATGTTCTTGGTCCAAGCATCCTAATCTGCAAGAGCAGGCCTATGATGGAAGACACTCATCTCTGGTTCTGTGCATCTCCATCCTAATCGCCTTGTACCATTGCACTGGCCAACTTAGCCAAATATTCTCCCAGGTATTAAAGATTGTTGGCCATATAGACTGGAGGTATGACAGAGACACTGATTGCACAAATTCCTATGCCTGCTATATGAGCCTCAGCTGCATAAATCCATCAGAATTTGTACATACAAAACTTTGGGGGTTCCCCCCTGTATACTTCCCCATCCTCATCCAGTACAGAATGCTTTTCAAAAGTCTGGCCCTTCTGCTTTGGGGTGGGGTGGGGGAATGTGTTTTGGTTTTGTTTCATTGCAGCGTTGGTCTGCTACTTTAATGGTCAACCCTGCTTGATGCATCATTGAACATCAGTAACACTTATTTGAAAAACATTTTAAAAAACCAAAAACCTGCTCCAGAGCTCCAACGCTACCTAGAAAACCTTAATGCTACAGAGTGGTAGACAGTGAAGTAGCACAGCAGAAGGAAATGGCTTCTTCTGTTGAATGGAAACAGAAGGAGAAGGGTGTTCTGTCCTATGCCTCTACTGGGAGGGACCCTTCCACTCAGTTGTTGCTCAGCAGAAGTGGCTGCTTAATACCACGACTGCACATTTCATGAGCCGCCATGGATCCTACTCGGCTTCCCTGATTTAGGCAAGGTTCCAGTTCCTGTAACAACAGTGGAGCACTTACATGGATATACCAAAGATGGCAGGTGGACTGTGGAGAACTCTAGAAGTTCTCCTTGCTATGTCACCACCTGAAGGCTCCAGATGTGACTGGAAATGCACTCTCCAAGCTGACAAGGGACAGCTTTACTGGACTGTTTAGAGGTGGCTTGTCCTTGCCAGATCCTGCCACGCAGAAGTGCTCTGTTGCTTTTTCCTTCCGATTCTCTCTCTCACCTCAGCGGCATTCTGAAAATTATCAGGTCCCAGGAACAAAGGGAGGGGAGCAAAGACACAACAAGCGGGGGGGAAAGAGTGGCAACCACAGAGCGCAGCATGTTAGTTGCCAGCATGGCCATGGCTCAAAAGGTGGGAAAGCCGGGGAAGCGCGTACCTTCAGCTTCGACTGAATCTCACGAGATTTCCGTCTGGCTAGAACCTGCAAGTGGCTAGAGACCTGCAGAGAGAAAAGCAGAAGGAGAGGGGGGAAAAACAGCAGAGCCGTCAACCAGAGGAAAGGAGAGGAAGGAGAGGGGGCTGCCCATGCTCACACACCACGGACGCATGGGCAGGGTCTCCAACGTACCTTAATGCCAACCTGGTACTCTCGCACCTTCTTCCGAGCTAGAACCTGTATGTGGCTGGACACCTACGCCCCGCCAAGTCATTCAAAAAGGAAAACACAAACAGAATGAAGACATGATCCCAAATTGTTTTGCGTGACAAGAGTGCTTCAAGCACCTAGGTTGGACACACACACACACACACACACACACACACAACACACAGTCAAACAAGTATCTGAAGCCATGTGAGGTTCCAGAGGAGAAGGATCTGTACTCAGGATGAATGGCAGTGAATACAGATTGGAATGAAATGGCTAACCTCTCAATTGGAGGAAATTGCTACAGACCCACTGAATGCTATGGACTTGAGCATAGTGTGCTATATTTGGGGATTTTATCCTTTGCAAATAGCATTTAATAGTGTAGCTTACTCTCATGAGAATTCTATGTACTACTGATCATCATGTTTTTAGGAACCACTCATGCTTCAGTCTATGAGCCATTCCCAACATAATGTTTTGCTGATCCAGATCTGTACCCACATGACTCCTCTCCATAGCCATGTAAATCCAGATGCACTTCTTCAGTTCTCCTAATTGAATTGATACACAACCCAGGATATCAAGCATTGAAAACAGTTTCCAATCAGGGTCTCAAAAACCTAAGTGCACAGTCCCCTGGTTCTTAAATATTTTCCAGCTCTTCATTCAGAGAGCAAGACAGAAGTAAGTAAGTGTTAGTGTGGAATTATAATCACCAACAGCTTTTCACAGAAGATTAATCTTATCTTCTCCTGCCTTAGAAGAAGTTAAACATCAAGGGACTCAAACCAGCTTGAAATTAACCTCAGTATTGCCACTAAATTAGGCAAACAGAACCACAAGTCTACCTACTGTGATCCCTCTAGAACAGCATACAGACACTTTTTACCACTGACCACTAAGCAATAATATATGGCAGTGTTTTTATGCATCCAAGGCTTTGAGAGCAGAAATTGTCTATTGGACATGTGGCCATGGCTCTGAGAGCAGTATGAACATTTTGGGTAGAAACCCAATTTCTTTTGGGTTTAAACCTGACTCCAGAAATAATATTCAAAGGAATCACAAGACAAAGCTCTTTGTTACCAAAATATAAATCAGAATCTTGTATATGCTCCACAGAAAGGAGATTTGACAAATCTGAAGACTATATGAGAAGACCCAAGACTACACCAACTATTTGTCTATGTTAGAGACAACCAATGGAGACTGGTGTTTCCTTGCTGTGTAGGCTTGTTGTCTACTTTAATTGCCTTTGGATGGATTTAGTTTTATATCAGAGCACTGCTCCAATGATTTAGCATTACTAGTCACATGCAGTGAGTCAAACAATAGAAAAAAGACAAGTTAAGTCTACTTTCTTTCACAATGGAGGCTATCCATGCTTTGCCATTGAAAAGGACAACTCTCATTTGCAAAAACATAGAGTGTATAGTAGTGTGCTACTAGCAAGTCTGAGCTTGGGGCAGCCTTCACAAACCATGTGTCATTCAGATATTTTGGGCTACTGGCTAGGGCTGCCAGGAGTTTTAGTCCAAAACATCTGGAGGGCACTGAGTTGGCAAAGGCTTCCCTAGATTCACCAGAAAGTGTTAGGACTGCAAACCTTGAAGCAGAGGCAAGAATGACTGTATAATAGATACATATAATGCATAGCACCTCTAAGTTTAATTCCGTAAGATCTGCTTCCATCCAATCATAACTACTGCCTGGTAAAATCAGCACAGACATGGACCTGATATTTCCAACTTTGCCCTAATGCAGGAAACAATCCAGAAACAAATAAAGGGGAGCTGGTGATATCTTAATTGATGAATTTTATAAGGTTTCAGCCCTCCCAACAATGACTTTCATTAACATACCATACAAAGTGGTGCAGCAATCAAACTGCTAGCACATTTGCTAAGCTCAGCAAGATCTGGTATGGTATCAAACTGGATGGGGGACTGAGTGTTGAGATTTCTGCATTGCAGGGGGTTGGACTAGATGACTCTCAGGGTCCTTTCCAAGTTTATTTTGATAACGTAATACACTACAAGTAGCTAATGAGAACTAGGAGTTCCAGAAGGAATTCTGCACTTGCCCACCATTTAAATCTAAGCACCCTGAGCTTCTCTTATGTGTTTGTGGGGAGGCCAAGATACAAGGAATAACTCTTTAGCCATGCCTTTGGTTCTGTGCCAATTGTTCATCTGAGTATTTAAGAACAAGCCAGCATACAGGGTACGTCCCACCAGGAGGCAGTCCTAGAGTTACATGAGTGTGTGTTTCCCATGCCTTTTGGAAAGATGTTACGGATAAGCCTTTGGTATGACACACTGTCAACTGCTCCATGAATTCTGAGATTACAAATTCTGCAACCATTTAATGGATTGCAGAGCAGGAATGTGTTGACTATTACAAAAAAGAGGGACATCTGCCATTGCTACAAAAAAAAAAAAGGAGTGCCTTCATGAGGATTCTTTCAGGTTCCAGGCAAAGTCTTTAGCTACGTTTGCACATCACACTAAGCCAAACTACAGCTTAGTGTGAATGTGCAAACATGTCGGCTCCTGGCAAGCGGATCGCATTCACTTTGCTCCTCTCCAGGCTTTTGAGGTCTTAAAAGTGTTGTCCAAACCTGGGGTCATGGTTAAGGTCTACCATTCTTAGCCACATTCTATAGCCAAGGTTTGTCCTGTGGTTACAAGCTGTGGTTAAAGAAGAAATACTTTAGACCAGGGACGTCCAACTCCGAAGAGGCTGCGATCTACTCACCGAATAAAAAACTGGCAGCGATCTACCCCTTTTTTTGGGGGGGGGGTTCAGGTCAAATTGCAATCATGAGCAAATGGAGGATGGGGAACACAGGGTGTTTCAGCCCAAGGGCTGCATTTGCTCTTGACCAACCCTTCAAGAACTGTGTGCCAGGAGTGGCTGTGACCAAAATTGTTGCTGCCACCTCATTCCTTCTCTCTCCCTCTCCTACTCTCTCTGCCCCACCCCTAACACAGCATCAAGACCAGTAATGGTGGTGGTGGTGGAGTTAACTTGATGGAGGACAACCCGAACATGAACACAGCATGATAAGAAGAATCAAGTAAATAGAACTGTCACCAAACTGCTGACTGCCTGGGTGGGCAGTACAGCCCTTAGGTTGAGTGGTTTTCAAGATTCAAAAAGCACCCACAGCCAACTGGAAAGATAGAAGCTACAATTATGGATGCATAATTGTTGCTAGGGGCCAACTTCTATTTTTGAAAGAAAAATCTTCCCCTTCACCACTCCCAATGCTGTGCAGCATCTCCTATCAAGCTCTACCTATGGGGTCCTACTTCAGGATTCTTCCCAGTCAAGTGGTGGAGACAAAATGATTATTTACTCCTCTAAGGGAATTTGGAAGGGCAATAAAAGGGCCAGTAAGTTTGCTGTGGTGGGAGAATATGAAGTTACAGAGCTCCGAAAACTCCACCTAATTCTGGAAGGAGCATTTTTTTTTTTAAGCCTTCACCAATTATGAGTGCTTGCAAGAGGGGGGGGGGGGAGAGAGCTTGCGATGCATCAAGGCACCTGCGAGTTACAGTTGCCATTAGACACCCCTTGGCTTTATTCAGTAACTTCCCACCAAAGATCCCAAAATATTGAAGCCAAGGTCGATTCTCCAACTTTTAAGGCAACTATCACCTATGTTAGGAAAAAAAGGTATGTGAAGCAGGGATCTCAACAGTACCCAACAGACCGGAGCCAGAAAAAGTACTTTGATGTCCCAGACCACTCCAACATATTTACTACTAGCTCTGATGCCTCATCACACTTCTGAGTGGTACACTGAATTATGGCAATGCACACACACGCGCGCGCGCACACACACACACACACACACACACACACAAAGACAGACACACGTGCACATGTGGGTGATTTCACGAGGCCACTTCCTCCTTCAGTCATCCTATTGCAAGGTTGATTTTTTTTTTTTTAAGGAAAGGGCAAGAGCTAGGTACATTTTTACCTGTTTCCTTGTCCTTGTTTTCCCCGTCCGTAACTTGATGTACCTTGCTATCAATTCATTGCGACCTAAGGGGATAAATGAATATATAAATGACATGACGAGAGAGCTGGAGCTTTGCCTTCCTTCTCCGACCACCTGCTGAATAAAGGCCGTCCCCTCGGAGAAGTCAGAACCACCTTCTGGAACTCTTAACTCTGAGAAACCAAAAACCACAAAATAACAGGAGCACGAGGCCTAGCTCAATGACATTTTACCAGAAGGTGGCACTAACACAACAGTTGTCCAAATGAAGGTTAGCCAGAAAGGCAGCGCCCCCAGCCTTGGCTGTTTATACACTGAACAAGGCACCTACAACAGCACACCACGTGGATGGTAAAGGAACATGAAATTTAATGGTGTGAGCACAGAAAGCAGGGCACAAACACGGGACACCCAGAAACCTAGCAGGGAAGGCACCGCTCCCATTGTGTCAGTTACAGAATTTCCTCCCACTATGCTGGGAGAGGCCGAAGAGGCCACTGCTGAGGGCTGTGCTGGGAACCGGGCACGCTTCTTTCCCAATCCCCAGTTCTCACACGTGTGCTTCACTCCAGAACCTTACAAGGGTCCTTTGGTCGCGATCCCAATGGAAAATATATCAAAATATTGTGACCTATCAAGGATTTGGTTATGAAAGACTAAGATATGGAGTGTGCGCGCGCACACACACACACCCCTCCCAGAGTTTTGGGTTTCATTTTGTGGCACTACACAGGACACCCAAACCCATGGGATATTTTAAGTGGTGCTGGCCTTTTAAGAGAGAACTTCCCAACCGCCACCTCCTCCTCCTCCTAATTTGAAGCAGAAGAGCTTTTGCTCCACATTTTACAGGCCAGCTGTGGCCAATCTAAATTCAAACGTCAGAGCAGCTGGGAGCTCTCTTTTTCCCTCATCCCCTCCCCTCTGAACATGGTGGGGGTGAGGGGGGGGGAATGGGGCGGGGAAGCACGCCAGATTTATTTTAATGGACCAGATGGTGGTGGCTGAGGCTTCCTGAAATGCCCTTGCAGCTAACTTAGAAGATCTCTAAATAATAATATATTTATTTTTTCCTTAAAAAAAGAAAGCTGGAGCAACTGTGGCTGCCCTGGCGATGCCAATGCCCTGTATTCCTTTCACGACAGCCACTGGATGTCCGCTCTGAGAAGAGGCTTCACTCTTTGAAATAAAGACACACAACAGCCCCTCACCCACTCCTTTCGCTCCCCACCCCAACACACAATCCCAGTCTTGGACAGACAAGGCCAGGTGCTCCACAGGGTCAAGCAGCACCACGTGAGAGGGACAGAGGAGGATGATACCCTATACCGGAGTAACAATGCCCTTATAAAAGCCAGCTGGCTCAATGCACATCCCTTGATATCTGTAGTTCCTGGCACGCCTTTAAAACAAACAAACGAAAAAGCAGGCCCCAGAGGCCTTGGTCTCTCTTACTGGGGGACCCAAATAGCTCCGCAAACCACTCAAGTGCCGGCGTACCCTTTACAATCAAATCAGCATGGTGCCGCTTGACTTAGCTGAGGAGTCGTGCCTTCGGTGTTGTGGGTCCAATTCTATGGAACTCCCTCCCCACTAGAAATCAGGCAGGCACAGTCCCTGACGAATTTCAGGTTAAAATGATTTTATTCCAGGAGGCCTTTGCACCATGAATTCTGTTCTGCAGGGCTTTTCTTTTTTCAGCCGGATCTCATCAGAACTCAGTTCTGGCACCTCTCAGGTGGGCGCCATTGCCATTCTAAGAGAACGAGGGAAGTGTTCATGGTGAGTTCCGGCACCTCTTTTTCTAGAGCAATAGACTGATGTTCTGCGATGTTTCTTTTATGTTTAAGCCTTCCACGTGGCATGTTTCGAATTTTGTAAGCCACTTGGAGCTCCAGTCAGTCAGTCAGTCAGTTTTATTGCACATAGCCAAAGGCTGCCGCAATGTACACAGAATCATTCAACAATTAAAAGAAAATATACTGGATTGATACAAAAAACGTAAAACGTTTATGTTATCAAGACATTACCTACTCTAAACAGAGATTTAAAAGTACCTTAATATACAAATTAAGACATCAAACAATAAAAAGTATAAGCTAAAATTATCACATGGCCACATATATTAAAAATATATATCCAGGTGCAGTCAAAAACTGGGTATATTTTAAAAAAGGAATAGACAGACCAGGAATCGGGAAACTTCACCTAGCCCTGTGGAGGGCTGCATTCCTTCAGAGGTGGGGGACTGAAGCCAGTCAGGGACCGAGCCCAAACCAAAAGTGGGTGTGGTCACACCTGCACTCACTACTGTTAGGAAAGGGACGGATTGCAGAAGGCTTTCTCCGCTCATCCGTCCATCTCCATTTTGGCTTTCACTCCATTCCACTTATATGAAATTAAGACAAGGCTGTGGGTGCCCTGCAAGTAAGGCCTCCGACTCCAGAAGGGCAAACAGCTGTATTTGTGGGGACCCTTCCCCTCATTCCCCCCCAGGCACTACACTAATGTGGCATTATAAGCAATTCACAAATATTTTATTTAAATTCCAGCACTGTGTCTCCCTTGTGCACGTGCGCACACGCACACCTGATTCACAGTTGTGGAAAATGAGGCACAAAACTAAAACAAACCCCATGAAAGCCTAGCGTACCACTCATGGCATTGATAGTCTCATTCTCCACTCACCTGTGCATGCTAGGATGAGACAGAGGGCCCAGTTTTATAGACACAGAAAGTGGTGTTTCTGGTGTGATGAAGATACAAATGTTGCTGTGCAACTCAGCAATTCTTCAGCCTTTTAGACTAGCAAAAGTATTATTCGACATTGTCTGTCAACTATTTATTGGTTCAAAAAAGTTTCCAGATTAGACTGCCCGTTAAACATTGAAATAACTGCACCCAAAGGTGACCAATGTCAATTCCAGAGCAATAGATTGTGGGCTGCCATAGCTAACTAGTTCTTAAACCCACAGTGAAGTTTTGCCTCCAGTCTGGGCTATTGCAGGCAACAGCACAGCATGGGAGCAGCAGGCAAGCTAAGGGGTTGATTCCGTGTCATAGCCATGCCTGCAAGCCCTCCTACCCTTGGTCCAGGTGTGCTTCAAATGCCTTGATGCTTGCGAAAGGTTGGCCACCCATGACCCACCTGCCATTCTGAGAAAGAGCTATACAGTGGTACCTCTGGATACGAACGGGATCTGTTCCAGAGCCCCATTCGCATCCTGAAGTAAACGCAACCTGTGTCCGCGCGTCTCACGATTCGCTGCTTCCGCCCATGCACGTGACGTCATTTTGACCATCTGCGCATGCGCGAACGGCGAAACCCGGAAGTAGCACATTCCGTTACTTCCAGATCGCCGCGGAGTGCAACCCGAAAGCGCTCAACCTGAAGCAACTTCAACCCAAGGTATGACTGTACAAATAAACTGGGGGATGCAGGCAATTTTGGCTAAGCAGAGTTCAACAAATCTCTTTTTCCTCCTACTTGCCTCCCTATATTTTGTATGCATAATTCATTAACTGATCCTTAACTAGAAAACTTCATTGTTTTTGACTGGCTCTCCCCCACGTGGGATCTGACATCACAATGGATCAAAGGAACGCTTCTTTTCAGAGGGGAAGTGTTTTAATTGACTCAGGATGTCCAGGTCCTGTGCTGACTTAATCACTGTTTCCATGGATGCAAACTGCATGCCCACCGCTTGGGAGAAAATAATTTTGCCTGTTTAATGCTCTACAAACTTTTGCAATTCAATATTTTCCCTGTGGACATTTTGCCTGCCCCTTGCTTTTAGAATTCACCATCTTAAAAGTCAATTCAGAGTACTACCAATAGGTCCACTTCTGTTTTATTTCTTTAAAAAAGGAAGCTACCTTTATAGTGTTACCAGATAGTCTCTCTTACATGCCCAAACAAATCTTATTTTTGATGTGATACTGAGAAAAGCAAAATAACATGGCCAGAAAGCCACAGTTCAAGAATTGTGTGCAAGGATACAGAATCTGGGCTTGCTGTGATTCTTCAACAGCTTAGATGAATTGCTTGTTATTTGCTGCATCTCATTCCCCTTTCCTCTTTGAGAGGGGTAAGAAGGAGGCAGGTTTCCTGTGCAAAATTCATCGAGGTCTGTTGTCAACTTACTCTGGACTTATTTAATACTTTGCAACTGCTTGTAGCAGCAGTGCCACTGCATGCAACCACATGCATACTCATGTGTGTTAATAAACACACATGGGATCTGAGCCATTCCAAAACAGAAGACCATAAGGAAGGAGACCACGCCAACACAGACTGTGAGATGGGGAACGAGGCAGGTGTGTAAACTGAAGTCTTTTTAGATCAGCGTTTTAATGGTTTTAGAAGCACTTAACCCTGCACTGACAACTTTCTGATGTTTATTTCATGAACAACAACTGACTTTTCAACTAACTGATTGCTATACTGGTTGAGAAATGAATTAATGGACTGACTCATGGTTTCACAGCACTAGTTGGATATCTTGTCTTAACTTAACGTTGCTCAGCATTTAAATTCTCTTTGAATAGTGCAACCCTAGGCATGCCTACTTGGAATTAAGTTTCACACAGAGTCCAATGGAGCTTGCTTCCAGGTAAGCAAGTACAGGATCATAACCATAGTACATTAATTGATCATTTCACTGGCTGGATGGATTATAATATTGACTGGGTTAATTGTTTATTGCACCTTCATAGGTGTGACATCTGATTGGTTACTATGCTGCTGGAAAATAAAATGGAAAGAAGAGACACTAAATTTACTATGAATGAAATATCAACTTGCTTCACTCTATCCATGCTGCTGAGGCCACCAATTCTTTCCTCAACTTTGGCTTAGTGTGGGGGAAAGGGAGCAATGCAATTACAAGGAAGGTGGGACAGATCCCTAGCCACAACCATGCTATGTTTGCCACTTTGATAACAAGGCTCCAAACTCCCGCCATTATCTTTCCAATCAGAACAGCAGCAGCTAAACTGAGATTTACAACAGAGCTAGAGATTTCAGCCGTCTTTTTATCTTTCGGCATGTACCCTGAACAGAGGCAGCACAGGTCTCTCCAACTCAAGAAACAAAAAATACTTTTGATGCTCTTCCCTACTAGGCATTGGCCGGGCAGGCACAACCAGCGTTAGAAACTCAGATATATAAGCTAGGTGCCAATTGGTTCCTTAAACCAAAGTTACAGTCGCCAAAAAGGAATGTCTTGTTGCCATTTGGGGGCCAGATGATTCTAAAGTCTTGTTTTTCAAATGACGGACTGATTGTGATTGATTCTCAGTCAAACATCTGGCCAGTTCAGAGGACAACTATGAGCTAGGTTAAGCACTTGAGAATTTAAAAGAAGAAAAGTCACTTGATCCAGGGAGAGTCCATATTTATATTGGCATATTCCGACCTCTTTTTCTTATCTGTGACATGGACCATTCATAACGTAAGAATATTCTTCGCAACTATGAGCACTGCAAGTGGGGTGGGGTAAGTGAAGACATGCTACAACAATTAGCTATAATGTTCACTGCCCCTGCTCAGGCTGCACAGAAAAAGCTTTTTGGTTTCTGAAATTCTTTCTGATTGTGCAGGTAAAATATAACGGATAGAATTCTACGGGATGGGCATGAGTGTGTGAAAACAGTCAAGATCCAAGGACGCAGGCACCTCCAGACAGTGGAGATGTTAGGCACCATTCTGGCACCCAGGTATCTTCACTTGGTCGCAAGTGGCCAAAAGCCAGGTGCAAAATGCGCCTGGCACCTGGCTAATGTCAAACACTGAGCATGACACAGTCAAGCTACTGGAAAAACACATCAGCCTATTCCCGAACTTCTAAACCATAAATGATGTTTTAAGATATTGAAGCACAGTAGAGCAAAAGGTCAATAAAAGAAACCAAAATGTTGATTTCACTCAGGTACTTGCTCAAATTATACAGAGGTAAACAAGGTAACTTACAGGAATTGAAAGATCAGTTACTACTAGTAACAACACTTCATCACACACTCAGTACAGAGACAGAGCTGTAGGTAAATACACCTGAAAGTTAACTAGTCTGACAAGAACAGTTTAGGAGTAAACAATGGGTGTTAAGACTCTAGTTCTGCTATGCAGCAGGGGGTGGGTGCTAGGGAGGTACAATGATGGGATGGAAACAAACAGATTGGTTTTTACAAAGCAGGCAGGACCAATGTGTGTGTGCTTTGAGGAGCATAAGGAAATCCTTAAATTGGGATCCTGAAAAGCAAAGCATATACCCAGGTGATTGGTAAAATTATTTTTACAATTGATGTCAAGAACACAAATCAGTGCCAGTGTTTGCTGATTTTTAGGTCTGGGCCCCACTGGGAATAGCAAGGGCACCAGGATAGAGAAATGTCTCCAAGGAAACTACTGACTCTGGATGAGTCCCTTAACAAAGGAATCATAGAATCATAGAATCATAGAGTTGGAAGAGACCACAAGGGCCATTGAGTCCAACCCCCTGCCAAGCAGGAAACACCATCAGAGCACTCCTGACATATGGTTGTCAAGCCTCTGCTTAAAGACCTCCAAAGAAGGAGACTCCACCACACTCCTTGGCAGCAAATTCCACTGTCGAACAGCTCTTACTGTCAGGAAGTTCTTCCTAATGTTTAGGTGGAATCTTCTTTCTTGTAGTTTGGATCCATTGCTCCGTGTCCGCTTCTCTGGAGCAGCAGAAAACAACCTTTCTCCCTCCTCTATGTGACATCCTTTTATATATTTGAACATGGCTATCATTTCACCCCTTAACCTCCTCTTCTCCAGGCTAAACATGCCCAGCTCCCTTAGCCGTTCCAACATTCCTTAGGAATGCCAACAGCAGACAGGAACCTTTAAGATCCTGGATATAGAACAGAATTGCGAGTGCTGTTTACAAGAAAACTGGAAATAAGGTGTTTGGATAGGAAGGAAAGTCAACAGAAAGAACTTCACCCAGCACCTTCACAGCAACCAACTGATGATTTGCTGGAGTGCTTGTCATTTTAGTATGTAGATGAGCTGATGGGAGATAAAGCCAACAAGCATTAGCAGTCTTCCTCCTCTTCTCAATGCCCCATCCGTCCAGTCTATGGCAGTGTCATTTTCGTTAACTTGTTGAAAGAATTTTCAGCTCATCTTATTACCGTAAAGTTTCCTGGTTGTTCAGTGCTCCAGATCCCACAGGACTTTGCACATATCAATTATACCTGTGAAGGATCCCTCCCTGTGGATGTTTGTGCTGTGCTACACACACAGGCATGAGTGGTGGTGTGGAGAGGAGCCCATGAGATCAGAGCATGGGCTACTCAGCATGGCCCCCTATTCCTTGCTGCCAACTTGCTGAACATGGGAACTGAAACAAACTTCATAAGGCTTAGAGAGATTGTTCGTCTGAACCGGTCTAATGGTTTTGTGTCTTTCTGTCTAAAGCTAAACATTTCTAGTCCATGTCAACACATATGGGTGGATGAGTAGAACTACCAAGGCATGCCTGTCTCTAAGAGCACACCTGTTTATTTTACACTCAAAACAGTCTTCTAATGACAAGACAAGTAACTGACTGTGAGCTAAATCTAAACACAATGAAGACGTCTTTGGTAATTGTCAATATAAGGTATAACCTACCCAAATAATGAACCTATGTCTAGGATGCCAGCAGCAACCACTGTGCAATTTTCTCATTCTCTTGCAAGCAGATAAGAACCGTGCATACACAAGCAGCTTTCCTCACTGAAACGAGGCACAAACAATTACAGGCCTACTTCTCCATAACACATTCTTCACTGTTGTAAAGCATTGCAGCCAAGTAGAGAGACAGCAGAATTTAAATATGGAAAAGTCCTGCTTACGCAAAATATTCATTATATATGCTTGGAGAAGTCAGGCCACAATCCCTCCACGTGTTAAGAAGCAAACTAGATGTTACATGAGAGATGTGTGCAGCCATCTGACTTCTTTAAAAATGAACAAAAGCCTTAAGAGCCTGCGATTAGGAATAGTAGGGGGGGGGGAACGGACGGATGGACGGACTTTATGGTCCAGGTACCTGTACTATTTTTCTCCATGAGCAGAAGTGGGGGGAAATGAATGGAGAATAAAGGGTTACACAAAATTCCCCTCCACCCCTCTTCCCATCGAACTGTCATCTCCTGATGGCTGCTTGTTGTTCACAAAAGCAGCAGCTGCCCTCGGTGCATCTCCTGCGTACCATATAAGCTTGGCCCTAAAGCACAAGAGGAACCCACCTCACAGAGTTGTTGCAAAGTGAGCACACTAGAAGACTGTAAAACCTTCTTTAAATCAGAAAATGTATATAAGCCGGATAAAAAGAAAATGAGCACTGGCAGTAGGATGCATATGCAAAGAAACCGCTTTTGCAACTCTTCTCTCCCAGTGTCATTTTGTGTTCCTATCTGTGCCGTGAAGATAAAGAGTCAACTGAGAAGCTCTGTGCGTGCGTTCTTCCCACTCCAGGGCACCTGCCATGGCTAATTGTCTCCCTCTGGTACCGGCAGGCACTGCAGACCTGCCCCTGCTCAGCTGTCCCGGTCCCGTGATTCACCAGAGGCTGTGCCATTCCCTCCGAGGGCACGTCCTCCTCCAAATTACTACATTCTCCAAATTCCTCCTCCCTGACACCACCACGTGAACCAGTTGGACAGCTCTGTTAAAAATAACCTAGTGGGGCAACCTTCCAGCCAATCAGCAGCAGGCAGCATACCAGCCCAGGCGGAGCGCAACTCAAGTTACACCTGCTGTCTGGGGCAAGTGCACAGCCTCCCCTGTGCCTGGCTCAGCTCCCTTCCTAACCCAGCGGAGGAGAAAGAAATGCCCCTTGCCATACACGGACCAGACCCTTCTGCTCTCTCGCTCTCTCTCTCCCTCTCTGGCTCTTGCACACTGGCCACCGTTCAAGTGCTATAGGTTACCACAGGTCACAGCTCTCCCTCCTTCCCTTCAGCCGCTCTTCACAGCAGCTGGGAGATCAGCCCCTGTGTCAGTAACCGGCTCGCTCTCAGCCAAGCATGACCCATTTATCGTAGGCGTTCGGCTCGCCTCGTCAGTGTTCTGGGATTCCTGAGGCATCCTGCTTCCAGCACCTGCTCTGAAATGAAGCTCTCTTTGACCTTCCAGAAGCCCTTGCGCCCCTGCCCCCCCATCTCATCCACCCACCTACCCAAGGCTGGAAAGCTATGGATGGAATGTCTCACCACCAAGTTCAATCTGGACCAAAAAATATATATACCCACAGCTGAAGAGCACCATTCTGTTAGTCTAAGAGCACCACAAGCAATGATGTTTTAGCAGTTTGCTGCTAGGCTTTTTGGTACGAAACATGGCATATTCTTAACAAGCAGCTGGAGCCTTTTGCAGAAATAATTTCTAAGAACTGTTAGCCAAAATGCTCAGAAAGGCCAGGCCGCATTCACAGAACACCCTTCGTGATTATCCTGAATGGCTACCCTACTTCTGTATGGACTGCACACTCTTTGTGTATCAACAACACCGATTCCTCACAGAAAGGATTTTGCTAAGCGGCATTGCAGAAGGATATCCCAGATGCAAACTCTACTTTTTTATATATAATCTTTATTTACACATTAAAAATTGCACATAATCAGATACGTTGTTCTGCTACGAAAGAAAAAAATCACACAAAAAGAAAATAGAAAAGAAAAAGGAAAACAAGAAAAAGTAGAAGAGAGGAAAAAGATGGGGGGGAAATAGGAAGAAAGTTTAACAAAACATCTTATCAACAACATACAGGGTTTTTTTTAGGAAATACAAACCATCATTGACATTATTTTAAACATATAATTCCAGTAAGCAGTCCTTTTATCTTCACCTTGTCGATTTCTCCTCACTACTATTACTCTCTTATCTGTGCCTATTCTCTGTTTTTATTCCCTGATTTGTTTAATGACTTCCTTCTACCACTATGCGGTTCCTAATTTCTCATATCTTAAAATTTCTGTGTCCATTCTTGTCCTACAGGAACCCATTCTCTTACCTCTGTGGAATTTAGTCTATGCTCAACCAAGAGTAATCTTCGGAAACATACTTCATCATGTAATTTTTAAAAACATTCCATTCTTTTTAAATTTAATTTTTAATTTTCTTTATGTCATTACAGCCACCAAGATTCTTGTAGCAAAATATTGGAAGAGTAATAGCGACAAAAGAAGAATGGCATTTAAAGCTATGTGAATTCCTTGAACTAGCAAAACTAACAGAATCAATAAGAAATCATTCGTGGGGGGGGGGGGGAATAAAAAACCTCTACTGTTATTTAAGGCAGAAAGTATTGTTGTAAACAAAATCTCACAACTCCTATCACAGTATGCACTTATGGTATGCATGTGTGCACACACACTGGAAATGGGTGGACTTGTTCATGTGAATACAGTTCCAGAGTGGATAATATGCACCACTCGAAGGAGGAGTACCTACTCCTGCTCCTTCTTCAATGGAACTTCACCTCTCAGACCCTGTTCACACAGCACTTTTTTTTACTTCACGCAATCAACTTTCCTTAGGTTTGTGCTCACACAGGAAAATATTAACCCACGAACTGGGTGTTCTCTGAGACGGCCGGCAGCAATTCCCAAGAATTGAGGGGGCACTTTTCCCATGTCCATTATCACTAGTACATGAACTACATTCATCCACATAACTGTATGCCCAAGGAAGTTCTGAGACCAGGGAGAAGGGGAAGGGGTGGTGATATTTTGTGCGAATAAGCCCTCACATATGAACAGGAACTAAAGTGCAATTTTGTTGTTGTTGTTTAGTTGTGTCCGACTCTTCGTGACCCCATGGACCGGAGCGCGCCAGGCACTCCTGTCCTCCACTGCCTCCCGCAGTGGTCAAAATCATGCTGGTAGCTTCGAGAACACTGTCCAACCATCTCGTCCTCTGTGGTCCCCTTCTCCTTGTGCCCTCAATCTTTCCCAACATCAGGGTCTTTTCCAGGGAGTCTTCTCTTCTCATGAGGTGGTCAAAGTATTGGAGCCTCAGCTTCAGGATCTGTCCTTCCAGTGAGCACTCAGGGCTGATTTCCTTCAGAATGGAGAGGTTTGATCTTCTTGCAGTCCATGGGACTCTCAAGAGTCTCCTCCAGCGCCATAATTCAAAAGCATCAATTCTTCGGCAATCAGCCTTCTTTATGGTCCAGCTCTCACTTCCATACATCACTAAAAGTGCAATAAGGATTCATAAAACTGGAAGTTGCTACTTGCAAGAGCAGAAACTTGTAACTTCACAGCAGAAAAACTGAGTGTTGTCTGCTGCTTTCTACGTTATTTAACCTTACTTCCATATTTATAAGCACGCAAAAGCATCAGGTGAAAGATGGTCAAGAATGTGCATCTTTATAGCATGTGGCCCAGTAGATATAGATGAACGACATGCAACAGGCAAACTGCCAAAGCTGAATGCCTATATTTCCAGGTCATAAAGCTGCCCATCTTCAGCCATTTTACAATTGTTCCTTAAAATGCAAGCAGGGAAAAACTAACATATAAAGCAACCACTGGCCACAACACTATAAAAATCAGGACTAAGACTTTACAATAAGGCAGACAATTTTAACAATCCAGATTAACTTTTAATTCAATTATTCAATATAAATAAGGAGACAAAGGCAACAAGTAGTAGAGCAGACATGCAACTCTATTTTTACTTTGTTGCCCATGACTGTTTGCAATGGTAAAAGCTGTCTTTGTTCCTGATAGGGACTGTCCTTCCAAATACCACAAGGCCAGCTCCGACTCATTCATTATGGACAGCAAGCGTTGCACACATAAAATGAAGTTTAGAACAAAGTCCTGTGAAGATGGAACTCACAAGACCCTCTCCAGCCTGTGCCCTGAACATATGGTGCTATCAGTGTTGCTACTTTACATTTCTTTACCTAGTCCACATGAGTTTGTTGCAAGGTCTACCAGGCAAAAGAGGAAAGCTGCAACATTCCAGGCCATAACAGATCTGTGGCAGAGCACTTGAGTGATTCAAGCTTTCTTCTAACCAAGTAAGGTTAAGGATGGGCACAAGTGGGGATCAGAGATCCAGTGGTCCTCTTCCAAGACAGCTTCTCCCATCAAGACAGGTCTTGGAACAAGCAGGCTATTGGTACTGCAGCCAATTAAAAGAGAGACTTCCCTCTCCTCACTCACTTGAAAAGGTAAGCGCAGATGGCGTGTCCCCTTTCCTTCCAGTCATACTCTGGGAGAGAGGCCAACTAAAAAAACCAACAACCTCTATGCTGCTCTGCTCTTATTGCACATGCAGTCAAGTGGAGATTTCTAGAGAGTGAAGAAAAGCAGAGGTGGGGTAAAGTGTAAAACAGGGTTAAAAAAAAAAAAGATTGGGGAGGGGAGAGCAGCCAAATTTTTAAAAGGCAGAAGCAGAACAGGGCTGCTGTTTCTTTAAGCGATTGCCAGATGTCTCCAAGTGGCTGGAAAAACCAGTTTGTACACTTGGGCTTGATGAACAAAGGCCAAGCTCCCCAGCGGCACTCCAGCTATTCCTGGAGAAATCTAAAAAATGTGCCTCTTCAGAAAGCTTCCACCCCTGCCTGTCAGAGAGACCCTGGGCCATGTTGGGGGCGCAAAAGGGGAGGGGAGGTGCAATGTGTCGTCTCCCCTTTAGGCAGGCTCCTGGTAAGAAGGCATGGGAAACAGTTATGGCAGGAGCACAAGTACTCAGCCACATTAAAAATATAAGTAAAGTGGATAAAACAGGGGTCGTCAATTTGTCACCCGCAGGCACACATGTGCCACCAGGGTCTCCTCTCCCAGCTGAAACCAGGCTTGAAAGCAGCATTCTGTTGTAGCCAATATATTAGGCTGTGGAATGTGCTTGGTTGTGTCTTCAACAGTTTCTCTGGTTTGCAAAAGGGTCTACAAGTCCAAAAATGTTAGCAACCCCAGGGCTAAAATAACTACTCAGGCCAGATTTCAACATCAGGTGTATGCATTTAGTGCCAGGGCTCAGCACTAGAACATGTGAAGAATAACAAAACACGCCACTGAACACAACAAGTTCTCTCAAAATGGGTAACCACAACCTATTCACCTATATTTAGGATTGGGGCAGGCTTTCCAGGATATGGATACCTGCAGCACTCCCATTTTTAATGGTGAACTACTAGGACTACTGCGATGCGGGTGGCACTGTGGGTTAAACCACAGAGCCTAGGGCTTGCTGATCAGAAGGTCAGCGGTTCGAATCCCCATGACGGGGTGAGCTCCCGTTGCTCGGTCCCTGCTCCTGCCAACCTAGCAGTTCGAAAGCACGTCAAAGTGCAAGTAGATAAATAGGTACTGTTCCGGCGGGAAGGTAAACGGTTCACCAGAAACAGCTTAGTCATGCTGGCCACATGACCCAGAAGCTGTACGTCGGCTCCCTTGGCCAATAAAGCGAGATGAGCGCCGCAACCCCAGAGTCGGCCACGACTGGACCTAATGGTCAGGGGTCCCTTTACCTTTACTAGGACTACTAAAGGCGACAACGTAACTTGAGGAAGACATCCCTTACCAATTCTAGCCAATCATTTTCAGCATCCATGCACTATGCTGAATATGTATATCTATTCTCCCAGCTACATGGGAACTGTTTATCCATGAGAATTTTGGACAATATTGAAACTGCATGACTCTATCCATCTGCACCTTTGTACATGGAATTGGGAAGCCTCTCTCCTCTCTCCTTCCATGGTGCAAATTCTGTGGGAAGGAGTCATGGCTGGAATCATGTCAATGTCAGAATCACAGAGTTAGAAGGGACCATGAGCCCAATCCAACCCCAGTGCAGCTCAAACCCATGACCCTGAGGATAAGAGCCTCGTGTATTACAGATTGAGCTATCCTCTAGGGTTATCACAGTCTTACAGGAGCTGCACACAGATAAAGCAGCTACTGCACGGTTGGGAGGCCAGTGTCCCAGGAGGAGAACAGCAGTTACACTTGGGGAGGCTCAAACAATGTTAACCAAAAAAAAAGGACAAACAATTATGCACTTAAAACAACAGGCAATGTTCTCTTCCGATCCCTGACTCATTCAGCATGGTCATTAATCCAGTGTTTGTCAACAGGATGATCCATTCCTATGGAGATAGTGCTTTGAGGTCACAAACATAGAATTATGACATCACAGCAGGAGCTGATGAGTAGGAAGCAGCAATACGTGTCTGTTTACAACATTTCACTCTGCAGCAACACGAAACAGTTTGGGTGAAACTGTGCCTGAACCCTACGATCGCCACTGCCACCACAACCTGAGGCACTGGCATGAGGAAAGATATTCAAGCCCTATCTGGCTATTCAATCTCCTCACATTTAAGCAAGACACAAGGGGCACACTGCCAAGCTTCACCCCTGCAACATGACACCCCTAGACGGTTCAGAACCTTCCACAAGTTTGAGGGCAACTGCCTGAAACAAGGAGCCTCTTTCTTTCATGGAAGAACCCAGCACAATCATGACCAGAGACAGCATCCCACTTCAGATCCTCACCCTCAAACTTGTGGAAGGCTCTGAATTGGGACACGTTAACACAGTGGAAGGGGCAGAGCTTGGCAGTCCACCCCTACCTCTCCTTCTGTGTTTACTTAAATGTGAGGAGACTGACAGAATTACTTAACTAAGCCAATTATGGTGGCAACATGGATTTATCACATTCAAACCAATCAGGAGTCAGGGACCTTCATTCTCATCCTCCCTCCTTTACTTTTTAACTGCTTTCTTAGGTGTGGTGGGCACAGAGTTCAGAAATGTATCATCTCAATGGCAAAAGGACCAAAGCTGCCCTTTCTTCTTCACCTCCTCACCTTGCATAAAAGTATCTAGAGCAGCCTTTCTCAACCTGTGGGTCCCCAGATGTTGTTGAACTACAACTCCCATCACCCCTAGCTTACAAGGCAAGAGCTCAGGGATGATGGGAGTTGTAGTCCAACAACATCTGGAGACCCACAGGTTGAGAACCGCTGATCTAGAGCAATTCAGGATCTACAACCCATTCCTTTCATAAGCGAGAGAGCTTATGTTGTGTAGTGTATGAGCCTTTTTGTCTTCGTTACCGCCCATTTCACAACAGCAACTGATAAGGCATAATCTCCTCTCCTCCCTCCCATTCCAGATGAAACCATTTTTACACTGAGTGCTGGTTCCAACAAGATGCCAGGGGCCAGCCTGAGAAAAATTCCTATCCATATGAGTGACCTACTCATCTTATCAACCTAACATTGGAGTTGTGATCTTGTGAGTCTGTGGCTCCTATGTAACACTGCTTACACAAGTAAAGCACTTCTGTTTTGGAGGCGGTGGATGAAGACGGCTATTGGGTTTTTACTGGAGCCAACTGATGCAGGCTGGTTATCTCAAAGCTTGGCATAAAACCATGACAATTAAAATCTGCAGCAGAATGTGTATACAAACTCAAAAACAGAAAAGGAATTGCAACAAATTAATATCCGACAACTGAGCCTTCTTCAGTTAACCGAGCTCTCACACTACACAGGCACTGGGAACCTGTGGCCCTCCAGATGTTGCTAGACTCCAATGCCCATCAACCCTAGCAAGCAAAGCTGATGGTCAGGGATGATGGGGTGTGTAGTCCAACAACATCTGGGGAGCCACAGGTTCCCCACCAATGCACTACAGTAAAATATCTCTAAGTATTTCTGATTGTTTATGGTAGTTTATTGTTGTAAGTCATTTTGGATGGGGATGGCCCAGGAAATCAGTCTAGAAATATTTTAAAATAAAACAATAAGTAAGCATACCCCGGGGGTAAGCTAAGGGTATGAATTTGTAATGTCACCAACTTAATGAGGGCACATTAAATGCACAAAGAAGTCAACTGAAAGATGGGAGAGTTTGTTTCATTGGAATTCCAGCGTGTTTCTATAAATGCCTGCTCAGGAGTGAGAGCGTATAGGATTGCAGCCCTAGCCTATCTGAGGTCATAGTATCATAATGAGAAGCAAGAAAATCACAGATGCAGACCCTGTTGTGGCATTTAATAAAACCCCAATACAAGGAAGGTGATAAACCTAAAAAAAGAGAATAGAGTGTTTTGCTTGCGAGAAGAAACACCATCTTTCACACCCAACGGCAGGCATGTGGGATCCTCAAGCAGATGAAAATCAATCTCTACTTTGACAGGAATGAGCTTACCAAACCAGTCAGTCAAGCCAGGCAGAGAAAAGAGTGGGAGGGAGAGGAGAGATGAGGCATAAGGGAGTGGGAGGGATATGTAGACCTAGGGAAGTACAAAGGAGATGTGAGTCAACAATCTAGGGAAGAAGAGTTCAGCACTACCCTGGAGTTCTTTATCCACTCCAAGACAGCCACCTCCACAAACACTTCATCTCCCCTCTCTCAGGATGATCTTTGGGTAGTCCATCTCCTTTATTACCAGCCAAAGCGATCAGGGAGATAAAACACAGCAGGGACCAAGTCAGGCACACGGACTGGAAAGAAACATCCTGAAGTGCCAAAAGCAAAACACACTTTTAGCATCTAAGGCCTGTGTGTCAGAGGTACATATTTTAAAACTAAGAATGTTTATAAGAAGCAAATTCCTACTCCCCCACCTGGATCTCCCTAGCCAGCAGCTGAAGGGATTTGGTATGTGCCTGCAAAACGAAACATGGTGGCTATTACACCATAATATTTTAGGCTGTAAATAGATGATAAATAAATAATGAAAGACATCCTCGATCAAATCCTCAGATACAGAAGGCAATGTGGTATAGCGGTTTTAGCTCCCGTTGCTCGGTCCCTGCTCCTGCCAACCTAGCAGTTCAAAAGCATATCAAAGTGCAAGTAGATAAATAGGTACCGCTCCGGCTGGAAGGTTTCCGTGTGCTGCTCTGGTTCCCCAGAAGCGGCTTAGTCATGCTGGCCACATGACCCGGAAGCTGTACGCCGGCTCCCTCGGCCAATAAAGCGAGATGAGCACCGCAACCCCAGAGTCGGTCACGACTGCACCTAATGGTCAGGGGTCCCTTTACCTTTACCTTTTTAGGACTTGTGAGACCAGATACAAATCCCCATTCAGTCACGAATCTCACCTTGGGCTAGTCACTCTCTCTCAACCGTAACCTACCTCTCGAGATATTTGTAAGTAAAAAGGAAGAGGGAAAAGATGAAAATCACACTGAACAACTGCAATGAAAGGTGGGATAAGGTGTGAATAAATAAATAAATAAATAAATATCCAAAGCTGCGGCCATCTGAATGGACAATGTGCAATGAATGGGTGTCCTGCATGGAATCTGATTTAAGCCACATGAACATAGAAGCATGACACGGTCTCACTCACCATACATTTTGCCCTCGTCCGAGAGAATAATCTTCCGCCGGCCACATGGCGGGTATATTGCCAGCGCCTCCTGGAAGCTCTGTTCAATGTCTGGACTCCACACTCCTTCGGCATCATTGTCCAGGCTCTTGTCCATCCCCTCCTGTCCATCTTCTCGCCCCTCCCCGGGGCTGCCGCTGGCGTTCCAGCTGTTGGACGCTATTGTGATGGCTGCTCTGGGCTCTGACCCTGAGCCCCAAACGGCAACTCAGCAACCTAAGGGCAAGAAAAGTTTGCTGATTAATCAACCACGCCTGCGGACTCCGAGTTCTCCTTTATAATTCTAGACTATACAACTGTACTCTTTCAATCAAAAGTAATGGAGAAGTGTGAACGGTCAGTCTTTTCTTTCTCTCTCTTGTTGGGGGCTTGGTCATCCTTCAAAAGCATTATAAACATGAATCTTTTGAACACACACACAGAGAGTTTGGCATTAATGTCTGGAAATCAATATGGCCAAGTGTGGGGTTTTTTTAGTGTTTGACATACAACAGATTTTCTACATATACATGTTTCACGTCTCTCTGTGTTGATGTTCTCCAAGCCACAGAACATACAATCCAAAACCCATTGGTTCATTCAAGGCTACCATTATTGCAGTGATTACTGTGATATTCTTACAATAATCTGAACATTTGACTAAGGAAACGAAGAGACACTGGGTGATATTCAGTGATGTGTATCCATTTACACAGTGGGACTTGTGCTTTCTTTTCTCACTTCCCCAGCCCCTAAAATCTGTTTCAGAGGGTCCCCTAACCTTCTGAAGCAGATTTGGGGAGAGAGATGGGAGAAAAAGAAAGAGAAGCCATTGCATGAGAGGACAGCTGCTCATGCTATATTAGATGTCACCCATCTTCTTACACACACACACACACACACACACTCAATCCCTAACATGTTACTTGAGCTGAAGCAGGGATTAATTAAACAGCCTCACTTAGTATAAGGGAGAGTCAGATAACCTCCCATGGCACACAACACAACATTTTTGAAATCATTGTTTCTTTGAACCCCATCGCACACAGCATAATACCTTTTTCTTATTATTTATTTGACTTATTAGTCTCTCACTACAAGATAGTCTCTGAGCGACTGCCCAAAAGATTAAGAGCCAAAAGCATGACATAAAATCAGAAAACAATGCATCACAATAAAAACCATTACAATAACCCACAAAACAACATGACAGAAAACTTTAGAAACAAATAACAACAACAACAACAATAATAATCCATGTTCAAAATGCAGCCACACTAAAACGTGCTTTTTCTCAATTTTAATCAAGTTTTTCCACAAGTGTCTTTTTAAAAAGTAACTGACTATAATACTGGATCATAGATATTAAATACTGATTTGAATGCTGAATCATAAGCATCTATCAAACACAGTGGCTTGTATAATAAGAAATACTTTAAGAATGAGGCTGGTAGGAGGGGATTTTCCTGCCCTCACCCTGCAGTCTCCTGAGTTTCCTGAAAAGCATCTCCTGGAGTGTCAGAGGACCCTCCAGAATGGGGTCGGATCAGCAGGAAGGAGTAATTGCTCCAGTTTCAGAGAGCTGTAGACAGAAAGTGTCTGCACTCAATTTGAGGTGATTTTCACCTCATACCACAGTCTTTCCCAATCAGGAAAAGTGGGGGCAATCAGGAAAGCCCCTGTCTATTACTACTTCTGAGGAACCAGGCCATTTTGGTAAAGACAACTTTGTTATGCAAAAAACCATGAAGAAAAAAAGATCTCATTTCTGAGGTTAAGCATATATAAAAAAGACATATTGCCACATACTGTATTTATTATTGCCGGCTTCCTACTGGACCCAGGATAATCACACGGACCAGGAACCAGGATCTGCCATCCTGCATCATGATCTTGTACTTCTGCTTTATGTAGAAGATCTCTAATTCTCTAATGAATATTGATGACTCTACCTACCAAACATAGAAATTTACTTTCCATTTCATGGAAAGACACTAATGCATGGGTAGGCAAACTAGGGCTAGGGGGCCGGATCCGGTCCAATCGCCTTCTAAATCTGGCCCGCGGAATGGTCCGGGAATCAGCGTGTTTTTACATGAGTAGAATGTGTCATTTTATTTAAAATGCATCTCGGGGTTATTTGTAGGACATAGGAATTCGTTCCCCCCCCCCCAAAAAAATATATCGTCCGGCCCCCCACAAGGTCTGAGGGACAGTGGACTGGCCCCCCTGCTGAAAAAGTTTGCTGACTCCTGCACTAATGTGTCCAATTACCAGCCCTTACCTTTGGTAAGTTCTAAACACTTATGGCCTGGTGCTATGCAAGTTGACTTTAAAAGTAAATTCCACTTCCAGTGGGAACTTACTTCCAAGCAAATGTTCACAGGGTTGCAGTCTTAATCTTGCTTGAGTATCAGAGAATGCGATCTCGCTCAGTATCAGAGAGAAATAAACAGAAACCAATCTCTTGCTTCTAAGCAGATATAACTCCACAGTGCATGTAGGCTGCATGTTATGTTCTTAAGTTGTATGAAGATTCGTTTTAATTGCAAACCAACATGTTTTAATCATTCTAGCACTTAGTATGCAGGAACCAGTGTTTGAAACTGAGATATGAAAGCTAGGAGCTAAATGGCACCTTAAACCTAGGTTATGGGCGCAACAACGGAATGTCTAGGCACACTTTTTTTATAATAAGAATACAAAGCTGAAAATGAATGAACTGCAGCTAAAATATTATGCTCATTTTTCACGTGCTCTAGTCCTTCCCCTGCCCCCCCCAATATTCTAAAGAGGGTCTCGTCTTCAGAGAGTAGCTGGAAGTGGGGAGGCAGAAAGGTCCTCCTCTCCTTCCACTCTGCAGTTTTAATCTGAAATCTTAGGTGTGGTACTGCGCCCAGAGCTCAGAAACTGATCACGCTAATGAAATTCCCTGTCGCAAAATGCACCTAGAACAATGGGAGTTTTGAACACTGGCAGGAAGCGGACACGGAGCAATGGATCCAAACTACAAGAAAGAAGATTCCACCTAAACATTAGGAAGAACTTCCTGACAGTAAGAGCTGTTCGACAGTGGAATTTGCTGCCAAGGAGTGTGGTGGAGTCTCCTTCTTTGGAGGTCTTTAAGCAGAGGCTTGACAACCATATGTCAGGAGTGCTCTGATGGTGTTTCCTGCTTGGCAGGGGGTTGGACTCGATGGCCCTTGTGGTCTCTTCCAACTCTATGATTCTATGATTCTAGGAACCCCTGAATTCAAAACTGAAACTTGACTTACAGCACAATCCTCACCAAGTCTACTTAGAAGTAAGTCCCGCCGAATTCCATGGGGCTTACTGCCAGCTAAGTGCGGAGAGGGTTGTAGACTTGATGGTTTAAAGCTGGCCCTTTGCTTGGCTTTTCCTCCCCTTATTTTCCACAATACAATGATTTGGCATCTCGGGGAAAGAGGAGAAAACACAGATACAGACACACACAGCCTTTGGGACTCATTACTCAGAGGTACTCTCAATGGCCCAAGTCTTCAGAAACATCTCTGGGAGATGTGTGCTGGGCGCAGACTCCCATCCCCAGCCAGGCTGTGTCAGTGGGCCTTGAAATAGTGCCTGCCACTTCCACTCCCACTCCCCTTTGCTCCCCCAGAGCAGCTAAGTGTTTTGCAACAACATGCTTTGTGGCAGCCCCACCAGCTGCTCCTGGGGGAGCTGAGAACAGAGAGGTGTCTCCTTTGGCTAGAGAGCTTCCCGGACAGAGCACAACAAAGGTCTCCAGTACAGACATCTCCTTTTTAAGAAACTGCCGACAACGAGCTTGGCTCAAGTGTTTCGTGGTGATTCCGCCCCTCCACGCACACACACACTCCCCGAAGCAACTTCTTTCCTGCGGCTCCGAGCTCTGTGATGTCACCCAGTCTCTCCCTTGCTCCCCCTCCCCTCCCCTTCCAGCCCACCCCACCCCTTCTTTGGGAACAGTGTAGCCAAATAAGGAGATCAGAACTGGAGCAGCTAGCCAAAGGGAAAAGGGGGAGGGATGGAGGGGAGGCTTGCTGTCCGCACACGGCTCCCAACACACTCTTATTCATAGTCAGTCCGCCTCTCTCGCTCCCTCTCATACATGCACAGCACTGCGAGGGGTGCCCAGGGATCAGGCTGCCAGCGAACATTCAGGAGGGCACAGGATATGCCAGAAAAGTTCAAGAGCAAGCAAAACATGTGTTCGCAGAAGACGCTGTGGGTACATTAAAGGAAGGCAGCTCTCAAGCAATCTGGGACACAAGCTTCGGTCGCCAAGTTGGTTTTGCAGAACACCAGACAGTTTGTTCCATCTCAACAAAAACCACACACACACACACCTCCCTACACAAGTCCCAGACACAAGTGCAGCCAAGTCTCAACGTCCTATTGCTACTCATAAGATGAGTAGCACAGGGTCCAGATTTTGAGTCCTCTCCAAGACATCCTCAGCATGCCTACAACTCCTTGAATTGCTCTCACTCTCTCTTTGAATAAAATCACCGACATTGCGTTGGTGGCAGTGGCAGGGGTGGTGGTGGTGGGGAGTATGATTGAGCAAACAGGCAATAGTGGTAACAGCTGCTCCACTGACTTGCTCCTGTGTTGGGCCCTTTGCTGGGATGTGGGCCTTAGCAGCTGCCCCAGCAGTGCCAACCAATATGACTGGCTCTGCTTACAATCCCCCTGCCCCACAAGTTTTCTCTAAAGTGTATACAACAGGAACTTCTGGGAAGAAAGAAATTCTCAGGCAATCAAATCTAGAAAGGGGTGTTTTCAAAACGTTTGTCAGCATCCGAGGTGAAGCTCCCTTTCAGGAGAAAATTGTATACCTGGCATTGTTTGGATGGCTTCTCGATCCAAGTAACCTGCCCCAAAATGAACAGCTGTGTCACCATTCTAAAATACAGGCCAAATGTGCACATCAAAATAAGCCAGGCTTTCTGGCTTGTTGGCCATGGGCAGCGTGGTTTATTTCTTCCACCAGCGCTAGGAGATGAGCGAAGCAGGAGTGATCAGGCAGCATGCACAATAACACGATCAGCCAGAAATCTGACTTGTTGTGATGTGTGAATGTAGCCAGGAAAAAGGTTGGCAAACACGTCTGCATTAGGAAAAGGTAATGAATAAAAGGTCTTCAACAGCAGCCCCATCTCACATGCCATTACAAAGGTGATTGGGAATGTAAGGATGTACTCAGCAGTGTGATGGGCCAAAATTTAGAAAGCTCCTATAGTAATTGCCTTTCACTCCCCGCAAAAACCCTCTACCAGCAACTAGTTATCTGCCCTGAATATACAGTGATTCCCTCACCCCAAAAACACTCAACAAGCATCTTGGAGGTCAGTTTTACAATGATTTGTTATGATTCGCGCAAGGAACTCTGAAGGAATCCTACACAGAAAACGGGACTACTTTTTACACAAACAACCTCTCCAACAACCACACCAACTTGGTCTGGGCCCTAATCAGAATAGTAAAATGAGTTTTGTGCTTGTAGGTGTACTTGAAGCCAGGGAGAGGGTGGGAGAGGGACTGTTCTGAAGGCAAAGAATCCTAGCTTTGGGGGAAAAGAAGAAAGATTAAGAAGCCTATTCCCCCCTCAACAGATATGCTAAGGATTGCCCCCTCAGTATTAAAGGACTTTGGGGGTGAGGCAAAGTAGAGAAAACAGTCTGGAATGCTCTGGGTTACTGCCCTATCAAGGGGCATTTCATGCAAAGTTGTCACCAAATTCACAAAATCTCAAAGCCAGTACCTTTCCTGGCTCCCATACACTCATTATCCTTCCATTTAAATTCAGATACACATTTCTTGCATATTCTAGGCAATGCAGAGAGCTGACTGGTGACTTTCAGTATAAAACTACACTGCCACTGCTATGTCCAGGCAGAATAACCATAGGAAATATTAGCAGTTTACTAGTGTTAGTCCTTTTTTTTTTTACCTTCCCGCCAGAGCGGGACCTCTTTATCTACTTGTACTTTGATGTGCTTTCGAACTTCTAGGTTGACAGGAGCTGGGACCGAACAACGGGAGCTCACCCCGTCGTGGGGATTTGAACTGCCAACCTTCTGATCAGCAAGCCCTAGGCTCCGTGGTTTAGACCACAGCGCCACCTGCGTTTCCGTGCACTGCTCTGGTTTCGCCAGAGGTGGCTTAGTCATGCTGGCCACATGACCCGGAAGCTGTATGCTGGCTCCCTTGACCAGTAAAGCGAGATGAGTGCCGCAACCCCAGAGTCATTCGTGACTGGACTTAACGGTCAGGGGTCCCTTTACCTTTAGTGTTAGTCCTAGCAGCTTCACCACTCCCTCCTGTTGTTATGAGGGCAATCCAGCCAACCAGGACATAGGAATTAGCATACATCTATAGCATACACAAACAGTCCTGGTGCAATATTCAAAGGTCTGCCTCTGGGTAGACCTATCCAAATCATAGGTGTGTGCTCTGAGCATGCTCAGAGCTGTTTCCTTGGAGTCCACCCCTCCTCATCATTCTTGGCATGTTCTGGTAATCAGAGAAACAGCAGGGTGCATTTCCTACTTTGTAAAGTGTTTTTGTTTGTTTGTTTGTTTGTTTGTTCAGTATTTGTTTTGTGACAGAGAGAGACAGAGAGAACGCAAGAGTGGACACAGCATTCGTCTCTTTTTGTAATAAATATTTATCTGTTTTTTACTTAAATTATTTTGCATTTATTTTTGTGAACAGGGGAATTGGGGGGACAAATGGCTGATGGCTTGTGTATGTGTTGCAAAGTGCTCTGTATTAACCAGTGACCTGCATTCATTCATGAGACGCTGCAGCAGCCGCTGGGTGAGGCAGGACATGCTGATCTGAGCCCTGTGCCATTTCAGAGTATTTTTCAAGAAAAGGGGTGGGTGGGTGCGCGCACATACACCCTACTCTACCCTGTATATGCAGATATCTGCTTCCAATAAGCCACTCCCCTAGCTTAAGTTCGGAAATCTTGAACGCTGAAAAGAGGAAAATGCTGCTTTTGGAAACACCAGACAAACTCTCTTACACGAGAGAAGCTAAATGATTGTACTCATGAACTTGGTTGGGAGAAGGACACTGAACTTCCCTTCTGCCCCTGGAAATTCCTGGATTTGGGGGGTGGCATTGCCCGGCTCAAAAACATTGTGATTGCAGCCAGTTAGGTTGTAGCAAGATACCATAAAACCAGTGCAATTTCATCTGCATCATCCTACTCTGATTATAAGTCTCTCTGTGTGTATATTCTATCTACTTCTCCAGTTACTCAAGTGAAAAACACAGAAACACAAAGACAATACAGCTCATCTGGAAAATCTTACTCTTAAATTCTTTTTCATAACAGGGCGTGAAAGCCGTACACTTTAGATATGAAGCCTTAACAGCACCAGAATACTGAAAAGGAAATTTAGGATTGCTACGAGTATGGGAAGGGCTTTTCCAGAAACTTTGCTTAATTGATGGAATCTGAACATTGAAACTACACAAACAAGCAAGGCCTGTGGGCAGTTAGCTGTGAGAGGTAGTTTGGCAAGATTGACTGAGAGGAGTTGGAGCAGCGGCAACAGCCCCATGGAATGTCTTCCAAATAATTTTCATTAATGTAAAACAAAATCTTTCTTTTTCAAGTTCCTTGAGCACTTGAATACAACACTAACTGCAACAGCAGCTGCCACAGGAGTATCTATGAGGAAAAAGACTTCATGATACCAATTGCAGAGACATAGACTTGGGGCCTGGTTAACCCACTTTCAAAGAGATTCCAATTAGGACTTTTTACAACAGCTTTGAACTTTAAGCTCGAAAGAACACAGGTTAATCAGCATCAAATCATCATTATGCCACAATTATGCACCACCACATGAACTACCTCCCCATCAGATGTAGTGGAAAATAACTCCCAGGTTTAGAAGAAGGAACAGGAACACAACAAGGGTGATGCAAGTATCGGAGGACATTATATATGAACCTATCTCTGTCACAAGAGACTAGGGCCCTGCGGGACTTGACATCTTTCCGCAGCGCCTGCAAGACAGAGCTGTTCCACCTGGCCTTTGGTTTGGACTCAGTATGACCCTTATGTTTCCCTCCCTTGTGGTCTTGATTTATTGGCTACTTTTAAAATGAGGCTGCATTTTAAATTGCATTTTAACCTGTATTTTAAATTGGTCCCCCCCCTAATTATGTTTGTACTGTGATTTTATTGATGTTAGCCACCCTGAGCCCAGCTCCGGCTGGGGAGGGCGGGGTATAAATAATAATAACAACAACAACAACAACCTTGCTCAGTCTACTGTCTATTTGAACTGGCAGCTATTCTCCAAGACCCCAAGCAGAAGAAGTGTCTCTTAGGCTTGCAACAAGAGATCCTTTTAACAGGAAATGCTTGGGAATGAACCTAGAACTTCGTAATGCGGTGCATAGTTAAACTATGGGACTCACTCTCACAGAAGGCAATGGTGGCCACCAACTTAGGTAACTTTAAAAGAGGATTAGGCAAATTCATGGAGGAGAAGGCTCTCAATGGCTACTAACCATGAAAACTATGATCTGCCTCCACAGGCAGTGATGCTTCTGAATATCAGTTGCTGGAAACCGCAGGAGGGGAGAGTTCTCTTGTGTTTGGGTCCTGCTTGAGGATTTCTCATGGGCGTCTGGTGGGCCACTATGAGGTCAAGATGCTGGACTGGCCTGATCCAGCAGACTTCTGCCCTTAGACATCTCCATGCAGAGCATGTAGCGCAACCACTCAGCTATGTTTCTCGCTCTTCCACAATTAAGGGGCTGGAAAAGAACAGCAGCAATACAATTTGGGACCAAGCGGGTTATGTGAAGCCTTCTGAAATCTACTCACAGCTTTTACAGCAGCAGATAGCAAAACAAAACAAAACCGTAAGCTGCAGATCCTGTAAAGCCTGGTCCTTGCTAGTCTAAACTTTCTATTTCCTGGAGGGTGGGTGCTAGCAAGCAAGTCAAGAATTAATCCAAAGCTCCACCCAAACCTTACAAAACAGCAACAAAAACCAGTACGGAAACTGACAGTGTTGGGTATGTTTTCCCCACAAGTGTTTTGTGCTGCCCATTTTGAAATCAATGGAGAGCAGAAAGAACCCCCCAATGATTAGAATAGAGCAGGCATGACCAAACTTGGCCTTCCAGCTGTTTTTGAACTACAGTTCCCATCATCCCTGACCACTGGTCCTGTTAGCTAGGGATGATAGGAGTTGTAGTCCCAAAACATCTGGAGGGCCATGTTTGGCCATGCCTGGAATAGAGTGGGGGGGGACATTCTGCCCCCACCCTTTCCATCATGTCCCCACTGCAAGAGCCGCTGCACTCCACAAACTGGAGTGGAGAGCCTGCTGTCTTTGTGATAGTGTGGCGTTCTGTACCTCTCGCACAGAGAGTATAGTGGGCTCTCTGATATAAATGTTTGACCTCCAGATGTATGGAGAGAACTGAAGCAGCAATGGGGATTAAATGAAGAGGGTGGAGCTGGCCAGCACATCCTTGCTCTCCTCCTCCTTGCCTGAGAAGAATGCCTGAATAGACATTCACAGCCTCAGAGTCTTCTCCGAAGATCAAGGGGGTAGCCAAGGGGGGGGGTAGCTCCCCCCCCCAATCAATGAAAATACATGAAAATACATAGCAAACCGAGATTCTTCACCCCTAACAAAAGGTCTGCACCCCACAACAAAAATCCTGGCTATGTCCTTGCTGAAGACCAACACCCTTGCAACATTTTACGTTGCTTCACTATTATGCCTCACTCTCTTAATAATTATTTTGCACTTCCTTCATCAGGCTTATGGGGCTTTCCCTTTAATAACACTTAATTATTCAGTTACACCCATGTCCCATTGCCTGACATACATGGTGCAGCTTGCCTAAGGCAGAGGTCATCAGCATGGTGCCCACACATACACAGATGGCTGCAGAGGCCGCCTCTGGTGCCCAGAGGGTCTCTCCCGCTGTCCGAAATCAGGCATGAAAGCAGGATTCTTTTGTAGCCAACAGAAAAGGCCTTGATGCATGCAGTGTCTACAACAGTTTCTCCCATTTGCAAATGTGTCGATGGGCCCCAAAAGACTGGTGACTGCTGGATAAAAGAGATGGGACCCTGAGATGGAATTGTGTGAAGGAGTTAAGTATAGTTTATGCTAAATGATATTAGTAGATAAAAATTAACAAAAAGTACCTAGGTGAAGAGAAGGAAGTGTACAGTTGCACATACGTTTACGATTAAAGAATAAGAAGCCTCTGATAAGGCAGAAAGGTATGACAATAGCCAGGACCTTGGAGACTGCAATATTTCTGTCCAGGCCAAATCACACAAAAAGCTGGTACTTCTCTGATGAGTGCAGTTATACAGAAACGGAGACAGGCACTGCTTGAGGCATTGACTGTGCCCTCTTCCTTGTTCAAACTTCCGTAACAGTTTATACAACCAGCCTCACTGGTTGTGGTGATGGAGCCTTGAGTCCAGCACCTGGAAGGCACCAGGTTGGCAATTCCTGGCCTACATAATACACCTTCTAAAATATATATTCTAACACGGGAATTTCACAAACCTTCAGGCTTTTATACTGGATCTTTCTGAGATTCTTGTGATGGCACCATAAATGGCAAAATGAAAGAAAGACATACTTTGAAGAGCTCTGGGCAAGCATTCACATAGCCTCAAGGAAAGCTCTCCAGATTTCGTGTTCTGGGGAACATTTAATGTATCTAAATCTATTTTCTTTGGATTCCACTTGACTATTCAATATTTTTTGAAGGAGGGGAAGTCTTAAAGAAATATTGCTGCATTGTTCAAGGTTTGTCCAGCACAGTGCATTTTCATGACATCTGCAATGTAATGTCACTGGATACATTCTATTTTGTGGTTTATTACTTTTTTTAAAAAAAGGTACAAAATTTCTTGAGATTGATTTGCAAAGGAATCTCCCAATGTTCATCTTCCTGACCAACTTTCCTCCATTACTTGAACGTCTTTCTCATATATGTGCATTTGTGTGTATAGGCACACATACATAAGAAGCGGCTTGTGTGCACAGACATAGTTCACCAAACACCTCATTAATTAGTTCTGCTGAATTTCTGATCTTTCTCCAAAAGGGTGGGGACAGTTTCTGATCTTATACAACCCAACATCCACTTATCCCATTTCAAAGTTTCATCTCCTTTTCTTGGCCCATCACATGAATGACTGATTATGGGGTTAATTACCTAACCGGGAAGAACTATCCTTCGATTTCATATTCCACAAGAAAGGACAGTGATAGTTCAATGGCAAAAAAATGAGAAGCAGTGTATGCTCAGAAACTTTGTCAATTATTAACGCCTGCATATAAACAACACACCAATATTTGCATTTGAGGTACTCAAAGCACTTCATAAACGTACAGCACAGCAGAAGGACATCTAAGAGGATATAATATTTTTTTCTGATACAAGGAGCAGCATACATTCTTGTCCAAAACTGGGGGAATGAAACAGTTACTCCACCAGTTCTCTCCAGTGGCTGGTTAATCAAATATGGGCTAATCCTATCATCACTCTTCTTGGATACAAAAGCTGGTCCTGGGGAAACCCTTGCTGTCCTCCCCAACTCTAAACTAATGAGGGAAGAAGGGAAGGTCATACCTGACAATCTAGCTTCAGAGATGTTCTACAAAAGCTTTCCCTCAACTTGGTGTATTTCAAATGTTTTAGACTCAACTTCCATGATCCATGATCACTGGCCATGCTGATGATGGAAATTTGGATGATGGAGATTTGGAGAGCCCAAGATTGAGGGCAGCTGATTCTGCAAGTGACAAGTCGCCTTGCTGCTTTTGAGTCCTGTCTAGGTTCAGTGCAAGGTCACCCTTTCTTAGGCCCTAGAGTAGGGAGGCTTGCCAGTGGTAAATGCACTATAGACCCTTGCCTATAACTTAGAAAGAAAAGAAAAAGATTTACCCACATGGTTCGGAAATTCTTGATCATCCTACTCACACACAACCCCCTTTCCACCCTCTAGAGACACATTCTTGTGATTTTACTCATCTCATGCTTACAAAATCTTTTATCTGTAGCAGCTAACAATAACCAGGTGTAACATAGCTGTCGTAAGTTCCAGTGAGCATGGGTAAATTTTGCAAAGACACTGTAGGAGGACAAGGTCACTATTAGAGGATTCCTTCTCTAGACCTTCTGCATATAGAGAAAGGAGCACCAAAAAACAAACAGCAGGCTGAAGGAAGGGTCACCAAAAATGTGGGAGCTAAAGTTTTTCCACTAATGATTCAACAACACAACAGAGAGTAGACATTTAAAATAAGGTTAAAGGAAAGCCACAAGAGACAGAGGTAGAAGATTAATATACAATTCAGGAGCATGAAATGATAAAGGGATTGCATCTTTCCAGGTGAGTTAATTTCATTTGTTGTGCTGGAGACATAGGCCAGAACCTACACAGGAAGAAGTTCTGGAGATCGGCCTTGATAAGACTCAAAGGAGGTGGTATCTAATAACAGATTAGTGAGTATGCTGCAGAGCTGAAATCCCAACCATCACACTCTTGTTTCTAGCAGCAGTACAGAACAGATAGCTTGTCATCAGGCCTCCCAAGAACTCAGAAAAAATAATTCAGGTGGCAAAGAAGAAGGGGAAAATGTGTTTCATGGGAAAGTGAACATTAGAGCCAGATATGAGACTGTATTATAAGGCATCCTGTCTTTGTTGGTTAAAGGAATGGATGATATTAGAGAATTCTAGACTTAGAAGGTCATGACAATATTTTTGGTTGGCACGCTTATTTATGGTATGAAAAGGTGAAAGTTCATAAAGGATTTACAAATCATATAATTAGGGGGGAAATGTATATTTATTAGAGGTAAAAACACCACTTTGGCTCTCACCGTTGGAAGCTATAGCGGTAAAGAAAAAGAATATGATAGAATGGTGGACAACTTATAGAAATTTATTAAAACAAGAGGGAGGAGAGTATAAATTAAAAGAATTTAAGGAATTATCAGAGAAATTAACAACATGGATACAATATCATCATATCACAATTGGAGAGAGATCTGTTGGAATGTAATGTAAAAGTGCTATCTAAAATGTATAAAATATTATTGGGAGACAAAGGATGAGCAAGTAAAATCCTCAATGATATATTGGTCATAATATAGATATGGAAGCATGGGGACAATTGTGGAATATGGACATAAAATTTACAGCATTTTATGGTCTAAGAGAAAATTATGTGAAAATGATATATCAATGGTATCTAACACCGAGTAAATTGGCAAAAATGTATAAATCTAAATCAAATAAGTATTGGAAATGTAAAGAGAAAGTTCTTTTTATCATATGATATATAATGAATTGAAAATGATGTTTAAAATAACATTTGTCTTTTAAAAAATCAGAAGCTTTTCTTTGGGGAATTATAGAGACAGAACTACCTAAACTGTATAGAAGCTTATTCCTATATGCTACTACAGCGGCAAGAATGTTACTCGCCAAAAATGGAAAGAAGCAGAAGTTCTAGCAAAGGAAGAATGGATATAAAAACTTGTGAAATATGCAGAAATGGTGAACTAACCTGAAGAATAAGAAATCAAGATAACAAACATTTTATAAAACAATGGAGATGGTTTATTGAATTATTTACAGATAAATTGTAAACAGATAAGAACATTGGCAGGATTATTATAATAACCTACAGTTTTATAAGAGTATATATTTAAAGTAGATGAATAAATGAGCAAATTAAGTTTATTTGGATATGCAGAAGATATTAAAAATAAGGAATGGCAGAAAGAGGGAGAAGGAAGTCAAGTTTTGAAATGTTAAAAGGATTGTAGAAGCAGTGAAATGTATAAACCTGAAAAAGCATTTACACACACACAAAACAACAACAACAACATTGGAGCCATCTTGCTGCATCTAGGTTCAGTCCCCAATTATTCATTAGGGAGTGACGAAGAGAGATGAAGCATTCCCCAAGTCTGCCCAAGTATATGCAGTGGTACCTCTTGTTACGAACTTAATTCGTTCCGGGGGTCCATTCTTATCCTGAAACTGTTCTTAACCTGAAGATCACTTTAGCTAATGGGGCCTCCTGCTGCCGCTGCGCCACTAGCACACGATTCTGTTCTCATCCTGGGGCAAAGTTCTTAACCTGAGGTACTATTCCTGGTTAGCAGAGTCTGTAACCCGAAGTGTTTGTAACCTGAGGTGTTTGTAACCTGAGGTACCACTGTATGCCCATGCTGAATTAGCCCAATTTATGCGATTTGCTGAAGTGATGGCTAAATGGTTTAAAAATGGAAGTGGAACATTAACACGTGCACTCTGTTTTGTGAAAATGCCCCATTCTTATTTGATCAGAGCTCTTGGGTACCTTTGAAACTTGAACATCTGCATTGGTGTTTCCCACTCATCTCACCTTCCCCATCATGTGTTTGTGTGCTGACTGATAAATCTGGTTTAGGTTTGGGGAGGGATGAAAATGGCTGGGAGACTAATACTGTTAAGAGAGCTGTATGTATTTGAAAATACCCGGAGGCGTATCCAACACTGCCACTCCACTGACACAACAGACTTCTGTGCATGCAATGGATCTCTCTTTTCCACTCCTGTCCCCTCAAGCCCCAACCCCATGCACCCTCAAAACCAGCTCTGCAGGCTTGGACCAAATCTTGGGGAAGTTTGGAGGAGAAGAGGAAATTGAATTCCCGTTGCACCAGTAGATCCCCTCTTATGCAGAGCTTAAAATTAAAATTTCTGATTAAAATGCTGATAGTGTTTTCTTTATCTTTTTAACACTGTTCTCTTTCCATGGGATGTAAAAAGTTCAATTATCTCAGAGGAGCTACTTCTTCTGAAATGTGAGCAGGTAAGACTTCCAATCAACTCCTTCTTCTGCTTACCCGCTAGGGGTAATTCCTACTGTACACAGTTTTGCCAAAGCAAACTTATCCTGGCAACTTGAGTCTGCAGTAGGTATTTATCACAGCCAGGCTGGAGCTCTTGACATGTTCCCATTCCTTGTCACAGTTTACTCTTATTTGTTATGGTCCCAAGTGTGCAACTAGGCACATGCTTTCCTAGAGCGGCACAGAAGAGCAACATCTGCATTAAAGCATGCATGTCAATGCTATTTAAAGAACTGCTGGTGTAAGCATTTCTTAGCGCAGTTTGATTTTACTGTCTTCTGAATGGGTTGCCGCTGCTTCAGGTGTTATAATTTGCTGAATCAGTTTGTATGAATACTACTACTACAGTGGTGCCTCGCAAGACGAAAATAATCCTTTCCGCGAGTCTCTTCGTCTAGCGGTTTTTTCGTCTTGCGAAGCAACCCTATTAGCGGCTTAGCGGATTAGCGCTATTAGCGGTTTAGCGGCTATTAAAGGCTTAGCGGCTTAGCGGCTAAAAGGCTATTAGCGGCTTAGAAAAAGGGGGGGGAAGCGAAAAAAATCGCAAGACTCGCAAGACGTTTTGTCTTGCGAAGCAAGCCCATAGGGAAATTCGTCTTGCGAAGCGCATCGAAAAACGGAAAACCCTTTCGTCTAGCGGGTTTTTCGTCTTGCGAGGCATTCGTCTTGCGGGGCACCACTGTAATAGTAGTAGTAGCAGCACTTTGGCTGTGACTGATCTGTTAGCCAGCATGGGGATATTATTTACCGTATTTTTTGCTCTATAAGACTCACTTTTTCCCTCCTAAAAAGTAAGGGGGAAATGTGTGTGCGTCTTATGGAGCGAATGCAGGCTGTGCAGCTATCCCAGAAGCCAGAACAGCAAGAGGGATCGCTGCTTTCGCTGTGCAGTGATCCCTCTTGCTGTTCTGGCTTCTGGGATTCAGAATATTTTTTTTCTTGTTTTCCTCCTCCAAAAACTAGGTGCGTCTTGTGGTCTGGTGCGTCTTATAGAATGAAAAATACGGTCTATTGAAGGTGCAGGACATAAATCACTTTGCATATAACAGTTCTGCAAAACGTATGTGATGGTAGTGGCACTCACGTGTTATGGTGGCTGTTCCAGCCCCGCACCTCGGAAGACCAGAAAGACAAAGACCACATAGGAACTCTTTCTGGTATATCTCAGTCTGCATCAGCCCTCTGGAGGCATTCTCATAGAATTAGAGTTGGAAGGGACTCTGAGGATCATCTAGTCCAACCCCCTGAAATGAAGTAATATGCAGCTGTCCCTTATGGGGCTCGAACCTGCAACCTTGGTGTTGGTCAGCACCACACTCTAACCAACTGAGAAACTAGCACATTGTGTGAGCCTGGCCATGCAATACTTTTTTGTTTGGGTATAAGCAGAGAGGGAAAACACTCCTTGTGATGGAAGGCCTCCTCTTATCCAAAGTTGTAGAAGAAAATGTATACAGTGGTACCTCGGGTTACATACGTTTCAGGTTACAGACTCCGCTAACCCAGAAATAGTACCTCGGGTTAAGAACTTTGCTTCAGGATGAGAACAGAACTCATGCGGCAGCGTGGCAGCAGCGGGAGGCCCCATTAGCTAAAGTGGTGCTTCAGGTTAAGAACAGTTTCAGGTTAAGAACAGACCTCCAGAACGAATTAAGTACGTAACCAGAGGTACCACTATAGTTATAAAGGAATCCATTCAAAACATGTCCAATCCTCACTTTTACTTCTGCCACAGATCAATGGACAGATCAATAAAATGATTTAATCATCGATCTACATAGTGGGATGTAACCACTGGTGGGGCTTACTCCTTTACAATCACAAAGTCCTTTTTTCTAGTCTTCAATTTAAGAAAACAATTTTTTAGAATAATGTCACTTAACATCTGAGGTTTAGCTAGAGCAATAGGCCTCTCATACACGCAGCTGAACCAAACTGCCCATTTAACCCCTTCTTCTCATCAGCAACAACAACGTGACTTAAGATCTGGTACATAAATCAGATACTAAGGGAGACAGTCATCTAATCAGCTCCATCAGCAAACACCCTGAACAAGGACTTCCATTTGCACAATGGGGCTTTCCCTCCATCTCCTCAATGCCAAATTGGATCAGGGCAGGGGGGTCCATGAGAACCATAGCCAACCAGTGTCCATTTTATTCTTTAGTTTCTCAGCAGCAAGACCATGAGACCAGCTGGAACCAGGTCATTTCTTATGGTCCCCATATAGGAACTGGCCTTTTCCCTCCCTCCCCCATCCCTTAGGTCTGCATTTGAAGAAGGATAAAAGTTCACCAACATGCCTCAACAGGAAGCTGCTGCCTTAGAGCTACAGAAGCAAGCTGCACCTCTCTCACTTGTGGAGCCAAAATGTTTCAGCTTACAGGTTGGGTGTGATCTCCCCCAGCATAAAGTTTCCTCCTCTAGACACCACACACACAACAACACTGAAACACACGGGGGAGGGAAGAGAAACCAAACTGCCAATCCTTGTTTGCAGAAGAGTCTGAGGACAATGGAACTTGACTTTTCCTGAGCATTCCTAAGACACATACCCAATCTATTCAGCTTCCGATCAGCGAGGGAGAATTCTAGGCCTGGTCATAGGACAAAACTATTCAGAAGAGCAACCTGGAGATGACAGAAATAAGCAGCTTGTTTTCACTGTATATTCTACATAAACCTTTGAGCTCAGACTTGGGAGTAAATGTGATGAGTACAGTCGTACCTTGGTTGTTGAATGCCTTGGTACTCGGGCGTTTTGGCTTCCGAACGCCGCAAACCCACAAATAAGTGTTCCGGTTTGTGAACTTTTTTGGAAGCCAAACATCCGTTTCAGTTGTCGGCATTGTTTCTGGGGCCAATCAGCCAATCAGAAGCCACACCTTGGTTTGCGAACGTTTTGGAAATCAAACGGACTTCCAGAATTCCATTCGGCAACCAAGATATGACTGTACTGGTAAATTCCTTCTCCATGTCTCCTTAGTATCACAGGTTCAAATCTGCTCCAATTTTCTCATTTTTAATAGTCATCCCTGCAGTTTAATGTCTGAGGATTTACAGGAGGACTAGCATACAAAGTTTGTACAGTGGTACCTTGGTTCTCGAACGTAATCCATTCTAGAAGACCGTTCGACTTTCAAAACATTCAAAAACTGAGGCACAAAGAGGCAAGTTCAATTGAGAAAATTGAAAAACACACAGCGGAAGCTGTTCGACTACTGAGGCGCGTTCGAAAATGGAAGCATTTTGGCATTTGAAAACCGAAATGTTCAGCTTCCAAGACGCTTGAAAACTGAGGTACCACTGTATTTGTGAATGAGCGGAGTATTTTCACACCCATGTAGTATTTAGTTTATCAACTGTCCCCCTCTATTTCATAAATGGGGCAAAAACTAAATCAAGCATCAGATGAAACTGCGTAATTGGCAAGGCACAAATATGTAACTGCCCCCTACAAACATGCAATTCAAACATTTGTTAGTTTCTTGTTAATGTCATTAATGCTGTTTCATTTTCATTTTCTAAGACTTGGGCTCTATTGGGCTCTATGGTAGCAAAAGGGTAGGATCAGAATGCCTTAAAATAAAATAAAAAGCAATAGATTTTGAAGCTTAACTGCCAAACTGTCCTTTGTGGGGGAACATTGAGCATTCTTCGGCAGAATCTGAGGTGTCTCTAAATGAAGTTTGAAATTAAACACACACAGCGCCAAGTGGAGTAATTAAACTGAAAGTGTAACCTGATAACGCTATATGATGAAAGTTATTCAGTTGATTCAAGAGGATCTGTGACTGCTGACTGGTAGATACTCCTTTTCCAGTTTGATGAAAGAAGGAAGGAAGGAAGGAAGGAAGGAAGGAAGGAAGGAAGGAAGGAAGGAAAGAAAGAAAGAAAGAAAGAAAGAGTCCAGAGCATCTTATTTTAGGGGAAGCAAATGGCTCTGCCATTCTCAGGGAGCCTTTATTGCATGTATTTACAGTTCAAGAGGACCACTCTGCTGCCAAATTCAGCTCACCAGTGCAACTGCTTGGCACCTCTCACACTCACCCCAGAGGAGATAATGAAAGGTTGTCTACAGGCAGGAGGTGGTCTGTCCTGGATGAAAGAGCACAGGACACAGCCTTAGCCCCAAAGAGATATTAACAAGTAGGCCACAGTTACAACAACTGGGATTAAGAATGAGTTGTTCGCAGCCAAAAAGGTACAAGTGCAGGTTTATAAATTTTACTAATTTTTGAAGACAATGGTTTCACAAACCCCATTGTGCAGGAGAACTCAAAGAGAATGTTTCTGCACCTGGAAGAGACGGCTATCCATCAACCCCAGAAACTAAAGAGGGCTGTGTTTATGTTCAGTTTATGGGCTTCCCATAGGCATCTAGTCAGCCATGGTCAGAACAGACTGCTGGACTAGATGGGCCTTTGTCCTGATCTGACTGAGTAGTCTGAATGTTCTTAAAACCAGCTACAAACATTCGACTTTCACAGTACAGTGGTACCTCAGGTTAAGAACTTAATTTGTTCTGGAGGTCCATTCTTAACCTGAAACTGTTCTTAACCTGAGGTATCACTTTAGCTAATGGGGCCTCCTGCTGCTGCCGTGCTGCCACCGTGCAATTTCTGTTCTCATCCTGAAGCAAAGTTCTTAACCTGAGGTATTATTTCTGGGTTAGCGAAGTCTGTAACCTGAAGCATCTGTAACCTGAAGCATTTGTAACCCAAGGTACCACTGTATTAGCAGACCCATTTGCACAGTACTTGAACAGAACTGCTGGGCACCAGTGCTGCCGTGGATGTGAAGGCCACCAATGGCAGAGATTCAAAAATAGCATAAGGGAAAATGAGCTGAGCGACTAAGCCAGCCTGACCATCTATCAACTCTGTATTGGAATAAAGCACGCTCTTCTACAGGAGCTATTGGATACCTTTTCTAAATAAAGCAGGAAACATGTAAATCTTTGAAGTCAATTCTAATTATTAAGGAACAAGAATCAAGAGTTGACCTCCCACTCCCATAAGAGAAACCTTTTATAACATAGGGTCTTCATTAACTCAGAATTTTATATTATAAACACACGTCATAATTTAATCCAAACTTTTGTACTACCTGAGTCTGCAGCTCATTACAAGCATTTAAGAAAAAAACCCCACGTCAAAATATATACTTTTCTGGATTATTATACGTTTTTAGCCTCACAACAAACCTGTGAGGCATGCCACTGCTATCCCAATTTACATACGGTGAGTTTAGGAAAAGCAAAAATTTGGCCTGGGGCCCATTCCTGAAGCAGAACTTGAAAACGGGCCCTTTAAGTTCAGCTCTCAGTCCAGTGCCCTTTCCACTGAACTGTACTGGCTAGTCACCCACCAAGCTGATCACAACATCAATACACTCTCTGCTTTGCCAAACAACAGCCATATTTCACATCCAGATAAGCTGCTTCTCATCAACAAGAGTCCTGGGGGTTCTGCTGGTTCTGACAGAGAGCTCATAGTGGTGAATCACAAGGATTTCATGGCATGGGGTGTGAGAAAACCCAGTCTGCACCTCCCCCCTCCAAGAGAAACCCTGGCCTAACAGTGCCAAAGGTTTTCAGAAAGCAGCTCCCTTCCATACCAAGCATTTCAGTTAGGCAAGAAAAAGTACAGTCTCAAATGCAGGTTGTGGACTCTTGACAGGAGGAAACAATTTGCAGGCACGCAGAGGCCTTTGCGAATGTGCTTCTAATTTTGGGAAGGAGAGTGTTTGCCAGGGGCATTCTCCATGATGCTACATCCGACAAAGCATGACTCCTCGGTGCTCACCCGCCCTTGCTCCCAGCTCCTGCATGCTTGTTTTGTCTGTGCGCTAATGCGTTTTTATCCATCCACATACATGGGGGAAATGCGGAGGGGGGACGGACACAATGAAAGTGGAAAGGGAATGATTTGGTTATAGAAACACCTGCAAAAGGTTGCACAGCTCAGATTGGCCTTTTGGCCTAAGAGCATTCATTTCTCCAGGGGATGCAAAGAACAAGAACAGCCTGCCCAGTAGGCAAACATCATTGCAGACATTACTGAAAGATGTTAGATTGTTTTTGTGCGCCACAACTGCAGCTAGAATTTTGCTAGCCAAAAATTGGAAATTACAAGAAATACCAACAGTAGAGGAATAGCAGATGAAGATGATGGACTTTTTGGAGGTAGCCGACCTGACCGGAAGAATCCACGACCAGAAGGAGGAGGAGTACCAAGAGGAATGGAAGAAATTTAAGGACTATTTAGTTAAATATGCTAAGATAATTTAAATAGAACTACTTGTGAGTAACAGATTGGCCCAGGATTTAAATATGTTAAATTCTATATACTATGGATAAAGTCAAAATGAAAAGAAAGAAAGATGTCAATTGAACAAGTAAATTTTATTTGAAAATAGTATTGGAAAACTGCTACAATGCATTACATGGAAACTCAGCCAGGGGGATTTGAGGAAGTCACCTAACAATGGTAACAAAAGTGGGGTTATAACAGTTAGGATAAATGTTTGTTTGTTCTTCTATATTGTAATGTTTTTCTTGTTTGTTATGTTTGTTATAAATCTGGAAAATCAATAAAAAAAAATGAAAAAAACAACAACATCATTACAGACCTTACAGGCACTGGCTAAAGACTCTTTCCAGAAACAAGGGCAAAAGAAGCAGTAAGCCCATTGTTTTCCTTTATTTTTACTCTGAAAACTGTGAGCGAACGAGATCTGGTAGCTTAAATGTGCCTGAAGTTCCACGTAGCCGACATAGTAGATATTAAGCACACAGCCCCTCAAGAAGCTGTCAGCAGCATGAGCTTGTAGTCAGAACAGCTGCCCTGTAGGAAGTCAGCTGATCTTTTGATGGCAGGATACAGCTGAGGAAGGGCCCATAACACAGCGGCCTTGGGCCACGCAGAGATTCACTGCAGATCCCGTTTCACCAGTACTGCTTCAAGCACTGGGGAAAAATGTTGCTCGAAAGCAACTGGGAAGTGGTCTCTTCCAAGGCAGTTCAGATCCCTGCATATGGCTGCATTTGCAACATCCAACTGGATTTCCAATTGCTTAGCTATTGTAGCTTCACCCATCCTGGTGTCCGAATGATGAAGCTACGATAGCTTCGACAGACTCTCAAAAGTACAAATTTCGCCATTCAAGGAGGTGAACTGAAAACAAGACATACACAATCTGGAAATTGTTTTAGACAGTAGATTTTGATCTGAACTAAGGTGTACTCATTATCAGTTTTGAGCCCTGCCTCAAGCAGTGATTGGGTATATAATGATTGGTCAACACTAACCACTTATTGATGAATGCTTGCGATATTTAATGTAGAAACTCTGTGTACCCTTATATCACTGATCAAGATTTTTCAGATTCACTTTCTGGAATCAACCCTCAGACCACAAAACTGCCTCCACAGAGTCTTCCTATCTGCCTTATTTTGCAATGACTCACTCTCAAGTACAGGCCAGATCATCTACAAGCTGCTTGTCCCATTAAGCTGTTACCTGACCTCTGTACAGAACTGAAGAACAACCAAAAATTTGTACAAGCTTTCATGACTTCCCCAGTGCTTCAATTGACATAAGCAACCACAGCACATTCTACAAGAGTCAGGTGGTTAGTGCTGGAATGTGCTTCAGAGATCCATACACAAATTGCATGGATACAGGACTCACTAGATCTAAGATGTACCAGTGCCAGTCTGAAAAAGCTCCTCCCTTGGCTTCCTTAGGCAACCTGCTCTGCTCTTATCATTAACTAGTTTTTGCCCTCCCTGCCACCCACAAAAAAACAAACTGGAAAAGATAGCAACTCTGCTTCACCTGCTTATGAAAATATTTGAAATCCATATAGGCTACAAATATTATTTATTTTCTACTTGCCACTTCTTCAAGATCTATACTCTCAACCTTTCTTTACATGCTCTGAATCTTCTCCAATTTGTCTGCAGCTTCCTTAAAACGTCAAACCACAGAATAATTTTTGTAGTAGTCTACCCAATGTCACTAATTTACTTGTCATCTTCTACCTCAAAATATTTTGAGAAAAGCACTAATGTTAGGCACCTTAAGGGCTGCCTGGGTAGCAGAATAAATTTCGTGATAAACAAAAGCAAACAATAACCAGTGGCTCTCCAAATCTGCATAGTCCAAATCATGCCACACAATGAAGGAGATTGCTGTTTTAGCACAAGGTAGCTTTTAATTCTTTGAATTCGAGGGAGTTTCTTTTGCTCTGTATCTACATATATGTTTCATATTTATAAACTCTAGCCTTGCCACCAAATCAAAAGGCAAAATTTACTCCAAAAAAAGCTACAAACACCCACTCGCCTCTGCCTTCATTACTTGTATATTTTGTTCACATGTCATTTCCTCAGCATAGCGAGATCACTTAAAATGTTGACCCCTCCCACATGCCAAACGGTATAAGAACACTTGTACGCTATTAATTATAATCAAATAAATGAAGAGCACCAGACTCATGGCAGACACAGAGTTCTAATGGATGTCTCCTCTCAAAGATGTAAGGACACTGAATAATTAAGAGTTATCCACTGGGATTGCGTATCACCCCTGACCAACATGCAACTCAAAAGGATTAAGCATCATTCATTGATTCCTTTAAGAATTACAGAATAATAGTTGCTTGAAAATTGCAAATGCCATCTGTCCACAAAAGAAACTGGAAATATATAAAACCACAACTTTTAAGTCTTGCACTCTGATGCCCTCCAAGCCTGAAACATGACCGAGCAGCAAGGCCGCTCGGCCAGTTCAGGTAAGTCAATCTAGTTATGGGTTTAGCACTCCAGCCGCATCTGTTAGAAATAATGATTCTCAGTGCTGCTCATTCAGCTGCACAGTACAGGACCTTGTGTAGCCCATATTTTGCTGCTTATAATCTTTTCTCTTGTACAGTAGTACCTCAGGTTAAGTACTTAATTCGTTCCGGAGGTCTGTTCTTAACCTGAAACTGTTCTTAACCTGAGGTACCACTTTAGCTAATGGGGCCTCCTGCTGCCGCCGCGCCGCCGGAGCATGATTTCTGTTCTCATCCTGAAGCAAAGTTCTTAACCTGAAGCACTATTTCTGGGTTAGCGGAGTCTGTAACCTGAAGCATATGTAACCTGAGGTACCACTGTACTCACTAAGGACTGTTTCTACACCATTGTCCAAAACATGCACCAGCCCATGTTTCTTTTTATGCCACAGTCCTACGTATAATTATACAGCCATATGTTGTCCACACGCCATAGATTCAGAGTATGGAAAAAGAGGAGACTCAGTTAATGGAATGCTACAAGGGGCTACAACTTCCCCCCTTTCTAACTGTGGGATTGGCATGCCAGTGAATGGACTGGTCATATACTGTCAGTTGACCACACATTATGTGGCCACAGTCAAATGCTCCGTGAAGGCTGCTGCTTATTTAGCACAGCTGCCTTTAAAAACTAACAAGTTCTTTTAACAGTTGTTGTTAATTACATTTACTTCTGTTTTATTTTCTCTCTTTAATCATGTTGTAACTCTTAAGTTGACACTGGTGTTCCAAAATAAAAGCCAAAGAAAAGAGCTGTTCAGTCCGCTGTTCAGTTATACAAACCTTCCTTCCCAGAAATTCTGAGGTTTCTCTCTCTCTCCCCTCATACTTTTATTTACACCCTGAAACATAGTTACTTCAGGTGACCCTCTGGGCTGCTTGTACATTAGGGCTGGCCCTGTGAATAATAAATACATCTTACTTAACTGGTGGTCTGTTTGTTGGTGGAGGAGCCAGAGCTTCCTACCCAGCGAGTTAGCTCCCAAGTTTAATGACTTGTTGCGAAGCAATTTGCGAACAAGCAGTGATCCACAAGCAGGTTTTTTTTACTCCTCTCATTGAATCTTCTTGTAAATTCTAGTTAAGGAACTACTGCCAACTTCTCTTTGTCCCATGGAAAGAGACAGCATCCAGATATACCCATCTTAAGTTCATACTTTTAGGAGGAGGTTAAGTCTGGCCTGATGTTTATAGGGAATGGGGGTAGCTGCACTTAAAATAAATAAAAATTAAAAGCAGCAGAGACCACTATGGGGGATTTCATTCCTAGCCTTTCAACCATATGGATCCGTGCTGTGCGCCAGATAGATATCAGATCTAAACTGGACACAACAAGTAATTCAAAGCTTTACCGTCCTCAAAATAATTCAGATCTCTACAGAATCTGGAAACCGTACCAGTACCACTAAGCAGACCAGACACCCTTGTTGACTACAGAAGTGAAAGCAATGTTCTAAGAGGAAGTGAAAGTTGTTCATAGGTCATTCATCAAGTGTTATTTACAACTCATTGAATCCATCAAGGGTTTTTGTCTTCCACCACTGTATACAGATCTTGGATGGAACAAGCCTACTGAGGAGCAAAGGTGAAGCCTGCAGCATCCTTCAGTTTGCCCAGCCCCTTGCTCCCCTGTGAGAAGCCCTGATTAATTTCTCTTTCCTCTATCACTTCCTGTTCTTTCCGGCCTGGCACAAAGCTCAGGAAGCAATCCAAATAAGAAACCGCAAGAGGCCACGTGGCTGGGAAGCCGCAAGGGACACCACAGCATCAGTTGGCAGTCTTAGAAGGACTGTGAAGTAGCGTCAGCCTGGAGAGAGACCTAGTATGAAAAAAAAGGCTTTCAATCCCACCACATTCTGCTTTGACAATAAGCTGAATTATTTCCGCCTGTCAGCTACAGACCAAGATGAAATGGATCATCTGGGGGTGAATCCCTGCAACTGGTTTGAGATAAGGGAAGACCAAGGCACTTTGCTCCAATATGGAACAAGGCAAAAGCAAGAAGGATGCTGCCCCTTCCCCTGTCAAGTATTGTGGCCGCTTCCTTTTCTACTACATGGAATGAGGGATTATAGTAGCCAACACAGAACTTGCTTTAGCATCTTTTAAGTTTACTCCTGCCCAGAGCAGCTGACCAGGTAATAGCCCGTGGGAGGTGGAAACATGAGAACATTCAAATGTTGGGCACCCGGCCAAATATGTTGCCCAAGCTCTTAAAACACATGTCTTTCTCCTGTAGCCATCCAGGAGCAGGTGGGAGTGGGGAAGGGCACATTTCTGCTTCTGAAGTGGATCAGTTAAAGGATCCGCAGTCACTTACTCCTGCCTCTCTCCCTGTGAGACATGGGGCATGTCTAAATGCTTAATGGAGGGAAGGTTTGGATGTATTCAAGAAGCACATGGAAGCCATAGAATTCTAGAGTTCTAAAGGCTTGCAGGGGGCAGGAATGAGGGGAAAAAAGTTTAGGACAATTGTGATTTTCTCCATTTCTGCATGAAAATATTCAAAGCTATGGTGTATTGCTAACACCCAAATAATACAAGCCACTACAACTGTGTTCTACCTTCACTGTCTGATGCAGAATGCCATGTCCTGTTTGCAGGCTTTTCTCATGGGCACTTGGTTGAGATCAAGATGCTGGACTAGATGGGCCATTGGCCTGATTCAGCAGGCTTCACTTAAGTTTTTATAAGCTTTCTTGTGGATTACCACAGGGTCAACTTCTTTTTTTGTCAACTTTATTCCAACTGGCAAAGGGGCATACTTAGGTCCTTTAGAAGTAGAGCTGCAAGCTGGTGGACTCTAATTCTGAGTACAGTGGTACCTCGGGTTAAGTACTTAATTTGTCCCGGAGGTCCGTTCTTAACATGAAACTGTTCTTAACCTGAAACTGTTCTTAACCTGAAGACCACTTTAGCTAATGGGGCCTCCCGCTGCCGCCATGCCACCGGAGCACGATTTCTGTTCTCATCCTGAAGCAAAGTTCTTAACCCAAGGTACTATTTCTGGGTTAGCGGAGTCTGTAACCTGAAGCGTATGTAACCTGAAGTGTATGTAACCCGAGGTACCACTGTATTCAGTGTTAGACTGAAAGCTGAAGAGTATGCATTGGTTTCCAACGGGGAAGAGGCAGTGTTTTGGTGCCCAGCCCAGCTCCCTAACCTTCCCCATTATTCGCAGAGGGTAATTACACAAAATAAGCTATGCTAATCTAAACGATTTGCATAAATATATATAAACCAGCACATAATGCTCTGTTTCCTGGAGAAGAATGTGTATTTATTTATTTTCATTTATTAGTCACTTCCCATGAAACATTCCAGGGCGATTAATAATAAAAACCACCAGCAATAAATAACACACATAATAACATTTTCAGTACTGGGATAAAAATCTCCCCTTAAAAGGTTTCTTGAAAAAGAAAGGTCTTCAATAGGTAGGTGCTAAGAAGACAATAGAGACTATGCCTGTTCCAATTCAAAGTGGGAGGGAGTTCCAAAGGTGAGGTGCCACCACTCTAAAGGTCCTGTACAGAATGGATGTTGTGATAATATTGTATCTGCAGGAGACCCTCTTCTGTGGACACTCAGTGATGTGCTTATATAACGGGTGAGACAGTCTTTTAGGATCTTTATGTGCACCATACACTTTTCTTGTATGAACTACACTACATCCTGTTCAAGTTGGGTGGCAACTCTCACACAAAGACTAGCCTCTCATCGAAGAACCATCAGGGATATATTAATTATAATATCTAAAACTGAATGGAGGAGACCAATCCTATTACACAGCTTTGGATTTCTGTAATCTCATCTCAGTAAACTGAGCAACATGTGAAGCTGTAAGGCCAACGTAAACATAAATTTAAATGTAGCGCCTCTTTTTACATTATGTGCGCTGATTGCTGAATAATTTCCGGGTCCAATTCAAAGTGCTGGTTTCTGCCTTGAAAGTGGCCAAACGCTTTGAGAGCAAGATGCCACTAGAGACTGTCTTCTCCTGCACAATCCTTCCCACTCACTGAGGACATCTGGAAAAAAATGTCTCTTGTGTTTGACATCCCTATCCAAGGCACAGCTGGCAGGTCCAGCCTTGGAACTCCCTGCCCCAGGAAACTGGTTTGACCCTCCGTGGTTTCCTTTTTCCTTTTGTTAGGTGTTTACCCAATCTGCCTAATTTTGTGACAGTATTTCTCTGTTATTGATGTGCTGCTGTTGTTTTATGGCACTTACGAATAAAGAACAGACAACAAATATTATACATATCTGTAAAGTGTGTTTTGACTGTTCAGTGTGTTTCACATAAATTTGCTGTTATGCTTAAACCAATCCTGTAAGGTAGGCCAACAGTATTATCCCCATACTGTAGAGATTGGGGAGGGGATCCTCAGATGGAAAACGCATCTTACCAAAGGCTACCCAGCGAGTGCAACTCAGACATGGGACTTCCCAGTCCACACTCATAACCACTACAACTACGTTAATTTTTATTGAAGACAGTAATGGCCTGCTTATATGAAGAATGAGCTAGGAAAGTAAACTGATTTAGTTATTTCTACAAACCCTACTAGATACTGGAAAACTGAACGTGGGAGAGTCACACAGGCATTAATGCATCCTATTTAGCATTTAAGTTTAAAAAGTTGGCCTGTATCAGCTATTTCTAGCATTGGCATCTGTCTGCAAGAGGTTCCAATGACAGGATGCCATCTTATACCTATTGAAAGTCGGTGACATTTCAGGCCATTGAAATCCTGCACCCTGTAAAATGTGCTTAAGCCCATTGACTTTAAAGGAACTCAGAATGCATAACTCCACGCAGGATTCTGCATCCTAGATGTCTCGGACATTTGAAAGTCTTCCAAAGCGCAAGCGCGTGCACACACCCACCCACGCACCCCTTTAGAGATCTAGCATCCTCCTCCAAGGATGCAGGTTTTCCTAGTATCACTCTTCAATTTAATTGCAAGCCTATTCTACAGAAGCAGGCTATTGTGATGAGAGGCATGCATTGGGTCCCTTCATACAGAACCATATAATCTGGTCCAGAGGGGGCCTCCATATAGGTAATATTCACAACAACAAACTAACTGGAGTAAGGCAGAAACAAGAGGGATCATGCTCTTAATAATATTGCTAGAGTTTTCCCCATTCAGAGAGTAGATATAGATATGCTTGTTAGGATCAAGCCACATATTGCCTTAAGTTTCACATAATTTTTCACTTGCTTTTTCTGTTCAAGCAGGAAAAGCAGCAGTTGCAGTCAGGAGGAGAACAGGTGGGGCAAGGAGATACAGTGGTACCTTGGGTTACATACGCTCCAGGTTACATACACTTCAGGTTACAGACTCCGCTAACCCAGACATAGTACCTCGGGTTAAGAACTTTGCTTCAGGATGAGAACAGAAATCATGCTCCGGCGGCGCGGCGGCAGCTGGAGGCCCCATTAGCTAAAGTGGTGCTTCAGGTTAAGAACAGTTTCAGGTTAAGAATGGACCTCTGAAACGAATTAAGTACTTAACCCGAGGTACCACTGTATTTAACTCTTTCCCTGCTGGCCACTTTACCTCTCAAATTTGCACCATCGAGGTCCCTGTATCTTTTCCTATGTGCAGAAAAGCAGCTTATGGAGACAATGCTTGGTTTATAGCTCCACAGAACTCTGTCTAACATGTAATATGGCCTCTTGGGTATTACACAAGTTTTAATCTCCTTACAGTCAATTGGTAAACTTCAGTGGATTTTGTTAGGCAGGGCAACCACCATTTACAAACAACACAAACTATTTAGCTTGAAGTGGTAAACCTAGTCTCCCCTTGACACTCACCATTTTATGTAACCCTAAAGTGGCACAAAACCACAAGCCTTCCCAGCCTTTTGTTGCTGCTGTTGCTGCTACAAACCATTCACCCTCACCAAACACACACTTAAAAACCCTAAACTGGCAGCTGCAGCCCATACATAGTTATTTGGAAGTCTGTCCAATTGATAGCAATGAGACTTCCATTTATTTATGAAACAAAATGTATATAATTTTAATAAAACCTCAAAGCAGTTTATAAAAACAAAACAACATTACTAATATAAGATAGATAAAAACAGGTATTAAAAAACCTTCAAAAGCTAATTAAAATAAACAAGAAACTGAAAACAGAACAGCACATTAGTAACTCTTCTAGAATAAGCTTTCCTAAACAAAAATGTTTTAAGCAGCTGCTGTGCTGGAAAGGATACAGCAAAGGCTCCTGCCTGATGTTAATAGACAGGGGGTTCCAAAGTGCAGGTGCCGCCACATTGAAAGACAGATTTCCTACAATTGAGGAACAAGTATTACATGGTGGCTGTAACAAGCCAGTTCTGCAGATTGAAGCAATGGAGTGCGCCCATATGGGGTAAGGTGATCTTGCAGGTAAACTGGTCTCAAGCCGTTAAGGGCTTCATATACTAGTAACAATTTGGCCCGCAAGCAAATTGTCATCCGGTACAGATCTCTGAGCAGGGGTGTAATATGTTGGCAGGGTCTCACTCCTTTCAGTAGCAGTCCTGCACTAGCTGCGGCTTCCAAATCCAGAGCAAGTGAAGCCCCGCATGGAGTGCACTGCGGTAATCCATCTTAGAAGTCACCAGGGCTACTGATGACAAGCATTGTGGTTAACTTAAGCCCCATTCAGCCAAGTGTGGTTTTAGTTATGAGTAAACACGCAAGAGGATCAGGATATAAGTCAAGTTTGTTCTGCATGTATATGCAAAGCAAAGCTCTAGACGTGCCATGGCTTAGACTATTCTTGCAGGGAGCACGGGCAGATCCATGGATGTTCCGGTTTCTAAGCAGGGTTTGCTACAGAGTTGATGTTATTGTTTATGTACAGGTGGGGACCGACTGACATGGGACCGCCGATGCGCGGGTCGTTTTGGACCCGGAAGAGGGCAGAACAGGGACATAATGGGGTGGGGGTGGGCTCATGCATGCTCCGTTGACATGGGGGGGGGCATGAAAGCAACCCCCATGCAAATTGAAGGTTGCCTGTATTGATATCTGGCCTTTTAGGGTGAATTCCTCACAGAGAGGCTTAAAGAAATTAATAAATGTTAGATATCAAACAAAAAAAGTTGTTAACAAAACCAGCAATTTACAGTGGTGCCTCGCAAGACGAAATTAATTCGTTCCACGAGTTTTGTTGTCTTGCGATTTTTTTCGTCTTGCGAAGCACGGTGTCGGGAAAGTTTTGGAAAAGCTTCAAAAATCACCAAAGTCTTTAAAAACCTCAAAAAGGCTACCACACCGCGTTCTATGAGTTGCTCCTCGAAGTCAAGTCGCAACTGTATTAACGGTGTTAAGAAAAAGGAAACAAACTTGCAAGACGTTTCCGTCTTGCGAAGCAAGCCCATAGGGAAAATCGTCTTGTGAAGCAGCTCAAAAAACGAAAAACCCTTTCGTCTAGCGAGTTTTTCGTCTTGCGAGGCATTTGTCTTGCGGGGCACCACTGTAATGAAAAACACAAGAACTAAAAACATGAAACAATGTTTAAAAGCCACCAAAGTGTGGGATTATACTCCTGTGGGAGTAAAATCCAATTATATGGGGCCAAAATTGCAATATACCCACCCGTTGGTTTTTTTCACCCATCCATTAAAAAAAAATAAAAAAATAAACTTCAGTACATTTAAAAGAAGTTATAATGCCTGCCAGGGAGCCAATCTCCCCCTTTTAAAAAGGGGTGGCAACGCTTCTCCTAAGAGTGATGATCCTTAACTGAAAATCCTCTGTGGACAGCTGGTGCATACTGCCAAAGTTACGCTGGAGGTGGGTGGGAATTAATCACGAAATTAATTCAGAATGAATACCAGCTCTCTGTTTCTGGCACAGCAATCACATCCATGGATTAAAACTGCTACTCCAACTTTCTAAAGTTTGCCTTTCACACTTCATTCCTTATTTTGTTACAGGAAGATGCTAAAAACTGCTGCATACCTTTGTTAACACTGAATAATTTCACCTAAATTGTCCTCTCAACCACCAATCTACATGAGAGTTCACCACAATCCTTTGGAAGAGGGAGAAAGTTCAGCTTTTACCCATTTATTAACTACCCTCATCTAAAAGAAAGGGTGTTTACAACATGTTAAAGTCTTTTAAAGCTAATCTTAGACTCTTGTCCCATAATGCACCACATCGGCACCCTCACAATGGTCAACAAATTCAGAGTAGAGCCTATGAAGACCCTTAAATCAGTTTAGGACTCAGGGTCAAGGAGATCAAATGATGTGCAACCCTAAGAAAGAGGCCAGCCCTGTTGGATTCAATGGGGGAAGTGCTTCCAGGTAAGTAGGGTTAAGATTGCAGCCTTAATTAGGCTAATTTCCCCTTAGTACAGAGCAACACTTTGTACAGGCAGGTTTTTGCAGGCTCCCATCCAAGCTTCCTGACCAGGCCTGAGGGTACCAAAATCAGACAGAACACTGAGCCAATGGATCTTCATAAACCCATTCTGGATGAAGTATAAAGAAACTGGGCACAGACTAGCAAATTCCTATAGCATAGGAAAGCTAATGGCAAACTCCACTTGAAAAGACACCTTTCTCCATCCACAGAGTCTCAGCAAAACGAGGTTGTTTATCTATCTATGCAGATTGCATGAAATTTCCCATGTCACACATTCTGCTAACGCTTTCACAGAACCTCAGCTATGTCATAATTAATCCCGATATGAAGGTGCATATCATGTAATGCACATTTCATATGCAAGAAATCATCCTTGTGTGTCCTGGGCAAATGCATAAGTTCTATCCAGCACCTTTCATATAAAACACTTCGCTGCACAACTAAATAGTAATGCACATGAAGCTTGATGTGTCTCCTGGACACGGGAAGGAAATTCATAAAAAAGTCACATACTCTTTCGCAATACAAACTCAGTTCAGACACTGAACAGACTGACTTAAATAGCTATCTGTATATTTCTGCAATGTTAAGTTTATGCTTCTAAAAGGGGGCAGCAATTGGAACATTCTTTAGACATTCATAGCATATCCTTTTCAGATGGTCCTGAGATTACCAATATAATAGCCTGTCCAAAATCTGTAAGAAGCCACTGGGTGAGGCTGTGAGGAAACATGGAGTTAGATGCCATCAAGTAGATGCCAGTTGCCCCAATCTCTTCAGTGATACCTAGAATCTGGCAATATTGGGGGGGTCAGGTATGGGTGAAGTAACTGAGGCTGAATAATTGAGAACTCTTAATGGTCTAAGGAGGTTGGAATGGACTTCATTGATGGGTACAGACTCTCTTTACTAACCCCTACTGTAACTTTAGGTAGTTTATGAACAAGTTAACAAGCATCAGTCCTAAAACAGTTCCTTGGGGAACTTATAACCTTCCATGGTAAAAAGTGTCCATTTATTCCTACTTTTTTTCTTGTTGTTTAACAGCAACTGATCCAGAGAACCTGGTCTCTTATCCCATGACAGCAACATTTACTCTGAGCACCACTTAGAATTAAGACCAAGATTGTCTCTCCTCTGATCCGTTCCTTTATCAGCAATTCTGGAGTACAATCAATTAGGGTAATTTTACTTTTTTGCTGTGACTTGAACACACATTTACTCATTAAGTCACCCATTATGACAACACTTTCTCTTTTGGATCCTTCCCTGATTTGAGATCACCCCAAGCCTTTTGGTCTTTGCATGTGTGATAACACAGCGCTAAATTACTTTTGGGTCTGATTCTGCCACCCACAGTGGTTCTGTGAAGGAGTTTGCCCCTCTTGAGATTTCTAGTTTATTTGATTCTTATGCCTTTCCTGCTACTGGGAGGTGGGGAGAAGTGGTTAGATGAGCTGGCACGCAAAATACCGCCCATCCTCCACTAACTGGAAGTCATTCTCTGCCTGTGAACTCTGAGCATCTTCTCTGGAAGTTAGTGACTATTATGAACAGCTGGATCTAATTTAGGAGGAGATGGGAGGAGACAGTCATCAAGCAACAATAACATATCTCAAAGCTCTTCACAAACTTATAGAATTCACAGCACTTCCCAAATAAGAGTGCTGCTGCGGATTTACGAAACAAACTGAAGTACAGAGAACTAACAAACAGTATCTGGATTATATCATACAGATTAAGGCTGCAGTCTCATTTCCATGTATGTGAGAAAGCCTCACTGGACTCAGTGTGCCTTAGTACTGAAGCAGAGAAACACAAGGTAAGAAACGGCCTTGAAAAATAAAATTGGTTTATTTCAGCTTCTTTTAACCCCCTCCTACTTCCAAGTAAGATCAACTAGAACAAAACACCCAGTTCAAAACAGGATGCCCACACAAGATAAAAATGTGCTAGTCAACATTCAGAGGATCTATTCGTGCTAATTGTGTCGTGTTAGTATAAGAGCAGTTCTGCCAGGTCAGACCAAAGGCATCCTTTTCTCACAATGGTCAACCAGATGTCTACAGGAAGCCCACAAGAAGGACCCAAATGCGACAGCACATGCCCCACTCGTGATTTCCAGAGGAGGCAGAACACAGCCTTCATGGCTAGAAACCATTTTGTATAGCCTTATTCTCCATGAATTTGTCTAATTCTCTTTTAAAGCCACCCATGTTTGTGCCACCTAGGGCTGCCATAAGTCTGGGTTTTCAAAAAAAAAAAAAAAGGCCGGGATTTGGGCCAAAAAAGGCATCCAGACAGATTTTTGCTGAATCAGCAAAATGTCCGTGAAAACCCATACGTATGGCAAGTAGAGCTCTTTTTAAAAAAAAAAATAATGCCTGCCGAAAAGCTCAATAACTTTGACAAAAAAAACACAAAACAGAACTCTAGTGCCACCACTATATCTTTTGGGAGAGAATTTCAAGCTTTAACTACCATACTTTGTGGTACCGCCACGTGTCTGTCCTGAATCTTCCAACATTCAGTTTTATTGTCCGGCCCCTGGGTCCTAGGATTATGTGAGAGGGAGAACTTATCCCTATGCGCTTTATCCATGCACAATCTTGTACACCACTCTCATGTCCCACCCCCTCTTACTTTCCTTTTTTCCGAATACCCAAATATCACAATGTTGTAACTTTTCTTTTTGCAGTTTTAAATTTTGATTAATTTTTCACATTTTATATTTCAAATTGAGCATCTTCTATGATACCATACATTCATTCACTTCCCTCCCGCCCCTTCCAGTGTTCATTTAACTTATCTACCATTCCTGCATATTTTGATATATCCATCTAATTCTATTTTCCTATCTTACACCACTTCAATACAGTGGTACCTCGGGATGCGAACAGGATCCGTTCCAGAGCCCCGTTCGTATCCCGAACGGAACGCAAGACATGACGGCGCGTCTGCGCGTGCCGCGTTTCGCCGCTACCGCACATGCGTGACGTCATTTTGAGCATCTGCGCATGCGTGAGCAGCGAAACCCGGAAGTAACGCGCTCTGTTACTTCCAGGTTGCCGCGGAGTGCAACTCGAACGCGCTCAACCCGAAGCTCATTCAACTTGTGGTATGACTGTATATATCATGCTGTTTGCCAGCGTTTTCAACTGTATACAACTGTTTTCAAAAATTTGTGGAAATTTTTTCCCACTCCTCTACAATGTCGTAACTTTTCAAGTGGCTCTAGCCCCTTGTTTGCTTTTGGTTGTCCTATTCTGAAAGGTGAAGAGAACTGTACACAGTATTCCAAGCGTGGTCCATTTGTAATCCCAACTGGGAATTCACATTTCTCACAGTTGCCACACATTGGTGCACATTGTCACCGACCTATTCCCTATGACCTCCAAACTCTTGCTCCTGTTCAGATCCATTAGTGCTTCTGTGTAACAAAACAAAATACAACAGAGCAGGAGTAGGGAATCAGTGGCCTTCCTGATGTAGCTAAACTACAACTTCCATCATCCCTGACCATTGGCCAATCTGGCTGGAGCTGAAGGAGAGCTAAGAGTCTGACATTTGGAGATTCCCCACCCCTAGAATACAGCACAGGCCCCAGGCCCTTGCCTTAATGCCCAAACTCGGTCCTCTAGATGTTTTGGGACTACAACTCCCATCATCCCTAGCTAACAGGACCAGTGGTCAGGGATGATGGGAATTGTAGTCCCAAAAATATCTGGAGGGCTTAGTTTGGGGGTGCCTGGGCTAGAGCATGGTACTGATAACGCCAAAATTTGATCTCCATATAAGCCACCTGAATGTTACTGCATTGGAGGGGGTTGGACTAGATCAGGAGTCAGCAAACTTTTTCAGCAGAGGGCAGGTCCACTGTCCCTCAGACCTTGTGGGGGGGGGGGCGGACTACATTAAAAAAAAAAAAAAGAATGAATTCCTATGCCCCATAAATAACCCAGAGATGCATTTTAAATAAAATTCTACTCATTCTACTCATGTAAAAACACGCTGATTCCTGGACCGTCCGCAGGCCGGACTGAGAAGGCAATTGGGCCGGATCCAGCCCCCAGGCCTTAGTTTGCCTACCCATGCACTAGATGACTCTTAGGGCCCCTTCCCACTCTACAATTATATGTGATCTCATCTCCAAGAACTACCAAAGAATAGCAACATTAACTCTCCGCTAAGGGGGAAAGAAGAGGAAGAGAAATGGGTGCACTTTTTCCTTAAGAGTTAAGAATTGATTGACTGGGTTTCTGTGTTTGAGCTTGCTCTTTAAAACGTTCAAACAATTCATGACACTCACGAAGCTGCTCCATGGGCATACCTAGCAGGGGGCAGCTACCCCCCCCCAAAAAAATCAAGTAAATAAATAAAAATACAGTGAAACCTCGGTTGTTGAATGTAATCTGTTCCGGAAGCCCATTTGGCTTCCGAAATGTTCGACAACCAAGGCGTGGCTTCCGATTGGTTGCAGGAGCTTCCTGCACTCAAGCAGAAGCCGCGTCGGACGTTTGGCTTCCGATAAATGTTCGAAAACCAGAGCACTTACTTCTAGGTTTTTGACATTCAGGAGCCAAAACGTTCCAAAATTGAGATGTTTGGGATCCGAGGTTTGACTGTACAACTAACTGACCAATTTCGTTGCACATAACTCGGTTCTGCCCCTCCCCCCAAAGCCTGCCCCCAAAGCTCTGCACCAAGACTGAACTATTTTGGCCCTGAAACTGTATGTATTCAATCAGAGTTTTTACTGACAAGTGCCCCTATTCAGCAAAATAAACTGATTATATGCAAAACTTTTCTATACCAGAACAAAAACAAAAACCACCCACTGCTTACATTTCAAAACTACTTTGCAGCCAAATAAAGAAATATGAGACGCAACAAAATATAGACATTAAAAAAAGAATGGTTTTAAGCAGTGCTATTTTTCTAGAAAAAGAGGTGCCGGAACTCACAATGAACGCTTCCCTTGTTCTCTTATAATGGCAATGGCACCCCACCTGCAAGGTGCTGGAACTGAGTTCCGGTGAGTTCCTGCTGAAAAAAAGCCCTGGTTTTAAGCACAGAAAGACTCAGGTGATGAGTGGGTCAGACCATTGGAAACCTAAAATACACTATCAAAGATCACTGAAGCCAGTTGGCCATGCATACGTGTTATTCTACATCCATACAGCCAATGGTATACTTATCAAATAACTATTGTAAGGGAACAAAAATTATTTCCTGCAGGTTATTGACTACTTAGAGGACATTTTCATGGTTTGTAACTGAGAAAAGTATGGTATATGTGTTTGACTCCTGAAAACATGCTCAAACACACATACCCCAGACTGAAAATTCTAGGTTGGACAGAGATCCTCAATATCTACAATGTGATCAATAAAAATGTTAACCCTGTGCCAAGCTATTGAGAAGCAGCTGCACTAAAGCAGTTTAGGGAATGTATCTGAAGAACAACCAGTTTATGAAAAAGCAGCTTATTAGAGCTAAGCGACCGGGGGGGGGGGGGGGCGAATGGCAAAATTACAAATAAACTGCCCAAGGGCTCAGTAGAACTCAGACAAGGAATATATAAAACTGAATTGTGACTTTTCATTAACCCACTACCACAACACTTGGACTCGCTACCAAAGACAGACCTGGATGTTAGCCAGAAATAATTTCCATCTGTTAAATGAGGATTCCTTCATATATCACAATATTCCTACAAATGTAACTGTAAGGCAACCAGAGTTTATCATGGCATGTGAAGCGTGACACAAAAATATATGCGTGCCATTAAAATAAAATCCCAGAATAATATATCACTGTGTTAAAAAACACATTAGGTAAAGATGCTCTAAACTTCAGGGGTAATTCTAGAATGTATGCACAGTAATCAAACCAGGACTCCTTACTAAAAACTTAAAATTGTTCGTGTTACAGTAGTCCATAAATTGGCTCCTCTGGTATGGAAGCTTCTATTGGGCACATAAGCATATTTACAGCACAGAGACAAATTCTTAGCTTGGCCTCTTCCAATCAGCTGCAAACTACATAGACATGGGAACCAGCTGAAGCAGCAAATTGTCAAACCTGCTTATATATTGAACTGATTTTACGAACCATTACTCTCTGCACTGGATGATTGAAATACTGAAAAATTAAATAAGTAGGCAGATATTAACCCATGAGCCTATCTTGATGGAGAACTGATTAAGGCACCAAACAATACCACAACTATTGGGGGAAGGATGCCCAGGTGTTATTGGACTACAACTCCCTCCATTTCCATGCTGGGAGTTGGAGTCCAACAATATGTGAAAGGGCACAAGTTCCCCACTAAAAGGTGTGGTCAGAAAGCCAGCTTTCCCTGCTTACTTTTGACACCATGGCTACTTCTCACTAGAGTAGTAAAAACAACAGGGGCTCACTTGAGACCACAGTGAAATTCAGAATTGCATTTTTGCAGTGATTTGGCAGCATTGCACTCACACCACCTCCAAAAACCAGAAGCTAAAGCTTCTTTCAAACTCAGATCTTCACATTCAAATTCAATTCTTGTTGAAGACCTTAACAATGTGTCCAGCATCAAGAAGGAACACAGAAACTATCTAGCGTTGATACCCCTGTATTGTAGAGGATGAGGCCTGAGTCATGGGAGGAGTGTGTTTCCCCAAGACTGTGCGAGGTGGCTTACAGCAACCTTGCAATGAAGTGCAGCCCCGTCACCCATGTATTTGAGGCCAATTGATGAATGGCACTTCCGTGCTGTAGTTCCAAGTATCAATATTGCGGACCGGTTGGAGGAGAGAACAAACGTAGTGGCTTATGACAATCCTGCAATGTAGACCACTGGTAATATCCCCAAGCTGAAGATTGCTGGGAGACAACTATCCTGCACTATGATTTTAGACAAGGGATGGGATTGATAGCTGCTAATTTCACAAAGAAAGATCAAATGGATGACGATCATCCAGATTTCCAAAATAATTATTGCACAGTACATGCAAGTTACCACGATGCATACAAACAGCAGAACACCTGCATAAGATACACAATAAACTTCATTTGATATCTAAATGTGTCTAAATTGGCACACACTCATGTTCAAACAGCACAGCAGACACTGTCCTGTACAAAATATACCTCGGAGACAGTAACAGAAAATTTAATTACCGTACATTGCCACCTCTACCACCTCCTCAGCCTTCTCCCAACTTAAAAGTCAGCACTCAGGTGAATGCACACACTGCTTCTTTCACTTGCATGCAGACACATTGTGCTTTTCCATTATTGCAGTGTAAAATGGAGATTCCAAATCAAATCTTGATGCCAGAGGAGATACGTTGCTCTAGTGTCACTTTCTATAGCTTGTGGCAGGAGTGTGGAACCGATGTCAAACAAAGAGTCACGTTCCCTCGGGGCCAGCCTTCCAAGAGCTGCATGCCAAAGGTGGACGGGTCCAAAATAAAAGTGGCTATGGGAAATGTGGACAGGATCAGAGCTGGTAATGGGCAGGGTCACACACATCCCACTCACCACTTCACATACCGAGCACCCACCATTTACATTCATACCTTGGAAAAACGGCTTAGTAGCCAAAACAAATCAGATCCCAAACACCGCAAACCCGGAAGTAGGTGTTCCGATTTGCTAACGTTTTTCGGAAGCCGAACTTCCGACGTGGCTTCCGATTGATTGCAGGAAGCTCCTGCAGCCAATCGGAAGCCACGCCTTGGTTTTTGAACGGTTCCGGGAGTATGGACTCCTGGAACATATTATGTTCAAGAACCAAGGTACCACTGCATGCTCATATGCACACACGAATATACTCTACACACACATTCATTCTCACACGCACATTTTAGGGGCTGGCCATTTCGTGTCGTGTTATATCAGAAGCATATTTCCTATGCTTCCGTTATAACATGCATAAAGAACACTGTAAATTGATGGGTGACTGGAAATCTTTGAAGATATTAAGAGATGCTACATGGCAGAGCAATCCAAACTGAGCCAGACAGCAGCAGGGCAGGGCAGAACAGAGCCTCCACTGTCGAATCCACGGCCCCAATGCTCATGGCAGCTGTGGCAGAAGGTGGGGAGGGGGCAGGCAAGGCCTGCTTTATAGGCTATAAAGTGTAGGTGTATAAAGTGTAGCAATCACACCCAGGTAAATCCCAATACTGTCAAGTGACAACAGTGGATCCTGAGGATCCTGGTCTGAGTCAACCCCTCCGTACCCCTAGAATGCCCCAATTTAGGATTTTCTGTGGGCTACTGCCAATGGGGAGCTCATAGGTAGAATGGGAAGCTGGCTCATAGGCACCTCGCACCTCAGGCAGAGGCCAGTGGAGCTGTTTTGGGCTGGGCAGAAGGAGACTGTTTTTGAGTTTGTTTAGCGATGGGATGGAAGAGGCTAAACTAGGGTGGGCTCCTCCTCTATTTCCACTGCAGATTGTCCAGTCCTAAATATGAGAATTCTAATGAGAACCAAGCCTGTTTTAACACCTCTATCCCTGTTTCTCCTAGGTAGTTTCCTCTGCAGTGAGGCAGCAAGCCTCAGAAGTCCTTGGGGATGTCACTGCAGCTGTTCTACGCCAGAAAGTCCACAAGTCCTATGCCAGAAACAAAAGAGCAAGTACAGTGGTACCTCAGGTTACATACGCTTCAGGTTACAAACGCTTCAGATTACAGACTCCGCTAACCCAGAAATAGTGCTTCAGGTTAAGAACTTTGCTTCAGGATAAGAACAGAAATCGGGCTTTGGCAGTGCGGTGGCAGCAGGAGGCCCCATTAGCTAAAGTGGTGCTTCAGGTTAAGAACACTTTCAGGTTAAGAACGAATTAAGTACTTAACCCGAGGTACCACTGTAACTCCTTTAGAAGGTAATGTGTCAAGTGATGAGGATAAAAAAACAAACCAACCAGAAGGTGCATTTCCAAAGCATATGCAGCCCAGTCGCTCTGCATCAAGCAGACACACACACACACCATTTATATTATATCCTCATTTCTTATGAGGGTCAGTTCATCCAAACTGATGGCACAAGCTTGAGGTGCCTCACCCCCCCTCCCCACCCAAGCACATACACCACAACTGTAAGACACCCAGAAATACTTTTGTAAAATCTATCAAATGGATAGAAATTATGAATTTACTATTCTACAGTTAATAAAACATTAATGCAAAGAGCAGTTACACTGCGACATCATGCCTCACCCAATAGTTGTAAGAATGTGAATAAAACGTATTACAAGCTTTGAAGAAAAGTAATCCTGGGAGTAACAAAAGTTTTCATAAGCCTGAAGGTGGAATGCAAGTAAAGTTCACCACATGGAAAAGGTAGGCATTAATATTTCCCATGTACCAGTATCATATTCCCTCTATTCAATAAAAGATTTGGGGGAAGGAGGCTGAAAAATGAAGTGATGACACATGTTGACAATACCCATTTTTTTTATTTTTTAAAAAAAACATTAATGCTTTGCAGCCGCCTTATGGCTTTATTGAAATACCTCTCAACACTAGCGGTCAGAATTAGGAAGCAAACCAGGAAGCTGCCTTACATCAAATCAGACCCACTGATCCATCTAGCTCAGTGTTGTGCATAGTGACGCAGCAGATCATCAGGGTTTTGGGCAGAAGTCTTCCCCAGACATTCCTGTAGATGCCGGAGAATGAACCTCAGACTTGAGCTATGGAGCCTTTATCCAAATTAAATAGAGGCTGGAGGCTTGCCGAGGAGGGATTAAGCCATTAAGGGCTCTGTCCCGCCTGCAACAGGAGCCCACTTCTATGTGGGTGCTCCATGAGTAGTCCCCTTAGGTTTCTGTGCTGGTCACAGAGGGATGGCGTGCTCCATCCATCTTCCATCCATCCATGCTCACGTGCATGTCTGCAGCTCTTTGTCACCTATGGCTACCAGGCGGATGCTTAAATACACCACTGGAAACGTGTGAGGGTTGGTACCAAAACTTGTTTTTTCTTGGAGGGGGTGAATTTATGGAAATAACAACTGGGTCCCTTGAGTTTGGGGAAATATTTTCAACCTCAGAAAGTTCAATCAGATTGACAACAAGGAATGGATTGCAGTATCATCATTTTTAAAATTACATGGCTAGTCTCTTAGTGTTGGATGATACAGACAAACGTGATAGTTGTGCTACATGACATTCACCTAATTTAAAGCATTGCAATGATGAATATCAAAGTGATTTACAATTTAAAAAATGCATAACACCATATGGTAAAATCCATATAAGCAAGTTTAAAACAAAATATTCCTTCCACCACTCTACCACGGGTGGCAAAATGGTTAACATCAATGGTTGCATTCAGACACAAAAAGAAGCATTGCCTCAAGTTCTCACACTCCCTCTTCTTTTCTCTTTCACATTAACAGCAGTTTAATGTCTTGTCTGAACCCTAAACTGCTGTGAGGGTTAACTATGAGTAGTAAGAAGAAGCCAGCTACATAAGTTATGGTTTGAAGTGGGCTTGTTTCAACTCACTATAGTTAAGAGAACCACCGTTTTTGCAGGTTTAGACAATGCAGGAAGCTGCAGTTAATCTAAAACAGAAATGAAAGCTTCCGAACTCCTCTTTGGGGCCACACTGGAGGGAGGTGCATGAGCCTTGGGGAAGGCTCGTTCTCACAACACTAAATTATGGTTTGTGTTATATCAAAACTAGTCCATTGTCTAGGACCGACTTGCCCAACTTGGTGCCCTCCAAACACCCTTGGTTGTTTGGGGCTGCAACTTCCCTTACCAAGGTTAATGGTAAGGGTTGATGGGAGTTGTATGCCAAAACATCTGGAAGATACCAGGATGGGGAAGACTGATCTATGCACAGGCAAGCACAAACACTGCCTAGTATGTTCCCGCCCGCCATTAATATCTTACAAGCAACAAGAGGAATCTTTATTTAACCTGCTTAACTTTGCATAAGAACACAATAGCCCTGTTTTTAGATTACGTACACATGTTGCAACATGTGTCATATGGGGCATACCTCCTGAAAACATCTGCTATATCTATATCTAAAGCTGCTGCCCAAGTAATTTAAGACACCTTCTGAATCAATTAAATTATGTTAACTGATTAACCCATAAATCAACTAAGTGTTTCAGCCTTTGTTGTTATTGGAGTTTTTCTATTGTTGTTGTTGTTGTTGTTATATAACATTTGTAAGTGTTTTAATCATGTTCTAGCATGTTTCGGCAGAGACCTAAAGTTATAATGACCTGTGTCACATACAAGCAGTGTTTGTGGCCCAATGTGGCAGTAAGCAGATATGTATTCTGGAGATCTGGATTAAAAACAGGACCCAGTAGAGCATCCTGTTCATGTCACCCAAAGGAGGAAAATCTAAATAACTTAGCACTGACATCACCTAGCAAAACTTCACCAATGACTTGTATGGGGGTGGATTTAGATTACTGCCAGGTGTTCATGAAAATCCTAGTCTTAATTCAGTGCTTTAAAAAAAAGAAAAGAAAGAGGAGTCAAAAATTCACTTCCAATATTTTGCCTTAATTATTTTCACTGGAGAGTGCCGGGGTTCCACAGAGTTCAACTTGTCCTCCCATAATGTTTAACATCTACGCAAAACTACTGGGAGTGGTCATCAGGAGATCTTGTCTGAAGCATCACCCATACACCGCTGATACCCAGCTTTATCTCTAGTTCTCATCAGACAGGTGGGGCTGTGGTTGTCCAGAACTAGTGTTTAAGCATGGTAATGGACTGGATGAAGGTCAACTTGATCCAGACAAGATGGAGGTATTGTTGGCTGGTGGTTCATCCACCCAGGTGAATGGTGTTCAGCTTGCTCTAGATAGAGTCGCACTCTTCCCAAAGGATCAGGCTCATAGTCTGTAGGTACTTATTAATCCAACATTGCCATTAGAGGCTCCAGTGATCTCGGCAGTTTCAGTTTATATCCAACTGTGACCGTACCTGGAGGGAGATCACTTGGCCAAAATTACCCATACTCTTGTAACCCTGTTCATAAGTTATTGCAACACAGTGCTGTCTTTAAAAATGCAGTTGGTCCAGAACATGGCCGCAAGATCATTAACAGGGACTGGACTGCCTTGACTGTATTACACCTGTGCCTTGTCAGCTAAACTGGCCCCCTGTCAGCTTCTGAGTCCAATTTAAAGTGCTGGCTTTTACCTTCAAAGCCCCCAACACCTTGGGACCAGGCTAACTGTAAGACCATCACCTCCCATACGCATCCACCAAAACTTCAAAAGCTCTACTCCAGGTGCCAATGGCAAATGAAGTGAGACCTGCAATCACCAGAAAGAGTGGCTGAGGCAACCCAGCCAGACAGGTGAGGTATAAATAATATAAGTTTTATCTATCTCTGATTACAGAATCTTCACAGGGAAGCTTTTTTAGCACCAGATTTGTAGTCTTTTCACCACCAGTTGTAGGCCTTTATGTTCACCTGGACCTTTTAAGTAATTTTGGTAATCTGGATCTAACTTTTTAACCCATTTCTAATTGGAGGATGGGGGTGATGAGTTCTGTTCTGTTGTATTGATGTAGTTTCTGCCCTTTAATGGTTTCGTGTTTTCCTTTATATTAAAGTGGTTTTTTACTTAATCATTTGATGTTGTGCAGAACTTTAGTCTTAGTGGATACAAATGTCATAAGGCAGAGGACCTTCTCAGCAGTAGCGCCCTCCCTGTGTAATGCCCTCCTTTCAGATGTCAAGGAGATAAAGAACTACACAAATTTTAGAAGACATCTGGTGGCAGCAATGTATCGGGAAGTTTTTAACATTTGATGTTTTATTATGTTTTTATATGTGCTGTAAGCCACCCAGAGTGGCTGGGGAAACCCAGCCAAATGGGCTGGGTAGAAATAATAAAGTAGAAGTAGTAGTAGTAGTAGTAACAAACAAACAATGAACAAACAAACAAACCTATAAATTTTGGTTGAAGATGCTGGGATCTCCAGATAGCAACAACAGTAATTTATTTTCCTTCACACTACATCCCTCCACAGCATTTACTCATAACATTTATTCTGTTGCCCAGTGTTACACCATTAGGAGGCAATATCATCAGGCTTACCCATCGCATTTGACAGGACTTACTTCTGAGTAAATGCACAAAGCTCAAACTGCTAGACATTTCACCATGTATATCTAATTTCTCTCATCCTACAGTGCCCCTCATTTGATAGCACAAGGCTGTATAAGATTGTGCATCATACTGCAGACATAGGGAACCTGTGGTGCACATGCCAAATTAAGCCTGGCAGGGGTTATTTTGCTCTTTGTTTATTGTTGCGGTTCTCAGCTGCCTTGGGAACGTTTTCTTTTTTTAACTTAAGGGCAACAATGGCTTGCCATAGGTAACAAGGTGAGTGTTAAATTATAAGGCTGACCATCTTGAATGCATGCAGGAACTGTTTGCGGGTTTCCCATAGGCACCTGGTTGGCCACAGTGGGAACAAAATGCTGGACTATAAAGGCCTTTGGGCTGATGCAGAAGGGTTCTTTTAACGCCCCTCCAAAATCCTGACAGTTACACCATGGTCCATTACTGCAGAAGGTAGAGGACATGTGTGAGTGCTTTCAATCATTTTGACAGGGAAAAGAGTCAAATGTCTTTGTCCCCACTCAACAGAGTTAGAAAACTAGAGTGCTCCCAGCACCACAGGCCACAGCTCATTGACAGAGTATCTGTGTTGTATGTAAAGGTAAAGGTAAAGAGACCCCTGACCATTAGGTCCAGTCGTGACCAACTCTGGGGTTGCGGCGCTCATCTCGCTTTATTGGCCGAGGGAGCCGGCGTGCAGCTTCTGGGTCATGTGGCCAGCATGACTAAGCCGCTTCTGGCGAACCAGAGCAGCGCACAGAAATGCCGTTTACCTTGCCGCCAGAGCAGTACCTATTTATCTACTTGCACTTTGACGTGCTTTCGAACTGCTAGGTTGGCAGGAGCAGGGACCGAGCAACAGGAGCTCACCCCGTCGCGGGGATTGGAACCGCTGACCTTCTGATCAGCAAGTCCTAGGCGCTGTGGTTTAACTCACAGCACCACCCACATCCCGTGTTGTATGCACCAGGTCCCAAATTCAATCCCTGGCATCTCCAAGTAAGGCTGGCAGACCCCCCGTTTGAAATCCTGGAGAGCTGCTACCAGTCCATGTAGACCAGGCATGAAGAATGTCCAGGCTATGGGCCAATCCAGAGGTTGATAGATGAACTGTCCCACTCACTAGTCAAAGCTGGCTCAAAAAAGTTCCCCATCCTTGGTGCATTCTCAAGCATAAACCGAATTCTTCCAAATGTACTCACCTGCATCCAATGATGATGTTTCTAGAGAAAAGTTAACTATTCAGACTGTAGATTAAATGGCCTTACTTGCCTAAGGTTAGCCACTTTTCAAAACACATTATTTTATTGGAAATTAAAATGTATTACAATATATATTTTTTTGCATAATACACATCATACATGCCAGTCAATTACAGGAAAAGGTTGCACACCTTTTCACTGGTCCTGGCTCTTGTGTAATATGGCTTGTAGACATGAGCAAGCAACGTGCTTATCTCCATGCTATGAAAAGTGTCACCTGTTAATGTCTGCAAATCAATCTGACATAAGAACTCTGCTGGATCAGACCAAAAGCCCATCTAGACTAGCATCCTGGTTTCACAGTGTGAAATCAGATGTCTGTGGGAAGTCCGCAAGCAGAAGATGAGGGCAATCTCTTGTTTAATTTTTATTGAAGCCTACCCTTACACTTTGCCTATATAGCAGATAAATACTAATTTTTTCCCTAGTCCATTGGTAGCCCTATACCTGCCTCCGATATCTAGGCCTATCACTGTTCAGCATCCCTGATTGAGGTTCAGTGAACTCAGCATTTCTTCTGTCCAAGGTAACACAGATACACATGGAATTAGATTATATGAAGGATGCACCTAAAATATAGAATATACATTTGGTAAGTGTATGCTGCGGGCAAGGGGAGCCATAATGGCCCCAAATCTCAGCCTAGTAGTATGATTAAAGAAAATACTTTCTGGTCTTAAATATTTTTTATTATAAACCACATTGATAATTTTTATGAAATAGTGATCTATAAATATTTTTATAAACAAACAAACAAACACCTGCAGGGTCACAGGTCCGCAAACCCCTGCCACAAAGGAACACCAATATTATAGACATTGATGAACAAATCTGCACATGGCCTTTTCTGACCTGCGTTATTACAATGAGACTGTGAAAGGACCTAGTAACCAGCACTCTACGAATCACATCCAAGTAGGATCAATTCATTATGCATCCCACTCAAGAGTTTGCTCATATGAAGCAAGCCAGATAACAGCAAGAGGGGAAAGCTCTCATCTGACATGTCTATACAGTATTCCCAAACACAGCAAAAGTAGGGGAGAAGACTCCAGATCCTTGGCACATCCAGTCTCTGCTCTCTACTGAAAGTGCAATTAGGGATGGTCAGTTACTGTCAATAGGACTGGTGGTTTCTATAAGACAAGCTCAGGTCTCACAAGGAAACTGGACCAAGAGCTGTCAAACTTGTTTCACAAAATGTATCAGATTGTGACAATTGCCATTACTTCTAGCTCAGTTTGAAGTCAGACTTCTAGGCAAAAATCACACGGTCCCTGGCAGTTTAAAATGGTTGTGCTCTTACATTTGGGGGTGCTTAAGACCAAAACCCTACGTCTGCCTGAAAGTAGGTTTAGCATAGTCGGCCAATTGGTGCCAAAGAAGGATAGAACTTTTTTTATGTATGCCACAACAGCAGCAAGAATACTCATTGCAAAGTATTGGAAGACACAAGATTTACCCACTTTGGAAGAATGGCAGATGAAGCTGATGGACTATATGGAACTGGCAGAAATGACTGGCAGAATCCGAGACCAGGGAGAAGAGTCGGTGGAAGAAGATTGGAAGAAATTCAAAGACTACCTACAGAAATATTGTAAAATTAATGAATGTTAGAATGATGTTGGATAGAAATTAAGTGGTTTCCAGCTGTAATGCTTCAAGGGAATATGAAAAATGGGTTGTTAACAGGTAAAAATCTAACGTTATTATTTTAAGACCAAAGACTAGGATAAATAAAGAGGGTACGGATTTGCTGAACCAACAAATTGAACTGGAATACAAAAAAGGGAGGTACGAGGAGGTCCAGGAAACAAGCTAAGGAAAAATAAGTAATGGAAAAACTGAGTGGTTTTTAATCATTTTTATTTTGTATTTTCTTTTTCTTTTTCATTTTTATATTGTAATTTTCTGAAAATCTTAATAAATATCTTATAAAAAAGAAAGAAAGTAGGTTTAGCATGAGCATGTAGGCTGCCAAAGAAACCAGTCGCTTTGCTCCTCCTCTGATGCTGTTGAACTGTGTAAACTAAGTCATGATTTGGCTTAGCACATTGTCTGAACGGGGACTCATGGTTTGTCTCACTGTAGACAAACCGCAAGCTGTAACTAAGATTTGTACTTTGGTTTACAGCTTGTTGCTCTTCTGCAGGAGAGAGACAATAAGTATTGTCTTCTAATTTTGCCTTTGAAAATATTAAAGCTAGCAGCTATTTGACTCCCTTTCTGTAACTGGAATATTAATAAAGTGGAAATAAGTTTTAAATGGTGCAGCGGGCATGTAAACTACCAAACACCAACTATCGCCTATCAAAATATACAGCAACTTGTCTACAGTAGCATTTTAATGTGTTTTAACTTCCAAGTTTAAGCAATACTTTTAATCATGTGTTGAGTAAAGTAATGTAAAAACTTTCTAACCAAAGCTATAAATCTTATAACATGAAAGCCAATATGTCTGCAAAATTAAAATGGTGTAGTGAAATTATGGTTTCACATCCAAGAATTTCACAGATTGAAAAGTTTGTTTTCTTACCAAAAGGTAGGAAGTTTGGGCTTAAGTTTAGTAAGATTTACAGTCACTTCTTCAGGTTCAAAATTGGATTTGAAACTTGCTAATGTGGGAAGTCAATGGATTTCAGATCCCCACGACACATACGTAGTTTCAACACCAGTGTTAACCCTCCATAAAGAGAACATTTCTGGAGACACAGAGACCCACAGGCATGCATATCATTATGAAGTCTCCAACTGACCTTTTATGACTAAACCTACAGCCTTATATAAATAAGAAAGTATGGAGAAGCTATAAATGACCCAATAATCACCATCTTGCCTTGCATGTTAATATACAGACACTTCTAAGGTTGAAGAGCAGGGCTACAAAGGCAGAACACAGCAGTTGTTGGTGCTAAATGTAATTACTTTGAAACAAAAGGGAGGGAACTTCAAACTTGTTCTTAGGAGGTTTGGGGTGGGTGATATCCAGTAAAAACTCAGAATAGCTCTTTTCTGCTTCCATAATACAAATACATAATAATAAACCATAATATTTCTAGAACAACACAGAGCCTAATGGCTTTCTGGAAATGAAATATATCACTCCGAGTTTACTAGTAAACATTTGGCGGATATCCGCTGGAACTGTGATTGCAATTATTAAGCACTTACTCAAATCAATATATTACAGCATAATCCTAAATACGTTTATTCAGAAGAAATTCCTGTTGTTTTCAGTGGGGCTTACTCCCAGATACGTAAGTGTGTATACTGTTTGAGTACACCCATAGGAAATTTGCACTGATTTACGAGGAAATTGGGGTACATGCAATTATACTTGGCTGTATGTCTTGCTCACAATCACCATGGGAAAGTTGAAACCTTGCCCACAATCTCTTGCTTTAGTTTCCCAGGACAGGTAAGCGCCTACCCCATACCTAAAAGCAAGTAAAAGCCCTATTATCTTTATGTTTCATCATGGCACAAACTTCACAGCTTAGACAGCTTAAAAGACAATGGTGGAACAATCTCCCCAAAGCAGCATGTCTTTATTTGGGAGGTTATATTTCATGCAGTAGCATACAGTGCAACCCAGGTGCTGTTTTCGAGATAGCTATTCCCTTGAACGGTGTAAGCTCTTGCATGTCTAGGCCTGCAGGACCAACCATACATCCAGCCCTGCAGAGCCATGACCAAACAGCAACCTGCCTGCAAGGCCTCACCATCAGAAAGTGGCCTGGAGTACAAAGTGCCTCCCTCTTAGAAGTCCCATATACAAGAGCTCCTCAATAATGCTTTGCCTTATTCACAGGAGGCTACGTATATGACCTAGAAGAAACTCTCCAGTTTCCCTCGTTAATGTTCCCCTGCACATCCATAAGAACTCTACAAAGAACAGGCAAGCGGCAGCCTCCAAAACATTGCAGCCATTGAGAAAACTATTAAATGGAAGGGAGAAAGGGCCTGACATAGTCCGCCTGCCCTGGTGCAACAACCAAAATACCAAGGATTATGACAGACAATAGGAAACCCTCAAGAGACCTCTCTTTTTAGTTCTTTGCCCTCTGATCTCACAGCTTCCCTATTTCTTTGTTAAACCATTAACACTGTAGGTCAGCTGCCCAGAACTAATCAGTCAGAACTGGATCCCGTTATGACTGATATAGGGTGGATATTTAACACAATGGTCAAGCCCATCCCATCTTGGGTTTTCAATATTAACACAGTTGTCATATCCTCTCCCTTCCCCGCTCTCCAATTAAATTGCTCGTCCTTCTCCCCACCCTCCCCTTCTCTCTCTCTCTCTCTCTCTCTCTCACACACACACACACATATCAGTACTATAAACTTCCAAATGTAACTTTCCGCAATACAACATAAATCTACACATACAACGAATCTACTAAAGCATTTGTTTTTACGCACGTGACCAACGAGTGAGAAACACAGCATTACGCACATAACACACACAAAGGTAATTAATTGAGGAAATGTGTTTGTGCAATCCATGAGTTGTCAACACAGCGGCCCTATGGCCTAGGTTCAAGCTGGCAATAGATATAGGCACGCTGGAGAACAAATCCTGCTTCAAAAGACTTCCTCTTGGATGTTAATAAATAATATGAATATTATAAGATTTTTAAAAACTCACAACGTCCGTAAGAGCAACACTGTGATGCCCGAGAGACCAGAAAGATTATATAACCTACTTTTATACAGAGATATATGCTCCATTCTAGTTATCAATATACAGTCTGGATCATACACACGAAAGCCCTTTTGGCAGACGGACAGGCTCTGATTACAACCAACTGGGACGGACAAAGCATAACTATATATAAGGAGGAAATTAATCCAGCTCTGTTACAGGCCACGGACTTCAGAACTTGAAACGGAGCAGGAACCATGACTCGACGTCAGGCATCTCTGAGTGTACCCCCAAAAGGACAGTGTAGGATTTGTTGTTTTTCCTTTTTCTTTTAAGGGTTTGGAGCTCCCAGCAAAGCGAGCCCTGAGAGCAGGGAAACTTGCCCCCAAGGAAAGAGTAGCTGCCCAAGACAGGCTCCATAGACATAAAGTGGTGGATACAATGTTCTTTCCCAGAGGAAAACCGCAACAAGGCATGGCTGAAACCCGGGGAGGGGGGCAAGGGGGTAGAAAGAAAATGGGCTCCCCCCCCCCCTTCAACTTTTCTCTTCCTAGCGTGACCAATTCCATGGGCGGGAGAAAGGGGGGGTCGAGGTTTGGGTCTGGGGGTGGATAAATATGGGAAGGGGCAGGGGGCGGGGAAAACTCCCCCCGCAGCCCGGGACATCTGTGTGGAAAAAGGGGGGCGCAATAGAGACGAATCCTCTCCTTCCTCTCCCGGAGAGTTTCCAAGGCCGGGATGGGAGCGCTCGCCCGCCCGCTTGCTTGCTTACTTACTCCGTGCTCCGTCCGGGGAAGGGTGGGTGGTGGTCCCGCCGGTGCAGCCGCTTGTGGCTCTGGATCTTTTGGGTGAGGGGGGGGGGAGAAGGTGACAGGGCAGCAGGAAGAGGGGGGGAGGCGCGGCTGGCTGGCTGGCTGGCTGGCTGGCTGAGGAATCCGCCGCGCACCGAAAGGAGCTCTAGCCGGGCGCCGAGCAAGAGCGACGGGAAAGTTTGTGCGAAGGAGGGAGGAGCAGAAACTTGGAAAGGGAGAGAAAGAAGGAGGGAGGGAAGGAAGGAGAGCAGGAGCCGCCAGCCCCCGCCCTTCTCGCCGATGGACAGCCTCCTCCTCCCGCGACCATCTCTGGGGGAGGAGACCTGAGGAAGAGGGTCGTCCCCCCACCCCGCGCCATCTCTTTCTCGGGAGGGGGGAGAGTTTCTGCCGGAGGCAGGACGGGAGGGAGGCTGGGAGGAAACTGGATGCGTTTACTGGAAAAGGCTGGATCATTAGGGCCAACCACTTTCTTCTAATAAAGAGTGGGGGGGGGCAGTCTGTTTGCAAGGGGGAATCATGTCCGGAGGGTACATAAGGCGGAGTGGACTTCGTGGTCAAATGTTGAATGGGGCCCCAAAGTTATCTTCCTTCCCTTGAGGGAGTAATGCATGGCTTGAGACAGAGCGTTTGACTTCAGCCGCAAAGTTCCAGGTTCAAATCCCGCCTTCGCTAGGAAGTTCAGCGTTTGACTCTTCGGACTGATACTTAGCCTTAGTGGGCTGTAGGGATGCGGGACGGCGGGGTGGAGAGCGAGCGAGGTACACTATACACACTCAGGACCGAGTTCCTTGGAGGGAGGCTCGGCTCTAAAATGTACTTTTTAAAAAACGGGAGAGAGATCCAGGCCTACTTTTGAATGTAGCAACAGGCGCATTTGCGCAGCACTCCAAGGCGAGTTTGCTTTCCTTGTTCGCATGCATGCGATTTGGAGGCTGCAGGTTTGGAGAACTTGGTTTTGGTGTGTTTTGTTTTACTCTTGCGTGAGAGGAAGCCGTGGGATGAATGGTCTCTTTGGGGCAACTAACAGCAACTTTTCCAGAAGGGATGAGCTGCAGTTGTGGGGGCGCCTGCCTGCCCCCTCTCCCAGGCGCAGCCCAGAGGAACGCCTGAGCGCGGAGGTCGTCCTGGGCAGGCAGAACCTGTCTGCGAACAGGTTGGGCGGGTGGCGACCGCCTCGTCTCTCCTTCAGCCCCGGGCAAGGAGTGGCAGGGAGAGCGCAGGGGGGCTAAGCCTACGTCGGGGGCGGGCGGAGGCGGAGGCCCGGCTGCACTGGGAGTCGCCCTCCGCCGGATCTCCGACCAGCAGCCCCTCCTGCCCTGAAATCTCAGCCTCAGCGTTCGGCTGCTGACGTCACGGGCGGAGGAGCGGCCTTCTCGCTTCCCCAGCCGGCCATGGCGGCTCCTCCGCCGAGCCTCCCGCTGCAGCGACTCCTAGGGGTCACGGGGCGCCAAGGACGCCGCTCCCTCGGAACCGCTCGATTGCAAACCGACCAAGCCGCAGTCGGCAATAGAGGAAGTCGGTCAGACTTTTCAAATCTTATTTTCTTCCTCCCTTCGCCAAGGGGCGGGCTGCAGGAAACGGATCCGACATGGGGTGGGGTGGAGGGGGAAACAAAATCTCCTCGCGCGCGCTCTCCTGCTTCAGCGACCGCCCGGTCTTTTTTCAAACGAGCGAAAAAACGCGGGTTATAAAACGCAGAGGCTTAGGAAGCGATGCGGAATTTGCGGCACACGTGCAAATGCAATCGGTTGAATGGGGCGTTTTATAAGGATTCTGGAGAACAGTCGCGCTTGGAAGAGTCGCTTTTGAAGTACTGCATTTGAGCACGAAAAAGAGGTGTCGCCACTTTGCTTTTTTGTCCGTGTTTCTCATTACTTCCCAGCCCGTGATCTTTCCACCCTCAAGTGTCCCAGAGTCTCCTGCGCTCTCCTTGCACACCTCTGCCCGTTCTCCTTTCCATACCCTCAGCCCGAAATACATCTAGCCAATGCACCCCCCACTTCCTTGACACATCGCTTCATAAAACCCATCGATGAGTTCTATGGAAGGCCATAGCTGACTGAAGCCCGGATGCCTCCCTCGGGAATATTGCAGACCGCTTCCCCTGAACGACCAACTTCTATAAACAAAAACAATTTATCTTTCCCCTGCAAGTCCTTTTATTTGTGGAGGCAGAAGGAAAGGCAAGCAACTAGTACTAGTATTCTTCCCACCTGCTCCATAAGAAGTAAATCGTACGCATACCCTCCCACATTTCTCCGATGAAAATATGGGTGTTCTAGTCAATAATAATAATAATTCTACTATTTATAGCCCCCCCCCATCTGACTGGGTTGCCCCAACCACTTTGGCTGGCTTGCAGCATATATAAAAACATAATAAAACATCTCTGCTTATCCTCCACTTTTGAAATTCAGTTTGCTTGGAGAGGCATCTCTTTTGCTTATGTTGTTTCTAGCTCTTGGAACAGGATCCTTCCTTGCAATGCTACTCAGACCTCTTCAGGGGCAGAGATCACAAATGGAGATTTATATAGGACATCTTCACCATCTTCTACCGGCTCGGAGGCCTTCCCCTAGTTACCTAAGTCTCACCTCAGTGATATTGATGGGTAATAGATTAAGGATAAAGGATGCACAATCAACATGTGGAACTTGTACAATGATCTATGGTGTGCTCGCTTAGCACCCCACATGAGGGGCAGCAGGATCACACCCACTGGTCATGCCACACTGCCATACTAACTGGTCCAGACCCATGGCAGCTGCACATTCAGCTCTAATGAGCAGAGGCCTTACACATGCATATGTAAGGGCTCCTTCATTCAGGTAGTTCTGTTTGCACCTGGGGCCCTTCACACTAACACCAAATGTGAAGCCACTGATTACACTGGGATTTGGGGTGGGGGGCATGGCCAGCATGTACATTCCTCTGCCTTCCAGGCATGTGATGATTGCATGGGAGGGTGTTGTGTGTGAACGCCCCATTAGTAACAGTCACTGGTTAGACAGAGGCTTTAAAAAATTGTCTGTTCCAGGCCCCTGTGCCTCATGGATCATCTCCTTTTAGACTTCAACCCATTACCCATTTAGGACATGGGTGGTGCTGTGGTCTAAACCACTGAGTCTCATGGGCTTGCCGATTGGAAGATTGGTGGTTCGAATCCCCGCAAAGGGGTAAGCTCCCATTGTTCTGTCCCAGCTCCTGCCAACCTAGCAGTTCGAAAGCATGCCAATGCAAGTAGATAAATAGGTACCACTGAGGTGGGAAGGTAAACGGCGCTTCCTTGTGCTCTGGTTTCCGTTACGGTGTTCTGTTGTGCCAGAAGCGGTTTAGTCATGCTGGCCACATGACCCAGAAAGCTGTCTGTGAACAAATGCTGGCTCGATCGGCCTCAAAGCAAGATGAGTGCTGCAACCCCATAGTTGCCTTTGACTGGATTAACCATCCAGGGGTCCTTTACCTCTTTCTTACCTTACCATTACCTATTTAATTTTGGAATAAGATTCACTGAGTATTTACTCCTGAGGACTGCATGGTTAAAGGCACATTTCAGGTACAGGTTTTGATGTTGCTTTGGGTCAACGCTGGCTCGCCAGATGCAGCTTGTCACGCTGGCCACGTGACCCGGAAGTGTCTGCGGACAGCGCTGGCTCCCGGCCTATAGAGTGAGATGAGCGCACAACCCTAGAGTCTGGCAAAGACTGGCCCGTACGGGCAGGGGTACCTTTACCTTTACCTAAGTCTGTCTGCAGCTGTTTCCAACTATATCATTTTACTGTGATAAATGATGCAGTCAGTTCAAATGCTCTAATCACCTTTCTAATCAATTAATGCCCAAAGCCAGGGTAAAGAGGTGCATCTTCAGTATTCGCCAAAAGCTACCGTATATAGTGAAGGCGCCAGATGTCTCCCAGGCCACCCCCCCCCCCAGAGCTCCTGAGGGCAGTGGAACAACCAAGAGGGTTGTTGTTGGTTGTTAGCAGATGAGATGGTCTGTAGGGAAAGAGGTGGACTTTCATGTATTTGGGGACTAAGTCCTTCAGGGCTGGAATGAGCAAGGCTAAAAGCTGCAAAGGTCTGTGTGATCAGGGATACAGAAGTTGAGGGGGAAGAAACAGCAAGGCTAGGTGCTGGCAGGCAGGGAAAACCGGAGAGGTTAGGGGGAAGAAAAAGAAAGAAAGTGTCGGATGACGCTGGGAGGTGGCAGCTCTTTTCCCTCTAGTTTGCTATTATCGTTATGTGATTCAGGGTAAAAATTAAGGACTGAGGACTCGTCAAGTTGATCAGTCAGTATATGCTATCCCTGTGCTGCTTAAGTCCTTTTCAAAGCTAATTGCGAATTCCTCCTCTTTTTTTTTTTTTAATAGGGCAAATGTGTGCTCTGGCTCAGAAGACGCAGAAGTATTACAGCCTTAAGGACACTAAATGTGAAGAAGTTCATGCAACAGCAGAGCACTGCTGGTGGGGGGCAGGAGGTGTGTTGCATACACCAGTTGTTGTTTTTATGGTTAGATTTATGTTCCTGGAACGGTCCATCAGGGGAGCTCTCGGCCCCTAAAGCAATAAATAAAATGACCCCAAATGACACAGGCCAGGGTGGGGGAGTTGTGTCAATCATCATCACCCTTCATATAACAGGCAGGATCCATTAGGTGCTCCTTTGGAATGGCAGATTACATTGTAAACAGCTGTCACAATTGCACACAACTGCTGCACTACTTGGGAAAGGATCGCCTATTTTCCCAAGTGCAAATTAGTGTGCTTTGAATGCCTAGAAAATGCAAATCGCCCAGAAAGAGAAGTGCTAGCTTGAGGGAAGACCTCAAAATCACATGCAACAAATGAGTAACAACCAGTTAGGTGGTTGTTTATTCTGGATTCCCATGTTCAAATGGAGGTCCCCTGCATTAGAAAGTGATAAGTATTACTTCCCTTACTTCAGTTGGGTAAGCCAGCCCAACTGTGTATAGAGACCATCCGGCCCCTCTTTTTGCTGATGTCTACCCCAAAGTCCTGCCCTGATGACACCACTTTTGTTATTACGGTATATGCAAAGGAAATTGTGCCACCTGAGCTCCCTTCAGTGCACCTTAGTACAGTGGTACCTCGCAAGACGAATGCCTCGCAAGACAAAAAACTCGCTAGACGAAAGGGTTTTTCGTTTTTTGAGCTGCTTCGCAAGACAATTTTCCCTATGGGCTTGCTTCGCAAGACGGAAACGTCTTGCAAGTTTGTTTCCTTTTTCTTAACACCGTTAATACAGTTGTGACTTGACTTCGAGGAGCAACTCATAGAACGTGGTGTGGTAGCCTTTTTTTGAGGTTTATAAAGACTTTGGTGATTTTTGAAGCTTTTCCAAAACTTTCCCGACACCGTGCTTCACAAGACGAAAAAAATCGCAAGACGACAAAACTCGCAGAACGAATTAATTTCGTCTTGCGAGGCACCAC